TTTTCAACATACTTAGAATCTATCTCCCTTCCATCCTTCCCCAGCATCATCTGCCTAACTATCTCTTCCACAACTTCACACCCGTGCTTAATATATGTATCTAGAAATAATTTAATGTCAACAATACTGTATTCCATATATCCTCTATCGTTAAGCTCCTCCTCGCTAACTCCTTCCTCCTTAAAATCCTTTCTCATGCATCCTTCAGCCAACAACCCCAAAAGCTCCTCACCAGAAAGCTTATTATACAGACTCACAGACGCATTGCACACTACACTTTCAGCATAAACTATACGCTTCCACATCTTTAAATTGCAACACTTCTCTCCACGTTTCTTGATCACATTACAAAAATTCTCTCTCTCCTCCCTTTCCTTCTCATCTACATCATCGCCTATCTCACGAATCATTCTATCAGCCTCAGAAATAAGGCACTTTCCAAACACCGTCATCCTTCTCTTTCCCTCATCCCGAACATCGCATTCAAACAATCTATCGTACACCATCAATAGCACCTCGCTAAGAGTGCTTTTTCCTCTTGCATATACACTCAATGCATCATTCGACACCTTCTGCAGGTGCTTCTTCATCTCCCTTACAAACACAGCCTCAAACACCCCGTCCCCTTCACAACATATATCAAAAGCAGTAAATGACAGCACCATGTCCCCAATACAACCGATAAACTCTTTAACATACATCTCTTCGTCTCCGCCCCTCCGAACATCCTTGAGCCTCGTGGTCGGTAGTGCAATCGCATTGGTTCCAGAAAAAATTATCGGAAACAGTATACATCCTTCAGACCCTCTTAGTTTGACAACCTTATGGCTTTCTATCGACGAAGAACAGATCATCCACCCAAGTAGAATCATTGCTTGTAGCACTCCAAGCTTCATGGGCCACACTCCTTTACTCGCCTTAGTGCCTTCTCCTTTCCTCCATTCCCCCAAACATCATTGGCTATACACATCGTTTACAACCTCATCAATCCAGATAATATGCAAACACACACCGTACCTTCTTACAACCGATCCCAGTCATACAATAAACCCAGACTATCGATGTCACACACTAATCACTCCACCTCCTACAATGTCCTTGCCATTAAACCTTTTCAACCATCTTATGAACTTCCTAACCCCATCGCTCGCTTCCCTTCTAAAGCAAACCTTTCAGTTAATCTCCTGACCCTCCACTCATCGCCATGTGTCCATCGGGTTCCAATCATTCAACTGCCTAAAAGAGGTATCCAAAGAACACCAGGCATCCACTCTCCTCATACAAAGATGCATGCAGCCTTCATCGCATCCCACACTCCATCTCACAAGCAAACACCTGCATACTCGCCCAAAAAACACAAGCACTCCATCAATTTATTCAACTACTTCCACAGCACACACCCCAATATCTCAAAATAAGAATGAGAATGATAAATCAGAGTTGCCCATCTCCATGTACGAGAGTCGCTTCGTGAGTATCCTGCCCAGCATATAGTACCCTGCTACACTGCACACTATGCACGGTATTATCCTTGCAAACCCTTGGATCTTCCTCAACTTCTTCTTCGAAATCCTTAAACTCTTGACAATCTCATTCTCCATGCTATACAGTACCACATGAAGGAACATAAACAGGAAAATATGTCTCACTAGACTATCACTCATATCGTGCTCATAGTTATAGCTCGCAACAAACACCACAGTCCAAGCAGCACTCAGTATACTCCCGCAGACATAATTGCTATACTTAAGCTCCATGGCATCCTGCCCATGAAGAATATGTATCAAGGCAACAAAAATCCCCAGCGGATTCCTACAAAGGTTATTCATAAGCATCCTTGATCCTCCTCTAGAACTAAAGATACTAACTCCAATCGCCTCAATCGCCACCAGATGCAAGGACAAGTGCACAACCATTAGACTGCTCTTCCACGAATCTTCCCTCAAATCCACAGCCCTAGCACATAGCTTCAGAAACGTCGAATGAACCAGGTACCCCAGATTCACAACCCCAACAGCCTCAATCGCAAAGCCTCCAAACAAATCTGCTAATGGATTCTTGAAGAGCGTTACAAGAACAGTCATAAAAAATAGCAGAATCCCCACATCCGTTGCCTCAGACGACTCAGACTCCAGCTCTAGGCTAAAACCATGTGGGCACTCAGAGCCCACATCGTATCCCTCCCCATCCTTCGCTTTCCTCTTAGAACTAAAAACTGTGCTGCACTCTAACACACTCCCTCTGTCGGCTCTATTCATATCCTATGGGCATCTATCATACATACATATTTGCATCCCGCCACATAAATTGTGCACAGAAACCTATTCACACACACACATCTAGACTCAAACTATTTAATACATCCATATTTACACTAGTTCCTGTTCATAAACGCATTCAGCATCACCACCCTCTTCTGCCTCTTGTTGAAAAACAGAAACGAAAAGTACCAGAAGCAGTCCTCAAAGGGCCCCATCCTGTTCTCATACGAAAATATCATGCACTCACTCAGGTCAACAGACTTGTGGAGAATCACCTCAAGAAACCCCACAAACTCCTTCACATCAGAGTTGTTCTTGTGCACAGTGCTTATCGAGTACGCAACCTCGTTCACAACCTCCCCCATCGACTTCCGCGAAAAAGACCTCCACGACTCCCCAGAGAAGTCATAGTCCGGAAACCGCAGCTCAAGTGCAGACACAAGATACCTGAGCGGCTTCTCCACATGCATCTCCATCCTCTGCTTCCTGCTCGACTTGCAGGAGTATGCCTCCATCTCGATGTTCAGAAGAGGGTTGAGGTCCTGAAGCTTCTGGAAGAGTTTGTTTGTTTTCGATATGCAGCTCAACTCCAAATACCTCATAAAGGGCTGCACACTCCCCCCATAAATCCAGAAACCTCCGTCCACAGCCTCCTCACACATCCCCAATAACAAAATTTTCCAGAGGCCCCACGACTTCCATGCTCGACCCGTTCTGCTTCCTGAAGATGTACTTGAACGAGAGGGTCGAAATAAAGACAAAGAGCGGAGAGGTCTATGCAGGAATCCTCGAGGGGTTCGACGAGCACATAAACCTCATGCTGACACACTCGTCCGTAGAGGGCTCCCACAGCAAGGTCCTCTTTCTGAGGGGGGAAAACATCCTCTTTGTCGCCGCCCCTCCCTGACCCAAGCCAATAAATGTCCTTTGCCAGACACGCATATTCCACCCCTCGCTCCCCAAGCACGATTTTTGCGTTCAAATCTTTTTGCATCAGAAGCCCTAATGAAGATCGAGGCATCAGATCTCAGGCAGCTGGATGTTGAGCAGCTTGAGGAGAAGGCTAACGAGGTCAAGGCAGAGCTGGCGCGCCTCCGCCAGAAGAAGAACAGCGGAGACGTCGGCAAGGACGACATCAGGACAGCCAGGAAGAACTTGGCACGCATCCTCACCGTCAGACGCGAGAAGATTCTCCAGGAGGTCGTCGAGAAGTACAGGGGAACCCCGGTCCACAAGCTTCCGAAGGTCCTTAGGCCCAAGCTCAACAGGGCCAAGAGACAGGCCCTCACAAAGGACCAGCTCAAAAGAAAGACAGGGAGGCAAAGAGCAAGAGAAAGTAAGTTCCCAAAGGTTATATTTGCTTACAACGAATAAATTATACTGTTCTACGTCTCATCCTATCCGAGTCCAGGCAAGTGAAGAGAGATACCACCCTCCATCCTCACACCCCGCACCATTCACAAACCTCCCCCGAATGAGAAACACATGTCTATCGCCCCCGACACACATCCTATCCCCAGTTGCAATCTCAGCCTCAAACTCGCACTCAAACATCCCCTTTGCCACACTCCCAGACGTCGAGGTATTCCTGATGTCCGTCGTCCACACATCTCTTCCTCCTCCCACCTCAAGGGCCAGATTCTTCAAGTCCTCCATCCCTTCTTCTGTGCACAGCCCACTCACCGGCTCGGACCCCAGACCTCTAAGTATCTCCCCCACACACCTGTTCTCAATCTCCTCTATGGCCCTCTCGTCAGAGGACAGACGGGACTTAACCACAGAGCAGAGCCTCCATATCCTCTTCATCACACTTCCCCTGTACTCAACCAGCCCCCCTCTCTTCCTCAAACACTCCCCACTCCCATCCTTGGCTGCCACAGACGGCCCAGAACTCCTCACCCCTCCGTAGTACTGCGGAATCCTGAACACCATGTCCAATCTCCTCTGGAACTCCCTTCGCCGGCACAGTAGGCCTCCTCCGGCCCTAAGCGCAATCCCAATCGAGGCATCAGAGGCCCTCATCACGCTGCTCGACACCTCCATCATCCTCCTTCCAACCCTGAACAGACGCGTGTCTTCAACAGCATCCCTGCATCCCATCCACCCCCTTGCCATCCTCTCACAGGCCCCCTTCAGCTCCTCGCTCCCATCAAACTCTCTCCAGAGATTCCGCCCAAACACTGAGGCCCAGCTCCTTGCCGCCCTCCACAGTCGTCCCATTTCTAGGGCCCACCCCTCCGCGCCACTAAACCACTCGCCTGACAGGCCCGGGCCGCAGAACGAGTGGTCAGAAGCGCCAGCAGGTGTCCAATGAGCCTCTGCAGCACACATCAAACAAGCTATTAAGTGCATCCCGGCATCCATCCTACAGAATGGTGCTTTTCCCCAGCATTGACGGAAGCAGCATGATCACGGCTCTCCACACGCTTTCGATAGGCCTCCTGGTCTCTGTGGTTGTGATCGCAGCGGTAAAAACCTTCCCAAGGCTGATGAGCGGAAGGAAGGCCAGGAGCGACGGAACGGTGGAGGAGAGGATAGACAAGTCGTTTACCAAGACAGAGTCAAAAATTAAATAAACTTAGCTTTGGCCTCGATAGGATCTTCATAGAGAAAATAATGCATCGAACTGCAGTAGTGCTAAGACACATGATTAAATAACTATTTTATTTAAAGTTATGTTAAACGGACTGTTTTAGTGTATTTTGAGCATAATAAAAAGAGTATGATTCAATATTCTGAATTCCAAGGATAACAAATATAAAACTCATAACCCATTGAGATAAGTCTAGCCACTCTATTCCTTGGTTTTTTTGATTTTCCATCTTCCCTCCTTTCCCTATGATAACTATGAAGCACAACATAAGCGCAAACATAATGTATCCAAGAGAAATAAAATTATTTCTATTCTCAACCGAAAGCATAAAGTGATTTGTTATATATGCTAATCCCATCAATATGTTTCCTATCACAAATACAACTATTTGTCTACCATGCATCTTTTTATTCATCTTTCCGAATGTCTGACCACATATTATTATCACACTCATGGCTACCATTACTGCACAACTTTCTATGTTGTCCTTTCCTTTTGATATCTCTTTTATTCTATTTTCCCTAAGTCCAAGGAGCATGGGAAACATAGAGCCAATTACACTCCAGTTTCTACCTAGTACTGGGGTTATTCCTCCGTTATAATTTTCATATGTTAGTATCCATATTCCATATATGATGGGGGCAAGAATAGAGATAATACATGCCACTTTCTTTGTACTCTCTATTATTGTTTCGAACTTTTCAGCACCTTTAGCAATACCTAAAAATGCAATTAGTCCTAAACATATAATGCAATACGTCATAAGAAAACTATTTAGAAAAGGAGAATTAGTGTTTTTTTTGGCGAAAAATTCCGTGAAACTGCTCCGATGTAAAAAAGAGCTTTTAAGCTGTTTATCTTGTTTCGCGTCTTCTGAAATGTTTTCAGTGCTATTTCTCTTAAGTTCCTTTTCGATTTCTTCAAATTTTCCAATCAATTCTCTGATCAAAGAAATGCAATGATGTTTGGATTTTTCTTCTCTACCCGTATATTTCCGTTTAAAAAATTCAGTGTTGATTCTTTCAAATTCATGTTTAACTTTTTTGATTTGTTCTCCAAACGATTTTAAATCATCATCTGAAACCTCTGCACTCTTCAAAAGTTCATCAGCTATCTTTATAACGTTTTGAGCACATTCTAAAAGCCTTGTAGATAAAAAGGGAACAGTTTTGGATTTATCAAGCGTATCATTGTCAATGTCCTTGATAAGACTCATCCCTCTAAACAATTCTCTTATCTCTGTAAACCTCTCTTGAAGTTCTGTGCAAAGATCACTTTCGTAGCTAATGTTTGGAAAGGGAAATCCCATTTCCCTATTTAAATGTACTGAATGTAATCTTTGGCCATTATTGATGCTGGATGCAATGCTACTAGACCTCTTCATTTTAAAGTATCCCCTGTGATACTGTCGTTTTTAACTAAAATGGAAATTTTGGAATATATAATCATAAGATTTTATATTGATTTCATTTATACATTTTTTAATTTAAGTCACCAATGGTGTCTACTCTTTGCAATATGTCTCGACTGACACTCTACACATCTCCATTGCACCTTCAACGGTTCTATTGGAGCCTACAAAGCCGGATGCGTGCACAAAATTGCATCCTTCAATTCCAGAAATAGCTTCTAGTTTGCTTCCGGCGAGTCCTCTCCATTCTTTTTTTAAAGGAACTTTCGACCTAAAGTGCTTTCTTTCTCTAGGGACGGCAAGAATGGTTACTGAGCTTTCTCTTTTGTTTAGTACAAATCTGATATCCTTTTTATATTTCTTCTCTATTTCTGGAATTACGTCAATAAAACAATACTTATCAACACACAAAATGTCTCCATCAGAATCTGCTATCAGTTTATCCAAATACTTATAATTCGGAATCCACCCATTAACTATTGTATGCATGAAATTATCTAAATCCTTGGAAACAAACCTCACGGCTTCTAGAAATCTTTTGTTCTGTTCATCATCCTCACTGCTAGAAAAGCTTAAAGCATTGAATGATTCAACGATGTGTGAAAGAGATCGTGGAACGATCTCCCCAAAAATCTCGTATCCATTGTCAATTGCATCTGCGGACATAAAATAAGCCGTATAGACTTCTTCCAGTACTCTTTGGAAGTATTCATTTGTTTTAGTAATTCCGTATATTTCTAGAAATTTTTCTGCATAATACTTGTAAATTAACCCGGAACTGCTTAGCTTTATCTTGTGGTTCGAGTTGAAGGTTTCGCCAAACGACTCCTGATGGTGATCGTATCTACTAGTCTTAGGATCAAATAAACCCCCAACATCGTACACTATGTCTCCAGTCTCTATGACTGCTGGATTTCTTGTTCTGATTATTTCTGAGTCTGGGTATATCTTAAGCAATACAGCAGTTGCTAGAACCTCATCCAAATGGAACTTTTTATCGTGTGTTACAAGAATCATTCCGAGGGTTCCAGACTATTTTGATTTGTGAGCCCCTCCTATGCCGTCGCCTACATTAAGTGATCTCATTCTTGCATATCGGAATGAGAAGGCTGCAAAAAGATTACTTCCATATGCCTCACGCCCAGTAGAATACTTTTTAGATGCAATTTCAAGGAGGATTGAGGAAGTAAAATCCCTAGGAAAAACGATAACAAGGAATATATATGAGTTAGAACTAGAGAGAGTAAAATTTTTTATCAAGGAGTATATACAAGTCAGACTGAAGAAGCTAAGTACAAACTTATATCTAGATAGATCACTCTTATCTGAAAGAGAAGTGAGTTTTTATGATAAGTACATTGGCCTGCTAAAAGGAAGAGATATATATATTGCAGAGCAAAAGTTTCCTAAAAGGAACGAGTTCGTTGGATTTTATTGCTGCTCCGACATTAACGGTGTAATGATAGATGGAGAGCTATTAGAGATGTTCAAAGGGGACTTCTTTGTTGCCCCATTAGATGATGTGATGGACCTCCTGAGGAGAAACGAAATAATTCTATTTTAAACAAGGTTTATGTGGTTTCATTTTGATGAATGGCTACTTTATATTAGCTCAATACTTAATAAAGATCACCACAAAAGTAAGTCTGTTCGTAAAAAATTTTCCATCTTTATACTTCTAATAATAAGCATGTAGTTTAATGCATCGGTCATTTTTTACCATCACAGCACTAACAAATCTCGTTCTTATCTAGAGGATCACTGGATGGACTCAGGTAGATGGTTTTCTGAATTTCCAGACTCTTTCTCACTGTGACATGGATAATTACCATCAAATGAATCTTCTGATTCATCCTCCGACTTTCTGTCTATATTCTCAAGGACGACCGTCATGGTCACTATAAGAACAATTGCCGCTGCTAATATCAATATTACCAGTAAGACTCGCATAATGTCTCATATACAACGGCATTTTCATTTTTTTTAAAACTTGTTAACAAGTCTGATAGAGGCTTTAGAAGAATATTATATCTTTTTTTACTAATTAATAAGGTTACCTGCCACTCTTCTTGCTAGACGAATTATACCATTTTATTGTCTCACCATAACGCGGTAAAGAATTATATGATGGAGGTGGACTATAAGGTGGAGGATCAGAGTTGTTGTTATAGCGGTATCCTATGTGGTTATCTGGAATATAACTTAAGGAATCATCTTCACTAAATGGTGGGGCACTCGCCTGAGATCCTGAGGCTTGAGTTCCTCCATTTGATCTGCCATTATTTGGAAAGAAGAGGCCTTTTATAATCTTTATTATTGCCATTCCTGTGACTACTCTGAAAAGTGATCTGATTATCTGCTGAGTTTTGGTCAGCTGTTCGCCATGATTGTTCCGCGAATTTATCTTTCCATTATTACATTCCTCCTCGCGGCTAGAAAGTACTTCGTAAGTCACTATGACTAATGTTACCAGAAATATGACGCTCGATACAACAAGAACTTGTAATAATTTCATGAGTTCAGAAGCTCTGAACTATTTATATATTCTCCTATATGTGCACCAATAAAAATTGAAGGGATGAATCTTCGAAAACCTTGAAGAAAATTTACCCACATTTTGTAGATGAAAAGAAGAGATCAAGTTTTATTTACCGTTGGTGCCATTGCAGCTCTTACTGTTCTTCTATTCTTGGCAGACAGTCTTTCTGGTAACAGAAAGCCTTATAGCCACAGATCAGATAAGCAAGCTTCTAATATCAGCACTCAGGATTTAGGTATGAGTGATATTCCAATAATAAGAAAAGATAAGTACATTTTGAGGGGCCTTGACATAAATGATTATGAAAAGGGATTTATTGATTGCATGAACCAATTGACCAAGCCTGGTGTAGTCACAAAGAAGCAATTTGAAGAAAGGTATCGATCCTTATGCAAAGAAGGATGCTATAAGATAATAATTGCGTATGACCCTGGGGCTGAAAAAGTTATTGGAAGCGGAACTCTATTTATTGAAAAGAAATTCATCAGGGGATGTGTTACTAAGGGGCACATAGAAGACTTAGTTGTGTTAAAAGAAAGGAGAGGGGAAGGCATTGGTAGAGATATACTGGAGGCATTAATTTCGATTTCTAAAGAAATGGGATGCTACAAGACTGCTCTGGTGTGCGATCCAAAGAATTTGGAATTCTACAAGAAATGCGGGCTTGCAGAGAAAGAGAGGGAGATGGTGATGTATCATTAAAAGCCTGTGCTAACAAATTATTTCTTGGGGTCTCGAATCGACGGGAAAAGTACTACTTTATATATATATCAGGATATGGCTTTAAAGGATAGACAAGAAAACCCTTAGAGAAATGTTTTTTGTGAGAGACTTTGTACAAAACATTCACTTGAGCCCGAGCTATCTGGGTCCAAACATACAAACGCTTATAGAGGAATACTTACTGACTAAGGTTGAAGGATCATGCAGCTCCAGCGGATATGTAGTTATGGTTCTCAGTATAGACGAAATAAGTGAAAGTAGAATTATTCTAACAGGAGAAACCATATTTACGGTTAAGTACAAGGCCCTTACGTTAAAGCCATTTAAAGGTGAAATAATTGATGCCAACGTTGTTGAGACAAACAAAATGGGTGTCTTTGCATCTGTTGGACCGCTGACAGTGTTTATATCGAACCATCAGATACCAAACTTTCTTCTGGAAAACGAAATAACGAAGGATGTGATGATTAGATTAAAGATTATTGGGACTAAGATAGACTCCACTAAGATATATGCGGTTGGAACCTTGAACGATGATTCTCTAGGGATAATTTCTTGAGGAAAAGGGACATGTCCATTTGATATTAAACTTTACATTTTTGTGGGATTGTAACCCTAGTATAAATGAGGATAAATGGAAATATAATACATTAAGTATTTTTCAAAAATGGAAGATTAAGTTATGTGCTTGAATAGCACCCTTAAGACTCCTTTTCTGTTAGGGACTAAGGAAATCATCTTCTTATTTTGGGTGTTTATAAGCCCTGATTGGATGGGCCTTTCTTTAGAAAGATGAATTTTGACCCTTTAAGGAAATGGATGAGAACAGAAAATATGGAAAGAAAGAAGAGCAGAGCAACCCCCAGATTCGAGGGGAGGTAGAGTATAATATCCCTCCATACGGAATTAATGAGAATATTCCGGAGGGATTTTCGTATCCGCATTGGATACCTCAGAACATGAACTACACATTTGATCAGCAATATAACTATTACAGCCATTCCATGCCCCAGTTTCACAATAATGGAATGATGCCACAAGGGTTTGTGCAAGAGCAAGTGCATCCGATTATGTTTGAAAAACCTCGGGGGAAGAGCCATGGAAAGAAAAAGATAAAACTTGAATATATATCTGGAAAGAACAAAAGGAGTGTTTGCTTTAGCAAAAGAAAGAGAGGCATAATGAAGAAAGCATATGAGCTGAATGTGCTTACGGGGACGGAGATTCTTCTGCTTGTTGCAAGTGAAAGTGGGCATGTATTTACTTTTGCAACAGAAAAGCTAAAGCCTATTATAACGGAGCACGAGGACATTATACAGAATTGTTTGAATAGACCTGAAGGAACGCCTTATAAACCTAATTTCTCTAAGGAAAGTGAGAGACAGAATGCTGAAAACAAAGGATATGGAAGGACAGAGCCATTGGACGAATCTAGAGAGAAGCATTGACCTTATTCGGAAGCGTTTATGAGTACTTGATGGCCTTATGTTAAATAAAACGACTTTATCCTGATATATATAAAACTTTCTATCTTCTCCATGCCTCATAAATACGTGAATATTTGCTTGGCTTTGCGAGTGACAGGCCCCATACCGAGATGAATTAACACAATAAAAAAAAGGAATATTTTTAGCCTATGTTATCTCAAGAAGAAAGGAAGCAGATGATTCTCAAGCTATTTATTGCATTGAAGGAGTCGAACATCTTCCCTGGATATACGCCTGTGCAGATAAAGGAGGCAGCAATAAGGGCTGAGCAGAGAATATATGAAGAAAGCTCTTCTAAGGAAGAGTACCTGAGAGGCATGGGTGAAAGGTTTCGGAGGATTGAAAGAGTTGTAAGTAACAGGAATAAAAATGATGGAAGAGGGAAAAACATGCAAGAGCAAGCAATGGCTTATATGTACACCAAGCCTCAAGCTGCCAAGGGGCAAGAATTTGTAAACGCTTCTGGAGAAACTCAAACTTCCAGGCAAGACTATACTTATGGAAATGGTAGATTTGAAAGAGGAGAAAGAAGGTTGTCTGAGCAGCTATTTACAGAAAATAAACAACTTTTTGGCAAGCAAGATGGATTTGCACCTCCTGAAATCATAGGAATAACTCGGAATCACGGTCTTGAAGAATCAGATAATATCGCTAGATTCAATGATCGAGATATGGAAAGTAGCACTAGAGGAAGATCTAATTCATGTAATATTCAGGGCTCTCTTCACGACTCCATGGGCCACGCAATTAGTGGAGAGGGATTTTCAAACAGTCCCGGAAACCCCATATTTTTCAGGAGGCCTCAAGCAGAAGCAGGCTCTTATAGTTTTGTTAACAGAAAGGATTTTCAAAACATTCCTGGTCAAAGGAATTTTTATATGCAAAGGGAGGGAAACCACCAGGGCATGCCATCCCAGTCATACGGATATGCAAATCAAGGATTCAATCCTGAATTCAGTCGCTTCGATTATGGAGGAGGAAATCCCAATGTAAGGCACAAAGACGAAGCTCTTTCTAAATCTACCATTGATATGAATTTTGGTGAAATACAGCAAAGTAAGCTTCCCGGAGGTGGTGTGTTTAATGGAAGAGGATTTACTCATTTACAGTATCCACAACAGTTTGGCCGTGTGTCCTCTCCGACATATCAAAATCCGGGAAATATGAATGCATTCCCGTTCTCAGGAAAACCTGTATATGGAAACCAAGGGACCTTTGGTCCCTCAAATCATTCAATTCCAAGCCATAAGCATCCTTCTAGAATGATAAATGGCCAGGGATACCACTTACCTTCTACTTCTGATACTATTGGTGGATTTTCTCACCAGAACCCCCCTGGTAGGCCTGTAAATATGTTTTCAATTCCACCTCAAAACAGAAATAGCCCTAGTGCTGAGTGGATGATAAACTCACCAACGTTTGACAGACATTATCCAAACTCTGGGCAAGGGGCAGTAAAACCTCCACCAATATTTTTTAACCAACAAGTTCAGCATCAACCTTATTTTCATGGTGCACGAAACCCTGGACATCTAGGCCCCGGAATAGACAGGAAAGAAGTCTTTTCTGTACCAGAGAATCCTAATCAGTGGATGTTTAACTCGCCGGGCGAAAATCCCCGGATTCCATATGATGAGTTTTTGCGTAGAAATAAGGACCCAAAGAAAAACACAGAATACCTTTCCTCATCTAAAAAAGAAGAAGGCAACTTCTCAGTAGATGCTGGAGGATATAAGCCCAATTCTCCTTCTTCATGGTCCCCTGGTGGATTTAGAAATTTCTTTCCGGAAGACTCTCTACCATGTTCATCAGACCCTCCCAGGCTACAAAAAAGAGCAGACAACTCTCTATGGTTCAAAGAGGATACACGCTACAATATAAATTCTGAGCCAATTCCATCTGATAACTCTACTGAAAAGGTTAGAGACAGCTATAGTATGCATGAAAAAGGAGAAGGCACTGAATACAACAACACAACATCAACTCAGCATCATCCTGGCCAGAAAGAGACACTTCAAGACAGAAGAGGCACTATAGACCAAGAACAGCCCTTCGTTTTTCCTGGTGAAGTTTGCAGCTTTTTCAGAGAACATGAGATGGAAAGAATTTATCTGGATTATCAGGAACTTTCAAATCTAAAGTCAAGGCTGAGTGAGGCTATTAATGTGATAGCTAAATCTCAGAAAATACATAATGCCTTTAAAGAAGCTTTCCCTGGCTCAGAGCTACTCCAAAAATATGAAGCAATCAAGAATCTCCTTGAAAAGCAAGAAGAGTATCTCAAGTACGATGCTTACTTCCTGAAACCACGAAGCGTAGATGGATTTATAGACCAAATCAAGTCTCTAACTGTCGATATGAGTCATGACTTGAAGCTGAACACAACAGATACTGGTGATGTAAACTATGGAGAATGTCTCATGAATGCAGTGAAAGCATTTTCAGAAAGGAAGAAAAAGGAAGAGGCTTTTGGCTTGAATGTAGTAGATAAGGATGCATATGAATGAGATTTTTTACTAAGTCTCAACAACTATAAAAACCGATATTGTATTATGGCTCTATTTATCAATCTCTGCAAGCACCTTGGAATATCCTATGACTTTTCCATTTACCACATTTACAGCTCTGATAGCAGAATCCTTTTTTCTATATACAACAATCCCCAGGCCTTCACTCTCCATCTCCACGTGACACGCCCCAAACTTGCTGAAAACGTCCCAAAGGAAAACCTCATCTATCTCCTGGCCTAAATTTCTAACCACAACTCTGGCCTGCTCTTCAACTTTACTGAGATATAGTCTTTTTCCATACAGTTTAACACCCTGAAGAACTTTACAAGTATACTCCAATTCTTGATGTGTTCTGTAACTCACAAAGCAATATCCCTTGTCTTGATTGTAATAAAGATGGTCAATCTTTGATACTTGTGTGAGTAATTCGTAGACTAATTGCTTTTTAGCCCTGGTTGGAATGTTAGTTATAAAAAGCTTGTGTTCTTCGTTAGCTATGTTTCTTTCCATCAGGGGAAACAGTATATGCAAGTAAAAAGCCCCTCTCAGCTATCTCTTACAAGTTCCATTGCATCCATTATGTTTCGATAGAATTCACCTTCGCTTATTTTGAGGTCATAAAACTCCATTCTCCTTATGAAATCCACTGCTGCTTGCACCGATGTCAAATAATAGCTCACCTCTCTCTCGTCATATATCCTATTAAGAAGGCATTCACAATCGACTTCAATGTTAAGCCCATGATTGCATCTCTCATTGCATTTTTCAGTGTGTTTCCTCCTGTAAAGAACCATGAACCTGGCCTCCAAGTACATGTTAGGGACCGATGACTTTATAATGCAATAGATAATGGATGGAAGAATCTTGTCCTGTCCCTCATTTCTCCCAATGGATTCATATAGCTTTTCTATGATATTCATTATACAAGATATCTTTTCCGTTGGTGTTTGGAGAAAAGAAAGACCCTTAAATCCTTCAGAAATATTCTCTAGCACATTCTTCTCTACATTCTCGATTTCTAGATGTTCTGGACCGATCCATCTGTACAAAAGAATTTTTTTGTTCACAAGATCATTGGTAGGGTCGTCTATGTCCATAAGTCTAAAGTTAAGCTTACCTCACTTACTGTTTAAAGCTGTTCACCATTATCATTCTTTCCACTAGGCCAATTCCCACCTCGCATCTAACGCCGTATTTTATAGAAATATATTCATAGAACGTTTGGAGGAGTGCAGGATTGTCCCTGACTAGCTTTATATCCCTAGTAAAACTGTCTATTGTTTTTCCAGCTGGAGTTAATGAAAGGGACAAAAGGGCTTTCGTGCAGGCCTTTCTGCATTTCATATCTATTGTTTATTCAAAACATTTCGCATTTTGAATATTTAGATATAAAATAATCCTAATGCCTGGAGACTCTCCGTGCAGCAGAAGTAAATTTTTTGCTCTCATCTAGGCCCTTAAAATGGAAGGTATTGAAAAGAGTATTGAAAAGAGAAATCCAGGCAGGCCATTTCCTAGAAAAGAGGAGAGTGAGTGGGTACCAAAGACGGCCGTTGGGAGGCTGGTGAAGATGTTTAAGATAACGTCTCTGGACCAAATATTTAAGTTTTCTCATGTGATTCGTGAGCCGGAGATAGTTGACATGCTATGCGGAAACTCGATAAAGGAGGAAGTATTGTCCATTAAGTCTGTTCAGAAGCAGACAAGGGCCGGACAGAAAACTAGGATAAAGGCTGTGGTTGTGGTCGGAGATGGAAATGGACATGTTGGTCTTGGGACTAAGGCATCGAAAGAAGCTGCATCTGCAATCCGAGGGGCTATAGCTAGAGCCAAGTGTGCAATTAGGCCTGTAAGGCTAGGACTTTGGGATGGAGACCAAGGAAAGCCTCACACTATTTCCTGCAAGGGATCTGGTAAATGCGGAACCTCCATTGTTCGAGTGATTCCTGCACCTAGGGGAACAGGGATTATATCCGGAAGTGTTAATAAGAAGATATTTGAGCTTGCAGGGATCAAGGATCTTTACACGATATCCTCTGGAGCCACCTCAACGACAGAAAATTTTGCCAAAGCTTCCATTGCAGCTCTTGAAGCAACGTCATCAATGATTCTTCCAGACCAATGGGAAGAGAAACCAAGAACACTGAATCCACTATTGGAGTTTGCCGATATCCTCAACCAGCTCGACAAAAGCCGTGTTTAAACAATAAAAGCGGATTTGCTTCTTACATAAGAATCTTTTTGATGATTAGTATCCCAGAATGTTTTGTTGTTAAACCCATTTTTAAGAAGTCCTTGAAATGAGTGATTCCAGCGAGGAGGAAATTATAAACATAAGTAGGAGGGGGCGTCAGACAGTAAAGAAACGTGTGCTTGAGGATCTTTTTGAGGAGGACGACAATGCCGCCTCTGAGGAAAGCATCTCTTCCATCGACTATGGAGACAGAGACTCTTTATTCTTTGAAATTTTTGGTACAGGAGAGGAGTATGGCTACGTTCTTGAAGACGAACGAGGAGAGTTGGATGAAGGGATTGCCGATGGTGATTTGGTAACGCCGAAAGATGAATCCATTGATCCAAACAAGGTATATGAATATGCAATGAATAGTATGCAAGTTAATTCTGAGTCGCTCAAGAAAGTTATTGAGCTATTAGGGAAGGGATACAGCATTCACTTTGTGCTGTTGCACAACTCTGTTGAAGATATTGGAATTGAAGAAGGATACAAGATTGTAGACATTTTTAATGAATACAGGGAATTTATGGGCCTGAAAAAGAAGATAAATGAAAAGTATGGAGATGACGAACTTCTTCAGAATATTGAAATCGTCCATGCTCTTAAGTGGTACTCTAGATATAAAAAGCACTTGCAAAAAGATCTTAAGCTTCCTCAGGAATTACTTTCTGTAGAAGACTTTTGTGAGAATATAAGAATGAAGAAGAGGATTCATGAACCTCAGGATTCTTCCTCTTTTTTAGGGTTTGATAATGAATCCGAACTGGTTCAAAGAATCTCTCTGCATCCTTTGTTCAGAAGTGCTCTATACATGATTTTTAAGAATCACGGGATAAGAAACGATAAAAATGAGCTTCAGGTCAGAGATGATATCATAAGGAAAAACCTAGTAGACTTCTATTTGAGCGATATTTCATATGACGATCCTTGGAATAGATGCCGAGAAAGGATAGTGCGCTCTTCAATAGAAAAAGTAAGTAAAGAGGTGATTATTCCTTTGGTTCTTGAGGAGATGAGGCTTGAAGAAACAAAAAAGAATGTTTTTACTGAAGTTGTTGACAGAATAGTAAATGGATCGATAGGAATCAAAAGAGAAGGGACACATGTGTGTGGTGTTACAAAAGAAAAGAAGTACCTCAAAGCAGTCATTGTGAATTTTGAAGGGGATCTGGTCGACTGTACAACTGTTAGGGAAGAAGAGGAGGACGAGCTTCTGAAGTTTATTGGGGAGTTTAACCCCTGTTGCACTGCAGTTAGCGGATTTACTACATCTATCAGATATTTGATGAAGACTCTTTCGCAGTGGAATCCTCTTTATGTCGAGAACAAAATCGGGCAAATGAAATCGGAGGGCACCTATTCGTTTTGCTACAACATAGCAAGGCTGATACAATGCCCTGAGATTGAGTACAGCGACATGCTAAATAAGAACATCATGTATATCCAAGAGGTTTTACCCAGAAATCTAATGGTCGAGACTATAAAAAGAGGAATTCTAACCGCAATATCGATAGTCGGAGTTGACGTGAATTACCTTCTTAACAATAAAAGAAAGGAAGGCCTACTGTCGCTCATCCCAATTAGTGATACTCTAAGGGATAGCCTATCTAATCTGAAATATGTAGCAAAGCTAGAAGATCTTCAGGATCTGTGTGAAAGTGAAGAAGAATACATCAATCTTACAACATATCTCAGGATATACCCTGAAGTGCTTCCCAGAGGTTCTAGGAATGAAGTGCTGGATTCTACGCCGGTCCATCCAAAGAATTACGGCATTGCGAGGAGGCTGTGTACAGATTTGTGCAATGAAGAATCTGTCGGTGGAAAGGCCGTTGACTCAGTAAAGAAGGCATTAAGTAACGATAAAGAGATCCTGAGGATTTCTGATTCTAATATCCAGAAACTCGAAGACCCTATGGCTATCAACGTTTATAAGACTTTGCTGGATAGCGATAGATCGATATATTCTGGCCTCCCTGACCATCTTATCTTCGAAGAACTAACAGGATCTGGGCCAGACATGATTGGAAAGATAATAGAAGGGAGGATTTCGAAGTGTGGACCCACGTACTATCTCCTGAGTTCTGATTCCACCTCTGCAGCCATATACATAAAAAAGCACAGGGATCAAGAAGAGCTTTTCTTAAATCAACTGGTAACTGTAAAGATCCAGTACATGAATGACTTCTTATTATCATACACAGCAAACATTGTTACTTCAGAAAAGAAACCTCATCACTCCCGCTTTATGACACATCCCTTGTTTAAGGATTTTAACAGCGAGGAATCTGAAAGATATCTCAGAGATAATTCTTCTTCCATACTTCTAAGAAGAAGTAGGAGAGATGGATCCCCTGTGGTGGTTCTAAAGGTATCTGATGACATATATGTCCACATAAAGATACAGGAGGCAGAAAAGTATTACTACAAGGAAGATTCATATGATGACCTAGACGAATTCATATCTAGAACAGCCAAAAAAATGCTTACAAACTTTAAGAGTATAAAAAGTCATAAGTATTACTTTGAAGATGAAGAAAAACTCCTGGAGTACCTTAACCAAGGGGGAAGCTATATAAGATATGGCTTTTGTTTCAGCAAAAAGTATCCGGGAAAACTCTGCATGATGTATCGTGATGGATATAATCGCAAAGAGTATATCACTGTGGAAGATTATCTTGTGTACGAAGGTAAGAATTTTGCAAGTCTCGATGAGTTTGTAAGGTACAAAAAGTCTTTATAAGGAGCGTCGGAGATAATAAGAAGGAAACTGTTGTGATAAATGGATCCAAGTCGATGGAAAATTTTAGGTGTTACTATCCAAATATTTAATCACTGGCTATTTTAGTTCGGAGGCCTGAATGTCTGCACCCCTTATCATACATGCCTTGTTTTTGTCTGCTTCTAATGACTTCCTCATGTCAAGGGCATTTTCTCCATTACCCTCGATATAGTAATTGAACACCTTTCTATAAACAACATATCCTAGCTTTTTGTAGAATTCAATTGCTGCTATGTTTCCTTCCCTAACATACAAGTCAGCAAAATGTGCATTATAAATATCCCCGTTTTTCTCCATAATTCCCATGCAAAGCTTTCCAAAACGATTCCTCCTATAAGAAGGTGCAACTGAGACGGCAGAGATGTGTGCATTTATGAATTCACCATTTTCCTCCAATTTTCCTATCATATATGCACACACATTCCTCTTGTAAGTAAAGGATGTCTTATATTCTGGCTCAGAGGGAATAACAATGCAATCTTCTGCATGGTTAACTAGATAGTAAAGATAATAGCTCAATGGAAAGCTTTCTGACTTTTCATCTAGGTTTATCCAGTCTAACGAGAAGACGTCACTAGGAAGCATAGGCTCGACTTTATACATTTCAAATGGGCTATTTTTCTTGTTTCAAATATTTCAAGGATGGATCTCAAATAGTGCTGATCACCTCAAGCATCTTCTCAACATCTATGCCAGTTTTCAGCTGCACATTTTTGACTTGCTGCTCACTAAGATTAACGAATTCTCTAATATATTCAGAGCTAATGAATCTGTTTCTTCTGAAAGGTTGAAAAAAAGGCTTATTCAAGGCTTCCGATATCTTTTGCCCAATCTGCTCAAGGAACTCAAACAACTCCTCGTCAATCTTTATGATTTCAATAACCTTCCCACTTGTGCATATTCCAAAAACCTTATCTTGAGAAACAAATTGGATAGGCATATCATTGATAAAAATTGTTGCTACAGAAACTAGAGAGTCATCCTTTATCTTCATTATAACTACATTTCCCACCCGCTCGCCTACCACCAGACATCCATCATCCATACTTTCTAAAGCCATCACGTGCCTTGGAATCCGTTCTCTACAGACAATTCTTCTATCTTTCACCACAAACACAGAGTTCTTTTCTGTTCCAACAAATAGCCTATCTTCTCCAGTGCACATCTTGGTTATTCTTGATGGAAGTGCCACTTTGAACTTTTTGAGAAGTGTTTTCACACCAATCTCATAACAATATAGGTTGTTCTCGATGCTACAATAGACCTCCTTTCCATTAACTGTAATTACCTCAATCTTTCCGAATATTTCAAAATCGTAGAGAAGACCTCCATTCTTGTATACTTTCAAGAAATACTTGCTCTTGGCACCTTCTTTGTCATAAATTCTAGCATATGCAGAGACAATCTGATATTCCGAAGAAGAAAACTCTATAGCATTCCCACAGCCCTCAACCACCAAAGACCCATCAAACCTTTTTATCTTAAAGCCATCAGAATTGTTATCGATATATACAGCCTCTCTACCTATGATCTTGTACTCTCCCTTCCCACTCATTACATCGGTTGCAAACACTCTGTGTTTTTTATATCCATAAATTTTTAGTCCACATCCATCGGCAATCACCACCTTATCTCCCAGAAAAACACTCTTCCACCCATCAATATCCAGAATTCTCTCGCGCCCCAAATCTACAACTTTCTCTTCGAAAATTACAACACCTTCCTTTTTTCCAATAGGTTGGCCATATTCTCTTACTCTTATGGGAAGTGAGAGCGATCCATCTTCATTGATCTTAAATCTATGTATTTCAGTTCCAATTGTGTAGAGGAACCCATTAAACAAAGACAAAAACATTACATCAAAACGGAACGATTGGATAAATACGAATCTTCTGTCTTCTATTCCATATACCCTAAGGACCCTCTTTCCTGTCAGTATAAACAAATACCTCTCGCTCGTCTCCATTTCCTTAACTACAAACCCTATTTCAATATCTTCTGAGCTTGAGGAATCAAGTCTGGTTATTCTGTTCCTATATCCAACAAACACATGCTGGCTATTTCCTGAAAACACATCATAGTCAATTCTATGCTCCTTAATAGCAACCACACTTCCGTTTTCATTGTTACAAATCATTACCAACCCTGCCATCATATAGAAATCATCCTTCCCAACCCTAAAATACCCGATTATCTCGTCTTTGGCTGTAAATCTATATAGATTCGCCATCTTTTCTCCTTCCAAGAGAAAGCAGTGTACTTCATCGTCATATTGTATACACATAGACTTTCTACAGCTAAATGTACCTCTTACTTCCTTTTCTTTGCCTTCTTCAAAAAGCCTCACTTCATTTAATAAGTGAAAGGGTTCCTTTTCGGCAATCTCTCCAATGTAATGCCCGTCTGAAACATATACATGATGCAGCCCATCGAACGTTATTGCTGACGTGGACAATCCTTTGATCGTTTCAATCGCATCAACTAGCTCGAGGCTCCATACCTCTCCTTCTTTCATTATAAAGTATACACAGTTGTCTGAATTATAGCCCACAGATACTAAAAAGCCCGAAGAATGCATTTCTATATCCTTAGAGGGATTTATCCTCCCAATATACTCTAGCTTCAACATTTCAGTGCACTTAAGGCTAAAAAGCTCTCCTTCTTCATTTGCTATTAGCATCAGCGAGCAACCCTTATCACAATGAGATGTATAGCACGTAAATAGTTTAACTTCAGATATGTCTTTGCATTCATGCCCTGCGTCTGCCTTAATGAGAGTTAGGTCTCCAGATAATCCTTGAGAGATCTTATAAACCTCAATCTCATCACCATCTTTGAAAAAAAACACCCTGTCTGGAGAAAATACAGCAAAGCTATCTTTCAAGGGGACGGCAATGTATCCTCCAGGAACATTTATCTCTCTCAACATCTTTATCATCTCAGGTTTGTGCTCATAAATTCTTGCAAACACCCCATTTAAATTCCTCACCAACAAAAGATAACGTTTTGTTCCTTCTATCGCCTTAAGATCCAAAATGGTATTTTCGTCTGCAAAGTGTTCAATAGGAGATTCCAACCTGTCTTCAAAAGAGTAAAAGACCATACTTCCAAAAAAGGATGCAAGACATATGCTATTCCTCCCATGTGCAATGTATGCTCCCACCTGTCTATAATCTATAGAACATCTGCCAAATCTGTGTCGGATCCTTTCATTAAGATCCTTATCTAGAAACACAAGATATCCGTTGAAAACAATGAGAATTTGATCACCAACAACAGCTGCAGACTTTATCACATCGAAAAACTCTATCTTCTTGGCATATATAAGCCTTCTACAGTTAATGTTATAAATGGTTACTGATGAGGTTTGCACGAAGCATACACTCGATAAAATGCACAATACCTTCGTATATAAATCTGTGTTTATAACAGCTCTGCTCAAGTAAAACATTCAATCCAGGGGAGCTTCGTAATACATAATAACATAGGTAAGCATTTAATCAAAGAAACATATTTCACTTTTTCTCGAAAATTCAATGTCAACCTTGTGCCCAACAAGTTCCCGAATGTTTTTCAAGCCATACTTTATCATGGCAGGCCTTTCCAAAGATAACCCCCAAGCAATAACACTTACATCAGAATCAAATCCCATAGGACCCAGCATTTCTGGTCGGAATACCCCTGAATTTCCAACTTCCATCCACCGATTCATTCCCTTGTGGTACCCAAACACTTCCATCGAGGGCTCTGTATATGGATTATATGCTGGCTTAAATCTGATATCACGCATCCCTAACCTATTGAAAAACTCTTGAAGGATTCCCATGAGGTGCGTTATGTTTAGACCCTTTCCAGCTATCAATCCTTCCACTTGATGGAATTCAGCCAGATGAGTTGCATCAATACTCTCATTTCTGAAAACCTTATCAATCGAGAAGAGCTTCACCGGCCTAAACCCCTCGCTTGCAAGTTTGTATAGATTTCGGGTGCTTACAGACGTCGTGTGCGTCCTTAGTATGTTTTTCTGTGCCTCCCTAACATCCCAGCTGTTCATGTATCCTAAAGACCCATACTTTCCCCCGCAATGGGTTTCGCTAACTTTGTTAAGATAATCTTTCGGGAAGTCTGAGCTAAGCTCTGGATTCAAAAGAAAGAATGTATCGTGCGCATCTCTAGATGGATGGTTTTGAGGTTGAAACAATGCATCGAAGTTCCAAAAAGACGATTCTACATACTGGTTCGTCGACATCTCGCTGAAACCTAGCTCAATGAATATCCTTTTAAAATCCTCTCTTATTTTCATAAGAGGGTGTATCGATCCACCTTGGGGAGTATTCCCTTTTGTGTTGAAGTTGTAGTGCTTGAAGGTCAGACCTTTGTAAGTCCCATCAAGAATCATTTCAGATGTCAGCTCAGTAGCATAGGAGGCACTGTCAAAGAACATAGGCCCCTTGGTTGCGACAAATACGACATTTTTCTTCCTAATCACTAGTTTTCTTTTTCTCAGTATCTCTATCTCCTCTTCAGTTGCATCTCCTCTTTTCATACTGATAACCATATTTCGGATCATGTCTTCGACTTCCTCTATGTTTCTGAAAACTTTGTCACCCCTCTTTTTTATCCATTTGTTCTTAAATGCATTCATCTTTCCCAGCTCATACTTTCCCAGCTCATCAATGCTCATCCCATCCTTTCCTATGGACTTAAACAACAGATACTCCTGGCTACCGTTTTTTTCAATCTCCTCTCCCTCGGGAGTTAGAATTTCCTCATATGACTCTTCCTTTCTCACATTACATATTCCCTTGCTCTCAAGGCTTATCAATGCACCGTGTGTCTCCGAATATGGTGCATCAATTTCCGTAGATCTTACTTCATCCCTTACTTTCAAAGTCTCTACTATCTTTTGTGCCACAGACATTGACTAGGGCCCTAAATGTAAGATGAAATTTATTCTAAATGGAGAATAGCATTACTAAACTTCTTTGTTATTCTTTCAGATTCCTCTTGTCCTTCAAGACCTCGCTATGCCCTCTATTTGGAATCTCCACACTGAGTCTTTTGAGGCTATCTAGCACATTCTCTATGGCTGCAATATTTTTCTCAAGCTCTCCAGAAATCTTTTTATGCATTCTAAACCCAAAGTATTCCTTCTTTATTCTGTCTTTGAGCAGATCTTCCTCGGTTTTCTTCATGGTCGATATCTTTCTCTTAAGTTCTGTATTTTCTTTAGCTAGGTCCTTATTCTTTTTCTCCATGAGATTCAATGCAGCATAGCATATTTTTTAGCCCCAGACAAGCATAAGCATAAAATGTTCAACGTGGAGGATCACTACGGTGCACACATGAGAAAAGAAACCATCAGGGCACTTTCCCAACCATTTTCACTAACAAATAAAAGCGCTAAAACTTCGAAAAAGTCGCAAAAGAATAGGGCAATACCTAAGGTCGAAAGGGAAAAAATAAAGTACAGAGATTTTGTTGAGATAGGTAAGATGTTCACAGACTATCTGACAGCACTGAAAGGATCGATGAATCCATCCGCCTTTGTGAACAAGATATACATGTGTGAACTAACTGGTGCAGAAATTAAAATCGTAGGAGGAAGTACTGGCATCATAATTGAAGAACGAGCCAATTCCATAATTGTTGTTTTAGAGGACGATTCGGTGAAGACCTATTTGAAGAAAACGACTGATTTCATAGTCATCCACGACGGAATAGAATACATATTTATTGGATCTGGAATGAAGCCCAACAGGTTTATAAAAAAATAATGGGATCTGGCCTAAAGTTGATGAAAGCTGGGAATAAAGAAGAAAAAATCAAAAGAATTCAAGACAGGAGAAGTGGGAAGTCTGAAGAGGAGATAGAGAGAATCAGAAGCCACAGATCCGCCAGAATAAAACTGTACATGCAGAGAACTAGGAGGAACCAACCAGTTACAAGAAACAGGATTAGTTTATTGTTGAAGCGGATAGAAGAATTTCAGGGGCGCAATTTCAATTGAATACGCCTTGTAATAAGCAAATGTCTTTATAAGTCCACATGGTAGGGAACAATTTATTCAAGAATAAAGTCCGGCAGATATTACTTTTTGTTTTGAAAAGAACACTTTTTCCCTGGCAGAAATGAAATCCTTCATGGTGACTGTTTTTCTTCTTTCTCTCAATGCTATCATTCCAGCTTCCGTGCAGATCGCCTTTATGTCCGCTCCACTTAGATCTTCCTTACTTGTTATCAATGATTCAATATTCACACTCTCATCTAGAGTCATCTTTGACGTATGGATATCGAATATCTTCTTCTTCGTAGCAGCATCTGGCATCCCGAACTCGATTTTCCTGTCAATTCTCCCCGGCCTGATCAAAGCAGGGTCAAGGGCCTCTATCTTGTTAGTAGCCATTATTACCTTAATGTCATTCCTGGTGTCAAATCCATCGAGTTGATTTAGTAGTTCCAGCATTGTTCTTTGAACCTCTCTCCTCCCTCCAGAAGATGTGTTGTATCTCCTTCCTCCAATTGCATCTATCTCATCAATAAAGATTATTGATGGAGCATGCATATCCGCAACTCTGAAGAGCTCCCTCACAAGCTTGGGTCCCTCTCCAAGATACTCTTGAATTAGCTCTGTACCAACAACCCTAAGGAAGGTTGCAGACGTTTGGTTTGCAACGGCCTTAGCCAGGAGGGTCTTTCCGGTTCCCGGAAGTCCATACAGAATCACTCCCTTCGGAGGCTTTATTCCCATTTCTTGGTAGAGCTCTGGATTCGTCAGCGGAAGCTCGACACTTTCTTTGATCTCCTGTATCTGGTCCTCAAGCCCGCCAATGTCGGCATATGTCTCTGAAGGTGCTTTTTCTAACTTCATTACATTGACCATTGGGTCCATTTCTCCCTCCAAAACACCCACGACGCTATTATCCTTGTAATTTAAAAGAACAGTGCATCCAGGCTCAAGCAAGTCCTTATCGACAAAAGACATGATATTAACATAGTACTCCAGGCCAACGCCAGTGGTAATTATTGCATGATGGTCATCGATAAATTCTTCAAGAGTTCCAACAGAGAGGGGGCTTCCACGAAGTTGCTCTACAACATGTTTTTGGCTGTTTGATCCCTCAGAGGATTTGTCTGGCTCGCACAAGCTTAATATGTTGTCTTCCAAAGACAACAAATGTGCCAGCTTTCTTAGCTTCAAACACCTTAGCTTACATTTCATCTGTGGATAGACTTGGGGTGGCTTGGAGGCAGTTTTGCTCTCCTTTACTCTCTTGCGTCTCTTCAGGTTTATTGTAGTTGTGTCCTGAAGATTCTCCTGCTCTGGCTTGTCTCCACTCATCTAAGGGCTTGTGTTGTGTCAAAATAGAATTCATAAAACCCCAAATGATCCCGGAGAACATTTTGGATAGTATAGCATCAAGATTCCTTGTAGGCTTGGGAGACCAGGAGAGGAACGCCGTAGAGCGTCTGTTCTTTGCGGTGGAAGAAGCGCATTGGTTTCTAATAGATAATTACAAGATCTCCGACATTTCTTTTGCAGACTTCAGCAGGGAGCTTTTGGATCATATCGGTATAAGGGTAAATATTGAAGAGGCACTCCGAAGCTTTGTTAAGTACAGGCAGTCTGTAAAGGTTTATGGAGCGATTCTTGTGGACTCAAATATTTCCTATGTATTGGCTGTCAAGGAGAAAAAGAAAACAAAGAACTACTCTTTTCCAAAAGGAAAGAAGTGCATGGACGAGGACGGTACAAGCTGTGCCATAAGAGAAGTCTACGAGGAAACTGGATACGATGTACAGAACAAGATATGCAATCTCCCAATAACAATATTCGATAAAATTACATTATATTTTGTATTCAATGTCAAACAGAACTTTCCATTTGAAGCACAAACTAGAAAGGAAATTGAGGAAATCAAATGGCTGTCAACAAAGAAGCTATCGAAAGGAGAGTACAGAAGAGGATATTCGATCGTTTCTGCCGCATTTAAGAAGGCTTCCTACTTGCTAGAGGCTATGAGAAAATCCAAATTTAAGTTCAATACAAAGAAAATAGTTCAGAGGATTGATAGACTACTTGGACAGAACAGGGCGAAGGATAGTGCACTGTAAATCTAGAAATAGAACTGATAGAGATTTAATCTTTAGGCCCTATTATGACTTCAAAGAGAGACTTTATAAAAAAAACCTAAGAAGAAAGAACATGATAACAAGTAAAACAATTCCTCCCATGAAAAGTACTCTGTCTGATAAATACCTTTTGTCAATCTGGTCAATAAGCTGCTTGCTGAGGCCTATGCGGCTCAATCCAGCCCTTATTCTTTCACTCGTTCTGTTTATATATACATTCTGCCTTTTGACCGTTTCAAATGCATCCATGGCATTCATCAGCACATCGTTTATCCTCTTCGTACTGGAGGAAAAGAAGTCATCATCGCTAATAGGCTGTGGTATGCTTGTATTCTCCATGTACTCCTTTTCTGTGCTTGCTTTAGACTTAGCCATCTCCTCCCTTATTGCATTTCTCCTCTTCGACCTCCGGCTGCCAAGCCTCGAGATAGACTTATTAAACAAATCAGCTTGCTTAGACAGCATTTCGGTCTCAGGATCTTCGGGGTCTAGACAGGATACAGACCTTGAAAATGACTGTATGCGGATAGCTAACGCACCAATGTTCTCTAAGGTTTCTTCACAAACCTCTAGATCCCTTCTGATAGCCTTCTCTTCCTCTATTAGACTTTGAATATCTTTCTCAGCCATTGGGTTGAGGGGCTTCTATAAAGAGATATATTTTTCACCTCCCTTTGCTGTCACCATCTATAGTTATATTAGAGATAGGCCGAGGCCTCATTCTATAGGTCACGGAATTTCCTTCTTTGCTTGCTGTATATCTCATTTCTTCCACAAGATCCAAATAAAGCTCATGAAACCTTTCTATGGTATTACAAGAGTCAACAGCAGGCCGCTTGCCTGGGTTTACGAGGAAATAGTTATACAACAATTTGAATATGTGAGATTTTACATGCCCTACATCTGCACTTCCTGGAAATTTCATGCATATATCTAAATATTCTCCAATTATTTCCAGGCAAGGCTTATTCTCTCCTGTGAATATAAGAGGGTTGTAAAGATGGGACTCCCCGACCATTACTCCATCGCACTTCGTGTACTCCAAGCACCTCCAGATGTCGTCATGGACCATTATATTTCCATTTGAAAGAACAGGAATGGTTAAGGCTTCTTTGACTGCCCTGATGTGATCCCAGCTTGCAAGCCCCATTGATTCTCCTTTTTGATCTCTTGTTCTACCGTGGACAGCTAAAAAAGAACAACCTGCTCTTTCTATCATCTTTGCATATTCTACGGTTTTCTCTATCGACTTAAAAACTCTTATCTTGCAGAATACAGGAACGCTAAGATTAGTAGATAGCACCTTCACTATTTTTTCCGTCAAACCCCAGTTTTCTTGTAGATATGCCCCATAATTTCCCTTTCTAGCTACCCTTTGTGGGCATCCAAAGTTGATGTCAATTGCATCACAATGATCCTGCATTATCAAGGCTGCCTCCAGCATGACCTCAGGGGAGTTTCCGCATATCTGGATTACTAGAGGTCTATCTTCTGGGGATGTTGTATACCATTGATTTCTCACAGGGTTTCTGGATCCACGTAAAAACGATTCACAGTGTACCATTTCTGTATAAAATATATTTGCTCCATATCTTTTCGACAGTCTACGCCAGGCCTCTTCAGAGTTTCCAACCATAGGTGCAACTGCAAAATATGGCCTCGATATCTCTTCCCAAAACTTCTTCATCAGGATAAAATTGACGGTTATTTTAATACAAGCGTCCAGAATGGCCAAGATTTTTATTTCTTAGAGGGCCTTTTGCCTAAGCTTTAGGGCCTGGTACTCCTTCATTGCTACCAGTCCAAATCCCGCAACACCAATACCTACAACAATGTAAACTAGAATGTTGGAGCTACGACTGTAATCTTTCTTGAGAGAATTCACTACATGATCTAAATCTGCAAACGACTTCTGGATTCTTTGAAGCTTTATGTCGATTCCATTCATCTTTTCATTCAAACTCATGAACTTCATCTCTGAACCTCCGTTGTTTTTTGCTGACGAAACTATGTCTTCAATGCTCTTCATACGTGTCTTGAGCTGCTCAGAAAGGACATACACAACCTTATCAAACGATGATTTGTGTGGCTCTCCGACAACTAGATGGAGATACTCGTTCAGATATTCTATCTTTGAAATAAGATGCCTTATTTCTTCGTCTTCATGCAAAATTCCGTCTGGAGATCTTGGTGTTTTATCCACTGGTGGTGCATGGACACTGTGGACTTCATACTCGCTTGTCTCTGTTCTTTGGAATAGTTGTGCCTCCTTAAGTTTGTAGACACTGTCCGAAGGTGCTTTATCATAGAACGACGTAATGTTGAAGTACTTCCCGGATCCTATGCCTGCTAATGTTCCCTTACGATAGTACCTAAAACTGTCATAGAGGAGCCTATCGCCGTCATATAGCTCGACCTTGAAGTTCTTCTCGGTAGATATTACCTTAACTGTGATGTCCTTTACTCCCTTGAGGCGTTCTGGATTTATTGTATCCCTATATAGTGTCATTTCCTCAGATCCAACAAGATTGGTTTTTCCATCGTTTATCGCCATAACTATCTCTGGTTGCGACCCTCTAAACTCAAGCCCTGCCATGATCCCCTCAAACATGTCGTGGCCTCCCCTATAAAGGCCCTGATCCTGGATATCAGAGGTATACCATAGATATACACCGCCTATGTGGGGGAATCGAAGTTTTGCATTGGTAAAGGTATAGGAAAAGCTCCATTCGTCATAGGGATTTGGCTCCAAAAATACGACAAGCCCTCCCTCGTCAGTGTGCCTTCGAAGAGACAACCCATCTGCCTCAACATGTGTTCCCTTTACACCGACCTTCTCGTTACTTCCTCCAGGGTGATATGCTATCTCGGCATTGGCCTTTTCTATTACCCCTTTTTTATGACTAGAAGAGACATCTATGGCTTCTGATGAAAAAACATAGCTAAAAAGAAGAGGTAATATGTATCTCATATTATATAAATAAATACTCATGAGCTTTTATAGATAATCTAAAACAATGTTTTACTTTATTTACATACTCTGATCTTAGAGTGTGAACCAGAAAAGTGCAGTACAGATACAAAAAACTAGAACTGAAGATCTGGGCATTTTACTAGATACTCCTCTATCTTCTTTCCAATGCTTCATTTCTGGTCTGAGTTCTTTACACATGAAACAAAATAAAACTATAGAAAAAATAGAGTAAACAAAAGTTATATGCTTGGCATTCAGCTGTCTGTCATATTCCTTTTTTTGGGTATATACGTAACTGCCCAGATCGTAAAGCTACAAGCTAACGAAGGTAACACTGCGAAGGAGATGCTCTGCAACTGCAGAATTGATGATCAAAGGTGTAAAGACTCCTGTCTAAAGGCATATGTGCCTGGAAACAGAATCTCTAGAGCTATAGGGACTCTGGAAACGAAAAAGCCGTCTGTGGTGACCATCAGAAAGATTTTACAACAAGAAGAAAGGCCTTTTATTAGGTTCATAGAAAAGAACATTGAAAGAAATAGCAATGCCCAAACTCTTAGAAATGACGATATCACAGCAAGAAAGCCGTCAATAAGGATTTCTGATTCTGACAGCAATACCATTTTTTATAACGGATCTTCGTATAAAATTTGTGACCTGTACAGTCAAGCTAATAGGATTCGTGGAGCAAAAGAGCAACCGAGTATAAACGATGATATGAAAATTCTTTATGAATATGTTCTCAACAATCCTAGAATAGAAGGAATCTGCACAAAAAGCCCAGTTGAATATTCCACTCCGCACGTGGATGCTATGGACAATACCTCTTTTTTCTCAAGTGCTCCATCAAGAATACCTATCGACCATTCGGAACCTATAATTCTAGAGAGAAACAACATGATACCGATATTCATTAAGGAAACCTTCGAGCCCGCTTCTGAGGAAGGGCTTAATGCATCTAAAAGGGACTCCATAGGCTCTGTTTCTATAATCACTCTGAAAACAACTAGCATAACAACTACTACAACCACAGCCAAGGTTGAGAAGCAAGAGCATAACGAGCCAGTAAGGAAAACAGAAACACAAACCATATTGACAACTAGAACTGTTACAAGGCAAAAAGGGTCTCCTCGCAAAAGATCTGACGATACTGTGAAGACTATTCTAAAAACCGTGTTTGTAGGAAACTCTGATAGTAACAGAAATAGTGCAAACTTTGAGGACCAAGAGCCTGATATCACATCATCAGTGCAGAGCAGAAGTTCTAGAAAACCCATGGCTGACGGGATGGCCAACACTTTGATAGACATTCAGATTCTTGAAAAAATTAAGAGTCTCCTTAATATACCGGCACAGAACAGTACAAGAAGTGCAAGCTCAATGTCCAGTGAGACATCACAAAGCTCTAGAGTGTCCGCTGCGCTACGAACAATAACAACTACTGTTGAGAGGATTCGCACAACTTCTACGTGTAAATCCTCGTCAGCAATGCTTCCCACAAAAGAGACAAACAATTCGTATTACGATGAACACACCAGAGAACTCATAAGAAGCATTTTTGACATGCTAAAAAATAGTACCACTATTTCTGAGAGCAGAAGGGCACTTCCTGGCAATAGCACTGTGATCAAGGAGATTACAACCACGGTCACAAAAATAGCCTCAAGGACCAAAGGCCATACATCTGCTGTTTCTATTATCCATCCTTTAGAGATAAAAAGCCCCTACCTTCCTACGCCATTGGATCCTAAATCTAAAGAGGGGTTAGAGCCATCTTATGAAAGCTATGAAAAGAAACTGGACAATATATATCAGAAAATTGTGGCAAACGAAGAACGATATAAGAATCTTATCGAAATTTTGATGTCTACCAGAAGAAAAGAAAGAGACGAGGATAGTGCTCTTGAATCATTGAAGAAAATATATGAACTGTATAGAGACGGGGCTATTTATGAAAAGAGTATCGCATCCCGCTTGAAGGAAGAGAGGCGATCTAAGTCAAGACTCATGCCCTACAGCATAGAATCAAGCTTAGACGGTAGATGGAAGGATAGAACACACGACGTTGCTGATGCCAACAAGACTAAAACTCGAAGCAGAGAAGACATTATAGAAGAGGTTTCATCATTGGCCTATAAGGGAGATGGGCTATGGAAAGGTTTAGAAGACGATAATACAAACAACAGTGAATCTTACGAAGCCATGTCTCCAGTTCTAGGGGACTTTGAATCTTCAAATGACAGAGAGCCTGAGCAGCATTCCCTTTCCCCTATAGTTTCATTCCTTAAAGAGCCCACAGGTAGGAAAGAGCTTGACCTGGAAAGGCAGCTTAGAAAGGAGAGAAGATTTAAAGACTTGCAGCACCCAACTGTTGCAAGCTTCCTTGACACAAAAAATGATATGAGTGGGGCACATTCTGAAACTGCGGACGGTGGAAAGGGCACAAGACACAGAACCATAACAGATGTTGTTAGAACTACGGTAATAAGGGACTTTGATAGTAGCATGCATCTTAGTGCTGTAAGCTCTATTGTTGAAGAGCGTGTGAAGAATATCGAGAGAAAGTTGAATGAATTCACTGATAAAGTTGTTCAGATAGGAGGTAAGTTATTGAAGCTTAGAGATATACAGGATCAAAGAATTGTCTTAAAAGAAAGTACCTCCAACTCTGAGTCCATATCTCCTACTATATCGAGGTCGTCTATTCACGATGGAAGCAGCACACCTGCTAAGACAATGGCAAACAGCACCGAATCTCTTTTCTCAACAGCAAGCATAAATGCCTCTATTTCACAAAGGCCATCTTCGTCATTAGACGCACAAGAGAAGTCCTCTACATCATACTCTAACCTATCGACCTCTTCGGTATATCCACGAACAATGAGCCCTGAAGAAAGCAAAGAACAGAGTATTGATAAGATTGTGGATAAGTTAAAGGAAAAAAAGATCCCAGATGAAAGTCTATTAGTCTCAGAAGACACGGTTATAGACGATATTGTTGAAAAGCTGGCGCCACTAGTAAATGATATAGAGGTCTCATCCCTCAGCACTGTTACTAGAACCCAAAAGGAGATGTCGCCACAATCTGTAGTTTAAAGAGGACGTATACCTTGAGTACACTCCGGTTTATTGGAACTAATAAATAGCCTTGATATTATAAATGGAGTCCATCCCCATGGAGAACATCTTAAGGAGAGAAGTTAAGGAGGCTGAGAGGCACACATCGTCCATTAAGGATATTCTTGCAAGATGCCCGGACATTACAGGCTTTATTGGGCTGTATCTCAGAAGAAACCCGACGAAAAAGCATCCGGAGTTTCTAGATTTCTACGATGATCTAGACATATCGTCGCAAGTACTTCTCTACGAAAAGAAGAAAAAGATGATTAAAAACGACAAATTCGAGGAAGAATGTCTAATGAGTTACTGCATTGAACAGCGCTCCGAAATATCTTATGACATCATAAAAGCGATGAGTAGCAGCAAGATTCTATTCAAAACATTGTCGACAGTTTTTTTGTCTGTCAGCATTGGCGAGGAAGACGACTTTTTTTTCACAAAATGCATCGTGTTGGCATTGAGAACCCATGACATAGATTCTGACGAGGTGAAAGTCCTCATGTCCGGAATTGCGCATCATTTCAGTGATGGGCGCAGAAAATACTATGAACATGGAGCTATTGTTGCAAGTGTCTTGCTAAATACAAACGAATTTGATATAGAATCTATGAACGAAGCACAGAGAATGATTGAAGACATACCGGAGCATGTGTTGAAAAAAGACACAAAAAAGAACTTTGAGAATCCAAACGATGTTTTTAAGTGTTATAGAAAAGTGGAAAACGATCTCGGGATACTTGAAACTAGCTGGAGGCCGAAGTATTTTCAAGAAGCCGTTAAACTCATTGAAGATGAGAGGGAGACTGAGAAGATTGAGGCTTGCTTCAGATGGTTTCCTAACTTGGTCGAAAATGCGACCGAAAGAATGCTTAAACATAAAAGTAAAGAAGCATTTAAAGTTCTAATGAATTACGACGGACGTGAAGAGCACAAAGTTGATGCTGTTTCTTCTCTTATTCAGAGGTCTTATAAGTTCCTCATTGACGATGTCATGAACGACTTCTTTGATGGAAGTCTTTGTTTAAGACAGAAAATCATCTTAGCTTTTTCTTTTAGGAAGATTATTAGGGAAGGGCCTTTAGAACAGGCAGTTCCTCTCTACAGGGGCATTAAGTTCATGGCAAGGAGGATTCAGCACGAGATCCCAAAGGTTATGGGAAGAGCTCTTGAATGTCTTTTAATAGAGGGGGTGGAAAGGATCCAAGAGGGAAAGAACGGAAGTGAAAGCCTCATGAATAATTGATTTTTGTGATATCTACTTACCCCTAGAAATGTATGATGAGATTAAGTTGAAGGTAGAGTTTGAAGGAAAGAACCTAGAGGTTAAACAAGGGGAAACGCCATATGACATTCTCTGTAACCATTGCAAAGACAGAAAGGACGTCATATCCTGTAAAATAGACGGGGTTTACTCTGACATGTCAACAGAGATACTAAAGGATTGCAAGTTAGAGTTCCTAACGTTTGAAGATGACGGTGCCAGAGAAATCTTTTGGCACTCTTCTGCACATATACTAGGAAATGCCCTTGTGAATCTTTATCCCGACGCAAAGCTAGTGCATGGGCCACCTGTTGAGGAAGGATTTTTCTACGATGTTGACATAAAAGAGCCTATTTCGTCTGGAGATTATAAAAAGATTGAAATGGAGATGACAAGGATCATGAAGAAGAACTATAAGTTTGAGAAAGTAATTAAGAGCAAAGAGGAACTCCTTGATGCCTACAAAGATAATCCTTGCAAAACGCATTTCATTATGAAAGGAGTTGACAAGGAAAGCTCTGTGTACAAAAACGGAGACTTCTTTGACATGTGCTTGGGGCCCCATATCAGATCGACAGGTGTTGTCAAGGCTGTAAAGGTTCTTAAGAATAGCTCGGCCTATTTCCTCAACGACCCAAGCCTGAAGTCTCTTCAGAGGATTTATGCTATCACGTTTCCCTCTAAGGACATGCTGGAAGAGTATTTGAAGAAGAAAGAGGAGGCAAAAGAAAGAGACCACAGGAAGATAGGGACCGAGCTCGATCTTTTTTTCTTTTCGAAATATTCTCCAGGGTCGTGCTTCTTTTTGCCCAACGGAGCCATCATGTATAACACGTTGATTGAGTTTCTGAGGGAGGAATATAGGAAAAGGGGGTTCAAAGAGGTTATAACGCCAAATATTTTCTGCACAAAGCTTTGGGAGGAAAGCGGGCATCTTCAGAACTATAAGGAAAACATGTTCATGATTGAAGGGGACGACTTTGCATTGAAACCCATGAACTGTCCTGGGCATTGTGTGATGTTCAAGCACCAGGACCACAGTTTTAGAGACCTTCCTCTAAGGTTTGCAGACTTCGGTGTCTTGCACAGAAATGAGCTTAGTGGAACTCTTACAGGATTAACAAGGGTAAGGCGATTTCAGCAGGACGATGCACACATATTCTGCACCAGGGATCAGGTCAAAAGTGAAATCAAAGGGTGTCTTGAGTTCTTGAGTTTCGTCTACGGGGTCTTTGGATTCAAATTTGAGCTTGTACTAAGCACAAGGCCAGAAAAGTACTTGGGGTCTATTGAAGAGTGGGACAGAGCAGAAAGGGCTCTTGCCGAGGCTATGGATGAAAGTGGAATGGTGTTTAAGATTAATGAAGGGGACGGTGCATTCTATGGCCCCAAGATCGATATCACGCTCCACGACGCTCTGGACAGACGAATACAGTGCGCAACGATTCAGCTAGACTTCCAGCTTCCTCAAAGATTTGAGCTCAAGTACCGTGACAGTGATGGGCAATGCAGGACCCCCGTTATAATACATCGTGCGATCCTCGGGAGCATCGAAAGAATGATTGCCATTATTCTTGAAAGCTTTGGAAAGAGGTTACCGTTTTGGATATCGCCAAGACAGATAGCGATCGTAAACATGGGAAATCTTGACTACGTTGAGAAAATAAGGTCTGTGCTTGGTAGATTCAGAGTTGATGTGATTGACGATGGCAATACATTGAACAAGAGGATAAGAACTGCTGAAACAAGCGGATATTCTCTTGTATGTGTAGTTGGAGAGAAGGAAGCAAGGGCAAACGAGGTAAATGTAAGGCTCTGTAAGGTCGAAAAATCTTCCAAGTCTACCAAGAACATCGGTCTCTATGAACTCAAAAACATTTTGGATAGGATGGCCGATGAGAGAGTCGAGCTTGAAGATGTCCTGCTCATTGATAGGATCTCTATCAGCAACTAAATACTTTTAATTACTTGAGATGTCGATGGTCAGGCCCCTATCTTCTATTCTGTAGCCTAATCTCTAAACTCTAAGTTTTCCATTTTCATTGGAACAATGTCTTTGCATGGTTCTTTGCAGAATGAGTCAGAGCACACACAGACATGCACTATTTCATTATCGTGAGCTGATGGGCTATTTCCATAAAAGACTAGCTCTTCGACCATAGACATATTACATCCTTCATTAACCACGTTATGAATTGAGGTGTTCTTTTCTTTAGCAATCTCACTAAGAAGGAGCTTCATGGTTATTAGATTCTCATTTACCTCATTCTCCCCTATTTCCTTTTTCTGGACAAATCCTGTCCTGGTCATTCTCCCCTGGGTTAGCATATCCTCGAAGCTATTGACCTTGACTCCTTCAAAGTATCCAGTTTCGTCCACAAGCTTGTCACCCTCTTTCTTGAACTTCAGCCTTCCCCAGTAATCAGTAAGGTGATACTCTTCGTAAACCAAAATATTCTGAATTTTTCTAATTCCAGGCCTATTTTTTAGCTTGTCCCTGATAAGATCTAGGTTCTGAACGAAGGAGCAGAATGTTCTATACCCTACAGGGATCCTCTTTATTTTCTCTAGCATCTCTATAGTTGGTTCCTGAGGTGGAGGGCTGCTAGTCTTTTCAGCCTTCCCAGGATCATCAGGCTTCTGGCTGTCTCCCTTTGTAATATTGAGCTGGCTAGCCTCATCATAGTTCTTGAGAAGGTTGTTTTTAAGTCTGCTTCCAGCCAAAAGATGGCTTACCAATGCCGTTAGTATGTTTCTAAGTTCCTTAGACTTGTTCTCTGCTGTAGGTTCTTTCTCCACATCGCTCTTGCTTTTGATCTTCTCTGTGGCATTATTAAAGAGAACTATTTCAACGGTACTTTCATCATCCCCTTGGCACAAAATAGAAGCGTATCTACAAATCAAAATAAGGTATATGACTCTTGCTATTCCGAACTTGTGGATTGTTCTCATTGAAAAGGAGATAATTACATATTTAAGTCCTTATATTGACAGCAGTCTTTTTCTGAAACTTGTTTCAGCTGTTTCAGAAGGCTTTTTTCCCTGAGATAAATAAAAAGAAGTACGAAATTGAATGTTTAATTCGTTAACTATGTTCTGCTTGGATGTAGCCTGAGAACTTAAATTTCTTGTTTTTCAACTTCTCTTCTTTTAGCGCAACAAAGTTCCCTTCCACGAACATCTTTCCCTCGGGATTGCTGATGCTAACTTTTCCAGGCATGTTTTTAAGAACATAGAAAAGCTCATTCATCTCGGGATTGACTTCCTTCTTCTCCGATCCTGACTTGCTTTCCTTTTCCGACTTTGAGGCATTTGTGTCCTTAGCATCTTTTGATGTTCCTGATTTCTTTGAGCTATGAGATATACTAGAAGTTGGCATCTTGGATGACGCGCTTGCACTTTCCTTGGAAGACGAAGCTTTCTTCTTATTCTTTGAAGATGCCACGCTGGACACCGAAGAAAGCCCTTGTGAAGCACGGCTTGAAAGCGTTGCTGACACAGATTCTTTTTTCTTATTCTTTTCTTTTGTGGCAGTTTCAGTAATGCTCTTACTTTCTGTAGCTTTATGCTTTGTAGATGATTCGGAGAACGGTTTTGTAGATCCAGCAGACTTATTGTGCTTTGAGCTGATAGACTCATCTTTGGTGCCTTTCTTCGAAGTTCCAGTGCTTTCTGATGCACTGGCAATGCTAGACTTCACAGATGCACTTGTGCTTTCAGACTCTTTCTTGGATTCGCTGCTTTTTCCAGACAAAACAGAGGATGAAGCAACCTCAGGCTCGACGGACTTTGAGGCCTCAGCAGTCTTCTTTGCCTTCCCATCACTACTGCTGCTCTTTGTGGAAGTCTTAGAGCTCTGAGACGTTGTTTTCTTTGAATCCTTTTCTTTGCTATAAGGAACAGAAACAGTGGTAGGAATGTCTCCACCCTTAGACTTTTCCTCAGCCTTATTCCAGAAATTGAACTTCTTTTCCTTTTCTTTTGTATCACCATCTTTGGAGGTGCACTTTACTGCATCATCGATGCTTTCCACAACAGTCATGACCTTGACATTGACCTTGACCTTTCTCAGTTTGTTATCGACAATAACAGTTGTCCAATAGGAATCTTCTAAATTGCTACTACCTCCAACGGCATTTGCCACAACAGGAGAAAGAGTGCTTCCAATGGAGTTTGGACTACCTTTCTTGTCTCCTCCATCTGATGCCTCTTTAATCTCACTACTACCAGACTCCTCACCTCCTTCTGCCTCCTTTTTGATGGCGGATCCTGTATTCGGTTTAGTACCAGACTTAGTACCAGAAATCGCATTTTTCACAATGCTGGCTATCCTTTCCTCTTGTTCTTTTCCTCCTTTGCTTTTTGAGTTTTCCTGAGTTATTATTATAATCGGCGTTTCCTCTTCATTCTTTTTTCCAGAGGTTACTGTCGATATTGAAGCTTGGCTTACAGACGGTATACTATACGAGGAGGAGGGTGAAGCCCCGGTAAGGGTTGAAGACAACTTTTCCTCCTTAGGTGCTTGGGATAAAGAGGTGCTATTGGCTCCCGAATTACCACTGCTGTCGCTCTTCAGGCCTTCACTTAGAACTTTTTCTAGGCTGGCATTGTCGAATATATCGGCCCTTACAATACTTCCAAGCAAAAGCAAGGCTAATATCATCGTTTTGTTTTAATATCGCCTTTCTTTATATCCGGTAAGTTTCAGATTGTTTTATATCAAAAACTAAGTTTGAAGATTGCAATCATCGGGCCATGGCCAGCTTGGAGTCTATAAAAGCTTTAAAGTAGATATCCTAATTTATTCAGTCAAAACTCGTCCTTGGAGACACATTTTATCTTATCGCAAGGATTCTCGCAGTTATCCTCTTGGCATTCACATTCTTGTTCACATTCTATATCTTCTGGATCTTCCACCACTATGGTTGTATTAATCGTTGTAACATCTTCTCTGGGCTTTTTTTCGTTAAAGTCATCAGTCAGGGTGCATGTTGCAACAGGAACTTTCCCATCCTCAGAATTATTAGGGGGTGCTATTGTTTGTACCACAGTTTTGGTGGCCGTAATATTCACAGTCTTATATTCTACAACCGTGGTTGGCTTTGTAACAGTCTTTTCCTCGACTATACTTTCAGGCTCTTGTGTGATGAATATCTCCTTCTCGATTGTGCAAGGAGGCTCTACAACAGTTAGCTCTTTTATGACGGTAACTGGTGGAAGCTTTTCTGTCTTTGTAACAGTCTTTGCTGGCTCTGTTACAGTGACCTTTTCTGGAGGTGCTTGTATGAATGCTGAGCTGATCGCAATTCCTGAGCTGTCTCCGCATGAGTTTCCATATTTAACTTTAACTGCTTTTATAGATATCTTGGGAGGTATGTAGTCAGGGCTTCCAGGCTCGATCTTTATAGGCTGAGTTGTGGAAATCCCAGGGCTTTCCTGAGCGTTACTTTGAGGAGAAGATGATCCCTGGGGTGCTTGCCCACCTTGCTGAGAAGGACTAGACGGTGAGCCTTGAGGGGCGGAACCACTTTGGCTGCTCTGTGAAGAACCCGATTGTACGCTCTGAGGCCCCTGCTTGCTTCCTGCCGAGGAGCCCGATTGTACGCTTTGAGATCCTTGTTTACTTCCTGCTGAAGCCCCTGACTGCATGCTCTGAGGCCCCTGGCTGCCTCCAATTTGTGAATTTGTTCCGGAAGATTTGCTCGATACCACTCCAGCGCTTGAATTCTGAGATGAAGCTGCCGAAAGTGTCTTTCCTGGTATGCTTCCTGAATTTTGTGCCATGTTGCTTGCAGACGAATATAATTTGTCAATAGCATTGGCCTGCTTCTGGCAACTTATGCTGTTAACGCTTTGGTCTTGATATAGTCCCGTCCCAGTTATTTTTCCGATTTGAGGTATTTCCTCCTTTGAGCATCCACAATCTTTCCCAACAAATAGACCCGAGCTGTCAACCAACTTACCATCTTTTTGTTGGAATTTAATATTCCCGGAATAGTCGGTGTACTGGTCTCCATCCTTGTAAACAAGCACCTGATCTACCCTCTCACACTCCTGGCATTTCCCTAAGACATCGTTGACCTCCACTGAGCTCAGGCTCTTGATCTTATTCACCTCAGATGCCTTCTTGAGAACATCGGCAACTGAGGAGTAGGATATGCTGGATGATATCTGTGATACTATTGATGATGTGATGGCAGATGACAGTACAGAGGACGGAGCAAAGGATGCTGATGACGAGTGCCCAAATATAGATGAGGACATGATGGATGACAGAGGTACTGATGACGAATATCCTATGCTGCTTGATGCAATAGCACTTGAAGACAGTCTTGTAGACATCATGCTACTAGCACTAGTGGAAACTGGTACCATGGACGAGGATTTGTTTAAAGATGAAGCCATTGAAGTACTTCCAGAAATACTTGCATTTGAAGAGGCCTGGGTACTGGAAATCCCATCTTTGCTTTTGGACTCTATGGCTTTGGAGGATGGCCCAGACTCGGCACTAGCAGACTTCTCTTCTTGCAGCTTTTTTGTGCTGGGTTTGGCCTCATCACTGCTACTGGTTTTTTCTTGTGTTGATGTTTTGTCTTTGTCTTTTTTATCTCTGATGGTACTGGGCTCTTGTTTTTCCTTATCCACCTTCTTGGCTTCTGTCTTTGTATCTGCCTTCTTCTTAGAATCCTCCTTTTCAGCTTTTTTTTTATCTTTTTCCCTTTGTTTCTCTTGATTTGCATCTTTCTTTTGAGATTGCGACTCCTTTTCTTTTTGTTTCTCTTCCTTTTGCTTCTTCTGTTCTTCTTTCTTCTGCTTCTGTTTTTCCTCTTTTTGCTGCTTCTGCTCCTCTTGTTTTTGACTGTCTTTCTTCTGCTTCTGCTTTTCCTCTTTTTGCTGCTTCTGCTCCTCTTTCTTCTGTTTTTGCTCCTCCTTCTTCTGCTTTTGTTCTTCTTTCTTCTGCTTCTGCTTTTCCTCTTTTTGCTGCTTCTGCTCCTCTTTCTTTTGCTTACTTTCTTCCTTTTTAGCCTTGTCCTGGGATTTTTTGGCTTCTTTATCCCCTTCTTGCTTCTTCTTCGCTGCATCGTTGTTTCCGGACTGTTTCTGGCCTCCTGCCTTCTGTTCTGTAGATGCGGCTGGCGAAGGCGCCTTTTCTTCTGATTTTTGGGCCAAATTCGACATATGCATAGAGGATACTGTGCCAGATCCTTCAGACACTTCATTTGCTGTATCTTCTGGAGGATGGTGTGCTTTTTCAAACAGCTGGCTCAGCAAATCCTCACCCGACTTGACATCCTTTAAATTAATATAAAAAACTTTTCTGTTGCTTACAGCAGCAATGAGCATTGCTAGCAGATTCACCCTCATTGTCGGTGTTTTTGTTTACTATGTAATCTTCTAAATGCATCTGTGTTTCAAGAGGATTTTGATAGTTTCAGATCGATTTTGCTTACAGTGATATACATTAATCTGCATACATAGTTAAAAATATCAAAATGGAGAATATGGGATTTGAACCCATGACCTCTTACATGCTAAGCAAGCGCTCTACCGCTGAGCTAACTCCCCTCTTATTGCTTACAATGGTGTTCTTTCCATCGTTCAGAGAACGCTCGATGCACCGCCCTTCATAGAATATAACATGCATCAACACAATAATACTCACACTTCTATCACTTTATTTTCACTTTTCTTAATAACAATCGACGTAAAGCGTCTTCTATCATAGGCAAATAATAAAGTATTGATCCTTACCTGAGTGAAAACCCCGACAATCATCAAAAGAAGAAAGGGATACAGAACCGGAATCCCTAGTAAGTCTACAATCTCTCCCTTGAAAAATATGCTGCACACGCGTCCAAATCCAAGGTTTTCATTCAGAATCGCCTCCAAGGTAATCCACAAAATAACTGTTCCAGAGAAGCTGAAGAAAACAGAGTATATGACTATCCGGAACTTCCGGGGATTCCCAAGAGAAACAACAAACATTGCCAAGAATCCCAGATGAGTAAGAAGATTGCTCATGCTCACCATTGTTAAGTCCTCAGTAAAGGTTTTTTTGAAGAAAGACACGCCTACAGAAGCTGCAAAAATCCAAGTAATAGGAATCATACACATATTGATTGTAACTGCAATCAGAAAGCATACACTGCAAAACAGTATTTCACTTACAAGAATCTTGTTCAGGAAGCTCACTATTGCCGAGTGCATTCCCTTCTGCTCTGCAGCAGTCCCCAAGAGTCTTGCATGCACCTTTTGATCAACAGCCATCATGCATAGCCCGACTATCACCGATAAGCACAAGTTCTTATAATTTTCTCCTTGAAATATCATAACTGAAGCACAGGAGAAAAGCGTAAATAGAAACGTCTTGCTGGATCCAAAGAGCTTGTCTCTTTGGTTAAGTATGTTGTGCATTGTATTGGAGAAACCAAAAATGTTAATCGCTCTATCTATATCAGCCATCCTACTTTGGATTTCTTAATTGTATTTTATTTATTCATTGCCCAATTAACAGTTGATACTTTTATTCATACAAAAAAGTCATGGGATGTTATTAATTTACACCGGCAAGAAATTTGAAGATCTGGGAAAGAGGTCTGTGTGCCCATGGTTTTTGCAATGGAGCCTGTGCATCCGGATCAAGCATCGCATTGGAAGCACTCCTGAGAATAGGAAGCTTTAGGAAAATCTCCTTAATTATTCAGAGAAATGATCGTTCTAAAAAATCGATCGGGTGCAAGAGCCCCTGAAAATGTTTGTGGCAATTAAGCAGGAAAGGCCGTTCATAAGCATTGAGGGGAGGAAGAGAAGAATATCGACACGTTTCTATAATGCTCTTTGCGTATTGAGCCTGGGGGGAGTCTATATGATATGTAGATATCTACCCAGCGTCAAACATTTTCTGCTTAGTTCGCCTTGTAGCCTTTCTGAGGCGGATTGTGCTATAATAACATCGCAGAATGGAAAGAGGGAGTTTATCAATGTTCTTTTTTATGACACTGCCGAAATTCCTTCGCTCAGAAGGTACACCCAGGGAGGAAAAGCTCGAGTAATAGATTCCCAATTTTCTAGGCTTATATATGATGTTGTCTCCAGAAAGTTTGTTGTCCCGCCAGAACAGAAGTTGCTTTCCAGGGATTTTGAGGAGCTTTACAGTATGGAGGTTTCGAAGTCTCCGGAGACTGAGAGAGCAGAGGCTATACAAAGAAACATATTCTATGGAAAAAACATCACAAACCTCCCGATTCCAAGCATTTCCGGGATAATTCTTAAAAACATGTTCAGTATCACATTTCTATCGAATGTGATATGCCTATTTGTGTGGAGGTTTATTGAGTACACGAAATACGCATTTGTGATGGGAATACTCATGATGTATTCATTTGTGTTTACAAACTGGGAGGAGATTTTGCATTCGATTAATATGAGGAAGCTTGTGAAGAAGAGGACTGTCAGGATACTTCGGGGAGGAAAGTTTGTGTGTGTGGACAGCCGGGACATATATCCTGGAAACATAATTTACATTGAGCCGTGTAAGGAGTTTCCATGCGATGCTCTTGTTATCAGGGGTGATGCCATAACAAATGAATGTCTGCTTACTGGGGAGGCGGTCCCCATATACAAGAATGCTGAGCAGCCCTGCACTGTTTACTCTGGAACAGATGTTCTAAAGAGCATCAATACTGTACCGATATTTACCAATCCAAGAAACGAAAATCTCTGCAGGGTTAGAAGTCTCACTAGCAAAAATAAGCAGAGGGCCGCTGGGGTGGTTGACTCTATGCATGTTCCCGAGAATTTTGCTATTGGGATGGTTCTTAGAACTGGATTTCAAACTGCGCGCGGGCAGATTCTAAAGAACATGATCAACTCAAAGCCTGTTTACAACAGATTCATAAAGGAAGCCGAGACAATTATATTTGGCATTGTAGGCATTGGAGTGATTATTTCAGTTGTGATGGGATATGTTTTCAGGGCTATGGAGCTTGATTCAAGGATGAATCTTGTGTACAATCTTGACTTGTTTTTTACACTAGCCAACCCTGCGCTTCCAACATATCTAAGACTCGGGGCCCAACTGTGCTACAGAAAGCTGATCAAGAAGAACATCTACTGTAACAACCTAAACAAGATACATCTAGCCGGAAGGATAGACACGGCTGTGTTTGACAAGACTGGAACACTAACATGTGATGGGCTTGATCTCCTTTTCATTGATGATCTCAGCGAGCCGGCTGATGACATTGACAAGGTTAGCATGCTTGTTAGGATTGGGCTGAGCACATGCCATTTGGTGTATGAGCTGGATGGAAGGTACTCTGGAGACACCCTTGATTTGAAGATGTTTATCTTCTCCTCTTCGAAGCTTGTTCAGAACGAAAGCACAAGAATGGTAGTTATTGGGGGACAGAATAAGATATACGGGCCCATTTTAAAGGAATACAACGACAGCGAAGAAATGGTATACTACCAGAAAGACAAGATCTATGGAAACAAGTTTGCTGTTGGGGATGGAGGTGTCTATGAAGAATGTAAGGATACTTCGCCGGTGGTCCTTGATATCGATGGGATCAGCAATCATAATCTGGGCGATGGATGCAAGGAAGAGTGGGACGGTGGGATCAATGCAGTGATTATGAAGACCTATGAGTTCGACTCGAATATAAGAAGGATGAGTGTTGTGGTGGATGTTGGAAGTAAGAAGTATGTGTTTACAAAGGGATCTCCCGAGTCCATCCAGCAGATTTTGAAGGAGTGCCCAAAGGAATATGAAGAAAAGGCTAAGGAATACTCTTTGGCAGGATATAGAGTAATATCTCTGGCATACAAGGAGATAGGCAAAAGCATTGACAGGGCTGCGGACGAGTGTGGGATGGAGTTTCTTGCTCTTATAGTGTTTTCGAATAAGCTCAAGGCAAACTCGAAAAGAACCATTGAGGAGCTCAACGAGGCAAATATAAGAAGTATTATGTGTACTGGAGACAACATACTAACTGCGATATCTGTGGGGAGGGAGTGCAGGATCGTGGAGGAGTTTGTTCCTGTGATATTCCCTGTCCTCGAGGAGAATGCAAAGTCCATCTTTGATGTTGACTGGCTCTGCGTTGGAGATGAAGAGGAGTTTACCTTTGACAAGGTGAAACTGAGCCTGTATAGGGGGAATGATAGGGTTTCAAACAATGAGTTTGTTGTTGCATGCGAAGGAAGGGAGTTTGACTTCTTCAGAAACACACATTACTTCCAATTTATCCTTGAGAAAGGAGCTATATTTGCCAGGTTCAACCCTGGGCAGAAGAAGGCTCTTATAGAGAATCTGAGGGCGATTGGGAAGGTCACAATGTTTTGCGGAGACGGTGCAAATGACAGCGGGGCACTCAGCAGTGCAGATGTTGGCCTAGCCTTAGCGCAGAACGAAGCTAGTCTTGCAGCCAACTTTACATCCGCCGACATAGGCTCGGCCCTGGATCTGATCAAGGAGGGGAGGTCGGCATTTGTAACGTCTGTTGGCACATTCAAGTATGTTGTCTCTTCCTGTGTGATTTCGTACTTAGGGCTTCTCTTTCTCTCTTTAAGGAAGAACTTTTTGAGCGATATACAAACGATGCACACGGACCTGTTTGTGTCAGTTCCTGTCACATATATGCTGACATGCTTCGATGCATCCGATAAGTTATTTCCCAGCCGTCCAGACGCGTTTCTCTTGCCAAAAAGAGATTTTATACCTTTTTGGACAACTATAGCCTTTGAGGGCCTGATTCTCCTGGCTCTGTCTTGCTACGGCGATGCAAGCTCTGTTATGTGTGACCAGTCGATTGGGGCTGAGCTTGTGTTCTTTGCCATGACGTTTATTTATATTTTCAATGGCGTGTATCTGAGCGAATGGTTTCCACACAGACAAAGCTTGGGAAGCAATGTATTGTTCAAGGCCTTCATCTCCTTTGCTTTTCTTGTAAGCGCTTCTCTTTTGGTGGCAGTGTATGCATTTCCTGAATGGACATCCCAATGGCTGAAAGAATACAAGTTTGTGAGGACAAGTGGGTTTGAGGTTGGACTAGTTCTTATCTCTATATTTTTGATTGCGGCTGCAGTGTTTGTAGCTCAGCCTTTAATTAGCAGGGTGTTTGATGAGGGGAAGAGGGGAGGTAGAGCAGGGGGAGATTCACTGGAGAGGACATAAGCTCCTCGGCTAGACTTGGTTGATTATATTAAATCTATTAAAGATAGAATAGATTTTATGACGATGGAGAAAACAGGGTGTTTATTGTTCTTGAGTCTCTGAGATGGTATTTATGTGTGATTCTGGTGAGTGACAGTTACGGCCATATCCACGGAAAAGCACCGGAACTCGTCAGATCTCCGAAGTTAAGCCTGTGCGAGCTCGGATAGTACTGAGGAGGGAGACCACTCGGGAATCCCGGGTGCCGTAACTTTTCTTTTTTTGCCGAAGATTTAAAGGCCTGCAGGAGAGACCCATTATGGAATCGAAGAGGTTTGTGAAGTATCTCTCTGACTCCATTGCAAACCTAAGCTCGATGATAATGAGCATATCTTCTGGCACCCGTGCTCCAGTTGAAGAATCTGCGGTTCCCCTAAGTTCAATAAACATGAGCGAAGAGATGCAAGACTACAAGAGTGCGTCTGGCCATTTAGACGAGGAGGTCGTTGTGATGAAGAGATCGGATCATGAGAGGTCATGCTCTGAACTAGCCTCCAGCAAAACAATGATAGAGGATCTTAAGAGGAAGGAGGAGGAGTACAGCCGAATGCTGAAGAACTACGATGCGACCCTTACGTATGTGCTTGAAAGAAATGAAAAGGAAAAAGCTCTTCTAGAAAGCATTGTCATGAATGAAGAGATAGAGAGGCTGAGGTCTAATGAGTACAGGCTCAAGAGCTATATCCAGGCATTAAAAAGAGATCTGTTTGCAAGTGAAGACAAGATAGAGGCACTTCAGAGAGTGAGCAACGAAAGAATAGAGTTTTTGGCTGGGAAAGTTGAAGAGATAAAGGGGATGTATGAGGAGGAAAGGAAGAAGGTCTCCAGCTTAAGCAAAAAGTTGAGTGAACTGGAGAGTGACTTTGGAACAAAATGCGAGGAAATGGTTGAGCTAGTGGAGTACTGTAAGTATTTGCTGCGATGAAAACATTAAAAAAGCATTTTACATCCAAGCCATTCTGTTTGTTGTGAAAAAGGTACACCCTGTGCGGGACTCGAACCCGCGGCCCTTGGATTAAAAGTCCAGCACTCTCCCAACTGAGCTAACAGGGTTCAGGGTGGCATTCAGATGTGTTCATTTAACAGGCATGATCCCTGTGCACATTTCATGTTATTCCAACGCTGCCCTGATGTTGTATGACATGGTTATTGTGATTTTAGTTCTTGTGCTTGGCTTTTTACTTTCTCAGAGAAAGAGAGAGCAATTGAAGCAGAAGGCCTTGCTTCTGGAACCATTTAGGAGTTACTTTGAAGAGAGCAGCGAGGAATACTTGTCTATCCATCAATATGTACTGAAACTCTCCGGGAGTCAAAGCCTAAAATATTTATGTGGAATAATTACTCTTAGAAGAGACTTCTGCCCAAGCTATCTCCTTGGACCTGTGCCGAAGGAGAACTTCATTCTGACAGGGAAGTTGAATATTAGGACACCGTGCATGTATGTATTCAAAAAGAACCTGCCGCTGAAACATTATGGGCTGAAGTATACTAAGAAATGTTTGCTTGCAAATATACCTGGATACAAAGCATATGGATCTCTTGGAGAAAAGCATATTGAGTTCATCAAGAAGTACCAAGTGTCAACCTTCTTTATAAGCTATGCCCCCAAAGATATTGAGGAGCCGCTAGATTTCGAGAGCTTGGTTTTTCTGAAGGCAGGCCTGCCTCTTCTTAGCAATGCAGAGTTTGCCCGTGATTTCTTAGCCCTTTTCGATTCTATCAGTCCGGAGTCAAGCAAAAAAGTCCTTGAGATGGAGCAGGGATACAAAAGAGATATAGAAGCATTGAAGGCAAGAGAAAACATGAGCATCGGGGAAAAGATAACCTCTCACATAAGAGAGAAAAGCAAGATCAAGAGGAAATAAAGCTACTATTTTTACGGCAGCGTTCTTTGCTTGTAAAGAAGGTATGATAAAAACACGAGTCCTCCGGGATTCGAACCCGGACTATTTGGTCCGAAGCCAAGTGTTCTACCATTATACTAAGGACCCTTACCACTCTTATATAGAGAGCCACAACAAAGAAGCGTGTCAAATATTTAATTTTGCATAAGCATCCTTAGGGCGACCTGCTTTTGACTAGGTTTTCTTTCAAGTCTCCCTCATCTTTGTCTTCAACCTCCTCAAATATGCCCATCTCTTCTTTGAGAATCCTGTCTCCATCAACCCTCTCTCCACTGGAACTAGCTCCATCCACCCAATGCCCCATGTCCTTATCATCTAGCTCCTTGTTTCCAAGGTCTTCAAGATACATGGACAAAATCTTTTTCTTGTGCTTGACCTTCAGCTTTGGAGTCGAGACCTTTAAAAGACAAGAATCAGACCATCCACTATAAATCTTTTCTATTCTTTCTTCCTCATCAGAAGGCGTGAAAATAATTGTTATTGTCGTGTATATTCCTTCTTCCGTATCGTGTCCACTGCAAGCATATGTCACAACCACCTCATTCCCCATATTCACCATATCATTGAACTTTCCATAACTCTTCTTTCCGTTTTCGAAACTTATCTCAATCGATTCAAAAGGAACAATCCGATAGACCTTGTCTCCCTTTTCCATAACAAAAGCAGAGATTCTCTTGAGTTTCTGTATAAGCAGTGAAAACGGCGGGTCTTCCATGGCATCCTCAACTTCCCTAAAGTAAAGGTGAAGATCTAGCCTTCCATCGGAAACCGTCCTCGCTACGTCCAAGCCGCTGGGCTTTTCTAAGACCCTTTCAGACTCATATGCAATCATTTTCCCGACTACATATCCAATCAATAACAAATTCATCCTAGGGCCAGAGCGCCTAACATTTTAAATAAAGCACTAAAGATCAAAACAGAGAAGAACCCACTTTAATTATTAGTCCAGAGTGCCCTCAGTATTGGGTTTCCCTGGTGCCCATTTCTTGCTGCTCTCAGCTCTCTCTTCATGTATCTCATTCTTCCAGTTCCAATAGTACGTCTGCGCCTTGCTTTAATGGATGCCGGATTTCTCATTTTTGGATTCGGATATCCACAGGACGAACATGAATTCTTCTGCTTATGGTAGCTCTGCCTCCCGCATCTTCTGCACATCTCCGTGTTTCTCTTGTTTCTCTTTCCGAAGCTAGCTGTACCTTTGCTCTACAAATTAATCAGAAAAACCAACTTACCATTTCCTTGGGCTCATCCCCTAAAATTTTTTATTAACCTTTCCAAAGCCATTTGAAATGTTCCACACATGACTATTTTTCATTGTTGGCCTTTGTATCGTACATCCCTATAAGAAAGTCCATCAGACTCATGTTTTCGTAGGCCACACATATGCGGTAGGACTCATATACATACTTCAGTTTCTCCATGTCTATTCTTCTGCTTACTAGGATAACAAGGACTCCGTCAACTCCAGAAAGCGTGCTGATCATCCACCCATTCACTTCAATGTAAAGGAGCTCGTCTTCGTATGCACTTCTTGCCATCTCCTCTAGCCCGGCCACTGCATCTAAAATCAGCGGATCAAAAGGTCCCATCGAGTATATCTTTCTTTTCCTTTTGAAGACAGCTATAGCATCTCTCATTCGCCGCGACAGGGCCCAACACCTTATATGTGTTATTCAGAGTCTTTGTAAAAATAAAAACAATCCACAGACATACACACATTTTATTCAGACACTTCCTTAAACTCCTCCAAAACCAACCTGAACAGGCACTCATAGTCAATCTCAGAGCAGTTTTCGTCAATCCAGTTGTAGTACAGCAGTGCATTCTTTGTGAAGTCTATCATCTCGTCAGCTCCCACCTTTCCAGTCACAAAAAATGGAATCTTCTTCTGAGGCATTCTAATCTTGCTTGGCATTTCCTTCTTGTACTTTGCACTGAGCAAATTCCCCAAACCCTTTAACCCAGACATCTGGCCTTTGCATTCTATCAATGAGCTGCATCTCGGCCCAAGAAACACAACCCTGGCCTCAGAAAACTGTGGCGTATTCAACAGAAACACAATGTCCAGCAACTTCAGCACTTCTGCAAGGAGTAGCATGTCTTCGAAGTCAGGGCTTTCGACCATTATGCCAATGTCATACAAAAGAATGGGATATAGATTGATCAGCTTGTCGTGCGAGATTTTGAGGATTAGCATCTTTGAGAGAAAAAACACCTCCCTCCTGACCTTTGACGAAGGATAGTTTATCAGCGTTGCTATCTTCTCAATAAGTTTCAGAGAGAAGCCTGAGAAGTAATTGTAGGGCGCAGAAAATATGATGTACGAGATCCTCTTCAGCACAAGGGTCTTGTTGTTGGCATCAGAAGCCTGCGAAACAAAGAATCCGCTGTCTAGCCTGACAATAAGATCGTTAATAAAGGAAGGGTCTTCAGACACAACCTTCTTCATGAGATTTGACTTCTTGTATAAACCATATGTGAAGAAGTCAAGCGTGTGGAAAATCTCCACAAACTCTTTCTTCCAGTACCTCACCTCAAGGCCTCTTTCGTTCAGCTTTGTGAGAAAGTCAATCCCAGTGTTCTTGAGGTTGATGCAGCTTGAGTTGATAAAGGTGAGAATCGCCGTAATCAGACTTGGAATTGCAGAGAGGACTGCGCCCTGAAATCTGAAATCCGTTATCTTTTCAAGCACTCTAATCTCGTCCTCGTATCCCCCTTCGGCGCTTCTTATCTTCAGATCCAATCTCTTCTGTACAAAATATATGGAGTTCAGGATGGCTGTCTGAATGAGAGTCTGACTATCCTCCTTGAGATCAGGAGACAAGAGAAAGTCAAGCACAAAGTTCAGAGGCGAGTAGTCGACCCCAACACGGTAGGATGAGATCTTTTCGAGAAGACCTTTTGACCTGTTGAAAACCCCCTTCATCTCCTGAGGACTCATAACTTGGTTCAGCACAGTTAGAAACCTGAATACCTTCACAGCATTCGTCGAATAGAGATTCATGATAGATACATAGAGCTGCTCCCTAAAGTCAACCGACTTCAGAAACGGGATGCACGGTGGGTTCCCAAGAATCATTTCAACAAACCTGATCGGCACCTTCTTGTAGAACAGGGCTGACAGTTTCTTTGCAGTCAATAACTTCAAGGCCCGAATCCTTACATCGCATCCCTCTCTCATTTCCAGCAGGTCAATGCCACTTCTCATGGATAAAATCTCCCCTTGATTGTCTTTTTGAGGTGTACAGGCCACCTTGCCTATCTCCCTGCTTCCTTCCTCATTATCAGGATCAATGTATTGGTTTTCAAAAAACTCAAAAATAAACTTCATGCTTTTGTCTATAAACCCAGGAAGCTCTCCCTCTGCTCCTCTTTTAGCCAGTATGCTGATTATGGTTTCGTAAACAATCATAAGCGCAAAGTCCTCGTTTTCCAACGAAGACAGCACATTCGAAAGCACTTTCCTCTGGAGCCTGTCGGTTAGTGAAAAGACAAACCCTAAGAGCTCATGATAATAAAAGCACCGGCTGTCAAGTATGCTGCACACATCCTGGATTGCTGTACCATTCCCGCTATGCCTAATCAAGGGCGCAATCCCCAGAACAATCGCAGGGTCCCCCCTGTTCTCCTTTGCTACATCCACAACCTTTGAAAGCTCCACTGTGTTCATCACGTTGCTTTCCAAAACCCCGCTTTCCACAAGAGCTTCGAGAACTTTAACAATCTCAAGATTTGCATCCCTTTCGTCGTACTCCTTTCTGTTCACAAGCAGGTGCACAAGTATCTTATACAGTATCTCCCTAGGCGGTACACCCCCCTCCAATGGAAGAGCCCTGCAATACAGTTTCTCTGTAGAGTCCATAAGCATGGATTTGAATCCCTTGGAGTATCTCAGGAGATTCTTAATGCACTTGAACACACCAAATATCTGGTTGAGGTCAATGGATTCAGCAAAAAGAAAATCATTCGCCTGGATATTAGAGTCCTCTAGCTTCTTCAGTAGAAACTTGAAAATATCGTCAAAATAGACCAAGGAGCAGAGAAACGTGTCAAGCACAGGGTCATCAGAATCAAGCTTGCAATTAATGATATAATATAGCTCCAAAAAGTCAAAGTTCCCGGGGAAGTTCTCGAGCTTGAGAAGAAGGAAGTAGCTGATCTCTTCCATCTCTCTCTCTCCAATCATTCTCAGAAGGAGCCTTTCAAAGCTTCCCTCAAAAATAATGTTGTATCTCCACAAAAGCTCAGTTAGCATTCTGCGATCAGGGCCTTTCCCAGTACTGAAAAACCTGCTCGTGGAATTCCTTCTAGGTATGTCGTGAGTACTTTTCCCAGGCGTCTTTTGTATTCCATCATCCGTCCCAGGCTCCTTCAGTCCCTCAAAATACAGATCCATCTCTATATGACAGAATCTTCTCCATAAAACATTGAACATAGCCGTAGAGTCAAGCCGGGTGCAGTCTATTATTTTGTACACCTCAAGGTGCTCTTTTATGAGCTTGTTGGAAGATCCCATAATAAGACCGTGGTAATTCTGAATAAAACCGTTGGGAAGAGCATCTACCCCATAGATCTTGATAAAGGTGGTCATCAGGGGTAGAGATAGCCCGACGTCACTCTCAATAACTCTTCCAATCTTGTCAGAAATACTATATAGTATCGTCGACGAAATGTCCTCCAGCACACTAGTATCCTCTTCGAGATAGAATTTCCCAATAAGCCTCTGTAGGTTCTTCCCTCCCTCAACCTGCCTCTCCTTGAACTTCATCATCTTCGCGCTAAAGTCTAGGAAAGAGAAAAGAATCTGGGAGTCAAATAGTAAAAAATCAGAGAGAACCAGGTGGACTAGAAAAGGAAGGTGGTATTGGAAAACCTCGGAATCCACTGCAGAATAATTATCCATCGCAAATCTTATGAAGTTGAGAACCTGCGTCGGGCTGCTGATGTCCTCCGCATTCCCGGGGCTTTCATCTCCGGGCCCTCTTATCGCTAGGCATCCTTTCTCAGATCCCACATCTTCGCAGGAATCTCTTCTGTCAGATAGGCAAGCCTTCTCGATTGAGTTGCCATCTTCAGGACTGTCAGCACTGTTGCCTCTTGCCAGAGATTCCTGGCCTTCGTTAAGAATCAATGACATCGAATGCATACTGTACATCTCCTCCCTCATCATACTGTCATTTAATTCTTCATCATCAATTAGGTTCGTGTCCAGTAGCATCTTTTCCTTAGCATTATTGAGGGCATTTCTCAGCTGGAGATAGAATATCTTCCATATAGAATCCAGGTCTGTAGTCAAAAATGCCTTCGCAATCTTCTCAACATCAATGCTCTCGCACTGCCTTTCTTCAAAGACATCGGGCTGTGCTGTTTCCTTTGTATCGCTTTTCTCATACCTCCGAAGGCAGTTCAGAACATTAAACAGGAGATTTTCCATAATCTTCTCGCAAAGCTTCCCTTTGTCTTGTAACGTCATCATAATTCTAAAGAAAAGCTGAATATCCTCAGCACTTCTCCTGTCCAAAAACCTCTTAAGCACTCTGCTCAGCAAGACCACATCCGCCTCGCTGAAACTATCCATCATACATAGCCATCCATATATCCTCTTGTTGAGCGAGAGATCTCTCTTCACAAATAGCTTGATCACCGCTTCAGTAAGATCATCTAACTCGTCCTCAGAACGAATGTGGCCCTTATCGGGAAATATAAATATCAAAAGGTCCAAACAATTCCTCACAACTAGCGTAGATTCACTTCCAAGCCCTCCGCACAGCGCTCTTGTAACAAGCTTTGGGTTGGATACCATCGGCTCCTCCCAGCTCATGCTCAGCATAAAGTTCACAACAGATGTTCTAAGCCTTTCGTCATTGAGAAGAATGCTCCACATCGAAGAATAAAACACATCGGGAGAAATCAAGGACTTGAATTCAGTAACTATGAGATGTGCTCGGCCATAGTGCTCTCCAGACTCAAACTCCATGGGCGGAAGAAGCCCAATAAGTATGCTTGTGCAATACATCTCCACGTCCTTTCCCAGCGGAACAATGTATCTTTCTATAAGGTCTAGAAAGGAATTGATCACAAGAATCCTGCAATGTGCAGAAAAGGTGAAGAGTCCCAACGTCAGAAAGTCAAACTCCTTCAGAAAATTCTCTTTTGAAATCCTTTCAAATACCAAGGAGTATGTCTCCAAAGTCTTGTTGTGTATTCCTGCAGGAAGAACTGGGTTTAGACACTGGTTCAGCCTTTTGAACAAAAGCTTTTTCTTTGGAATTTCCGGTAACGAGAACTTTTTGATGGTGCTATCTAGGGAGCTTAGCAGAGAAATAAAGTCAGACCACTCCTTTGCAGTCTTGAATGCATCCAGCTTCTTTGTCATCTCAGCCTCGTATCTTTCTCGGCTCCCATCCATTTAATCTCTAAGGGTCTATTGTTTTTATCTATCAAAATACCTAAGTAAAAAGCCCAGAAGGTCTAGCCCACAGAGACTTGTCCTTCAACATACAATATAAATAAAATCAGGTTTAATTCGCTTCTAGAGCTCGGCCTTTTTTTCAAAAGAAAACTCCTGGCCTTCCCCAATATCCCTATCTGCCCCAGCTTCCTCTTTCTCTCCATCATCTACAATGTCCTCCTGCTTATTCTCATTCTCAGCTTTCTCCTTCTCTTCAGCTTCCTTCTTCATCCTTTCCTCATATGCATTAAATAGGCTTTTGCGTCTAATAATAAGATCAAATTCAACCTCTTCAATGTCTTCCTTTTTGTATTTATCGTCAGAATTCATAATATTCAAGTGTTCTAATGCCTTCGACACCTCATCTTTCAGTCCATCGTTCCACACCTCGGGGTTGCTCTTGCCCAGCTTTTCAGTCGAAGTGATCGTCTCCTTCAAGTCCCTCAGTGCTTTCTCCCTTAGGTCCCTTTCCATCTTGATTTTTGCATCCTTTGCTTCCACCTCCTTCCACTTGCTCACTGCCCTTCGGATCCCATTAAGATCATTTATCTCTGCAAAAATCTCATCTTCCCCCTCTACACATGAGTCAGATACCTCCTCGAAAATATCCCTGAGTCTTCTTCCTTTTTTTTTATCGAGTATTTCTCTTATACTCTTTCTTAGCCTGATCTCGTCAACATAAGCCTTTCCACTCTTACTGTCCCCACTAACACGTAAGACCTTCGGGTCAGTGATACTGTACTCAGTCCTCATGGCCCTAGCCGCCCCCTTCTCAATATCCTCAGGCTTTATAATGTCCTTCGAAGAGAGAGGCCCGAGAATCTTGTCAAAAATAGGGTTTTCATAGAACTTGGATCTTATCATTACAGAATACTCCTGCCCCTCTCCAATCGCTTCCCCGATCTTCTTCTTCATGCTTTCGATGACGTCAAGCCGCTTGCCTCCATTCACAAGCCCCTCAATCCTCCTCTGGATCTCCCGAACATCAAACACAGGCGCTTCTATCACAAACCTCACATTCTCCTCACAATCGACCACGCTAACTCCATTAACAATCTTCACGCTTTCAACTATGCTCTTATATCTCAATGCCTTGTTGATTTCCTTATATATAGGTCTCATGTCTATCTTTAGCTCAAAGAGCTCCGAATCTTTCATTCGAGGATAGAAGGTCACATTTCTGTTCGTGTCCGAAATGCCCTCCTTACTGGAAACATACTTCCGAAGGGTTTTCTCTATGTGATCATATACTATCTTCTGGATATCCCAATCAGATACCCCGTCAAAATATTCGTGGAACAAGTTGCTAAACATCCTCTTCTTGTCCTTCACCTCCATTTTGTAGAGCGAAGCTACAGTCTTTCTTCCCGTCATCGTAATCACCATGCAATACAGAGTGCCGTCTTCTACAATATGCTCCGTCCTAGACACCAATCCACAAAGAGATTCAGGAATAACACATACCTCCGCCCCATCTAGAATCCCAGAAAGACATTCCCCTAGACTTCTTGCCTGGGCCTCGTCAAAATACCCTCTATATCCAATTGCAACTTTTGTGATTCCTTCTCTTTTAATATGCAGGGGCCTAATCGCCGTCGACAAGCACAAGTAATTAACTCCAGAAGCATCCAGAGCCGTCTCATAGCCCTCAATCAGATATCTTCTTTCCCCATTCTCTTCGATGCTTTCAACTCCTTCGCAGTATATCCCTTCAAAGTCATTTTCAAACATCTCTAGCGGATTCCATATCGCCCTAGAGCTTAAATGTTTGCTACCAACCACAATTCCATCCCTGATAGTAAACGTAGAGGGTACTGTACCAAGTGGCCTATCGGCCATCCTTCTCTTCTCATAGCTGACCCACTTGCTGATAACATCCTCATACCGAATCCCTAAGCTTTCAGAACACACAAACGAAAAGAGCATGGGAAACAAGAAATTCATCTACAAATCCTTGGGGATAACTTTACTTCACTAAAAATCACACGAAAATTAGAGGATCTTAGATAATGCAGAAAAAGTCTGAGCACAAGACAACAATCTTTTAATCTCTCCTTAAAGGAAGAACCTTATGCACCACTTTGTTCTCCCTTAGCACATAGATCTCAAGGTTATCCTTTGTCTTTATATCTCTTTCAGCTGCAGAAGCGAATGCCTTGGCAATAAGTCTTACACAATCCTCTTGGCTTAATTGCGTTTGCTCTGCATTGTGCCAGTTCTTCTTGTCAATAAAAGAGTCTAGCAGAGGTTGTATCATACTTCTCCCACTTCCATTGCACTCACATGTCACAGACTCAAAAGACCCCACAGGATCATATGCATAGATATAAGGCTTTCCATTATCAAACCCACTCAGAGTACAGTACGAGTAATATGGGAAGAATCTTCTTGAATAGAGAATCTTGGAGAGTAAATTTGCAGCACTGTGGATGTTGATGGGCCCGTCTACCTCATACTGCCGTATCTCGTATTCCATTTTCACATAGACCTCGTGGCTGTCTGCATAGAATCCCGTTCCAGTAAGAAAGAAATTTCCAATCCGGAATATTTTAGACATCTCTCGCGAATTTATAACCATTTCAGATGAATGCCTTGTGTCCCCGCTAACAACAACAAAATCATCCTGCTTCAGACAAACTACCGTGCCTGAATTGTCTTCGTACGGATTGAACCTTTCTCCGTCTTTGCCTTCTGTATACCTGGGCCTTCCATCAATAAACAAACCCTCAATATCGTCCCTTAGAAGCTCCTCCTTGCTCGCCTCTTTCACACCATCTTCACCTCTCTTGTTATCCAGCATGCTTATGGAGCCCAAAGGAACATTCACGTCAGAATCCTCAAATAACCCATATTCCTTTAGTGTTCCCAGCTTGGATCCACCCCCCATACAATATCTTCTTCCCTTATTGTTCAACATCAGCAAGGGCCTTCAGAAACGAATAAAAATCAAAAAGAAAGCCTTTAATGATAAGTTGGCTCAGGCCTCAATGCTAACATCGTTGGTTCCAACTACTTCGGCAACGGCCTGGATATGGCATGGACTTTTGTTAAATGGATTCACTCTTCCGTGAGCTCGGAAAGTCCTGCCAAAAATTTTTGGTGCCTTGTTAACTTGGATGTGCGTTATCACTAAGTTCTCCAAATCAAGGTTCTTTGCCTCTGCTAATTCCTTAAGGTTTTCAAGAAGGGAAATCACAAACTCTGCTGACTTCTTCGGCCACCTTCCTCTTGTTTGAACATGTCCTCTCTTGATCACCTTCTCTCCATTGGCCTTCACAATCTCTCTTCTAGGGATGCTGAACTTCCTCGCCTGGTGTGTTTGCCCACAGCCACGGTTGTATCTTCTAAAGGGGACACACTCAGTTTTGTTAAGGACGTTCTTCAGATACTGGATCGCATCAACAACCTTTCTCTTTCTCAGGGTGGAGCAAGTCTCCCTAGTCTTCTTGAAGCTTACCTTCGCATTGTCGATCTTCCCCTTCACAGCCTTCGAAGGATCGTGTATCTCGTAGCTGTACTTAATCCCCATTTTAGGGCTACTTTTTTTCGCCTTCTTTGTGGAGGCCTGCTGTGCAAAATTTTCATTTTGCTATCTTCAGCCGCAATTAGCTTGCTCTCGCCACCCTTTAGCCTGGAACATGCGGTCCTTGTGCACCAGAGATTTTCGGCCTTATCTTCTGCCCAAAGTAGCTCCCCACAATCTTAAGACTTACCTAACAGAATGGTGGAAATAAAAATCAAGAAAGTCTATCCCGTTTATAACTGGAAATGGGACATAGAGAGCGACATATGCGGGATATGCCAGCAGAGCTTTGACCAGATGTGCATAAAATGCAAGCATCCCATGGAGTGTAAGCCCTGCATAGGTAAGTGTAAACATACATTCCATTCGCATTGCATAGCTCTGTGGCTACAGCAGAGGAAGGTGTGCCCCATGTGCCGTGTGTTCTGGGTCTGTCAACGAGTCTTCGAATAGAATAAATGACTTTACCTGTATATATTCCGAAATGGCTGGCTACCGTGCAGATTTTACTTTGGAAATTTTTGCCCTTTAAGAATGCAGATTGGCGTGAGGTTTGGTGGAAAGACCTCGTTTGTTCAGGCTGAGCCTTCACAGTTGGTTCTGTCTCTAAAGGCTCTTGCTGGAAACATCTGCGGGCTTGATTGTTCAGCGATGGTTCTACAGCACAACTCTAAGGTACTAGAGGATTTAAGAACAGTGGCAAGCTACGGCATAAGGAACCTCGATACAATTATAATGCAACCCAAGCTTCTTGGAGGAGGAGGAAACATGTCTGAAAACGATGGGGCTATGGCAATGAGAGAGAAGAACGACTGCTTGATCTGCCGAAGATGCTACGCAAGGTCTGGAAAGTCTGCAGAGAAATGTAGGAAGTGCGACAGCAAAGATCTAAGACCTAAGAAGCCTCTCAAGACAATGAAGAAGAAATAAGAAGTTATAATTAAATATTTACTTCTGGCTTTTTATTCAAACTCTTCAGTAAGCACATCCTCTCTTCAGTCTGAGACGGAAGCCCCGGGATGCTTAATCGCTGATGTATCCTTCGGTTATATAGTCAATGTTGGATGCAATAAAGGCGTCAAATCTTTGGAGGAATATGTTCTTCGTGTGCATTCCGCTGCTTTCTTGGGCCCTTCTCTTTTTCTTTACCTCCTCTCTACTGTCCTCACTCTCCCTCTTTGTGGGTGTCTTTATCTCCAGCTTGCACTCCTTCAGGATGCTATCCGTTAGTCTTATAAGTTCCCACCTCGTTTTTGTAGAAAGGTCCCAGACCCACTTTGCTTGCATCACTCCATCCATGAACTTCAGCTCGTTCATCCCATGGAAGGCTGCAACTGCACTTCTTGAGTCGTAGAACTCCACACATCTCTGATGTGTTTTTACATATCGGATATCCTTTACCTCCCCAAACTTACAGACCTCTTCGGAAAACTCCTTGTCGTCTACAGATCCTGCTAAGTTCTTAAAGGTAAATAGTAACGTGCTTTGATTCCTGGACTCATCGCATTTATCCATATCTCTAGGAATCTCGTACTTGCTTATTATGTGGTAGGACGAAAGGCCTTCAGATTCCTTGAGATAAGAAATTGCCTCTCTTGCTTTCCTCTCGTCGTAGAAGAGTATGCAGAGCACTCTATAATCGTTCTGAATTGTGTAGCTTTCCTTTACCTCAAACCTCTTCTTGACCCTGTCCCTAACCTCCTCATGGTGTTTCAGATCATTGAACCCAGTGACTATTATCGTCTTTGTCAGCTGTCCTTGGTCTCCTTGCCCGCTCCTACTCATCTCAGGGGCTTCTGGAGTCTTGGCAAAATCAAAGCATATGAGGCTTGGGGGTAATGAAACCTACTTCTTCAGACTCTCCGGCGTTTCAGAATCAAGTCTCTCGATCTCCTTGACTCTTAGGAAAGTAAACACATCGTCGGAAAGCACACAGACAACCTCGTCTTTCGTGTCAAGGCTTATGTCTTCAATGTACTCATCTCTCAGCACATATCTCATGGGGCAGATAGGCCTGTCTTTCTTCCTATTAAAGTTCTTATGCCTTTTATACAGCAAAAGCCTGCCCCCCTCGTCAGGAAGAAGGTTGTAGCAGCTGTTTCTGACGAAAAAGTAAGCCTTTGCCCTTACAGGATACTCCGTCTTGGCTTCTCTATCATACAAATACAGCACATCCTCCTCGCATAGATACAGCACCTTGCCCCTCTTCATTCCAAAATGCCGGCACCAGTTCTGCGATTGATCCTTTGGCACAAACAACCCGCCATCCGTCTTTTCAAACATCTCGAGAAACTCACTTCTCTTCATGGGACATCCTGCCCGCCTTCCATTTAGTAATCTCCAATCTGGTAGGCACAGGCTGTTTTGATTCAAAACTTTGTTTACTAAAAATATTTATCAAAATAAAACAAGGGTATACATGGAGTGGGACGACAAGACACTAAGCTTAATGATCTCGAAGCTAGGTCCTGGACTGATGATATCTCTTTCTGCAATAGGCGGAGGCCTGGGGTTCATAGCAGGATCTGAAGGAATATGTAAGGCAGCAGAAAGTGTTGTTAATACCACCTATTCCTTGGTTCCAATCATTTTCATTACGGCACCAACAATGTACTCTGTAATCCTATACTTCATGGTGTATGATAAGAAGATTGAGTCTCTTAAGGATGGTCTTTTGGTTCTAAGCGCATGTGTGGTCAACGGCGTGTCTTCGGGTGTTGCAGGATACTCAATAGGTCATTCGGCAAAGGTTGCATGTGTTACAAGATCCCAGCAGAAAAAATTCAACAGTATATTCTTCCTGATACTGATTTTCGGAGAGGTTGTTGGGCTTCTCGGGCTTGTGTGTGCAATGGCTATATCATCGAGCATAGGTAATGAATGAGCATCTGAAATAAAATCGATCTTTTGGTATCGAAAAAAAGGCATAAATCCCTATAAATAAACCAACTTGATTTTAATGAGATGCACATCGCTAAGAACAATCTGTGAAGTCAGTGTTTCCCTTTTCTTTTATCCTTTTTCATTCTCTTATCCAGTGTCACAACTCTTCCTTTCCCTCGTGGAATCCCACACCTTCCCTTCTTTGGGAACACAATTCTTGGCTTGGACTTTGTTTTCTTGAAGGACGATTTGTAAATCTTCTTTGCTATCTTCCCTTCTTCCTCTGAGTCGTCCACCACAACATTCTTCATAAACATCTCTGCTCTCCTCTCTGCCCTTGTCTTACGTCTATTGAGCGCCTCCTTCTCCTTCTTTGTAAGCCTCCTTTCTTCAATCTTGGAAGGTCTCGAGTAGAAGGATTCCTGGTCTTCTCGAAGATAGTTGGGGAGCTTTTCGTTGGGATCCCTGATATATCTATCAATCGTGTCCTCTATAAACCCCTCGGGATTCTCCTTAAGCCTTGAAACACACATTATCTCTTCTTCATCGAGATCTAGACTATCCGAGCAGCTGCTGATCTCAATCTCCTGCTCATCTCTTTCCTCACCATCTTCCTCATCTTCCCCCACCATGTTCAGCTTATCGAAAACGCTGTCCTTGAAGAAAAACTCGGCGCCCAGCTCGCTCTTTGATATGCTTTCCCTTCTTCCTTCCTTCTTTCTTTTCTTTTCAATCAACATTTGTATTTCCTCTATCTTCTCCTCAACACTCTTTTCCTTCAATTCCTCCTCCTCCACATTCTCACTGCCTCTGAGGAAGTCCAGATCAGGAACCTCGATAGTTCTCTCTCTTACACTTTGAATTATCTTCTTTCTTTTTCTTAGCACTTTCCTAATATCTCCTTTCCCAAGCAACTGGAGGTCCTTGAACATGTCCAGAAACTCGGGCTCAAGAACCTTGGACACATCCTTTTCATCTATGTCAACTACAATCTCAGAGTACTTCGAAAGCATCTCAGACAACACAGCAGGGTCATCTTCCTTCAGGAACTCGCTGAAATTCAACTTCTTGTGGAAGTTGAAATCATCGTACCCTCCTGCATCCTTCATCTCCGTAAACACCGCAGAAGGCTCAAGTACCGAGTAATCAACATTCTCTTCTCCAACAAACCCTAGGCAGACAAGAAATATTTCTGCACTCTGGCTCCGGGAACTAAGCGGCTTCGAAGTCTCGACAGTTTCAAAGAGCTGTGCCAAAATGCTGTGCAGCGAAAAGTAGTCCTGCGATCGGAACACCTTTGTAACAAACACACCGCCCTTTTTCAGAAACTCCGATGCAAGCTTGGTCGAGTGCAATACAAGCAGGTTCTGGTTGAATGCATCGTTCTCCCACGAGGTTCCCACGTTCGGCGCTCCATCATGGAGCACAACATCAGCCTTGTGCGCCCCAAGTATTTCCCGCAGCTTAAGCCTGCACTCGTTGGATGTTATGTCTTCAACAATCGTATCAACGTCTCCAATAAACTTTATCGGCTCCAGGTCAACAGCGACTATCTTTCGCCGAAGAGGCATTTCCTGGGCTGCCACTTGGGACCATGATCCCGGGGCTGCACATAGATCGATAAGAACATGTGCATTCCCAAGGAACCCGTACTTTCTGTTCATCTGAAGAAGCTTGAATGCAGATCTTGCCCTATATCCCTTTTCCTTTGCAAGATTGTAATACTTGTCAAGCCTTGTCTTTCCTATGCTCTTGCTCTTACCCATGAAGGACTGACGGCAATTTTTTTATCAAGGAAGAATGTTGATGGGTAAATCTCTTGGAGTATGCACTCCCATCTATGAGATGATTGACATAAGTAGAACAAACAATGATCTTTACTATCGCTACAAGATGCCCAAGGCCGTTATCAAGGTGGAAGGAAAGGCCGGAAACACAAGGACGGTGATTGTAAACCTGGAGGAGATAGGATCCTCTCTCAAAAGGTCGCCTCTATACATTTTGAAGTTCATGAGCTATGAGTTAGCCACCAGGATAGATGCTGGGAAGGGACGGTATGCCGTGAATGGGAGGTATGAGTGCTCAAGAATCCAGGATCTGATATATGATTTCATTGATGGGTTTGTTATGTGCTCTTTCTGTAACAATCCCGAGACATTCTATGTCAACAATGGCGGGCTGTTTATGGAATGCTTAGCATGTGGAAAGAGATCCGGTGTGAAGGCTTCCAAGCTTAGTGGAACGATCCTCAAGGATGTGGAGAAGAATTCTTTTGAGCGTGATGATACATACCTCAGTGCTGCTGGGATGGAGGACAGTGAGTACAAAGACGATATTCGGAGGCTGATGGAGTCTGACTGCGACAGGTCTGAAGACGTTGTGAATCTGCTTAAAGACCATGGATTGTCCGATGAAAAAATCGCAAAGGAGGTTTTGATGTTTGACGGAGGCATTAAGAAATGCAAGAAGATAACCGAGTTCATTTCACCGAGGGCTTTTCTGAGCTCAGTAGAGGAGATTGTCGAAGACGGAGGCGAAAAGAAAAAGATCCAGGAATATCTGAGGATGCTTGAGGAAGAAAAGATGTTCAAAAGAAGTGAGCTCTTCAAGTATTTTACAAGGCCCCAAGGAAATAAGAAGAGATCCCCTGAGTTCAAGAAGGAAGTGAGTGAGTACTTCTCGAACCAATAAACACCGATTGCGTCTTTCTCCTTTTGAAGTAAGGAGGCGGTTTTCTAGCCTCAAAATTTTATCCCTAAGCATTTATGGCTGAGGACTATAACAAACAGAAGGTATACTTGACTGACATAAGTAGGGAGCCGAATGCTGGAGGTCGAAAGCAAGCACGGATAGAGCTCCGTGCTCTCAAGGATGCATATGCATTGAAGATTGAGCCTGAGATGATGCCGAAGGAGGAAAGCACTGTCCCGGATACAAATCTGTTCAGGGTGACTGCCTACTGCACTGCAGATGGATATGACCTCAAGAATCTGTACAAGTATTTGAAAAAGAACTCTCTGTGTAATAAGGTGTCGATGTACTTTGGAGAGTGCCTGTATACCCTAATGAACTTCCGTGGTAGCGAGGAAAGGCACGACTGCTTCTTTTACGAATACGGTGTTGTGGTGTGCTGGGGAATGTCGGAAACGCAAGAGTCTATGATAGTCAAGCTTGTTGAGAAGTACGAGGAAAATGGGCATGAGCCGTCAGAGGTTGAGATTGAGTCGTTTAAGTACGGAATAACAGACAACCCATTTATCATTAATGATGTGATATATCTGAACTCTGAGAACCACTTTACAAAGATGGTGATTTCGATTGCAATAGCCCAAAGCGTGAAGCTGGACTACTTTGAAAATCTTGTGGATAACACTATTGATGCGGTCAAGGAGTTTCCAGAAGAGGTTGAGAGAGAGGGGAAGGTCAGCAAGAGTAAAAAAGAGATACTGAAAATGATAGGAAAGCTCCATAGGCTGCGATTCAACCTGAATCTTGGGTCCAATATTCTTGACGAGCCTGAGTTTGTGTGGGACTATCCTGCATTTTCGTCTCTCTATGAGACATGCAAAAGATATCTTGACATTAAGCCGAGAGCTGACCTACTGAACAGAAGATGCGATGTGATCAATGGGATATTAGAGATTCTTAACGAGAACACCAATAGAAGCAGTATCGAGAAGTTTGAGGTTGTTCTAATTATTATAGTATTGAGCAATGTTGTGCTGATAATATCCCAACTAATAGAAATGTACATCAGACTTTCAAGTAGTTCGTGATTTCTATTTGAAGTCTCCAGTATATATACCAGAGCCTTGTTTTCAAGACATGACAATAAAGCATTTTAATTGTTGTGCTTGGAGTTTCCCAGATCATCTTATCTTTACTTCGCTATCTCCCTCCTCATGGCACAATGAAGATGCACTCGTGCAGGCATCCGAACACTCTCTCACTGCTGTAGAGATGACAGTGCTTGTGTCGAATATCCATGTGTGCTTACTGTTTCTTGCACTTATGCACAACTCACATGGTTGTAAAACACGGTATCCCAGAATCATCCGACAGCATTTGCACTCTGTATCAACCACAACACACTTGCACGAATATCCGATATAACTATCCCTGATACACCTCACATTCTCTGTAGGAGCATTTGTTGAATACACCTGGATTTTAAGGCTTGATGCGAGCAAAGATTTTGATGCTCTTCGGCAAGATACATTGCCGCATCCAAAGCACCTGATGGTGCAATCTGTCTTTCCATCCTTATAAGGCATCATTGCCGTTCATGCAGACGAATGACGTTTATATCCAATTTAAAAACCTTATGTTTTATTATCATAACCTCTTCCTTAATTTAAGCCTACTCAGAAGGCTTCAGTACAAAGCCAAAGCAAGCCGTAATAGGAACAAATACCCTCTCGTTCCACCACATCCTAACACTTCCCTCCTCTTTGATCGGAACATTCTTCTGTCTTAAGGTCACTTTGGAGCTATTGAGGAATTCTTCAAGAAGTATTCTAACCTCCGTAAAGCTATTCCATTCCTTAAGTCTCCATTTCATTTTGATTTCTCCATCCTCCTCCCTTAGCTCTCGAATAACTACATTGTCAATCAAAATATCGTCTCCCTCAAAGGATGCCCTATGCCCGGTCCACATGGAAACGTATTCCTTGGACAAAATGAAATTCTTGAGTTCGCCAACCTCACAGTTAATGGTTGCCTTGTAGGTCACATCTATGGCCTTCGCCTCCTCTGCAGCTATCTTCCTAGTGCAGGGCTTCCTCTCTCCTACTTCCTTATTGATATCCAGAACCCTGTTTCCAAACTTGAGAACCGCCTCTGACTCCATCTCTTTGAAGAACTCCGGAAACCATCCGAAGTCTTCCATCCCATCGGCCCTTTCAGACACAGAGTAGAAGTTCCTTACCCCACAGTGTCTTCCATCCTTTGTGCACTCAAAACTTATCATATACACAAGTCCCAAGGTGTTCATTCTTTGGCATATCTTAACCATCACATCCATCTCATACACTTTGTAATCCCTGGTTTCCAGTGCTTCTTTGATCTTGTCTTTTGCCCATCCAGATAAATCAGACTCCGCCCAGTGGTAGTTTGATCTTTTCTCCTCCATTTGGGGCACTCCGTATGTTTCTTTTTATCCTCAAAATAAGGGACAGACTCACTCTGCAAGGGACCGCAAAATCCTTAGTTCGAGATAGCTCTTGGAGCTCCTTTTGAATAGAAACTGGACACACAAGGTATCCGAGCTAAACGTAAGCATTACTCTGTCAATATATCCCTTGATTCCCGTTAGAATCTCTGTCCACTTGTTGTTGCATCTGAACTGCATATCTCCTGCCACAATGAAGTCAACCGCAAAAAACTCAACCTCCTCAAGCATATCAGCTGCAGCTCTTCTAATAAATAGCTTATCGTCTTCAACCTCATATGTTACTATCCCCTTCAATATTCCAAACGCCTCTAGGCTCTCAGAGCTTACAATAAGCTTCGAAATAGATACGTCAGGCTCTTCATATTCTTCTTCTATTGTAGTTACAAAGGGAATGAATATAGTATTTCCCCCATCAATAAGCCTAACCTCTTCCTCAATAACAAGATCAAATTTGTTCAAACCGTCCATGCCCTCGAGTAAATGCCTTGCTCTTACAGTAAATGTCAAGTTGTCCCCATCAATCGTGATCACGTCATCACTCATCGTCAGATAAAAGTTGCTCTGCCCATATGAGAAAGCACACACCGCTCCTTGTCTTATCCCAAATGTGATGTCTCCCCTATTGACAAATATACCCAGCATGCTCCTGAAGAACTTCTCGTCCTTCAGTGAAATCCTCATCAGGGATAATCCAGAGTCATGGCCACACAAATTTATTTCATAAGTGATAAATGCACACAATTAATTAGATATTAATTTCGCTTGTCACTAATATTCATCCTCCCCTGGATCGAAAGTATAAATAGGCTCTTCCCTGGAGATGCATGTGCGGGATATTTTCGTATGCAAACTTCTCCGTGGAAAAAACTAAGGACGAAATAGCCAATATCATGATAAATGGTCTGAAGCGGATAGAATACCGGGGATATGATTCCGCAGGATTCTGCATCACTGACGACACAGATAAGAACTTTATCAAGATCAGGGCTGTCGGGAAAGTAGACACACTCTATAAGATGAAGGATTCCCAGACCTCTGCAGACCTTACGAAAAAGGTGCATAACCATGTTAGCATTGCACACACGAGATGGGCTACACATGGGCAGCCTAGCGTTGAGAACAGCCACCCACTGAGTAGTGATAAGGACAACAACTTCCTTGTTGTGCACAATGGGATTATTACAAACTATAAGGACCTCAAGACGTACCTCAGTAAGAAAGGATTTTCATTTGAGTCTGAAACAGATACAGAGTGTGCAGCAAAGCTTGCACTCCACTTCTACAGAGAGATGGAAAAAAATGGAGAAAAGCCAGACTTTGTGGCCATTGTGAAAAAGGTTGCAAGGCACTGCGAAGGGGCATTTGCCTTTGTATTTGCATCTCCCTTGTTCCCAAATGAGCTTGTCACAATCAGGAAATCGTCTCCTGTCCTCATAGGCCTCAAGCCATCAGGAGGAATGTCCTTTGACTTTTTCGGCGTCAATTACGAGGATTCTATGGACGAGCCTGCTTCCCCTCAGAACTCCCCGCAGCTCTCTTCTAAGCCCCAAAGACATGGGTTTGACCAAAACATTGAGACCATAGCACGAGGCGTGGAAGACTGTTCTCTGCGTGTACATAACAAAGAGCCTCTAGAGGTTTTCGTTGCATCGGACGCTTCTGCTCTTATAGAACACACAAGAAAGGTTATCTATCTTGAGGACAATGACATAGCCCATATATCCAATGGCAATATATTCATACATAGGTTGTATTCAAGGAAGAAGGACACAGGGCCAGACACAAGGGAGGTCAAAACAATTGAAACAGAGCTGGCAGCAATCATGAAGGGGAGCTACGATCATTACATGCTTAAGGAAATAAACGAGCAGAAAGAATCTGTGGTTAACACAATGAGGGGAAGAATCAACTTCGAAGACTTTACGGTTAGTCTTGGAGGGCTCAAGGGCTACATCAATGACATAAGAAAGTCACAAAGAATAATATTTGTAGCATGCGGAACTAGTTACCATGCCAGTCTTGCAAACAGGCCACTTCTTGAGGAGCTCCTTGAGATTCCTGTGAGTGTTGAAATAGCCAGCGACTTCCTGGACAGGAATCCCCCTATACTGAGAAGTGACTGTGTGTTCTTTGTGTCTCAAAGTGGTGAAACAGCAGACAGCGTCATGGTGTTGAGATATTGCCTGTCTAGAGGAGCACTTTGTGTTGGCATAACAAACACCGTTGGAAGCACCATCTCGAGAGAAACGACGTGTGGTGTCCACATAAATGCAGGGCCAGAGATAGGTGTGGCAAGCACTAAGGCATACACAAGCCAATACATTGCAATAGTGCTGGTTGCTCTCCAGCTGAGTGAACAGAACCTTATAAAGCAGGAGAGAAGAAGAGAAATCATGGAGGGACTTAGAAACCTAAGTACTCAAATAGGCAAGACTCTGGAGATGGGAGATACTATAAAAAGCCTGGCGAATGGCCCCATAAAGGATGATGTGAATCTTTTGCTTATAGGAAGAGGCTACCAATATCCAACATGCCTGGAGGGTGCGCTCAAAATCAAGGAAATCACCTACATTCACTCCGAAGGGCTTGCCTCAGGAGAGCTAAAGCATGGCCCCATAGCTCTTGTTGATGAAAAGCTCAAAATTATCTTCGTTATAACAAAGGATTCGCTGTATGACAAGGCTAGAAATGCAATGGAGCAGATATCTGCAAGAGGAGGGAGCCCTATCATTATATGCACCGAAGACATTTCGGGAGAATATGAAGGTCATGATGTTTTCACTGTTCCAAAGACAGTGGATTGCCTTCAAGGAATCTTATGCATTATTCCCTTGCAGTTATTGTCCTATTATCTTGCCACAGCAAGGGGATACAACCCTGACTTCCCAAGAAACCTTGCAAAATCAGTAACTGTTGAATAAAGCCTCTAATGTGTAATCTTCTTTCTACTTAAGAGGAGTTTAATAGTCGTGAGATGCTCCATCGAAGAACAAGATTCAATTGTACAGAATGTGAAAAATGCTATTTTTCAGGTGCCTGGAAAAACTGCCTACTCAATAGCTCAGAAGCAGTGGGCCTTTTGCAAGGAGAAAATGTCAGAGCCTTTTCGAGAACATCAAGGAGCTCTGGCTCCTCAAAGAACTTCTCAAGATACTTCCTGACGCCCATCCCAGGCTTGTAATCGGGCTTCTGACACCCAAGCTCAATCAGATCATCCTGGGTGGCTCTGACAATCTCGAGAATCTTATTGAGTGTAGATCCACTCGTACCTCCCTTGAACATAGGCCCGGGATGCCTGAACTCGGCAATCACACACCCTACAGACCATATGTCGATCCTAAAATCATATTCCTTGTAATCTAGAAGATTCTCTGGCGCCCGGTAGAATCTAGAGCATATGTATGTTATGTTTCGCTCTCCTCTTCCAATCATCTTTGCACTCCCGAGATCACAAATCTTGACCAACCCATTAGGCCCTATAAGTATATTCGATGGCTTTATATCTCTGTGGCATATGCTTTTTCCATGAAGATATTTCAGCCCTTCCAGGATCTGTTTGTATACAGATCTGATCACTCCGGTCTCTGTATTTCTATTTTCTTTTATGTATTCCTCCAGATTTATCCCAACAAAGTCTGTGATGATATTGAGATACATTCCAGAAGGCGTTTTGTCTGTATGGAAATACGACACAAGCTTTACAATGTTTGGGTGGTCCACCTCCATCAGAATCCCAAGCTCCCTATTATGGTATCTCCTATCTTGGTAAACCCTTTTCAGCGCAAAGAAATTGCGTCTGTCATCCATTATTTTGACAACCACGCCGAAGGATCCTTTCCCAATCATCTCAACATATTTGTAGCGGACCTCCTTTATCTCTCCGCACCTCGATCGGGCCAGTGCCTTGTGCATTTTTATCCATTCCCTCTCAATCAACTTTATGGACTCTACAAGCTTCTTCTGGGATAATGTTGCCATTTGGGGAAACCCGAAATCTATTCTTGAATAGAGGCCTGACGGTCCTCTTCGCACTCTTCTTTCACCCCTCCCTGATTCTTGATTCTAACGAATCTAAAACAACCTGCACAATTTCTGCCTGGAACACAAAAACAAACCTAAATGAGTGCAGCGCGATTATTCCTTCTGGCAGGCATTGCATCAGCCCTCCCCTCATCCCTGGGTCCAGACGCACACTCTCTCGTCAAGATGACGTACAGCGGAGTAATAGATGCAGGAACTACTGGCACAAGACTGAACATATATGGATTTCTTAACGGGGAAATCAGGGACCAAGGCTTATTCACAAACACGTTTGGGCTTGCGAATGCAGAGAGCGACGAGGAGATTAGAAACTCAATCAGAGAGCTGTTTACACATGCACAGCCCTTCTACACTAATATCAAAGAGATACCCATTGGGTTCTATGGCACGGCAGGGTTTAGGGTGCTAGATAAGTCCCGCTCGGACCATATTCTGGAGCTTGTCAAAAACGAGCTGAGGGACTATAACCTCAAAGAAGCCGAAGTGATTAGCGGCATAGACGAGGGGAAGCTTGCTCTTATGGCATTGGCCCTTTCGAATAGAGGGATAGTCGGGAGCAAGAGCATGGGAATCATTGACATGGGGGGTGGAAGCACCCAGATATCTCTTCTAGAGAAGAACGGGGAAATATTTTCAGAGTCCATAGACCTCGGGATCACTGCCCTCGGGCTATCAGATCCAAAAGAGTGTAAAGGTAAAGAAAATGATGAGCAGGAGTCATGTGCTAGAAACATCATGTCGAGACTTATAGGCATAACCATGAGGCCTTCTCTGAACAGCATTGACGAGCTATACCTACTTTCGTATTTCCACGACGAGTTTGGAAAGGTTACTAGAAACGAAAAGACAAACATGAAAGAAATCAAAGGTGAGTTTTACAAGAAATGTAGCCTACTTGAATCCCACGAGTGCAGAAGGCTGTTCTATTTGATTTCTTTTATAAAGAACCTTGGGATAGAGGACACAAAGTTTATCCATCAGATAGATACAAACAATGGAATTAACATTGCCTGGGCATCCGGTAAGGGATATGAGCTTAACAAAAAATACAACTAGAGAATATAAGACTAAAAAATAAAACTGGTTTGCAGATATTAAGAACTTTTAGTTAGTAGGCGACAGGAAAGCAAAGAGAGAGAGACTACCAAAGCAAAACCCACACTGGAGAATAAACGTGCTGATGTCAAACATAAATCTGTCTCTGTTGCTCTCAAAGCTATGGTTTCTTAGCATTGACGACCTGATAAGAAACTGAGAGATAGAAGAGATGGCCATCATGCAGAGGAACATCCATATCCCCTTCGCCAGAAGCCCCACAAACATAAGATATGGATAGTGTACAACAGAAAGCGCAACAACGTATACATATGAAATATAAGACGTGTCAGCCCCTTTCCCGAGAACCCCCTTATAGATGTATCCTGCTCCAAAGAAGAACATAATCATCACGAGGAACGCCCCGAAAGACAAGCCAAGGGCAGGCCCCACCCCACTCATGCCTTCAACCCACGAAACTATCCATAAAAACCCAAGGACTTGCAGCGTTACAAGCCCTGTATATGCGAAAACAGGAGCTACTGATTCTCTCACACTCTCCATGTCAATGTGGTAAAGTTCTAATGCCCTGACATAGTCTCTGAGAAGATTCCCTAACAAGGATCCGTCCCTTATGTCAAACACTTTTCTACTCGAGTGGCCTTGAGTTGTGCGGACTACCATTGGGGATGTTTGCCATTTTTGTTTATAAGGGTAGATGAAACAACGGGGTGAATCATATCAGTCAATGCCTGTCTTTCCTGACTCTTCTTAGAATAGACCATCTTCTGCTCCCCTCCAGCTCTGCTAAAATGTCCTCGTCACAGAGTCCTTCAAGATCTTCTACGGATAAGGGCCCAAACTCCCTTATTCTCTTTATAATGCGTTGCTTGCTCGGAACCAATGCCTCTCTATTCCTCACGATCGTCCTGAACAACTGGACAAGGTCTTTTTCTCCTATTATATCATCAATGCTGAGCATCAAAGGGCCATCACTGAAGTAAATATCCCCCTGAAGACCATGCCAAACTGCAGAAAATCAAACATTTATTATTATTGCGAGTCATACAGGAAGTCGAGAAGCTCACTAACAGTAATCTCTCCGTTTCTATCAAATGGACAGCTTCTGAAGAGCTCTCCCATCTCCTCTTCATTTAACTTGTCTCCCATGGACATGTACTTTCCGAGGTCTTTCTTTGAAATATGTGTTCCATGGATAAACATCTGAACCATTCTCCTCATCTCGTCTTTGGGCATCGGAGGCGCAATGGCGGATGCAAGCTGACTAAACTCTTCAAATGTTCTGGGCACCACTATGTCTCTTTCTCGGGGCGTAAACCCGCACAGCCTTAGCAAATCTTTTGTTGTTTCCTTTGTAAGTTTCTCAGTCTCAAACGAGTCCCACTGCTCCCTCATAGTCCTCATTTTCAAGGGCTTGGCCCTGCCATTATTTCTTTTGTACCTCATGCGACAGCCTGTCTAAAAGAAGTATCATCCAGCTATTGAAGTCGTCGTCAACTTTTTCTCCAAAGTATTCCTTGCAATCTCGATGGAGCTTGCTGACCCTATCATACAATGAGCAGATCTCCTCATACCTTTCTTGGATTTCTTCCATCCTCTCCTGTATTTTGGGAAAAGAAGATCCGCTCGCATTGATATAGTTCTTCTTGAGCTCTTCAATCTCAATGCACAGTGCCTCAAAGTTTATTCCACTGGCATCATACACTACACTTAGATCCTCAAGCAGTAGCTTGCAATCAATCTTCTTCTTCAAAAGCCCCAGCAAACTATTTCCATTGTTCTTTACTTCCAGTATCTTCGGAATAGACTCCATTGTAAATCCCTCTGCATTCCCTAGGAAGCTGCCCCTGTTGAGATAATTTCCTGCCGCCAAAGCAATCCCCAGAAATCTCCTCAACTCTTTGCTTTCCAGAAGCATGGCATAGTATCTCTCGAGAATCCCAAGATTCTTACAGACATTCTGGTTCCTGAACGATATTATGAAGTAGAGATAATAGAGGCACCTTTTCATCATCTCAACCTCTTCAATGCTCTCCTTGAAGAACTCTTCTCCCCTTCCAAACACATGGTCCGTGCTTTGCAATTGTTCTATTTCCTCATCCGTCGGAAAGTAGAAAAGAAGCTGCTTCACAAGGTTTTCATTGAGATCCTCATGCATGTTTAATATTGCAGACTTCAACTCGCAGTTGCTTTCCTTTACCCTTCCCAATGCAATGTTAATCGCATAGTTCTTCTTTTCGGAAAACACACTCGGCTTTTTCTTTTCCATCCCCATGCTCAGTGCCTTTGGCTTTTCTCCCTTCACCTCAAATCCATCAAACTCCTCGGTTCTAAAAATGCTCTCCATCTCTTCCGTCTTTATCCTGCTCCACACGCTGTTTCCTTTCCCCATCTTCGTCCATTTCACCTGGGTGTATCTTTTCGACGGGGCGGTACTTTTTGCAACCTTCTTGATTATCTTCTTTGGACCCTTAGCCTTACTCAACTCCACCTTCTTAACCGCTTCCCTCTTCTTTTCAACTTCTGCTGCACACGCCTCCGTACCCTCCCCCTGGACTTCGGAAATCTTCATCTTCTCTACATCCTCTCTCAACTCCCCAAACACCTTGCTGTCCCCAAATGCAAACGCCTCGAAGATACAGCATGCAACATCGAGAACCCCCTCAGCCTCAGCTAATCTCAGCACCTCATCAATTCGACCCCTCTTCCAATCCCGACGAATGTCAGGTTTAATCTCTTTCACTATACTCTCGAAAACATCTTTATTGACGACCCTGTCTTCCAGCGAGGAAAAATCAGATACAAACAGGATATACTTAACATGCACAGACCTTGGAGATTTGAGAAGTGGCACCAAAAAATTCAGCTCGTCTTCGATTCTTGGAATCCTCTTGGTGTATTCAACAATCTTCGACAGATAGCTGTTGCAAACACACCTGTTAAAGTCTGTGCTGAAAAACAGCTCATCCGCCTTGTTTTCGTTCACCAGAAATTCAAGGATTTTAAAGAAGGATCTCGTTTCATGCACTTTCCCACTAAGAAACCCGTCAAGTAGGAGCCTAAGAAACGGCGGGAAGTGGTTCCCGTACTTCGATAGGATGATATACAAGGTGTCGCAGATAACATCTCCAAACTCCTCATCCATCCTTCTCATGCATCTCACAAGCACATCGTGCCCTCCTTCTCCACTGAAAATCTCATATAGGACCCTGGGCCCTGTCTCGAGAGAAACCGATAGGCTCAGGAGATTGAGCACACTGTTCCTGTCCTTCAGCTTTACCACATACTCCTTGATCTTCTTTTTCCTTTCCTCCAGTGTCTGCATCGACGTGATGGTCCTGATCTTCTTCGATAGATTCAGCTTTGCCGCTAGCTTGTGCTGCTTCTCCTCGTCTATCCCCATTCCCTCCATTATGCTTCGGAACTGTATATTGATGTGCTCTAATGACTTCGACTTCCAGGACTCCATGGGTCCTCGTTTTCGGAATGACTTATTATAGCCCTTTCTGGTTGTGTAATTGGTATAGTCCTCTTATCTACTCATTTATGTTTTCTACTAAATGTTTTGGGAGTAATCACATTTCAGAGATGCACCCTTCCCAATAAACATGAGAAGCCAGGAAGAGCAGAACATGGATGGAAGAAAAGAAGTGGATGTAGACATTGAAGGCAGTGCTGCAGTCGACGGGAAGGAGGTGTCTGACCCTCGCGTTGCAGATGCTGCGTCAGGAGCACCCGAGAAGGAACATGGAGAAAAAGCTAAGGGATATGGTATAAGTGAGTTCAAGGAATACATCACCGAGATTCCCTTTCCCATTAAGGAAAAAACAGGGGTCATGAGACAATTTCTGTCCGGAATCGAGAAGTTGTTTGCCATTATCAAATCATCATTCAGAAAAGCAATCCTGTGGATATCCAAAAAAAACATTAGAGATGAAGAGAAAGTGTGAAAATAAATTCTTTCAAAACGATTGTAAGGATCCATGACTTTATTTTGTGTATAGAAGACTAGAAATAGCATTTAGCAGAAATGCACGCCATTCCGACCAATCCCACTCCTATAGATACTACTAGGATTACCCATGTCCTCCTTAGTCTCCTTGGCCCTTCAATATTCCTTTTGATTTTATCAAGGATCAGCATGCACTCCACAATCTCCTTCCTTGAAATGCACCCTCTCCTTCTTCTAATCATTTCTGACACTTCCTTGCAATATCTCAGCGACTTTATGATTCTTCCAGCAAGCTCCTCCTCCAAAGACGTGAAGGACGCATCCGACGGCATGTCTATATCAGACAGGAAGCTTCCCTCAGAAAATGTGCCTCCCCTCGAAGAATATCTTTGGAGCATTTCCTTGACTTTCTCCACGGTGCTTTCTCTTTCCATTTTCAAGGGATACATTTACTGCCAAGTGGACAAGGTCACGCCCTCCAGGCCTTATGAAAGTTCGCACAAATACTACATCTTTGGATCAAATAAATTTAATACTCATCAATGGGCTCTGAATTCGAGGAGATCCTTTCGTAATCGTCCTCGAGCATGGCAAGATCCTCTCTGGCCTCGCTGAACTCTCCTTCCTCCATACCTTCACCGACATACCAATGCACAAATGCTCGCTTCGAAAACATAAGGTCGAACTTGTTGTTGAGCCTCTTCCATGCTTCAGAAATCGCCGTTGTGTTCGAAAGTGCACACACAGCCCTGGACACCTCTGCCATCGCCTCTCCATCAAGGACAGTGGGCTTTCTACTGTTGATTCCAACCTTGAATCCCGTGGGGCACCACTCAACAAACTGATTGGTCCTCTTTGCCTTGACATTGGCAGTCGCAGTATTCGCGTCTTTTGGATTCACGTCTCCTCTGAATAGAAGGCAGCATGCCATGTACTTCCCCTTGCGAGTGTCGCATCGCACCATTTGGCTTTGCGGCTCGAAACATGCGTTTGTGATCTCCTGCACACTTAGCTTCTCATGTGCTGCCTTCTCCTTCGACAGCATAGGAGAGTATGCAACAAGAGGAAAATGAATTCGAGGGTAGGGAACAAGGTTCGTCTGGAACTCAGTCAGGTCGACATTTAAGGACCCAGGAAACCTGAGAGATGCTGTTATAGACGAAACAACCTGCGCTATTATCCTGTTGATGTCCGTATAATAAGGCCTTTGGATCCCTAGATTTCTACACATGTCATAAATCGCCTCATTGTCAACAAGAAATGAACAGTCAGAATAATCCAACGTCGTGTGGGTCGTAAGAATGCTGTTGTAAGGCTCAACAACTGCAGTTGCTATCTTTGGTGCCGGATAGACACTGAACTCAAGCTTACTCTTCTTTCCAAACTCTGCCGCAAGCCTATCCATCATCAATGATGCAAATCCAGATCCCGTTCCTCCCCCAAAACTGTGATATATCAAAAACCCCTGTAGCCCATCACAGTTGTCTGCCATTCTTCTTATCTGCTCCATCACAGGCTCAATTATCTCCTTTCCAACAGTGTAATGCCCTCGCGCATAGTTATTTGCAGCATCCTCCTTCCCAGAAATAAGCTGCCCAGGGTGATACAGCTCACGATACTTCCCAGTCTTGATGCTCTCAAGCACTCCAGGCTCAAGATCAACCATCAGCGTGCGCGGAACATACGTCCCAACACTTGTCTGAGAGAAAAACGATTCTGCACTCTCGTCGTCCATCCTGTTCTGGTCAAGCCGCCCGTCAGGTAGAATCCCATGCTCCTTACAGTACAACTCCCAGCATGCATTACCTATCTGCACCCCAGCCTGTCCTATGTGCAATGAAATTATTTCTCTCATCTTGTCGGGGTGAACTAGAGCAAAATTTTATATCTGGTCTCCTCCCAGGCAAATAAACCTTAGAACCTAGTGGAAAATCCTCTACAGATTAATGTCTTGCTAGAGCCACATGAGCTCCACACAAAACTAGCTGCAGGCTTAGAATAAGATATCAGATCAAGGCTTTTTAATAACAAACCGTACCCTCCTACATTCTTTTTTCTTTTGTAAGGTTTTCAAGCTTATTTCTGAGCATTGCATACGTCATCATGATCTCATCAAGAAACTCTCTACTTTCCTCATTCTTCTTGTACAGCATCACTTCCTCATTAAGCTCCTCTAATGCCTTCTTCAGGCTCTCATGCAGATACCGAAAATCCACCTCATCCTTGTTGAGATTCCACATTCTCTTCAGCTTCTCTGCACTCTCTACAAGAAGCTTAAAATTTTTCTGCAGGTTCCTTGTCTGTAAATCTTGTGTCTGTGAATATAAAAGATTAAACTTGGTCGGCTTCAGCATTTCCATGGACAAATATTGCTGATGGGAGCTTCTGTATATGTTGATAAGCTTCTGCTTTATCTGCTGTGGAAGCTCGTTGAATCTTGTTTCCTTGGTGATGGATTCCATTGGTAATGGGCCATTTTTCTTCCACTTATATCACTCAAAATGTTTCATTATCAGCGGGTATACCTCAGAGGGTCTCGTCTGCTGGGAAAGTATCAAGTTAAGCTTCCTTCTATACTCTTTGCAGCCTCTTTTCCCCTTCATAAGATTCATTATTGGCAAAATATGAACAGACCTCAGCCGGGTAGAGGGTGCAAGCCCTTCAAAGTATTGCTTGACAACGGAGCGTATCTTTTGTGCTCTTTTACTCTCATGGTCTCCGTTGCACTCACCTCCTCTTGTATCAGCATCCAGAATGCATTCCTCTTCGCCACCGTACTGTCTAGACAGCCGCTGGTCAATATCCCAGAAGACAAAGACATTTCTGATCGCCTCCCTCCCTATCATCGCCCCGTCTAGACCATCTATCTTATCCAAATTGTCTCCGCCGATAGATCCATTAAGGACAATCTTAAGCTCCGGATAAAGCTTCTTGATCTCATACACGCTACCGTAATCCAGAGGTGGCAGCTTTCTGTTCTGCTCAGGGGAGAGCCCCTCTAGCCAACACTTACGCGCATGGATATAAAACGTCCTGTTGGGCGTGTTCTCCTTGATGTAGCTTACAAATTCCTTCAGAAAGTCCATCCCATCGTGGTCGTCAACACCCGTCCGGATCTTAAGGCTTAGAATCACTCCAGTCTCCTCATATACCCTGTTAATTATCTCGGAAACCAGCCTCCTATCAAGCATAAGAACTGCCCCAAAGCTTCCCTTCTTCACCCTCGAGCTAGGGCAGCCACAGTTAAGATTGAACATCTTATATCCGAAGCCTTGGAGAATCCTCACCGCCTCCACTATCTGCATTGCATCACTCCCCCCTATTTGTACAACTGTATTATCATCGTATTCTCCAAGCTTTTCTTTCAGCTTGTCCCGAGGAATATGAATTACTGTGTTCGACACAATCATCTCCGTAAATAGAACAGTCGTCTCCGACGTCAGTCTGATGAACCTTCGGAAGTGAGGCGTAGTGACATCCATCATCGGTGCTAGGCTTATTTCAATCTTCTTCTCCATGGGTGAACTTTCAGAGCCAATCATATCTTCCTGCTCTACTTCTCCATGCTGCTCCATGCTATATTGAGAAAGGTATCCATAAAGATGTTCCCTCCAAAAAACAGATAAATAGTGTCTAGGATTCTGTTCTATGAAAGAGCCCAGGATATGGAGCGCAAAGAAAGGCCTTAAGAAGGTGAACTCCGTGGACATACTGGTCAGGAGAAAAGCAGACAAGCCGCTGAAGAGGAGCAGATCCCTCAAGATCAAGAAGGCCATATCGACCCCAAAGAAAGTGGAAACACCTAAGAAAAACGTTAAGATTCTGTCTCCTGACAGCCGCATAGAAATCATGGGAAGCCCAGAGTCCAAAAGATACAATTCTACAAGAAAAATAGACTTCAATAATTAAACCACATTATTCTCAAGCTTGCATGATCTCATCTATGTACCAAACAGGATCGTCTTGAAGAACAAACAAAAATAGCGACATTCCTGCTGCATTCAATAACCTAAACATTTTGTATATTTCTCCATTCACTATCAGTGTCGAAGGACTCAGTATCGCTATGTCCTTCCTCTTCCAAGCCAGACCTTTCAGTGTCTCCAGTAGATCACCTTCGTTTGTGCATGTAATGCTCCCCTCCATCCTTATCCCATATGTCTGTATCACAGTCACTCCACAAAGCCTTTTCAGCAGTGTCCTATCTCTATATCTTATCTGATAGATCTTTCCAAAGGTTGCTCGCTCTTCAAGCCTTATCATAAAGGGTCACCTCAAAACAAGTCCTAGATGAGGTTGTTTCTTCTCAGATCCTCATATGTTCTCTTATCAAATACGTTTCCGTCCTCATCCTCAAATTCCTCCGTAAAGCTCTCTGATTCTTCCATTCTATCCTTCATCTTCATGAGAATTCCAACTCTTGTGATTCCCTTCAATACAGGAGAATACTTGATTCCATACTTGGAGACACCTCTTCCATGGATATCTTCCCCAAAGTGCCTATCAAAACTGCTGCGCCCATATCCAGAGTACCCACAAATATCACATTCAAACAATATATCCAGCTCCCTTTTCTTGTACAACCATTTCGGAACATCGTTTCTTATATCTTTCTCCCTCCCGGAAAACCTAGAAATGCTGTGCCTTCTTTCTCTGTCCAGGATTTCAAGTGCTTTCACAACCAGCCCTTCAGCCTTCAAAACAGGCATGCTACAAAGTAGAATCTCCTCCTTCTCTTTCTTGCAATGTTTCTTCCCCTTCAGGTGGTGCACAAACACATTTCTAGAAATCTCCCTCGAACATGCAATACAGTATACTTTTGGAAACACTCCTTCCATATAGCCTTTCTCACAAAAACTATGTGCTTCCGCCCTTTCAATGATGGATGGTGCAGAGGCAATAAATTTCCTGAATTCCCCAAGATACTTGATCTTGATCACTCCACTCAAGTATTCGTTCAACTCATTTAGATACTCTATATACCTGAATCTGGACTTGTCCACATTGAACTTGTGGATACTCTTCAAGAACTTCTTGTAATTATTGCATAGATGAACATCCATGTATTTCTTGAAGATCCCCTCCAGCTCCAGTCTAGCCCCATAGAACTTTGAGTCTTTGAATACACTCTCCACCTCTCTGTGTGCCTTTGTTTCGTAGTATTTGAAGTCCTTAAGCCTCTCTATCTCTCTTCCGAGTTTTCCCTCAATATTTAAAACTCCAAGTCTCTTATACTTCTTGTACTTCCTCTTTAAAATGCCTCTGATGTATCTTATAGCCATCCTATCCTTCCTGCTTGTAGGCCTCCTAATCTCGGCCATCCAGTTGCATATTTTCTCCATATTCTCCAGTATTCTGATCTGTCTCCGAACAACATATTCGTGCATGTCCTTAGATATTCCAAAATTTGTCATTCTTTTCTATTTTCACACCCATCAGCACTCTGTGCCATACATAACATTAGAAACAAGAAACATCATCTTTTAATCTTTTTCGTAGTCTTCCTACTTCCCACCCCCTTTGCGGCATCTTTTCTCTTCCTATCCCGAGGCGTCTTGCTAGCCTCTTCCTCCTCCTCGTCTAGCTCAAGCCTCTCAATCCGCGTCCTCCTGGCCACAAGATAAGACCACGAAAACCTCCTTTCCATAAACTCTATTTTTTCTTGGATGTATCCCTGACTTATGAGACTTCGAAGAATCCTCTCTATGGCCGTCTTCTTCAGATACTTCCCCTTCCCATAGTACTCACTTTCAGAATACTCTCTGCTCTTTTTATTCGACAATCCCTTGTACACATCCACAGCCTGGCACAGTGTAATCCGATTGCTCGTATAGACAAGAAGAATCAAATCGCGTGCCTCCTTGCTATAGTCCTTTTTGACAATGGCCTCTCTTCTACAATTGTCACACGTCTTTTTACACATCTGAGGATCAAACTTCTCTCCAAAATGCGCTAGTACCTGCATCCTTCTACAATCAGTCTTATTCTCGCAGAACTGGATAACAGCCTCCAGATCCTCTCTTTGCCTTTGCTTCTGCTCATATCCTCCATCCCCCTTCTCAATCATGAAGCTGATCTTCTTCTTGTCTCCATACGTATAGAATAGTACACACACACTCTCTAGGCCATCTCTTCCTGCCCTCCCAGTCTCCTGGTAATACCCCTCAAGCGACTTTGGTATACAATAGTGGATGACAAATCTCACGTCCTTCTTGTCAATCCCCATCCCAAATGCTATCGTGGCAACAATCACCTTAAACTCTCCTTTGTTCCACTTCTCTTGAACGCTGTTTCTCTCGTTCTTACTGAGGCCTGCGTGGTAAAACGCAGTCTTCATGTACTTTTTCAATCTGTCGCTGATCATTTCGCATTCCTTCTTTGACGTGCAATATATTATTCCACAGCAATCAGGAAAGTGTGTCTGAACAAAACTCACAATATCTAGCTCAACAGTGCTTGTCTTCGCCCTCACCTCGTATCTCAGGTTGCTCCTGTTAAAGCTCATCTTAAATGTCTCACATCCCCGGATCCCAAGATTCTCTAGAATGTCAAGCTCAACCTTCTTTGTTGCAGTGGCAGTTAATGCTATGATCGGTACAGAAGGATATCTCGCCCTTATGCTTCCAAGCTCCTTGTAGTCAGGCCGGAAGTCGTGTCCCCACTGGCTAACACAATGTGCCTCATCTATCACAAATCTTTTCAATCTTCCCCTTCTCACCAGCCCAGACACCACGTCGTGGAAGTGCCCACTCTTTGCAATGAGCTCGGGTGTCACATAGAATATCTTGCATATCAACTCTTCGCTTCCCAAAACCTCAAAAACAAGGCTTCTTTCCGTCCTACTTAGATTAGAGTTGATAGGAAGCGCGAGGATGTCTTTCTCTAGCAGATTCCGAATCTGGTCCTGCACAAGCGAAAGAAGAGGGCTTACAACAATGGTAATCCCCTCATACACAAGAGCCGGCAGCTGGTAGCAGATACTCTTCCCTCCTCCAGTAGGCATCAGCACAAACACATCCTTTCCAGACAGGCATGCCTGTATAACCTCCCTCTGGTTCATTCTGAACTCTTTCATCTTGAAAACCTCACGAAGATAGAACTCCTCTATAGACCTTGGCTCGTCAGATTCACAGGATGACAAGGAAGACTCTTCCAGAATGTGCACCGGAAATGAATCATCCACATCTCCTTTGTCTTCCATAGATGACCTGAGAAACGTTGTTCTGATACAGTCATTGTTAAGGCTGCATGAGTCAGAAAACTTCTCCACTATCCCTTTCTTCTCCTCCTCTAATGATAGTATTTCAATATCACTGGAATACTCTATCTCCCCACCAGAAACAACACTGATGTCGGAAACACCTTCTCCAAGCGATGAGTAGTACTCATAATCCACAGCACTCTTCTCACTCCTTGCCCCCTCACCTATGCCCTTGCTTCCAAGCATGCTCCTCAAACATGCATCTGCCTTTCTCAGGACAGACCCTTCGTCCGTTCCTTTCAACTCTAGTTTTCCTAGGTTCTTCTTCAGCCCATTCCCAGAGGACGTGTCATCTTCCGCATTCCTTTCCCACAGAGGCGATTCAATGTCCATCCTGTCTATAAACTCTACATCACTGTCAGAATCCGCCCCTCTTTCAATTCTTGTGCTACCTCTTACATCAGAATTGCTTGTTATCTCGCTAAACTCCCAGGAAAACTCGTTGATCTCTCGGTCCTCTAGAACAGCATTAATAAAAAACTCATCAGACTCCATTTCATACTTCCCACCGTTCATCTAATAAATTCCTCTCTAGTCAATCCCAGGGCAAACTTTTCTTCAATCAAATCCTCCTCCATCCTTCGAGCCTTCCACTTATTCCTCTGGCTTTCCATATTGTACCTCTCAACCAGAGCCACATTTCCAAACTCTCCCTCATGCTCACGCATGCATAGACTGAAAAGATAAAGACAGTTCTTCCTTAGTAGTATTTTGCATATCTCCTCAATCATCCCACTTCCCCTGTAGTGCTCAATAATCTCCTCTATCTCATACTCTCTCTCCTCCTCTATGCACATCTTGATATACCTCTCCATCTCCTCCGGAAAGTATATTATTACAAGTTTCAAAGCATCCAGGCTCGATATCCTCTCTATCCACGGCCTTAGCTTTCCTTTTCCCTCATCGTCCACCTTCCTATACAGCCTACAAATAACCATCTCCTTCTCCCTGCTCATTCCAGACTCTAACAGCCACCTGACCATCCATTCTCCTCTGTCGGTAAACACAAACAGCTTGAAGAGATACTCCTCAATCCTTTCCATCACTCTCGAGTCTATCTCAATGTCTGTAAACAATCGAAGTGTCAGATACAGATCAGATATATCCACCCAAGAAGACAGCCCAAGCAGCTTGCATCCATCCGTCCCATAGATACCTTTAAAACACGGTTTCGAGCAGATGTACCCACCATACTCCACATACACAGTACTGGAAGTCACAGCTATCATAGCCATCTCATCTCCCATTGTCTTACTCCATACCTTTGTAGGACTCAGAATCTCGGCATACTTCCTTACAAGGATGTCTTGCACTTTTAGAACCGCTTTTCCATTCTCCCTATATATCTTCTTCCCAAGCTCAATCGCCTCTTCATTCTTTAGTAAGTAGGTATTCCTGCTCAGATACTCCCTACCATCCTTCGACTCCAGACTCCATATCCACGCCTTGTCTTTTGAAAATCCTCCATCTAGGAATCCGGGCAGAGATCCCGAGGGAAGACAGCATCTTCTCCCATCTCTTTCCATGTACACACACTTGTTTCTCTCAGTTATGGATCCATTACAAAAGCATGAGGGCACGCTCGGAAGCTCATAAACCTTAAGTCTGTCCTCCACCATAAACAGTCTGTTTCCATGGATATGCCCGGGGGCACCAACCTCCACAACCCTGCGTCCTTCATACCACAAAAACCCTTCTCTCAGTACAAAGAGTGACTTCTCCTCCTTCTCAAGATCAAAGCAGTAGTCTTCCCTCAATATGTCCTTCAGCATCCTTCCCGCATACTTGTCTTTATCGAATGCATATTCCTCTATGCATTTCATCCCTAGCCCTTCTGTCTGTTAACCTAAATCTGCCTTCATCCCTTGGGATGGCTAGGAAACAACCAAGGAGAAAACTATCAGAAATAACAAACATACAGACAATAAGAACACTTAAGAAGTGCGACGAGCCAGAAGTGTGCATCATCCATCCAGAAGAGTCCATTGCCGACCTGGATGTTGTTGACATTCCATTGGAAGACGGAGTATTTGGAGATTATCAGGTAGAATGTCCAAGGGAGTTTAATCTATACAGCTCTCATTTCTAGACTCGTCCCAGTTGTCAAGGGTTTTCGATATGCTCTCCAGCTCTTCTTCAATCGCCATTAAACTTTGCTCGTCATCTGGAAATGGCATCACACATATTCGAATGGCCTTTTTTCTTTTCAGGCAATTCCATGCACACATCCCTTCCCGGATAATACCTGCATTTTCTTTCTTGCCCAATCTGTACACATGCTGATTGATGCACTCCACATCTTCCAGGCTCATCTCAACATCGATATATCCCCGCTGACTTTTAAACACCTCGTAAAGAACACATATGTTGACCATTGCCTCTGGAATGTGCTTGGAAGAGAGGAACTTTAAGACTTCGCGCGTTATTTGCTTGTATACGGTTCTTATAAACACAACCTGTTGCTCTGGATTCTTGTATATTCCAAAGAGGCTTTCGAAGTTATATTCGTCGAGCCTGGAGATGTCCCCGGACGCCATGATTGTTGCTCTTATGTTTTGGAGATCCTCTTTGATATCTTCTAGAAGGACTTCGTCCTTCTCTTTCACCGGCATGCTTGGGACAAAAATGTCATATGTAAAAGTTTTAGGCTCCTGAGGGCATCACTAGCCGCTTATGGCTCCTATCTGTTGTACCAGGCACCCAATGCCCAAGACATGTCCTGTTGGAGATTCCTCCCGGTGACAGGCGGCGTTAGGTCTGGAACAAGGTTTCTAGTCATCTGAGTGATACAGACAGGTTGTAGTTTCAGGGATTTGGTACAAAAGAAAAGACGGGAATGGGAACATGGAACTGGGTTTGATCTTGATATTCATGTCAACGTTTGTGGGTGCAAAGGACAGGGAGCTGGAAGAATTTGTCGAGAGGGATATCAAGGTCTTTTTTTCATCTTATCCTGCACAGGTTCTCGGGCTAGAGGAGGAAAGCGGGATCCTGGTATCCCATAGCAAGTATGTGAATCCAAGCAAATACAAGTTTATTACAAGAGCAAGGATAGTAAAGTCTGGAGGCAAATACATTATGATATTTGGAGAGAACAACGTCTGCAAGGACGGGAATTCCGTGATCAAGTGTAAGGAGGAAAGGCCCTGGGACATAGATCGAAAGGAGTTCGGCTACACAATCTCCTCTGGAAACAAATGCATTACAAAGGGACCTGATGAAACCATCGAGATGAAGGCCTGTGTCAATACTGAGGATCAGATATTCAACTTCAAGCTTGCCGATATCGGGGGGTGTGGAAGTCTCGAGTCTCTGGCAGGGAATGGATCCCCCAAAAATACAACTACCAACGTGAATATATTCCATCCCGATCATGAGCACTTACCGTCTATAAAGATAAAATCAAGGGGAAACGTGAGTAAGAACATCATTCTTCCTACCAATGGGATCGAGAGTAGAGATGAATGCTCCTCCTATGAAGAAGACATGGGCGGCCATATAATTGAGGAGGTGGATCGTCCGCTATATGAGGATGTTGTTCCCGAAAGAAGGGTGGTTGTTAAACGCCTGCAGAAGAAAAGACACTATCCTAGGAGAAGGAGAACCTACGTTGAGCATCACCACAGGCCCCATCATTATGGAAACAGAGGCTTCTTTGGAAGAGAGCCCATAGTTTTCTAGATAAGATTTTGGATTAAATGTGTTTATCCTAACATTAGGCTATGTGATTATCTCATAAAACACTTTTTAACTATGTATCACAATAATCTTAAATAGTGTCAGAATACACCAAAGCCCATGATTATGGCGCTCTGGGCAGGAGTGGTTCTCCCGTATCCTCTCTATCTTGACTCGTTTACTAACAAGCCCATCAGAATCCTGGCTGTGCAAGACAAAAACCTTCTTGCCTCTGAGTTTGTAAAAGACTTTGGATCAAATCCATTCAGGGTTATCAACATACTTAATCCGCACAACGGATACAATACAAAGTCGCAGATGAATAGAGATGGGTCTGTCTTCAAGGTAAGGATAGGAGAGTCCTGGCTTTGCAGAAATGGATGGGATCTTTCGAAGTGTGGGGGCGAAGTAGATTTCTGGGAAATAACCAAGGGTGTAGACGGCTACACCATATCACAGAAAGGATACTGTCTGAGTACCAATGGAAAGGGTAGGCTTGTATTGGAAAGATGCAACGGAAGAAGCAGGAGCCATCTCTTTACTTTTGAGGATATGGAGATTGAGAGCTGCCTGGATTCGGTTGACCTGGATGGGAAGCCAAGGACACAGGCAGAGATGGTCAAGCAGCTCAAGCTCAAGAAGAAGCTTGACGATTTGAAAAAGAAGGACAAGGCAAAAGCAGAGAAGATTAAAAAGAAACAGGAGGAAAAGAATAGCTTTAAGAAGTATGCAAAGAACAACCTCCCTGACCTCAAAGGAAAAGACGACATGAAAGATGTACTTGGAAAGCTATGGAATTTTGACTGGAGAAGGCCAAGCTTCTGGCATCCCTCCTTTCATTGGTTTGAATTTCCGTTCTGCAAGAAGCTGTGGTAGATACCTGTCCATCGGCTGAGGCTAGAGTGTGGCTTATAAATATTGGGAAGTTCTGAAACAAATAAAAAGGTATGGTAGTCCTATTTTTCCTTTTATTGTCCAAGGTGCTGGGACACATAAAGATTCCTGTAGAAATCAAGCTGTCTCTCAAGCCGGACATAAGCTTGAGTGTCGAGGGGATTCACCTGACCAACACAACCATTGAGAAAAAGGGAGAAAGATATGCAATAACAATAGGAAACTCGTATTTATCTGGAAACGGCACTTTGAACATCAGCAAAGACGAGTTCTATTGGGATGCATATGATAGGGAGCTCGGGACAATCATATATTCCGAAGACCAGTGCCTGACGTATACAAGAGGTGGCCTGGGGATGCTTCCATGCCTAGACCCCTCGGACTTCAGAAGCGCATCACAACTGTTTCAAGTCGATCCCATAGCCAGAATGCCCAAGGGTGCAAGTGCAATACACACAAAAATGAACCTGGTTGGAAAAGTGGACAGGCTTGTAGAGCCTCTGAATAGAAGAATAGCAGATATGGTCGATAGGATGGATTCATTTGAAATGTGAAACAGGCACAGATAAATGAGGCGAGCCTAGGCCTTTCTATTCCTCTTACTTTTTTCTATGATCCGGGAAATATGCTCCGGTACTTTGTGTCCATTCTCCTCTAGAAACTCGGCAACAACCGAAATCTTTCCAAAATCCTCGCCAGAATAAATCGTATAGATCTTCTGTCCTTGGCAGTTTCTGTTGATTCTCCCAACTCTATGTAAAAGCTGTGTTTTTGTATTCGGGAGGTCGTAATTTATAATACTCTTGATGTTATAGAAGTCGATCCCTCTACCTAGGGAATCAGTTGCAAACAGGTACCAGATCTTCTTCAGCCTAAAGGCATCAAGCACCTCTCCACTTGCCTCGCCTCCCTCTTTGTAAACTCCGCTTCGGTCCAGCAGCCCCTTCAAAAACTCTCCCGTCCTCTCGTCCTTGACAAATATCAGGGTTGGCGACTCAATTCCGTCTGCAATTATCTGTAGTAATGACAGATGCTTGATCTTTTTGTTTGTTCCAAACACAAACTCATGGTCTATGGGCTTCTTGGATATGACACGCACCTTCGTGATGTTCTTCACAGTCTCTATAACCTCCTCCACATACTCATTCATAGTTGCACTAAAACATCCAATGTGTGCATTCTCTACTTCAATCTCACGGAGAACTGATGCGAAAACCTCAATAGTTCCAGGATTTATCAGAAGATCGGCCTCGTCTATAACAAGATGCGTGACACCCTTCATCCCAGACGTGCATATCAATCCAAGAGCAGACCGAGGTGTCCCCACCACAATCTTTGTGTCACATTGAAGGGCCCTTGCAACTCTCTCTCTTGATTCACAATCCATGCCCCTTTCCACCAGGCCTCCCTTCCCGTCCTCTTCAATAAGCATGTCCTTCTCTCCGTCTCCACAAACTGCCACGACCTCCAGGCCCTTATGCTTGATCTCATTCACAACTCTGTAGACTTGCCTCACAAGCGGACTTCCAGGAACGAGTATCATTCCAAAAAGGTTCTCCTTCCGCGCCGTCTCAACAAGCGGCAAGCAGTAAGAGAGTGTCTTCCCACTCCCTGTAAATGCTTGAACAATAACATTTGTCTTCCTGAAAAAATACGGTATAACAACCTTTTGGACTAGGAGTGGCGACTCGAATGGAGCCTTTGTTTCAAGACCATCGAAGGTGCACAGAAGAGGGTATCTTTCTCCATCCACATCATACTCCAGCTCCTCCCTGGGCACTCTTTTTCTCTTCTGCTTTATTCCTCTCAGAAGAATGTCTTCCATCGGGGTTTTTCAATTCAACTTGTTTCTGAGATCCCAGAAATAACAGAATGGGAAGGTTCCTGATTGTCACCAAGGATAACTGTGACACAGAGCTTGTAGAGAAGATCAGGAGCACGCTGGACTGCCATATCCATGACCAAGGCATCGAATATGATGGCATAGTTATCCTTGGCGGAGATGGCACTGTGCTCAGGACTGTTGCATCTTACCAGACCCCTCCCATTGTGTATGCAGTGAACAGAGGGAGAGTAGGCTTTCTTTGCCCCATCCCACACACTGCAGTGGACGAGCTGGTTGAACGTCTAAGAGATGGGAAGAAGATCGAGTTTGTTGAATTAAAAAGGCTCTGCTTGTCACAGAAGCACCATTTCCTGAACGAGGCAGTGATAAGGCCGTCTTCCATAGGGCTTGGGATATTCAGGATATTCATCGACGACATCTCGCTTGTGGTGAGGGGAGATGCTGTCATTGTGGCAACAAAGGTTGGAAGTAGTGCATATAATGCATCCTTGGACGGGCCTCTACTTCTGGACGAAGGAATAGTTGTGAATGTGGTTGCACCAAACAAATGCAGGTTTAAACCTATTGTGTGTGGAATTAAGTCTAGGGTCCGCGTGGAGGTTGATGGCGATTTTCAGATCATCCTCGACGGGATTTTATGCGAAGAGAAGTCCTTTGATGTGTGCTATGACGGATCCTCTGTGCGGTTTGGATACCTAAGCCCTTGTGATCGATCGAAGAGAATTGGAGAACTTTTTCTGCTTTGATGTACTCTGCGAACACTGTTCAGGATTTGAAGCCGGCCTGCAAAATAAAGCAATTGCAATAGCCCTTGATGGGGTTTGAGGAGCAGCTAGCAGTGTTTTCTCCCGACGGAAGATTAATACAGGTTGAGTATGCACAGCAGGCTAGCGAGCATGGGTCTCTTGTTGTGTTTGGAGTTGATTCCGAGAAGATATCTGTGAGTATCGAAAGGAAGTCTGGGAACAGGCTGTTTTTGGAAGAGGAGAAGGTGTTTCTTATTAACGAGGCACAGTGCATCTGGATGAGCTACTCTGGGTTTAAGCCTGATGCATACCTTGTGATGAATGTGGCGAGGATGATATGCCTTTCGTACAAGTCCTCTACCGGGGAAGACATAACTATCGACCAACTTGCGAGAAGGCTAAGCGAGTACAAGCAGAGGTACACAGTCGTTTATCACCAGAGACCGTTTGGAGTGCGTACGGTGCTGTTTGGGCTTGAGCCAAGGCCTGTGGCATACATTATTGAGCCTGATGGAAACTTTTCTGAGTTCTTTTGTGGGGCCATTGGGCAGAAGAGCCAAAGGGTGTGTGAATATCTGGAGAAGAAAGAGAAAGAGGATCTAGTCAGGCTCACTATTCTGGGGCTTATGGAGGTTGTGCAGTCTGACCCTCAAAAGATATCATCCTTTGTACTGAGCAAGAAAGGATGTGAAAGGATGGATGACTCTACAATTATGGGTGTGGTTAACTCTGTAGTTCAATAAATGAGCATTAGTGTCCTGTCCTTGAATTTGATCTAAAACAGGTTGCAATTTCCAGCACTCTCAACCAATCACCTTTTATGTGTATGATGATCTGACATTAAAACACACTGTTTGTATAGGAAGGTAGCATGAGGATCTATGTTCTATTACATCTGGGGCTAATGGTGTCCAGGATGGGAATTGCGATCAAATCCATGCTGAGTGGAAAGTATCTCAATCTGAGAAGCCTGAAGCTAGAGCCTGTTGACAAGAGGAGGAAAGAGGACTATGTCTTCGAATATGATTGGAACGAAGATGCACCCTATGGATTCAGACTTCGCACTAGGGAAGGATACCTAACTGTTGACAAAAGATATAGAAAGATGATGTTTGATAGAAGACATGGATCCTCGTCTGGGTTTGAGTTCCATTTTGTGACCCCGACGAGATGCAAAAGTATTATAATAGGACATAGCAGCGGGCTGTGCATGATGGATGCGGGAGAAGAGGTGAGGTTTACGGAATGCATGCCCTCTGGAAAGGAACTTCCAGAGTTTCGCTTTGAAATTAAAGTCTTCAGGGACCGGTGTGGATATCTGGAAAAGAGCAAGAAGGCTATACCCAAGGACAACGATAGAAACAGCCATCTCGAAAATGGCGGCAAAGAAAAAGGTGAGGAAGGTACTGCAGAAAAGAATCAAGACCAGGAGGGGATATCTTCCGAGACCACAGATCACTCTGAGCCTGGATGCCATGCGAATATAGAGAAAGAGGAGGTAAAGGTGGAGGAGAAAAAGAAAGAGAAGAAGAAGAAGCATCACATAAAAGACTATGACGATGAGTCTCTCGAAGACATCGTAAAAAAGGTAAGATTCAAGAGGCCAAGAATCAAAAAGAAGCTGAAACGCTTTGCTTCCTCATTCAAGAGAAAGCTTGCAAAGAAATTTCTGAAGGTCGATAAAGTGAAGCGAGGTTCCGAAGACTCTTCTACATAGTCCCAGCAGTTGCCGTTATATACTCCACATAAATGTAATTTTATTTGAATAAACATCCTTAGCTATTCCCATATTTTTATGTTTCCTAGCATATCTCCTGATGCAAGGCTCGAGGAGCTGCCGTCCATCCAGTCAATAACAGTTATCATCTCACCCGTAGATCCAAGGGATGTCTCTCTTACAGGGTCTCTGGAAATGAAGTTGGCAAACCCACTGCTGTCTCCATAGCATAGGGTTGTGCCATCTAAAGATACCTTTACTCTAGTGGAGCATCCTGGAGCCTTGATTCCTTCTTCCCTGTGCTCGAGGGTAGATGCATTTAGAAGTACGATTTCATCACTACCCGTGACCACAAGGGTGTTCTCGCTAGGACAGAATCCAATGAAAGAATAAGATCCGTTGTGTGTCTTGACTACCTTGTTATTCCTTAAATCGAAATGATGCAGAGTACCTTCTTTTCTTGTGAATATCAGGGTGCTGTCCTCCTCCACTAAGAGGATATCACGTATAGAAGAAGGGCCGGATGTAGTTTGCCTCTGTGTATGACATTCTTCCTTGACTTCACTGAGTATCTTTCTGCTCCTCACATCCACAATTCTGATCTTTCCGTCCATCCCGCCTGCGAAGACATTTTTGTCTAATACCTTGAGCGACTGGCAGGTGAGTGGGCACTCCAGATCTATCCTTGTATTACACTTTCCTGTTTCTACATCCCAGACCTTCAAAAATCCGTCAAATGATATTGTACTGAATTTACCTTCACACTCAGACACTGCGGCTGAGGAGACTCCCTTACTATGGCCCATGTATGTTGTCACGAGGTCGGCAGCCCTAAGATTATACAAGTGCACCTTTCCATCGAGCCCTGAAGTTAGAAGGAGCCTGTGCCTCCTAAAAAGGGAGACGGAGGATGCCATGTCCTTATGGTCATGGAATAGCATGGTGTTGCTTTTTGGAACAATAAATCTTTTTGATGGTATCCTCCCTAGGCTCGAGTCTCGCATGGACAAGAAGTAATTGCTTCTTGACCTTTCGTTTCCGACTGTTAGGCAGTGCTTATTGACTATTCTTTTCAGCGATCGTTCCTCCTTGGCATCTCTTGGGCCCTTCCTGTCCTCATGCACACCCACAAATCCACTCCAAGGGCCTTTGAATCCTCCTATTTCCGACGGGTCTCCGAAGTCCTCCCTGGGGACTTTCTCTTTCCTTGGCTGTGCCTTTCTCAACCTCCTGTAGTCTTCTTCAGACATTTCGTGCTTTCCATCCATGAAGGTCTTGAGGCGGATGTTTTTATCCCTTGGATGGAGGTTCTTACGCTTAGCGACTGTTTTTTGAAGACGAAGACCGAGGAAAAGGCAACAGTCAAGATATCAAGAGATGGAATAGCCATCAAGGCAGGAAACGGAGAGGTTTACACTGTGGAGAAGAGCGATGTAAAGGATGCTGAGCTGTTCCATGGAGTAAGGAAGATGACCATACGAATATTTGGGGACACTGTTTATGAAATCAACAATGTAGACCAGAACTACATCGACGAGTTAAAAAGGATGTTTTCTGAGTACTTCAGGGTCAGTCTGTATGTAAAGGAGCTTGAAATAGCCGATGTGCTCTGTGGGGAGCTTGGGATCAACGGGCAGAAGGCATTAGAGTTCAGGAACACAAAGACCATATTTGAGGTTCCTGTCGAAGACATCGAGAGCGTTGTTGACATAAGGAATGAGATTTCTGTATCTCTGAAGGACGTGGAAATAAGGTTTGTCTCGAATAAAAAGGCCATAGAGGAGATCAAAGAGGGGTGCAGCTCCTCTGTCGATGACGAGATATTTAAGATGGAGGGGCTGTCGCTGTCTTACCCAAGAGGAAAGTTCAACCTTATTTTCTTCCGGGATTACCTAAGGCTGGTTGGCAGCAGCTACGACCACAAGATATATTACAAAAGTGTCAAGCAGCTCTATATGCTCGAAAAGGGATACATTCGAGACGAGGAAAGGTATGCTGTGATTTATGTTGACCCGCCGATCAGGCAGGGGCAAACAAGATACGACTACATTGTTGTATCGTTTGACGATACTGAGTGCGAGGTGAGTGCTGATGATGAGAGACTGAAGAAAGAGTATTCTGGGCTCTACTCCTCGGTCTTTTCTGAGGTTATGGAGGCACTGTGTGTGATTAGGGCCACAAAAAGCACGTTTGAGTCCAGGGACGGGATGAGATGCTTGAGATGTGCAATAAAGGCATATGAGGGACAGCTGTACCCGCTAGAGGACTGCATGTTATTTCTTCCGAAGGCCATTAGGCTGGGGCTGAATGAAATCTCGCTTGTGGAGTTCAGCAGAATCAACCTCAGCAGCATGCAGGCAAAGACATTTGACATGACATTGTTCTGCGAAGGGTCATATACCTTCAATGGGATTTCGAAGGATGAGTTTGGGATGCTGGAGCAGTATTTCCATTCGAAGGGAGTAAAGGCAAGAAGTGAGATTATTGACGATGCGGCAAGCTCTGATTCTGACGAAGACGACTACGAATCTGAAAACGATAGCATGGTTGTGGACTCTGATGACTATGATTAATAAGTAAATCTAGGCTGTTTTTTGGATTGCGTTAGTTTTAAGAAACAAATAACTTAAAACATGCATTATTTAGCACAGCTTAAGTCTGTAAACAATGTGGGTACTTCTATCTCTCGCAGGCTTTGCTATCTCCCGCCTGAATCCTGACTATGGTAAGGGAATAGAAATAGAGATGGGTGACAGGCTAATAGAGAGCATCAATAGCAGCATCGAGAAGTTCAAGAAGCTGACTGGAGATGGGTTTTTTGGAGAGAAGATAGAGTGCCATTGATAACATCTGCTTAGTTTTTCAAAGAGCCCAAGGCACCATGGTTTTGGTTTAAGGAGAATTTTTTTTACCCATCAAAATGGTAAGTGATTGCCAACCACCGTGGCCTTGGAGCGGATTAACTTTATAGGGAAAAGGAACCAAGAAAGTAGGGATTGCAGGGTGCTTTGGAGCAAGATACGGATCGACACTCCGTAAAAGAATGAAGGCCGTCCTTGAGACGCAGAGGGCCAAGTACAACTGCGAGGCATGTGGAAAGAAGAGGGTAAAGAGAGAGGCTGTTGGGATATGGAAGTGCAGGTCGTGCAGGCGTATTTTTGCAGGCGGGTCTTACGTCACATCCACGCCTGCTGGGAAGATTTTCATCAACATGGTCAAGCAGCACAATGCTAAATAAACCTGCTTCTGGAGACATCTGTTTTTGGGTCTACAAGCTTCTGATACAAAATTTTAAACTGTTTTGCAATGAGTTTTATCATAGCTTAAATATCTCTTCAAACATGCAGGCAATGCTGTTATTGTTTTTTATGTCGGCATATTCATTCCAGGGAAGATATGGATCCTGCTCCAAGTCCAGCAGCCGCCTTAGGCATTCTGACTACGACGGGGTGATGATGCTGAATGTGTTGCACAGGAACCAGCCTCTGACTGTGTTTGATAGCGCCTATCCAGAAAGGATAAGCCTGCCGGCTCTGCTTTCGGAGTTCTCCAAGGAAATGATGGAGAACCAGATCTTCGATCTGAAGTACGAAAGTTTTTCGAAGAAAATATGGCTAGAGCTCAAAAAGGAGCGCTGTATAGAGATTGCTGATGTTCATTCCTCTCTAAAGGCTGTGAGAATGAAGATTTCTCCATCCTCTATCTACCTGAAGAGGCTTCCAAACAGCATGAAGTTCCAGCTTATATCAGAAGACAAGTGCCTTACTGTCGGGAACGAGATAAAGTATGGAGGAACAAGCGGGTGGACGCTTTCCTTTACCGACTGTAAGGATAACAACGACCTCCAGACATTCGTGATGATTCCTTCACTCAAAGGGCTGATGAAGATTAATGGAAAGGCAAGAACTCATAGAATGATTCGTAGAATGTACGATACATTCAGGAGGATAGGAAAGATCATAGGAGTGGTTGACATAGCTAGACTTAGAAGATCCCTTCATTAAACAGACTTTCATTTGCTTACATTTATTTATATTATGGCCATCTAACTAACTGCCACGGGCACGTGGTCTGACCCTGTCTTTCTGCAAAGGATTCAGAATAGAGGTATCCGGACACTCGAGGCTACCGAGAATCTGGTCCTTTCTCCTCTTGTCCCGATGTATTGCCTTGTTGTTTTTTCCAGGCCCTCTTCCAGGGTAACTGTTGTCGTTTTTGTAAGCATCATTCTTAAGGAGCCTCCCCAACTCCGGATAAAACTCAAAATCAAGGTCCAGGCCTCCCTCTGTACCTCCCTTAATCTTTTCGAAATTTTCATCGGGAACTCTCGCATGGGGCACTCTGTGCACGTCGGAGGAAGAAGTTGAGTCACACGATAGCTGGTGCTCTTCTATGGATGCCATCTTGTCCCAGATTGAAGCTATGGATGAGGGGAACCTGGCGGAAACCGGTGGGAAGTTAGTGAAAGTAGACACCACAGATGAAGATGTGGCATTACTGACCAGGGTAGGCTTTGTCACAGTTACAGAGACTGTTATTGTGGATGTCAGGACAGAGGGCGTCGAAATGTCACTTTCATATGCGTTCTTGTCCTTCACGTTCAAGTTAATGAACACAGGCCTTACCATGCTACTGTCACTGTCGGTGTCACTGCTTGAGGGAGACATCTGGAAGTCTTCCAAGGATTTGTCCTTGATGTGAACACTTGGTCCCTGTGGAGCCTCAGAGATAATGGAAACATGGGAGTCTTCGGTTGTAGACTCTGAAACCTCGCTGTCGTCTTTTTTCTCAAAAACAAAGACCTGGTCTTCTCCTCCATTGCATTCAAAAAGCCCAAGCACATCGCTTCCAGTCACTCCCAAGCATTTGCCTTCCTTTCCCCTGAGTATGTATCCTCCACTCCCCATTTCTTTGTACTCCCAATACTTCTTCTTTTCCCGTATAACAGGCTCTCCCCTCGACTTGCTGTATCCTAGATAAAGACTCTGATTGCTTCCTGGAGATATAAGAAGCAGATGCCTTCGGTTCGCCATCTTCATTCCAAACAGCTTGAATCCCTTTTCTTTCTTCGTCACAACATGGAAGATTGCTAGCCCCTCGCCCCTGTTGGATGTGAGTACAATGCTCTTTCCAGATGCTTTTAAGACCTTGTCACTGTTTATCGGCCTTATAGTTGCAAAGAAGCTCTTGGAGACTGCAACTCCGAGAAAAAGATAAATGCTAGAGCCGAGCTTCATTTCTTCTTCTTGAGATAACGGAACTTATCAATGGCTATTCGAAACTTGTTTGCTCTTGAGACATCAAAAATGAAACAAATTAAAGACGTCATTTTTAATTCTCGAACCTGGTGTTCCTTTCTATAAAGCTCCTTACATCGTGGTAGAATGCTTCTTGGACCTCAGGCGGTAGGTTCAGTATCACAAAGTCATACAGTTTGTCAAATATCCAATTGACGTCTGCTATGTCTGGCAGCTTACCACCTATGGCGTTGTCTACAAACTCCTCTATTTTTTTGTCGAAGCCATGTCTCTGCATCAGTTCCTCGAGCCTTTCCATTAGAAGAGCTTTGTCCTCTTCATTTTTTAACAGCGTTTCTGCATCCATCTGGGATCGGGAATTCTGGCTTCAAATAGATAGGCCCTCCAGGGGCATCATGGTGGTGCTCGAGCAAAAAGAGATCCCCGAGTGCCAGAGGTATCTTCCAAAGAACTACAACTTCGAGATGAGGAAGGTGCTGAGAACGATTGAAAGGATAGGGGCAAGGAAGGTGACGTTGCAATTCCCCGACGGGCTCTTGAAGTATTCTTTTGTAATAATAGATATTATAGAGAAGTATACCAGTGCAGAGTGTGTAATTCTTAACGATGTTGTCTACGGAGGGTGCTGTGTAGATGACGAGAGCATTGCATCTGACCTCCTTATACACTATGGGCATTCGTGTCTTGTGCCGGTGGGAGAGATGAATACAAAGGTTCTCTATGTCTTTGTGGATATCAGAATAGATATAGACCATGCAGCTGAGATGATAAGAAGGAACTTTGAGGGGAAGATAGGGGTGATAGGGACCATCCAATACAACTCGAGTATAAACAAGTTGCGAAGGATTCTTAACGAAGAGAAGAATGGTGTTGAGTGCATTCTTCCACAAGTGAGACCCTTGAGTAGTGGAGAGGTGTTAGGATGTACGTCTCCGCGGATAGAGGGTGTTTCGGCAGTTATTTCTGTAGGAGATGGAAGATTCCACTTGGAGGGGGCAATGATAAGAAACCCGCATCTGAAGTTCTACAAGTACTGCCCATTCAGTAGGAGGATGACACAGGAGTTCTATGACCACGGCACAATGATGAGGGACAGGAAGTCGGAGATCAGTAAGGCATTCAATGGAAGATCGTTTGGGGTGATACTAGGGTCTCTTGGAAGGCAGGGGAATAAAAGCATCTTAAGAAGTGTGACGAGCAGGCTAAAGGATTACGATCTTTATCTCATAATGCTTGACGAAATAAGCCCCAAGAAGCTTGAGAGATATGACTTCATAGATAGCTTTGTCCAAATATCATGCCCCAGACTTAGTATAGACTGGGGGAAATCATTCAAAAGGCCTTTGCTGTCCCCTTTTGAAGTGTTCTACCAAGGTGGAGAGTACTTGATGGACTACTACTCAAAAGAGGGGAAAGGCGAATGGAAGAACTACAGATAGAGATGATTGTTTGCCTCCATCTAGTGTTTAATAAACAAGATAACCTTCATCAGGGCTTCATAAGGGAGTATGCCTCCTGCTTCAACGCCTCGAATTCAGCTCTCAAGGTTTCTATTTCCCCGTGGGCCCTGGCAGGCCCGATAATACTTTGCATTTTCTCAAGAATCCTTGAAACAAGCTCTTCAACCTGCTTCTTCCTATAGCTGCTTTGCATGGTTTTTGCCAATATCTTTGTGATTTCTAGATCGTAGGTGCTTCTTGCTTTTCCCATTCCTAAGGGCTTGTTTTGGCAGCAAATCGACTTTCAGTTCCAAGCTCAACTTCTCAGTGCCTTCTGGATACAGACCTTTTTTTAACAGACCCAGACCTTCCAATATCCTCTTCCTCCTCCTCAGCAACATTAGCCTCCTCCCTTTTTCTTGCTGCCTTGAGACAGGGCCTAATGATGTCTCGCTCCAGCTTCTTTGGCCTCATGCTGTATCCAAGACCCATCCTTCTTACCAAAAACTCCTTCTCTATCTTGTTCGTCGTAAATCTTGTGTCAAAAAGCAGCTTCTGAAGAATCCTGTCCATGAAGGGCCGTGCAGACAGTTAATTTGTATAGAACTAAAATAACTCTTTATTCTACCTTTCCACAACAATCCTGTAATAGATAGACTCTCCAGCCGTCCTCGACCTTCTAACTATTTCGACAACGTCTCCCTGCCTCGCTCCATAATACCGAGCAATTACGTCGCTCCTCAGGATCCTGGGAAGATCCCCGGGTCCAAGCTTCAGTGACTTGAAGACGTTCTCTCTCTCCTCCCGAGACAGGATTCTATGTGGAGGAACCCACGAATGCTTTGTCTTGTTGAACATCATCTCTTCTACCAGGAAGATCTCGACATTGAATTTTGCATTCAAGGCTATCATCGACATCACAGCAGGGCTGGGCATCTGTGGAAGAATCAGGATCAGATGGAATATGTTGTCCTTTTCATACTGGGACAGAAGCCCTTCAAAGCTCTTCTTACCCATCTTCTCGTCATCCCCAAAATGTATGGCCACAGGCCTGTCCACATCCACACAGACAAAGTTCAACGATGACCTTTTTGTAAGGGCAAACGGATACTTCTCACGAAACGACTCGAGTGGCTGCACTTCCTGTGTTGTGGTGTAGCCCCGGTCCTTTACCATCTCTATTGTCGTATTTCTGCTCAGACACAAAGCCCTGAGTTCTGAAGCCATTTCTGCTGGGGATGATTTTTGCAGCTTCATATTCTGTCCCCATGCATTCAGTAGATATTGAGAGCCGTGAGGGACAAGACGTTGCGATAATAGGAAGGCTTGAAAGAGTCGAGGATGGAGCAGTGGTCTTGAAATGCGCCGGAAGAGAAGTACGGGTAAAGCATCAGGACATTGGGTCTTATAAGGCTGGGATTGTCAGGGTCTGCGGTATTGTGGAAGATGGGGTGGTTGTTGAAAAAAGCGTCTGCTCCATCGGAAGCGAGTTTGACATAGAAACATATGGGAGACTTGTAAATGCTGCAGCAAAATATCAGGATATATTCTGATACATCTGCAGAAGCTTTGTGCTTAAGATAATTAAAATGAACTTGGATTAGTCTTTTTTGCCTTTTCAAGATTTTACACACAAGTCAGACTCAGAAGTTTATATTTGAATGAGCCATAGCTCAATGTAAGATATTCTAAACCGGGGCTTAGATGCAAGGAGATAGTTCTCCAGGGCCTCCACCGGGTATGTTTCTCCATCGAGTAACGACTTGTTTATTAACAGCCCAAACCTTTCTCCGCTGCACCCAAATGCAAGGAAGTCTGGACAACAATATATGTTCACTCCTCTGTTCCTTGGTATAGGAAAAATCGTTAGGCCATCAGATACAGGAGCACTTCTGGCTGTTGTGAATAGAAATGTAGAGGGCTTTTCATACATAGTCCTGGATATCCGGATCCTGTCCTCGAAAAACGCACCGAGCAGCTCTCCCTCTTCTGTCTTGCAGGCAAGCACAAAGGGCCAGCCATCCTCCTCAAAGCTTGCAAGGAATGTTCTATAAGAAAATCCGTTCTCGAAGGTGGAGAAAAGGAGCTTCCAGGTGGTTGAGTATTTGTATCTGTCCTCAAGAGCCTCCCTCAGCCCCATCACCATCTTCTCGGATAGAATGGAGTTTTTGTATTCCGCTCCGTTATGTATCATGTCAAAGCGGAGCTCAGACAGGCTTGGCAAGGAGCTGTCCAAAAAGCATCTTGGATGGCCCTCAATGCCCATACTTTGTTTATGGAAAGTCAAAGCTTTCAAATTTCAATGGAAAAGATAAAACACATAAAAATAAAGCGATTTTATTTCTTCGAAGACCCCGTCTGCCTGGCCTTTTCGAACGAGCTGGCGCTGATGTGCCTGAACCCACGCACAATCTTTACCTTCTGCACATTCATCTTCTCAACCACATACTGGGATTCCTTTCCAAAGAACTCTCTGCTTGTCGTTGTCCATCTTATGTCTCGAGGATTGATCCTGCGCTGGATGAGCTTCCTTTCCTTGTTGGATGCCGTCAGCATTGTCCTTCCATCGTTCATCACCTCGTAGATCCCAGACCCTTTGGGAATGTTGCGCCCAGAAAACACCGATGTACCTTCAATCATGAAGGGACTACTTTTGTCGAAAAATTATCCAAAGACATCGCAAAAGGTGGTTTTATTATTATTCAAGCTGCAGGGGGTGTGGCGTTCTGGCTCCCCCCAAATGATGCTATTACATGGACAGGATAGTGAAGAGTAAAAATGCTCTTTCTCAATATTCTTGCATAGTTGACCTTCACCACCTGGGATGTTGGATCTCTAATCAGCAGATGATCTCTCTGGAAGTTGCCAAGAATGTCCGGGAGATTCCTCATGGTGAACCTGGGCCCTTCCTTTGCGTTCCTATCTACATCCAATGGATTTATGTACCTGTCGTCAATCACTTTTTGCAGGTTGTTTGAGATTGCATTGATATGCCCCATAAAGAACACAGGGTTGCTATCTACGGCATGCTCCTTTTTTATGTCCTCCAAAAGATTTGCCGCTTCAATGTCCGTCTTCTCGGAGAATGCGCTGTACATGTCGACATTTATAACAGTGAACCATCTCTTGGTTGCCTTGTGCTCGAAGATTGCCCAGCTTGCATAGATGATCTTGTTGTTCTCTGGATCCCGAATGTATCCGCTTTTCTTGTGATCAAGAACCTTTGTATCAAAGATAATTGGAAGATATGTTATCGGCGCCTCCTGGACATTGAAAGACCCCTCTGACAAGTTTAGCATTTCGTAGTGCCCAAGAGCCTTCATATCCAGCAGCCTTTCGGCCTCACCCTTCCTAATGTACTGAATCGCCATGACGGTTGCATGGGAGGAGCTCAAGACTTCCCTGGCCACATCAATCATCTTGTTCCTGTCGTAGCTATCTTCCGCTTCCATATTGAAGTCAACCAGGCTCAGGTCTCCAAACCCTTTGTTCTTCCGCTCCTTGTCGTGATTTGTAATATATCCTGTAAGATCTTCCTCGGGAATGTCTGGGCTCAAGGACACATCGAATTTTGTGGGCCCATAGCCATCGAACTTTGCTCCCAGCACCATAGCAGGGAATACCAGAGACAGTAGCATATTGGCTTTGAGTCTCTTTCTTCTTTCTATTTATTCTCAAACACGAAACGCAACTGTTTCATGGGGCGAAACCTCTACGTTCGACGTTGAAACAAAAGAGCCCTGGTTGGACACACCGGCTGTTTCACAAAGACTATTGCCCTGGGGATCTTATCCTGTTAATGGAAAGCCCCTCATGCCTGTAATAATTCTATTGGGAAGGTCGAGGATGTATCTAGACGAGCTAATCTCTTGTCTGTCGGCGCACTTCCGAGTTGTCCATTTGAACGACGAGTTCAGGGTCATAAGAGGCAAGCTCAGTAACATGGATCCAGGCACGGCATACATAGTCGAGAACTGCGAAATGAAGCCGCAGAGGTACGAGATCTACTGCCTGGCGAAGCGCAACGAGACTTCGTATTGCATATTGGCCGATGGGGAGCTCTCGTCTTCAAAGCACGATACCCCTCTATTTTGTGTCAAGGAAAGGCTGCCTACAAAGGAGATTCTAGACTGCCTTGAGTTTAAGCTCAACTGCAGCGTGGCGCACAAGAAAAAGGTTGTTGGTGCAAACTATTTGATGCATCTCAAGAAGATAATAAATCAGGTCAACGAGGAGATGCCCGAAGGGTCTAGGGCTGTTCTGAAGGACTGCGAAGACAAGATCATGAGGATGGTGAAGCTTAGCCCCCTGGATCTTGACGGGATTGAGAAAGTATATAGAGAAATTGTCCAATCGGAGCTTGCCGAAAGAGGATTTGACTTCTGAGGCCCAACCCATTCTCAAGAAGGCACAAAGATATAAACACCATAGTTTAATCACCGGCACCGCCCAGTATCTTTTAGAAGTTCTTAATAAAGTCTATCAAAACGTCCTCTGCCCAGGTTCTATCGAGTCTGTTGGACAGAAAGCCTAGATGGCCTCCTTTGTGAGCTATTACTAGCAGTATGTTTTTGTTTCTTAAGCACATTTCCTTGTCTATAGAAAATGCAGGAATAACCGGATCATCATATGTGTTGAGTATGATGAAGGGAACACCTATGTTTTCAATATAGTTCACACATGACTGGTTCTTGTAGTACTCGTTGACATCCTTGATGTCAAAGATCTTTGTTGTCACCATCATGTCTATTTGCTGAACACTGCTGCATTTCCTTATCACATCCACGTCATACCCCGCGCTCTTAAACACCTCTTTGTTGCTGTTCATATATTTTATGAAGTTCATTGCCAACAGCCTGTTGAAGAACCTGGTGTAGGGATTCTTCTGAAAGTGGATCCCTATCTTGAAGAAGTCAAATGGAAGGCACACTGCCCCTCCCTTAACTATCCTGGGATCAAGCTTCTCCTCCCCAAAGAACTTTGTCACCCAGCTGGCACCCATGCTGAATCCAAATATCTCTAGTGTTCCAGGATAGTTGCAGAGGATAAACTCAACAGTTGCCTTCAAGTCCACGGTCCATCCTATGTGAAAGAACACCGGGCTGTTGAGCTTGGACTTGATTCCCCTTGCATTGAAGCAGAAGACTCTATATCCTTCCTTTGAAAGGTGTCCTGTGAGTCCCTTGATATAAGTCGAGTCTCCAGACCCATTGAATCCATGAACCAGCAGGGCGTTCTTCTCAGCCATTCTGTCAGTCTCCACAAGGTCAAGCAGGATGTGCCCATTGTGAGGTACTTCTATCCGGAGGCTTGTTCTTCCCGGAAGAATAATGGACCTTCGAAACAACTGGAGAATGGTTTGAACAGTTCCAAACGGTGCAAAAAAGAGGGGGTAATAGTTTTTGTGAAGGCTTGACATCTTAATAATAGAATCCTTTTTACTTCCACTATAAAACACATCTGGACGCCTTGCACACCTGGTGAAATAAAACACTAAATAAAGGATAATCATCTGGATTGCATTATTTCTTACAATTGCACCAAGCATGCACTGCACTATTTCTTGCATCATCCTTTCCATGGGCCTCATTTAAGTTGTGACGAAATTCAAAACAAACTCGCGTGTCAATAATTTAGGCAATATTCTAATCAGAAATGTCAATTATATCATCTTTACCATAAATAAACAAGTCTATCCAAAAAGCTTTTCAAGCTCCTCCTCATACTCGTCCTTGACTCTGTAGTCGCATATGACGTATCTTCCATAGCCTACCCTTTCAAGAGAATACACACAGTCTTCTATCCACTTTGGTGACACCACAAGACACTCAAGCTTTTGTGCCAATTCCCTTACCTCATCCAGACCGGAGGAAATTACAAAGTCAACTTCACTCTCAAGCCTGCTCACCATGCCTCCGTGCATCTCTATCACCTTCACAAGCCAGGCTCTATTGGTAGGCCCTACGATGAAAAACCGGTCTCCATCAAATATCCTCTTTCTGATCCTCCTTAGAATCTTCTTCACATTCCTGTGCTTGCTTGAAAAGTACTTCTTGTGAACCTTCTTCAGGAACTTTACCATTCTCAACAGCTCACAGTCGTCCGAAGGCTCCTCCCTTACTTTCTTTTCTCCCATCCTATCAGAATCTACCTCAGTTTCTGGCTTTCCAGAAGAGCCTCCTAACCCCGTGCCATCCGGTCTCGAAATGATCCTGGCGTCCTCTCCCTCTTCAACCTTCTTTCTCTTACCCACAAACTCTCCAAGATCGCCATGCCCGTCAGACACACCCTCCGCTCTTCTTTCTAGCTTCGACGGGTCGTTGATGTCCACGCGATTGAAGTACCAGAATGGCTTGACTAGGACCAGGTTCTCATTGTAATCCCACACATCAGCTCTGTCATCAAGAATAACAATGTTCTTATGGTTATATGGAAATAGCCTACTTAGCCTCTTCACTAGAACCCCCTGGTTTTCATCCCTTGTGATTATTCTATCGTGGAAGTACTTTCCGGCCGGATCAATAATTCCAATTATCCTTTCTGCATATGGCCTTGTTCCCATGGTGTACACATGAATCTCATACAGCTTGGAAACCCTTCGAAGCATGCGATTGAGGTGGGGCCTTAGCTTTACAGAGTACTTGCATCCGTCCATTGTGAACTTCACAATCCCTTTGCAGTCAGATGTGCCGTATGTTGTGTGAAGAACGGTCTGGTCAAGGTCTAGAACCAGAATCAGCTTCATCTGCATCTCTAGAGCCTTGACCTTCTCCTTGTATATCGACACTGCTTCCTTGTGAGTTATCTTGACATTGTCTGTGTTGTACAGTGCACAGAAAAGACGCGGCTCCTCTTGGATTTCCATCCCACATACCCCACATAATGTTCCTATTCTTATGGGATGACTACACTCATCCATCGGAAATAAGAGGATCCCCTGTGCTCAAATATATGCTAATCTGGGAGTATGGCGAAGCATAGCGATAGAGCTTTCCGTTGGCCAAACAAGTCAGGATGGCCGAGTGGTCTAAGGCGGTACGTTCAGGTCGTATTCTCATTGAGGCACGGGTTCGAATCCCGTTTCTGACATCTTTTTCCTTCATTACAGCATCCTCTCGCAATCCCTCATGATTCTTTTTTTCCTCATAGACCTAAAAGACGAGAACTGGGAGCTGACAACGAAGGACCTTTTCAACGACGTCGTTGTGTTCCTGAATGCATACCTCAAGTCGAGCCGCAACAACAGGATCGTGGTTGTAGGTGGAAAGAGCATCCTCTTCGACTCCTCAGAGAATGACATTTCCGAGATATACGGTATAACAAAGTTCAAGTACGGCTACTGTGTGAGTGACCTGGGATATGCATTGTGCCTTCATAGAGATGAGCCAACTCAAATTGTAATATTCACACTTGGAAGGGAGAAGAAGGATGAATACCTGAGGTATCTGAAGTGCATGTTTGCGGCACAGAGACTTGGTGTGAGAATTAGTGCATTCTCCCTATTCGAGAACAAGACAATCCTCCAGTGCTGTGCATCGACGGGAGGAGACTATTCCACGTCAGAAGACAAGTGCCTAAGGTTTCTGCTGTCTCTTCTTGGCACTGGAGGCAATAAAAAGCCTCTAGGGTTTCCTGCTGCTTGCTACTGCCATAACAGGCAGGTAATACTGGGCCTTGTGTGCCCAATATGCCTTTCTGTGTTCTGCAAGTTTATTCCTGTATGTAGGAAATGCAAAAGCAAGTTCAGCTTTGTCAAGTACGAAAATTGAGTTGTGTATGATATGCTTTTATTTTGCCATGGAATATAGGGTTGCCCTGTTCTTCTTCCCTATATCTTTGCCTCCCGCATATTTCAGAGCAACCTCCTTCCTGATCTTGAGAGGCCCAAGAGAGAGTAGAAGCGCTGGAGGGCACTTGGAGGCGAATTCGGCTAGGAAGCATTCCATGTCCTCGCTGATCTCCCCAAGCCTATCCACAACACACCGGATCACAAATCCCCTAAGATCAGTGGCTGCGGTGATGTTGAACAGATAGGAGACTGTTTCTACATCCAGCACATAATACTCCAGAATTCTCTTCACGAGATAATAGAACTTGTCCATCCTTACTAGCTGGATCTCGCTCCACTTGTCAATAAGATACGTAAACATGCTATGTCTTAGCCTCTGGTCGGTGCGGGATAAGAGATCCAGAACAAACTGCTTTTGGGCAACAAATTTCGGTAGCTTCCACAGGTAGTAGATTATGGACGGCGTCAACCTAACAATGTCCTCTTCCTTCAGAAGCCCGTAATTAGCATATATGGCCTCAATGGCCGCCTTGTTTTCTTCCATGTCGTTCGAACGGATGGCATCAACTATCCTTTGAACGTCCATGGGGAGCCAAAAATTTGGCTTTATAAGGCCCTGGATGCTCCAGAGGTTCAGAGACTATCTTCCATTCATCTCGGGCCATCCAAGGGGATTCAAGTCGGCGATGGACACGGACGAGGCGCTCAAGATTCTCTCCATGGAGACTCGGTCCACAGACATAATGCAAAGATACATGCAGATGATGAGGATCAACCATCCAGATAGAGGCGGAAGCCCGTACATAGCATCTAAGATCAATGAGGCAAAAAACCTACTGGCTGGGAGGAAGCTTGGCTCCTTCTGGGGCCCTTGAGGTAAAGACTCTATAGAATAAATTCTTTATTGCTAGAAATCCTCTGTCTTTGTAATTTTCTTAAGTTCGTCTTCCTCCTCCTTCAATGTCTTCTCGAGTTCTTCTATCTCCTTCAAATACATCTCCCTTTTTTCTTGTGATAGCTCTGTCATGGGATTAGCAATCCATTTGTAAAAGTATATACACTAGAGCCAAGAGTCAGGGTAGGTAGACATAGGCCCCTTCTATCTCCTCTATGATTCCCTTGTCTCCAAGAGTCCTCACACCCTCCAGGAAGACTGCCTCGTCGTACTCAAACCTCTCGGTGTGTTTAGATAAAATCTCTTTTGCTATCTCCTCTAGATCCATCTTCTTTCTTTTCTTCAGCATGCTTGATACAAGAGACTGGTAGTATGCATTCCTATCTATTTCATGTGCTGTGCAAATGCTTTCGCTACAGTACAGGCCTCTTATATCTTTCTCCGCACAGGATACATCTCCTATTCTGTACAGGCCCTCATTGCAAACTACAAGATTGCCCTCAATCAAGGATCTGAGAACATCGTTTGTGACTTTCGTCCCCATCTTCACAGAACTCAGGACCATCTCAGCATCAATCTGCTCGTATCTGTTGAATAGATCAAGGACAGAGTATTGGAGAACATTCATTTCGATCTCAACCCCATCAATCTCCACACACACACTCCCCAAATGCCATGTCCAATGCAACTTCTTCTTGTTGAACTTCGAATCATACACTTTTCTTATCATCTCGAGAGGTGCCGGAATCTCGATGCTTAGGTTCTCCACTTGCAATGGCCAATATGCTTGTGTCAGAATCCATACAAACCTGTCAGGGTCCTTGTTATAGCTTAGCGAAATGCTTATGTCTCCAACCATGGCCTCAGCCTTTTTTGTGAAGTCCTGGTTGCCCTTTCTCTTCATCAAAGAAATCAGCTTTCTCTCCTCATCCAGATTGGGGCTTCTCTCCAGCAACCTCTTTCCAAGCCCAGAAAGATATAGCTCGTAGAATACATGCTTGTTCTCTACCATCTTGTATAGTGTTCCAAACACCTGCCTCAGAAACCCGTTCTTTCCCTCAAATCTTCTTCCAAGTGCAGATCCATCCTCACCCACACCCCCCGTCCCAAGAAATGGAAGCCCCAGGCTTCTTTTGCTCGTGCTTCTTTCAAACTCCCCACTAAGAAACCTGAACACCCCACTGCTGTCCCCGACAATACATTCAGAGAACTCCAGCAACCTTGCCTCCAGAGACGGCTTCAGTCTCATGCAGCTGCAGGAAAACTCCCTCTTTAGTATCTTGAAGTATTCCTGATCCCCAAGAAACCCAACATCCACAACATGCCTAAGCATGCAGTGAAAAATATACAGAGTCTCAATACTTCTGCTGTACACATCCATATGCCTTTCACTCACCTCTCTTACATATCGAGTAAACACTTCCCGGAAAATCTCATATGCAGATTTTAATCCTGACAAGTTCCTGTAAAGAACAGACATCCTTTCCAGGAAAACATCCCCACTGAACTTCTGAACACCCTCTTCCCCCTGTAGCTCGTAGAAATCGTTTGTTCGGTGTCCTCCAGAGTCAAAACCCTGCTTCTCGCACTCAGCCCCCTTGCAGACCTTTCCAAGAATCTCGACGGGAAGCCTGTGCATCGACATTATCTTATAGATCTCCCCAAAAAGATAGTCCTTTTTGCTTAGTATAAACACCTCTTCAAGTACAGACTCAACCTTTCCCCACGACTCCTCAAGGAATATCTTTTCTTGAATACTCTTCTCATACCAAATCTTCTCCTTCACATAGAACGAATACCTTTCAACCTCTCCACACACAGACTTTATTTCATCCATGTACTTGCTTCCAATCTTCTGAAGCGCAAACTGCTCGTATCGTTGTGTATAGTAAAGCATCGGCTTCTTCAGGTCAGGGACAATCAGCCGGAAAGACTCTATTGCATCCTTCACAACCTCAATCCTCCCTTGATTCACCAGCTCAAACCCAAGCGTTGTGTGCTTGTACTTCATCGTTTGCTGGAGCACACACCTCTCCCACAGGAGAAACCCAAGGTCCCTCATAGTCCTTCCTTTCACACATTCATTCAGGAAGTCACACAGCTCATCAATCGCAAGTACCATCGCCTTGAACTTCCGGAACCCCTTGTTGTACTCCCAAATCCAATCTTCGGCCCCAAACACCTCCTTCCTTATCTCCCTGGCTTTCATGTAGACAAAGTCTCCTATCTTCCAGTACAGCCTACTTTCGAGCCTTGGCGTAGACGATGTGCAGATGACATATATGCTGTTGTAGATTTCTAATGCACTGCATAGGCCTCCAGAGGCAAGCTTCTGAAGCTCATTCTCTATAGCCATCCAAGCATTGCTGAAGTCCTCGTCGCTTAGTCCCTTTCTTCCAATATCCATTCTATGATTTGTTTATTCCAGAGCTCAATTATAAAGAGGTAAAACAAACACATCCATCAAGAAGAAGACTTCGATAAGAGCCCGTAAAGAACATCTCTCAGCACCTCGTTCTCCTTGCATATCCTATCCTGCTTCTCCGCAAGCCTCATAATCTCCTTTTCCATCTTCAAGTTTTCATTTTCAAGAGCATTTACAATGCCTACAAAATCGCCTTTCCCTGCTCCCAGGAGAGAGTCCTTCTCCCGCCAAGATACAAACTCGATCTTCTGGTCGTCTCTTGGCCTCCGGCATTTGTCGTAGAACTCAATGGGAAGCAACACCTCGGGGAACCCGCTAGACATGTCCGCTTTCTCCCCATCACTCTTGTTCTTCTCCATCACAGGGCATTTCAGCATCCAAATTTTTCCACCCTACAATGCAGATATTGGCCGACAGCTTCAAAATTACCGACATCGACAAGGAAGGCAAGCTATACACAAAGGTCTCAAGACTCTACATGCAATCCCCCACAATCTCCATTGCCCTTGATTACAACACCACCTTATGCAAATTTCATGTTGGCCATGCCGTCGAGGTACGCATCTTCCGGGGAATCCACGAGAACATAGACTGCTTCTACCTAGCCTACGGAAGGGTTTACAGTGTTGAGCATAGGGGCAGCAGGGTTTCCATAACAGCATCATTCGGAGGTCTACTGTTGATCATGGATGCACCTCAGGAAGCTGCCAAGGACATAGGAGATAAGGATGACATATCCCTAGCACTTACCTTCATATTATAAACCTCATGCTCATAAATATCCCAAATTAAACATCGCTTTAATCTCCATCTCCTCCGTTACTTAGTATGCAACAGTTAAAGTACTCTATAAAATCCTTGCTTTCGTATATAAACACCTCCTTGGAATCGCATATTCTCAATACCTCAAACATGGGAAAGTACCTGCCAGAGTCAGAGCATCCTTTGAAAATCACCGTGAAGCCCTCGTGTACATCCAAGGCCCTGTCAAAGGTGGTTACAAACACCCCTGTGTCTCCTCTCCTGGGGACTCCGCTCCTCACCTTCACACCGCATTTCCCACGAGACATCTCCCTTAGAAGCATTCTTGTGCTGAGGTCTTGCACTGTATTCCTCATGTCGGCTTCGTCAGGCGCTACTATCACAACTCTCTTGTTTGTATAGATGCTCATCGATATAATACAAGAGTTCATGATCTGTAGCCTCTCCCTGAACGATCTACAATCAACTTGCACAAATCTTATTTGAAGAGAAAAGTCACATAGAATATACTTGGCAAACCAGGTGGGGACGTCTGGCCTCAGGTAGGCCACACTTATCCCTGAAGCATCCTTAAGCTCTTTTCTGTAACACAGGCTTACGTGGAGGCACCCTCCATCCTGCAGATCGTGGCGACTAACCTTTTTACTCGTTAGAAGAACCTTAGGCTTAGAAGCATCATCGTGACTCAGCATCCATTCAGATATAGCCCTGGGAAGATCAGAAAATGCGTTTATGATGCTGAAGTGGGCACAGGGCTGCTTCTCCCCCACTATAGACCACTTCTGGGAGCATTCATGGACCCCATCGTAGTATAGAGACCTCACACTGGTATCTTTACAAACCTTGTATTCCTTCTCTACCTTTGCCCACTCGTCCCTGGCAATGATCTCAATCTTCAGGACATCGGACTTGGACTCTATAAATACGCCTGTCCTCTGCCTGAAAAGATCGGAATAGATCGCAGAACAGCCGTCCCATATAAAGATCCAATACTCTCCTTTGGCCTTCAGGGAAATCTCCACCTTGACCATCCCATTCACACGGGAAAGACCTGCTTCCACCCTATTGTCATCGTTCCAAGATCTCTCTCTTTGCCTCTCCACTCTTTTCAGCAGTATGCAGCACTTCGAGGCGGCCAGGTGCCTTCCCTGAAACATGAAGATCTGGCATAGCCCCATAAGAACCCTCCGTAGGTTTTTGACAACATGCTCAGCATCACACACAAGCGAAAACCTTGTTATTGGATGCCTCTTGATGTAGGCCTTCACAAGAGTCATGAGCTTGCATCCTATGGACACTTCGTACTTCATGCCCATTTCCGAGCAAAGCTCCTTGATGGCCTCCTCATCCTCCTCTCGGCATCCTAAGGAAGAAAGCTCCTTAGACTCAAAGCAGATCTTGAGTATGGAGTCTTCGTCATACACGTCTTCCATCTCCTTCAGCCATCCCTCTATCGTCTCATGAGACAGGTAATGCATGCTGGCAATCCTGCCATACTCAGTACTGCAGAACTTCCATGTTCTGAAGTCCCCAATCCTCCTCTTATATATTCTTACCATCCCACACTCCTCCAGCCTCTTGCAGGTAAGAACAACATAATCAGACAACGCCTTGTCCTCGTCATGTAGATCTTCCATGCTTACTCCATACTGCATAGGATTCTTCGACATCCGAATGTACATAAACGTATTCTTCAGCCACACCATTGCTGTGCTGACATCCTCAATGGTTCCTAGATAAATCTCTGCATTCATCACATCTGCAACATGCTGGAGCAATCTGCTTTCCACATCCCTACTATTCTTGAGCAGAGACACATAGTGATCCATCTTGTCTCCTGTCGTTATCAGACAGCCCTCTCCCCTAGCATCGAATTGGGGGCGCCCCGCCCTTCCAAATATCTGCAGCACATCCAGGATTCCTAGGTCGCTAAACCTTCCCTTCGAAGAGTCATAGAACCTTGTCCCCTTGATTATTACGGCATATGCAGGGAGATTCACACCCCAGGCCAGGGTTGCTGTCGTAACCAGTACCTTTATTCTCTTCATCTTAAACTCGTCTTCCATATACAGCCTTATCCTTCTTGGGAGCCCTGCATGGTGTATCCCAACCTCTCTTCTCACAAGCTCCAAAAGCACCCCGCTCACAATGCCGCCCTTCACTTCCCTACGAACATCCTCATCACTTAGGAGCTTCGCCGTCCTGGTTGTCTCTGCGCGCGAATGAACAAACACCAGAACCTGCTTTCCATCATTCAGATATTCCTTTACCTTCCTCCTCAGAAAGTCCTCCTCAAGCTGGGGCTTGCTCCTTCGAGTCATCCCAACAACACTCATCCGAAGCGGAACAGGCCTGTACCCACCATCAAAGCTGAACACATGCTCGGCCTTCAGGAACATCCCCACATCAGAGTGGTTTGGAAGAGTGGCAGACAGCCCCACAATGCGTATGTGCTTTTGCCATAGCTCCACATATCTAAACATTCTGCATACAATCGCCTCCACAACAGGCCCTCTCTCATCCTGCAGCATGTGGATCTCGTCAAGCACAACAAGCCCAATCCTGCCCCGGAACACATTGTATTGCTTCCTTGTTACTACATCAAACTTTTCCGGCGTAGACACTATCACATCATACCTTATCATCTCCTCGACCTTCATTTCGGTGTCTCCAGTATACTCCACAACCCTTTGCTCTCCAAGCTTCCTTCTGTATTTAAATGCTATCTCCGTTGCAAGTGCCCTCATCGGAACTATGTAGACAACCTTGCTTCCCTTACCTAGTGCCCTGAGGACACACAGAAGGGCAACATCTGTCTTTCCCGAGCTTGTGGGTGCACACACTAGCATGTTCCCGTCACTTCTGTACGCCGCCTTAAACACTTTCGATTGAACCTTGTTAAATCTCTCGTAGTCAAAGTACTTCTTGTCTTCTCCAGTAGCATCCGTAGAAACAATCTCAGAGCCATCAACCTCTGCAGGAATAGACTCCGGAAAGTTGTACTCCACATAAAATCCCTTGTCCACTGCTTTTTCTTGGGATACAAAATACTCCTGACTCCTGCAGATCGTTTCTATCTCATCCATCATCTCGTACCCGAGAATCTCAACCAGCCTTTCTTGGTAGCATGGATCTCCAAGTGCTTCGGCAATCATATCCACTGTTTCCTTTGGATCTGTTCCAAGCCGGCGGGAAACCTTCCTAACAAGTTCATCCATTTCAGAGGGTGTGAACCACAATTCTCAAATCACATTTGTCCGTCCTCTTGGCAGACACATCCTGTCCGGTGTAGGTCCCTCAACACAACCTGATAGAGCAAAAGAGAGAAATTTTTTCACCCCGGAATGACCAGAAGGGATGCTAAGGAAAGAAAGGAGGCGACATATGAGAGGGCCATGAGGCTCTTCAAAACCTACAACAAGTTCGCTCTTGTGGGGATTGAAAATGTGGTGTCTACTCAGCTGAAGGATATCAAAAGACAGTGGGGAAGCGATGTAGAGTTTTTGATGGGAAAGAACAGTGCGATTAAGCGAGCAATGGCCGACCTGGGGAAGCCTGAGATTACGGACATCCTTGAGCTTATCAAGGGAGATGTCTGCTTTGTGTTCTTCAAGGGGGATGTCAGGGATATCAAGAAGGCCATTGACGAAAACGTGAGAGAGGCATGTGCTAAGGTCGGAAATGTTGCGCAGAAGGATGTGTGGGTAGACAACTGCATCACCGGAATGACTCCAGACAAGACATCATACTTCCAGGTTCTTGGAATAGCAACGAAGATCACAAAGGGTAAGGTCGAGATCATCTCTCCATACAAGGTTCTCTCTGAAGGAGACAGGGTTGGGCCTTCCCAGGCTAACCTTCTTGGGATGCTGAACATCAAGCCATTTAGCTACAAGATGACCATGCACAAGGTCTACGAGAATGGCGTGATCTACGACTCGTCTCTTATTGATGTTGAGAAGGAGGATATTCTCTCAACTCTGAGAAGCGCAATAAGCAGCATAGCAGCAATAAGCCTTGGGGCCGATGTCGTTACACAGGCAAGCATGCCTTACAACATCAGAAACACGTTCAAGGACATCCTCGAGATCTCCTTGGGTGCTGATTTCATGATCAAGGAGTATTCCATGGTTACGGCTAATTAAAGGACATTTATTCCATTTTGCTTTTAGATTTGTGATCCAGAGCAATCTTTGTGTTTACCAACCTTATGTCTGGTGATTTAAAGGTGCATCTGATGGTGGCGATTGCATCGCACACCATTCTCAGATAGCACATTCCTATGTATATCAGGCCTATCTTTGGATTCAGAACCATAAATATTACTGCAAAGCATGAATATTCGTTCTTCCTTGTGAAAAATAGGAACGAGACAGGAAAGAATGAGTAGAGGAGGGTTCCCAGGAACACCCTCGAGACAGAAATGTGGTAGGATGCATAGGCCCAATCAAGTGTATAGCTTGCAAATACAGAAAGCACTAGTGGGATGAATGCAGTAATGTCTATGTACCCATCATTGGTGGGAATGTAGAAGTAGCTTCCGTATGGATGGGTTCTTACAAAAGAGATGGATTTGATGAAGTTCATGAATGCCTTTAGGTTTCTCGAGGTGTTCTTCAGTACTATGTGCAGGCGGTTTGATGGAGTATTTGTAAGAATGATGTCTATGGGGTCAAACGACAGCTTGAAGGGGAAGAACTCGCGAGCAACAAGAAGGAGGTCTGAATTCGGCTGATGGTTTTTTAGCGGATGTACGAGTACACATGCTTTGCTTCCAAACTTCAGATCTATTTCAAACAAATAAACACATTTCTCGTCCGGTGGGTTTAGATCAATAATCACATTAATGTTTCTGATGTCCATAGATCTTAGGGTTGAGATCACAGGATGATAGTACTCCTTCTGCTCTGGATATCCTTGAATTCTCAGTGTCAGCCTTGGCGGTAGACTGTTGAGAACAAACTTGTTGCCAGTGAAAAGGGCCTCTCCATCATTGATGATCTTTATACCTCCATCCAAGTAGTGCTGTACAGGCTCGGCAGTAGAGATTTCACTCTGCTCCTTTATTCTCAATGTCAGTAAAGGAATTGTAACAAGGACAGCCTTTATCAGCTTCAGATACCTTTTGATCTCTCCAGAGTGCTTCAGCAGTCTATTCAGAATCATTTCCCTTGGGTACCTATGTTTTGTTTTTTGTTTGTGGAGTCCTTGGACCTTTGAAGAGTGTTTTTCCAGGGCTACTGATTGGATGTGCTGGGGCCGTCGGGATTTGTTTTCAAGCAATAATTGGATCTTCTTTAGTTTATTCTGTCAAATGTATTTAAGAAAAATTCAATGTGCTTGAGAAATGAAGGTAGGAATAAATGGAATGGGGAGAATAGGAAAGCTGGTGTACAGAATCCTAAGAGAAAGAGGTGTTGAGGTCCCGCTTGTGAACGATAAGAACCTCAATGTAGAGCAGGTACAGCATGTTCTGAAGTATGACAGCGTATTTGGAAAGGCCAAGGAGTGTAAGGTTGAGGGCAACAAGATTTCATACCTAGGGAAGGAGACGTGTCTGTCGAACTTCGATAAGCCTGAGAAGATCCCATGGTCGAAGTATGGGGTGGATGCTGTTGTCGAGGCAAGCGGAGTGTTCACTGGGCTTAAGGAGTGTGAGAACCATAAGGATGTCAAGATTGTTGTGGTTACTGCTCCAAGTAAAGACGTGCCCATGTTTGTGTATGGAGTCAACCATCAAGACTATGCGTCCCAGAGAATCATCAGTAATGCAAGCTGTACTACTAACTGCCTAGCGCCCCTTGCCAAGATCATCGACGACAACTTTGGGATTGTGGAGGGACTGATGACAACAGTGCATGCAGTAACAGCCACGCAGAATATTGTTGATGGAATAGGGAAGTCCAGCAGAAGCGGAAGATCGGGGATGAACAACATAATTCCTGCAAGTACCGGTGCAGCAACCTCGGTGGGCAAGGTGATTCCATCTCTTGCCGGAAAGCTTGATGGAATGGCCATGAGGGTTCCCATCTCAAATGTCAGTGTGGTGGATCTTGTTTGCAGAACAAGGAAGGAAACAAGCATCGAAGAAATAGCAAAGGCCGTTGAGAAGTTCTCAGAAGAAAATGGAGGAATCGTCGGGACAACCAGAGACCCTGTGGTAAGCTCTGATTTCATTGGAGACCCAAGAAGCTCTGTGTTTGACATCAATGCAAGCATTTCAATGGGGCCCAACTTCTTCAAGATCATCAGCTGGTACGATAACGAATACGGATACTCATGCAGGGTATGCGACCTGCTAAAGTATGCATACTCGAAAAGAAAGTGATATTAAATCCTTATCGCACTTAAATCTGACTTCATTCGCCTCTTAAAGGCTCAGAGGACTAGAACATTTCTTCCTGCTAGTGCCTAAGATCGCATCGCCTTCCTTAATAGTTTGTCTATTTCCTCTATCTCCTTTTCTTCCACATTGTTTGAAATCATTTCTCTTATCTTCTTGATGACTTTATCCTTGAAGTCCTCTTCCCCTTCAACAAGAGACAATACTCCCCTTACATTCTCCACCACATTTCCATTTCCAAGTATTGCGTCAATGCAACTCTTCTCAAACTCAGACCCAACCCTCTTTTCTGCATCCTCAACTTCACAAACCTTTTCACTGCACATCTTCTGCATACGGTCAAGCTGTCTCCATCTTCCTATGATTCTCTTTAGGTCTTCCCGGTCCTCTTCTTCCATAATCCTTTGCGCCCCTAGAATCACAGCCCTCCTCTTCAACTCCTCGTTACTTGACTTGCTCAGGACTTCTTCAAGCTTTCCAACTCCATTCTCCTTCCTCCCCATCTTCTTCTTCAGATAATCGCCCTCCAATCTTTCATACACATCCCTAAGATCCTTCTGAAAGGTGCCATACACATCCTCGTCCGGGCCTGCTTCCTTCCAGCTCTTTCCCAGCCCATTCAGTGTCTCCACATCTGCAATGTCATACACATCTTCAACAAACTCCGTAATCAAAAGCCCGATATTTCGAAAAATCTCCTGGCACGTCCCCTCAATCTCCATACTCTTGAGAAACCTGTCCTCACACTTCACTATGCTTCGATACGACTCAAAAAGAGATCCAAACACACTGTCCACCTTATCCTGCGTCACGCTCTCCTTCAGCAGCCGAAGAACAGTCTTCAGATGAAACCCAAACTCCCTTTCATACAGCTTCTTCGACCGCGCCACATATATAGAGCATATCACAACATAGTAGTCTCTATATCTCTTCGCATGCTGAATTATCTTCTTGAATCTCTTGATCGCCCCATACAAACCCTTGTGAACCTTCAGCTCTCCGCTACTCTCGCTCCCAACCATAAAGCTTCCCATGTATGTTATAAACCTCTTGTAGAACCCTCTTAGTGCATCGTTGATCCTCTCCTTCTTCTCCCTCACTATCCTGATGTCGTACTCGTCAACACTAAAGCTGCCAAGTACCTCTAAAGCCTTCTCAATCTTGCAAACCCCGTCAATGCTGTCAAACGACTCGCTCTCCAGTGCTATGAAGTGGTCTTCTTTGATCTCAACGTTGATCAGAAGCTCCTTCAGGTGCTCGTATATCGACGTCTGATACCGAATCTCATTTTCCAGCTTTGTGTTTTCCTTTTCTATGTCCTTCATCTCCTTTGCTAGCGACTCTAGCTTGATCGTGTACAAAGACAGGCTCAAGTCAATCTCCTTGCACTTCGTCCAGACCTGCTCGAGATTCGGATATATCTTTGGAATCTCCTCCATGCATCTTTCCAAGGTGTTTATTTTATTCTGATCAACCTTCTCATCATCTGCACTGAGAAATAGATCGTCAATCTCCTTCTCCATTCCAGGGCTATCCATTTGTCAACAAAACACTCATAGCTTACAAAACTACCTTTCTTCCTCTCTACGCCCCTTGAGATACTTTTCCTCGAGTCTGGAAAGAAAGTTTCCATCTCTCCTCCCCCGTCTCCCAAGTAGCTCCTCCAGCGGCGCGTCGATGTCTATCCCCATCTCTTCGGCAATCTCTCTAGACATCTTTTCTTCTCTTGCCTTTCTCTTTTTTCTTTTCGCATCTTGGCAAACTCTCTTATAGTATCCGTTGTATCTCTTAAGTGTGCCACACTCGATGAGCCCATCAATAATCTCTCTTAGCCTGCTCTCGTCCTTGTCATCAGACAGAAGAAGATTATCTATAATCCTTGCTACTCTCCCCTTGTATTTGTTGTACAGTGCAATGATGTCGCTGACCTCCTCCCTGGAACCTTTGTACATCTTTGCTACATCGTCAACAGGTATGATCTCCACAGGCGGGCTTTTCTGTATCTCCTCGTATGCCCTGCATACCTCCTCATATGCCTCCCTGTCCCCCGTCTTGCTATCTGGGTGGTAGATCCTTTGAAGCCTCCTGTATGCTCTTTTTATCTCAGTGTCTGTCGACGTCCGCTCCACTCCAAGTATCTTGTATGGATCCCCTCTTCTCTTCATGATGGGCATCCATCAACTTCTGATCAATAAAAACAAGAGTAAGAAGCCCTGGAATGATATTCATCGTTCGAGGCCCGGAGGGTCAAAGACGGGTAGAGGCAGACGAGTCCAAGGCGCTTGGGCCTCAGCTGCTTGCCTTCTTTGAGGTTGACCAGATAAGCATATCTCTGGCCCTGGATGGAAAAGACAAGCTTGACAAGGCCCAGACGCCATCCACCCTAGGGCTCAGGAATGGCCAAGTACTGTATGTTGAATATGAGAAGAAGAAGGAAACACCGAAGCAGAAGCAGGATAGTGACAAGAGCATAAAGAGGGAGAGGGATAGTATGCTGTGCCAGCACGATTCTAATGCGATGTGCAGTAACTGTGCGCCTTTGGATCCATGGGATGAGAAGTACTACAAGGACAACATGATCAAGTATCTTAGCTTTGGATCGTACCACGAGATGATGAAGAGCAAGAAGAAGGAGCTGAGTGCCGACGACTATTCTGTCGTGGTATGCCTAGACCACGGATCGAACACAAAATGCAGCAGATGCCAGGAGAAGAACATAATACTGGCGCCTCAAGTGTTTAGGATGGTCGATCATGTTGAGTTTGACGGGCAGCACCTGGTGGAGAACTTCATTAGGAATTGGAGAGAAAGCGGAAGGCAAAGGTTTGGGTTCCTTATAGGAAAGTACATGGAGCACGAGATGATTCCGCTAGGGACAAAGGCAGTTGTTTCTGGGATATGGGAGCCCGACCAAGAAGATTATCCGGATGGGTTTGTAATAACGGGGCCTATAGAAGACCTTTTTACGGGGACTGGGCTTGGGATAGTTGGGATGATATACACCGACATTTCGATGGAAAACGGTAGTGTGACAAGCGATAAGATTATCAGAGATTACTTTTTGTCGTCTTTGGAAATCGAGTTTATTGCGAAGATGCAACTCATGCATCCATATGTGCTTAAGGACGGGGGGAATGAGATGGAGTTTGGGTCGAGGTTTGTGACCATAATAGCCACTGTGGATAAGGATGGGAATATAGGCCTCCAGGAATACCAGGTAAGCAACCAGTGCATGGCACTTGTCAAGGGAAGCTGGATCCTCCCAACCGAAAACCCAAAGATGCTTCTGGCAAGAAGAGATATTCTCTATAGAACAAAAGCAGAGGAATCAATGGTCAAGGCTGACCCGTATCTTCCTGGGGAGTTTTTCATAGTAAAGCTAACGCATGGGTGCAAGACAAACCCACTCTTCAGAAGCACAGAGTTCATTCCAAAGAAGTTTGGAGATAGAAGAATGGCTGAGTACTTTGGAGGAGACTTCTCGATGGAGAAGTTCTCAAACTTCACCCTTCTGGCAAGAGTGCGGGGGATGTTTTCCAACTGGAAAGATCTTTTTAAATGTGTGTGCTCGCGGGATAGGGATAAGTTCAAGGCGATCTCGAAATCCAAGGATTTCAGAAGCTTTGTGTCCAGCATGGAAAAGTATAGATGCACTGAGTGGGAATGCAAAGCGTGTACTTTTGTCAATGAGAGAAACACATCTATGTGTGAGATGTGCAACGGAAGGAGGGACTGATGGTTCTTTTTGTGATTAAATGCTTTATGATAGTCTTGAAATGTGTGAGGAGAAGCCTGGTTTTTTCTAGATTTTTTTCTGCGACAAAAAAAGATAAAAGAGGTTGGCTGTTAGAGGGCCATGTCTAAGGATCCCAAGGGATATTATAAGATACTCGAGCTGAGTCCTGGGGCGTCTATAGCTGATGTAAGAAGGGCCTACTCAAGGCAGCAGGCCAAGTATCATTTGGATTCGCCGTTTATGAAGAACAAGCTGAAGAATGCAGCCAACGACGAGGAAAGAGAAAAGATAAAGAAGGAGTGTGGAGAGATGTCTGCAAAGCTGAACTCTGCGAAGAGTGTGCTGTTTGATGAGAAGAAGAAGAAGGAGTATGACAGCGGTGTTGGAGAGTTTGGAGCACACTTTTCCGGAGCAGGATATTCCGATATATTTGATATATTCAGCCAGTTTACTGGGGGGAGAAGCCATCAAAGAACAAACAAGGTGAACTCTACCAAGTATGTGATAACCATTTCCCTTAGAGAGTCGTTTGTCGGGAAGGTGTCGAAGTTCAATGTCAGGACTGAGAAGATATGCCCTACATGCGATGGAAAAGGAGGGAAGGATGTAGAGACGTGCAAGAAGTGCAATGGAAGTGGTGTGTGCACCACGCGCAGAAACCTCGGAGGGTTTGTGACTCTTGCCGAGGCACGATGCGATGGATGTGAGGGGTCTGGACATAAGATTAAGGGCAAGCCATGCGGTACATGCAATGGTGGAGAGTATATACAGGACAAGACTATGTTTGAGGTAAACATAAAGCCCGGGGTTAGAAAGGGAGAGAAGATTGTGTTTGAGGGCATGGGAGACCAGAGGAGAAACCATATTCCTGGAGATGTAATTTTCATAATTGATGTTCAAGAGGACAGCAGATTTGAGAGGCGTGGAAATGATCTGATAGGAAAGATAGACATTCCCCTGTGCACTGCCATTGGGGGAGGAGTTGCCTACTTTACCCATATTGATGGGAGGTTGCTTGAGATAAGTATAAGCCCCTTCAAGACATTTGACACTGTTCTTAGGGTCCGCAATGAGGGATTCAAAGGGAACAAGACGGGGAGCTTGGTTCTGAAGCCAAACATCATAATTGGAAGTGAGTCTGACCGGGCAAAGATTATGCAGGTGCTGTCGGCACCGCCGAGAAAGCCCTATGGAGCGTCTGTAAGGGTAAGCAGTGAGTTTGGGAGCATGCCTGAGGCGGAGAGAGAGCAAGAGGAGGCATCTGACGACGGTGTGCACAATGCCAGAAGCTTCTTCAACAGCTTCAGCTTCTTCTGAAGATGAGAATAAATGATTTAAGGCATAGTAGGTTGTTTTTGAACATCCAATCTGATTGGTTTTTATTCTGTTGTGCTACAAGACCCTGGTAGATGGATAACCAGGTGCTGGAGCAGAAGGTGATCAATGAGGAGTACAAGGTATGGAAGAGGAATGTGCCATATCTATATGATCTTATGTTCTGCCACACTCTACAATGGCCATCTCTCTCTGTCCAGTGGTTTCCAGATGTGAGGAGGGATGAGGAGGCAGGAAGAACAACACAGAGATTACTTCTAAGCACCCATACGAGCGGAAGCGAGGACGAATACATAATCATAGCCAATGTGGAGTTTCCGGATGAATTTGATGAGTCTCTGAACGAGGAGGTTAGTGGAGATATGAGATTCAAGATTGTCCAAAGGATTTCTGTCATGGATGAAGCCAATAGAGTCAGATATAATCCGTCTGCATGCAACATACTAGCAGTGCGTTCTGACCTTTCAGACGTACACATCTACGACTATACAAAGCATCTGTCCCACGAAAAGATCCCGAAGCCCGACATGGTTTTGAGAGGGCACGAGAGGGGAGGATTTGGGCTATCGTGGAACAGTCTGAGTTCCGAGGAGATTGCAAGCTGTGGAGAAGACGGAAGAGTATGTGTGTTTGACATATCACAGGAATCCTCCTTGGTTTCTCCTACACTAACGTTAAGGCAGCACAAAGCAGCTGTTAATGATTGCTCGTTCAGCTTTTTCGATAAGAGACTGCTGTCATCTGTTGGGGATGATGGGGCCCTAATGTTCTATGATACAAGAGCTGGAGACTGCGTAGACCTTGTTGAAGAGGCACATACCTCTGATGTCCTTTCGGTAAGCTTTTCTCCGCTGGATGGGAATGTTGTTGCTACATCGTCTGGGGACAAATCCGTAAAGGTGTGGGATAGAAGAAGTCTTTCCTACCCACTGCATGTGCTCTTGGGGCATTCGAAAGACGTGCTGAATGTAGAGTGGTCTCCGCACCGCAGCGGGATACTTGCATCTGGAAGCGCAGACAGAAGGGTGATTGTGTGGGACCTAAGCCAGGTCAATGCACAAGTCCCTGAGGAGTATGGGGCGGAAGGGCCACCTGAAATGAGATTCTTGCATGGGGGCCATACGAGTACTGTCTGTGATATCTCTTGGAACCCTGCGGAGCCGTTTGAGATTGCAAGTGTCTCCGAGGATAACATGTTGCAGATATGGCAGACGCTACAGCCTGAATGAAAAGTTTTGTGAGATTTTATTAGTTTTTCTATTATTTGGCGCAGGAAACTCTAGTTGGAGCTAAGCTTATATAACACAAACACTTGAAGTAATCCTCCCGCAAGGCCTCCCAGGTACTGGGCTCCAAGATAAAGCCAGAAGTGCTGCCATGTGTTTGACATTATTACAGGGGCAAGCGTAAGGCCCGGGTTGAATGCACCTCCAGAAGTTACTAGGCCCATAAATGCAAGGAATCCAAGTGTTAGCCCTATGCACAAGGGGGCCGTGATCCTACGATCTACAGGCTCCTTCTCATCTGGGTCCACAAACTTTCCATCAGTGTCAACCTTTGGCCTGTATGGATTCACGGCAACTGCAAATGCAATATGGACAAGAATTGCTGTGAGGAAGAACTCAGTGAAAAAGACATTGAGGTTGTCTGCCCCAAAAGGAGCAGGCGCCGGCCTTATCACGTTCAGCGTTTCCTTGTATCCTACAGGAGAGCATACAAGGAGAGCACATACGGCAAGTATGAACCCTACACACTGAGCTAGCATGTATCCCAGTCCGCAAAGGATCCCCATTTTGCCTGTGAGTATTGCTGCGAGGGTGATTGCAGGGTTGAAGTGTGCAATGGTTACATCGCTGAAGGAGTATATTATTCCGATAGCAGAAAATCCAACTGTCAACCCAATGATGACTTTGGCTGCGGGCTGCTGTGCGATAGTGGACCCTAAAATAGCGGAATAAACAGCGAACCCGAAAATAAAGGAGGCAACCATCTCGCTGAGCAGGGACTGTATCTTTCTCAGCGTCTCTCCGGCCATTTGTTTGTTTTATTTTGATCTTTAAATATTTTGCATCCTGATTCAATAAAGGCAAATTAATTAAAGCTAAGCACTTTAGTATCAAATTAAATCACCAGTAGATGCTTCTACGGGCTTCGGATGTTATGCACGGCCATAACGGATACTGTTCCCAGCAAACAATGATCAAACACAGATTAATTTAATCACAATGTGTGATCTTATACTTGATCACAGATCTATCCCCAGAGCCACCATGTCATTCCGGGCACGAACCCATCTCTTGTGGGACGGGAGACGATGCTATTCTTATGCACGATGATTATGTATATTATGAAGAGAGAGAATGTGGATAGATAGAAGAGGTACGGGGAATTCAAGGAATGCTCCAGAATTGTTTTCTTCCAGAGCCAAGGCATGTGGGAAGAGCAGAACAATGCAGATATTATCATAAACAATATGGACATTGATGGGTACACAGAAGGAAGGGTTATGCACCCATTTGACTTCAAGATCATCAAGGATCCAGCAAGGATGCTGTTTGATACGATGAATGGGGTGGAGACACTGCCTACCTTACGGAGCTCCCCCTTGAATGCGGGCGCATCGATGAATGCCAGTGCGCTTCCAATTGCAGCCATTGCTAACGAGTTGAAGAAGTCGGACGATTCCCTGTCTTCAATTCTCCCGAAGAACTCTCCGAATATCACTCTGATTCCAACCATGGGAATGAAGAATATTATGTTCATGGAGCCGTTTGCGATGTAGTACTTCATAAAGTCTGGAACCTGAGACCTTGAGAACCCATGCTCCTCTACAAACCACAGGTCAAATAATGGGCAGAGAAATATGACACATATCCATATCATGAAGGCGGAGCTCGTGAACGATGTAAAGCAGGTCAGAATGGAAGCCGTCAGCTGGTATAGCAAATAGGCCAAGCAGAAGAACAAAGAGTTTGCTTGTAGAATCCTTGTGTACATGAAGATAATCATGATGTCCATCAAGGCACTTATGGACCCCATGTATGCAGAGATAAGCGTAATCCTTGTCTTTGCCTTCATCATGTGCGCTAGGTTGAACAACATCAAGGCCATTGATATGAACAGTGTTGAACTCAAAAAGAATGCACAGTTTGCTGTCTTACACACAAGACTTTCCATCAATAGCCCTGCCATTAGGCAAAGCGATACAGTTATACTGTAAGCCATACTTTTATATTCTGCTATCATCTGGGGTAGGACACTCTGGTTAACTTAAGGGGCCCAGGGACGAGACTTGGGCCATAACCATTGGATAGGTAAAAAGGAACAGGATCTATCGCAGAAGGGCACCTGAATTATTTTATTGATGGCTTTACAAGCTGGACCTGGCCTTCGAGCTCCTCAATCATTCTGCTTAGCATTCTTTCTCCGTCATGTGCGTTTCCTGAAACTATAAATGCCTTGACTAAGTAGTAATCGTCACCAGTCTCTCTGTGATTACTACCCTCCCCAGAGACATGCCTCGATATCTCGATATGGCTTGAGCCTTTCTCGAAGGTTATTAGCTCAACCCTTCCTTGCCTCTCCAGTTCAAATCCAAGTGAAGACAGAAACGTCTTAAGAGTGTTGAGTGTTCTGACTCTCGACCTCTGCACTTTTGAGCAAAGTGAGATCCTATTCTTGTTTCTGTCTGGTGCGCTCCTACTTATCAGATAAACGCCATCATTTTCTTCAGACACAAGCAACGTGTTCGGCCCATTGGAATATATGCTTTCGTTGACAATCTTTTCTGTTCTTTTATATAGCCTCAGATGGCTGCAGATGCAGTCGATCTCCTTCAAATATCCAAATACAGAGCATTCGATCATCCAAGGGGGATTGCAAAATTTGTCGCAAACGCTCAGGCCTTGTTCCGAGCTACTCCATTTTGCACTGGGCGTGATGCACAAGTATGAAGTCCTCCTCGATGGTCCTACATGTCGGTGTTAAGAAGCCCGGGATCACCGCATAGTTTCCACATATGTCACATAAGGCTTTTTCATATCCAACATACATCACTAACATATCGTTGACAATTTTCAGGTGCCTGTCTGCAGGCTCACTTCTTATTGAGCAAAGGATGTAACTGTTCACTCCTGGGTCTCCCCCGCTTACAGATATGATGCCGTGCTCGGTATGGTGTAAGAACTCAAACTCCCCAGACTTATATTTCACAATTCCATTCGTGGAGTCGATCTTTCTAAGCTCCTGGTGTTTGATTTTTGGCTTGTCAAGTAGCGCCACCAGCCGGATGTAGCTTTTATGGATATCGCCAAGAACCAATCCAAAGACATCTTCACTGTGTATCTCTGCCTTTAATCTCCTTAGCGAAAGCAAAAGATCATTTGCCCTCTTTTTGATCAAGGCTCTTAGCCTCATTCTGGAGCGAGGGTGATGCATGAGCATACGGAGCAGACAAAAAATTCCAAAATTTGATCCCAAACAAATGGGCATGGAATTGAAAAAATATGAGGACATCCTGAGATGGGTTAACACGGAGGAGAAAACATTGAGATATAGAAGAAGGGTAGGTGTATTCAAGGGAAGTGATGCCCTTGCCCTGCTAACCAAAGGAGGCTTGGATCCACTGCAAGCAAAGTCTGTCATGCAGGAGCTTTTAAACGAAAGCATTCTGTTTAAGGTGTCCATCAACAAGAGAAACACAAAGGAATGCGACGTGGTGCTTGACCAAAGGTTTCAAGAGAACCATCACTATGTCTTTGCAAATGAAAGGACATCCAGCATCTCTCTTGTTCTCTGTGGTGTGTTTGTCTTAGTGACATTCACAATTGTTCTCTTCAGAATGTGGCCGAGGAACATCCAGCAGCGCCTGTTCTCATACATGGTCTATCCGCTCGGTGGATTCATCACATTCATAATTGTCCTCGCAATAATAAGACTGATACTGTTTTCAGTGACATATATACTGTACTCGCCAGGAATATGGCTGTTTCCAAACCTGTTTGAAGATGTAGGGTTCTTTGAAAGCTTTGTTCCTCTATGGGAATACCATGGAAGCAAGAAAGTAAAAAGTGAAAAATAAATACGGCTTTAACTAAAATCACCCACTCAGTCCTTTCCGACGTAGACAAAGTGTGCCAGGAAAAACTCCCTGCTGCATCTTTCCACAAACAAGGAGAGCCCGTCACGCCTTACAGCAAACATCCCCTTGGTTATTGGGATTCCACATACAAATCTCCCCTCTTTGTCCAGGTACTTGATTGGACTCTCAGAGTCTTCCAGCTCTTCCAGATCATCGCAATAGGCTGCTTCTTCTCCACCTATGAAGAACACGTCACATGCATTTCCTTCCACTGCATTGCATCTGTCATTTAGAAGAATGTAGTCCCCCACCCTGAAACGATAGAAGCCTCCATCCTTGAGCTCCCATCCCTCTATGCTCGGAACCAGAGGGTTACTGATCTCTATTCTTTCCACCCTCCGGAGGCAAAAGGGGCCCTCAACAGCACCAGAGATGCACTCAAAGTCATACTCTATGCCCGGATAGAATACAAAGGGACTCTCGTTAAAGTCCACTTCTAGCGGGAAGGTTTCACACCCGCTTAGGTCAAACACATCCGTACATCTACTGTCGTCGTCATGCCTTACTTCTTTAAAGTTCAGCCATCCAGTAAATGCTCTTCTTCCATCCTTTTCACAGTATCCAACCTCATGAAATGATGTGTCGCAGACTTCAAAAACTACAAGCCTGTTGGATTTCACTTTGACCGTTTTCGAAACCGTCTTGCAATCACTCTCATAGAGAATAAGCTCTCCAGAGTCGTGGTCCTCCAAGTAATAGCTGAAGGCAAACCTCCTGTTCTCGGTCTTGTCGTCGTGACACAGAAGGTAATCCCCCTTCCTATAGTAGGACCCAAACAAATCTATCCATCCTCCCTTCACATCTCCAATCTCCTCAAAGACCTTCATCAGAGAAATTCTAAAAAACTCAAGGTCCTCTCTCTCTTTCAGCTCGTCGGTCTGCAAGAACCGGAACAGGTCTGTGTGGAGCTCTCTAAATGCACACCTCCCGTGTATGCTTCTCGCTGCCTCAACATCAGAGGGAGATAAAAAATCGTCTCTTACAAAGTGAAGGAATGGCCTTTCATACTTCTCCATCAAGGGGGGAAGCAAAGCGGCACAAGAAGCCCAGGATAAAGAAACTTTTATTTCGTTGTAACCTTTCCTATGTTTACAACCAGAGACCGAGAAACATTATCTGTCTTGTACACCCCAAGCAGGGTTTCGCTGAGCTCAAACATGTCGCTGCGTAGGCTTATCACAAGGAATTGAGCGGTGTCAGACATCTCTCTTATGAAGTTCGATATCACACTCACATTCCTGTAATCCAAGGCAGCATCTATCTCGTCCATCACATAGAATGGCGATGGCCTGTATCTATGAAGTGCAAAAATAAGTGCAAGGCTACTAAGTGTCTTTTCTCCTCCGCTCAGGTTTCCAACGCTTTTCCAGCTCTTTTTGGGCGGCATCACACTTAGGATCACTCCCTCGCTGAACGGATCAAGATGGTCAACCAGCTCCAGCTCAGCATTCCCCCCATATGTGATAGCCTTATAGATCTCCTTAAGGTTCTTGGATATCTGTAAGAAGCCCTCCATAAACTCATCGTGTCTCTTCCTCTTCAGACATTCCAGTGACGCTCCTATCTTCTCGAGTCTTGACTTAAACCATTCATGTTCCTCCTTCACTTTTTCATATTCACACTTGGCCTTCTCGTACTCTCCAAATACATTCATATCAACCTCTCCGTCTTCCTCCTTCCTCAGCTTCGTGATGGTGCTACCGATCCTCCTTATTGCCTCATCGATCTCCTCTGAGCTCATCTCCTCAGCCCGGATCCTGCTGTAGATATCATTGCACATACCCACGTACCTCTTAACCTCCTCTTCAAGAGTGACTGCCCTCCTCCTACTCTCATGAATCAACCTTTTGCACTCTTCGCTTTTGTCATCCACATCGTCAAGTCTATTCTTCAGATCAATCTCCATGTGATAGTCATTTCCAAGAACAGACTTCATACTTGCAATCTCATCCAGTATCTCCTTGAGATCCTCTGAGTTCTTTCTGTGCTCACTTTCGCACTCAGCCATCTTGCTTCTAATCCCAGAAATGTCCTCAATAGTGATACTTGAAACTACCCTCCTTCTTTCTTCAAGCTCTTGCTCCTTCTCCTTCAACCCTGTTTCCACACAGCTCTCAAGCTGCAGCCTCAGCTCAAGGTTCCTTTTCTCAAACATCTCAATCCTCTCGTTAATACTGAGAAGATTCTCTTTCTTCCTTCGGGTCTCAATATCAGTGAGTCCCTCAACCGCGTCCCTCAGAAAAGATACCTTCTTCTTGGCCTCTACAACCTCCATCTCAATCTTCTCAATCTCTTCCTTATTGATCTTCCTGCTTGTTGCTTCAATGCCTTTCATCACATCCTCAAGCTCAGAGCTAAGCTTCTCCCGGACCTTACAGAGACGCCCCTTCTCCCTCAAGCCCTTAATAACATCAAGCTCTTCAGCCTTCATCTTCCGAAGCTCCATCATCTTCGCACATGCCTTCTCAAGCTCTTCAACACTCTTCATCCTCCCAGACGTCTTTCCTCCACTCATAACCCCACTCTTCTCAATAAGCTTTCCATCAATCGTCACAACCCGCTTCCTCTGCTTTCCAAAGGCAAGCCTCTTAGCCACTTCTAATTCGTCACAGACTAATGTGTCCTTCAGAGCAAAGTAAAAGCATTTTCGGAACTCCGGAGAGCATTTGACAAGACTGTACATATAGGGCACACTCTCCTTCGGGAGGCTGGGAACCTCGCAAATCCTATCAAGTATTATGAACGTAGCACGCCCCAGCCCATGGCTTTTGATCAAAGAAATGCACTTCTCTGCAGTACATGTCGTATCAACAACTATACTGCTCAGGCCCTTTCCTGATATCCTAAACGCCTTTTCATAACAGGACTCCACCTCTCCCAAGTCATTCAGCTTTCCATACACCCCCTTCACATGCTCAATCCTCCGAAGAATCTCATTCTCTCTGCTGTTCCTCTCTTCATTCTCCTTGTACTCCTCCACCCTTTGCATCCTTCTGCTCATTTCTCGCCGTGTCTCGGCCAAGTCCCTTTCAATCTCCCTGATTTCCCTTTCAATGACTCCCTCGTCCCTTCCAGATGCAACTTTCTTCCCGTCCATCTTTGCTAGCTTCCCTTCAATATCCTCAATCCTTCCCAGAATTTCAGACCTCCTGGACATTAGTCCCCCTAGCTTCGACTCAAGGCTCCGCTGCTTCTCTCCAATCTCTCCTTTCCTTTCAAGAAGCTTCATCATCCTCTCCTCTTCCCGTACAATCTCCTCAACCTTTTCCTTGGCTTCTTTCTCAACCCTTCTCTGTTCTCTATCAATCTCAGATCGAAGTCTCTCACCTACCTCATTGCATCTTAAAATCTCCTTGGCGTTCCGGTCAATCTCTTTCCCGTATTCAGTCCGCATCTTGCGCCTTCTGTCCTCTCCACACTTGATCTCCTCAATCTCCCTACTCAGCTCCTCAATCCGTCTTAACGCTTCATCCCTAGACTCCTCCACCATCCTCCTTCTTCTTTCTGCCCTTTGGTACTCCCTTCGGGCTTCCAAAAACCTCTCCTCGGAATCTCGTGCTCTTTCCCTCGCCTTCATGCCCCTTCTCTCCAGTGCTTCAACCTTTCCTCCGTTCTCCTTGTTCCTCCTTGCAATCTCACTAAGCTTCTCCTCAATCTCCTTTCTTTCAGAAAGAAGCTTCGACAGCTTCCTCCCGTTCTTTTCGCTGCAGAGAAGCTGGAGATCGGCATCCAGATACAAACACTCAGCCTTCCTTTGTACTATCCTCAAGCTCTCTTCCCTCTTCTTTTCAATATGCTCATACTCCTTTCCATAGAACTTCAGAGCTGCAGACTTGCTTTCATACTCTTCTGTCACCCTTCGATGTTCTCTCTCCTCTTTCTCAATGCCCTCCTTGTACTCACTTGTTCCAATCACATCCTCAAGATACTCAAGCAGCCCATCATCCATCGGCTTGATCATAGCAATGCTCTCAATCTCCCCCTGCAGTATCAGAAACCTGTTGTGCTCCATGTCAACACCCTCACTCTTCAGTAGAGACATCACAACTGCAGAAGACGCCTCCTCACCGTCCACAAAGTACTTGGACTTCCTCGACAAATAAGCCTCGCGCCTTATCCTAAACTTATTGAATCCCAGCTCCACATAGCACATGTCCTCCTTTCCATCCCCGTTGTATATCAGCCCTTCCACCGACGAGTGGCGCATTTTCCTTGCTCGGAATCCAAGAACAAAGAGAATGCTGTCTATTATATTGCTTTTTCCAGATCCATTGGCCCCAACTATCGCCGTAAACCTCGGGTCCAGGCCTTGGATCACATGGGTTCCTCTGTAGCTTTTGAAGTTGTGGATTGTTATTGACTCCAGCCTTAATTTCATCCCAAGGGCACTCCTCCCACTATTCATAAATTTTTGTTTCCTTACCCCTGCTGGAGGCTGGAAGCTTTCGATTAGGGGCCCTGCCCTTGGGAAGGTCTGAGATGAGACGTCTAGCCGAAAGGGCACCTAGTTAATGCTGGGGATCGTTCATAACAGAAACGTTCGCTTCTCCTATGACCGGAACGGAATGATTAGGAGGTGCTTGGAAACTGAGCGATGTCTTAGACTAAAATAGTCCAACTCGAAAGGCAGCCGTTTGCGTTGTAACCAAATTCAGACTACTCTCCAGCATCCAGCATTTTGATCTAAAGGTTTCCCTCCTCTACTCTTTTTTCTACTTTCTCCTCAACTCAGCCCTAGAAAAATTCCTCTGCTTGACGTCCCGGAATGAATGCAGAGGAAAACCACAAGAAGCTTGAAGAGAGCATATGCTGGGCAAACTCGCCTCCTGCGCCTGTCCCAGGGATGTGTTACATTGAGCCGCAGATAAAAAGAGACTTCACCTCGTTTGACGGGTCTCTCGAGAAGGTAGTGCCAAGGCAACTGTACACAGACCTCCTTGATGCAATGGACATAGACTTCATGGGGATGGTCATAGACCATATTGAAGGGACCACCAGGAGCATCGGTCATACAAATAAGGCCCTTAGGGACCTGGAAAAAAGAACTGAGGCTCTGGAGAGAGAGAGGATAAAGGAAAGCGTGAGCAGGATCTTCGACTATCAAAAGTATATCCAGGAGTCCTTTGAAGATGTGGAGGATACAATAGTTCACCCCATGGACAGCAACATCAAGGTAGAAGAAGCCTACAGTCTCTTCCCAGGACACGGCGAGGAGCATGTTATCATTCAGTCAGACAACATAGACTTCCAGAAATCTTCCTTTAGCATTTTGGAGGAAGAATCCTCACAATTGTTTAGAAAGGCTTGCATGTCGGATGGAAGGGCCTTCGCGTGCCTGCCACAAAGGGTGGACGACTTTCTGGTGCTCTATATAAAAAACGGGAACGCGTACTACGGCGAGGTCTCTGCACTTTATAAGCTCCAGGAGCCTAGAAAGCAAAAAAAGCAGGAAGGAAGGAAGAAGGAAGGGTAGCTGCAAAAGTAAGGCCAAAAATGGGCAGCATGCAAACCCCATGGGATCGGACTCTGGAAGCGAATCCAAGGCTAATGGAAATGCTTTGCAGGCCACGACTTCCAAGAAAGTGCCGCTGAAGCTTGTTGACCAGGATGGAACAATGCTTGTCTTCAATGTTAAGATGAACACAACGTTCAGGAAGATACTTGACGCTTTTTCTCGTAACCTTGGAAAGAACAGCTCTGAGTTTCGGCTACTGTTTAATGGAAAGAACATTGATCCTGGAAAGACACCAAGTGACTTTGGGTTTGAAGGTAATGAGGAGCTCGAAGTGGTGACCTCACAGGTGGGTGGATGGTCTTGGTAAACGGCTTTTGTTGCTTGTGATGCTCTTGTCCTGGGCAATGAATTAAAAACAAATACTTGAGGATCAATATTTTTTGGCATCTCAACCCTCGAGATGAGAGGAAGCAAAGCACAGATCCGGGTTTTTGAGGAAAATCGGGTCACAAGGAGGCTTCTGCTAAGGAGTATGGTACTGTACAATGTGTGCACACTGGTGGTTTACTTTATAAACAAGGAAAGAAACATGCTGGTGTATTTGGCCAGATCCGTCCCTGAAGCGCTCGCCGTCTACTATCTCTATAGAATCTCGACGCCTGTCATTGCTTTGAACGGGGGCACAAAAACATTAGTGAGTCCCGGTGCAGCCCTCAATGGAAAGGGCCATGTCAGTGTTGCATTTGACTTTCTGTTTATCTCGATGCTTGTGAAGCTTCTGCTACTCTACTCTGGAAAGTCGTGGCTGCTATATCTTTTCTTTGTTATCTCTTGTTGCTATGAGTTTTTGTATAAGCCACTTACAGCTCTGAAGAAAAGCACAAAATAAAAGAATCTAATTAAAATATTCTGTATTCCTATTTCTCAGGGCATGATGGTTGCATGCTGCCACCCTGCTGCCCAAACTCCTCGAGAAATGCTTTCTTTGTCTCCTCAAAGTCTCTCCTGCAATCCTCTTCAAACTGCCTTTTCTTTTCTTTGTTTGTAAGCTGGGCACGCAGCTTTAGAAGGAAATCCTTGCCGTGTGACAAAGCATATTTGACATACAGAGATATTTTCGAGAGGATGAGGCCTCCCACATCGTTTCCTTCTTTAATCTGCTCTGCTAGATTATGAAGAACAACAATCTCAAACTCCTCCATATTGATCTTGCATCGGTTCATCAGCTCAATGAAGCTGTCCAGCTCATTGTGGACTATAAGATACTCTAGCTCCTGGATGTAGTCCTTCTCTACGTCCTCGGAAGGTGTCCTGAACGACTCCGTGTCAAGGCACACGTATGAAGGCTTCAGAATCCTCTCTATCTCGTTCCTTTCCTCAATCATCTCTTCGCTCGGGTTTTCTACCGAATTGATTTCCTCGAGCCTCTGCTCAAGCTCTCTCCTCCTCTGCTCCCTCTGTTTCCTTCTCCACTCCTTGTAGCTTCTCTCGTCTATGTTGGGATGTATTGCCTCCTCCTCGTCGCTGTCCAAATTGACTCCAGAATATTTTGAGCTCATGAGGGGAATACAGCCATTTTCATATTGAACCCCAAGCCCATGCCACTCAAGTACACTCCAAAGCTGTGCACAGTTCCCAAGGTCGACCAGATAACCACTCCAAACAAAAACATACAGAGCTTCTTCATGAGGAGCGATGCCTCCTATTATGCAGATGAGAAACACAGGATGGCGAACTATAGGGCTGACGAGCCCATCATTCATGTTGTGATCTGGAACAACAAGCTTATCGTAGAGTCTGAGTCCGTTGACCTTGGGGACTTCTTCTACCTGACTGGAATGAACACAGAAAGGTTTAAGAGCCTCGAAGAATGTGTTGGATGGCTAGGCAACCTGATTTCTGATGTGCTAAGGAAACTAGAGATAAGGCCTAGAGGCTCGTTTGTTTCCCTTATATTCCAGGATCTTCTGAACAGGACGGAGGTGCTGGCTCTGTGCAACCTCTTCATCAATGTCTTATCTTTCAAAGGGATTCTAATAACGCCACGGAGTCTGTCTCAGGCGATTGGGACTCTTTCGCCCAACTGTGTTGTTGTGAATCTCTATGCAAATTATACCACGGTATGTCTTGTGGAAGACTTCTGGATGCTAGATGGAATTTGCGTGTCGCGGGAATGCAACAAAGGATTTGAGCTTGTTGACTCTGTAGATTTTGTCGATGAGTTCAATAGGATCAAGGTGTTTGAAGAGAAGAACGTATTCTCCTGCGACAAGTGTGACTACAAGGATGAGACTGAGGCAAGGATGGAGGCGCACTTTCTATCATTGCACCAGGATTGCGGGTGCCACCCTGAGGTTGGCAAAGACGAGCATTTCAGGATGCATCTAAGGGCCTACAGCGAGGAGGAAGGAGACATTCATGAGCTCATAGCCAAGAGGATGAACTACGTCCTTAGTAAGGAGAAGGCAAAGAAGATAGGGGGCAAGGTGATTGTGTTTAATCATGGCGGGGTAGGACTATCTGAAGAATGCCTAAGTAAGGCTTTTGAGGAGTATGGGATTAGTCCTGAGGTTTCTATGTATGAAGAACCCAACGAGAGCATGATTACGAATGTGATGGCTGCGTTTTCTGGGCTCGAGTGTGTCAAGGAGATATGGATGACAGATAAGGAATGGAACAATGCAGGGCTCCGGGTATTGAAGGAGAAAGTTCTTTTTATTATATAGCATGCCTGGATAAGATTGGTAGAAAATTCACCCTGGATGATGGAGAATGAGGAAGAGGTTGAGTTCTTTGGATTTGTACCTGTGACTCTTGTTGCCGAGCTGCAGGGCGAGATTGAGGGGATTCTTCGTGATGGGGTTGAGCAGCTGTCTTCTCTCGATAGAAGAAATGCGCACCGAATATCCGGAATAGTGTTTGAGTCTTTTCGAAGAAACTACTTTATATTTTCGAACTTTGTTTTGAGAAACATTCTTAGATTTCCACCTTCGTTCCGGTTGGAGAGAAAGGTCAATGACACTGTCGTTACCATGGATCTACAGTCGATCACAGACGACTTGGTGAACATACTTGGGGAGGAGGACTATTATAGAGCAGAGGTCCTGAGATTGAAAGAAAGCATCAGAGTTGAGAGATACAGACTGGAGTGTTATAGGTCGCTGCTTGAGTGTTCGGAGCCCATAAATGGGCTGATTGGAAGCATTGTAGAGGCCTATTCTGAGCTTGAGAATGTTAAGAAGCTTTACAACCGGATGAGCATGTCGGGCGGTGCAGATGATGAGGATCACAATGCCCTGCTTGAATACAGGGAGATCCGAAGCAGCCTTGTGAAGAAGGAAAGGGATGATCTGCTAAGAATAGCAAGTGAAGAGGTGCTTGCGATGATGAACAAATGTGCTGAGAAATAAAGTGATAGTTTATATATTTTTGCAGATATGGTTTTGGATCCCTTGTTGGATGTCGTCTCTTAAGAAGCTTATGATACGAGGAATAAGGTCGTTCAGCCATAGGGAAAGCAATACACTAGAGTTTTATTCACCACTGACACTGATAGTTGGGGCAAATGGAACGGGGAAGACGACGATAATTGAGTCGTTGAAGTACATCAGCACCGGGAGTCTTCCACCGAACAGCAGGGGAGGGGCGTTTATCTACGACCCAAAGGTTGCAGGGTTAGCTGAGGTGCAGGGGAGTGTGAAGCTCTTGTTCACCAACGTGCACGGAGAGACGATGGTATGCACACGGTCTATGCAGCTGACGCAGAGAAGAGGCAAGAGGGAGCAGAAGACCTTGGAGAGTGTGGTGTGGGCTGAGAGGGATGGAGGGGGGGTGAGTGGAAGAAGTGGGGACGTTGATGCCGAGATGCCCCAGCACTTTGGGGTGTCCAGTAGTGTATTGGAGAACATTATATTTTGCCATCAGGAGGAAAGCACATGGCCTCTTGGAGAGCCCGTTGTTGTTAAGAAGAAGCTCGACGAGATATTTGCATCTGCAAAGTACGGGAAGGCCTTGGACAGTCTGAAGTCGTCTAAGAAGGAGTGTGCCTCTGACATTAAGATGAAGATGCAAGAGCTAGAGTTTTTGAGGAAGATGAAGGAGAGAAAAGAGTGTCTTGAGGCCCGGATAAAGAGTGGGTGTGCGTCCATAGAGAGGAATGAAGCGAAGCTCGAGGCCTATGGGAATGAGATAAGGAGATGTGAAGATGTTGTTGAGGAGATAAATGTAGAGCTCCGGAACAACGAGGAGGCTGAAAGGAGGGCATACATGCTGAGGAACGAGCACGAGGAGCTGAAGAGATTTATTGATGGGTTCAAGGAAAAAGCATTGCCGCTGGAAGAGGCAAAGGGCATTCTGAGCGGGAAGCTGCTGACTGAAGCCGAAAAGAGGTATGAAAGGATAAGGGCAGAGGCTGAGGAGAGTGAAGCCAGATTTAGGTGTCTGAGTGAAAGAAGAAGTGCCTATCTTAAGGACAAGACGGAGCTTGACGGAGTATTTTCTGAGATATCTGTCAAGTCTTCGCTTCTAGATGAGGCGAGGCGGCAGAGGGAGGAAGTCTTCAAGAGCCTTGAGTCTGAGCTTCTTGTCACAAAAGACTTCAGGGAGACGGCGGCTGAGGCCTTCAAGAAGGTGGAAGAAGACATCAGAAGAAGAAAAGAGAGCATAGAAGTGCTTGAGTCTGAGCTTCTGAAGCTGAGGAAGGAAGACGAGAACAAGATGAAAATACTTTCTGAGAAGAAGAGGATAGTGGATGAGTACAGGGACCTTGTGTATGACGAAAGCATGGATCTGTCTGTATCCTATGAGGAGGAGATTGAAAGGCTTAGGATTGAGATTGAGACTGATAGGGAGATGGAGGCTTTAGAAGAAAGGCTCGAGGAGTACCAGAGAAGACTGAACAATGCATATAGCATTGCTGAAAGAAACTTTGCGATGAACCAGATAAGAAGCAGGAAAAAGGAGATAGAGAAGACACTGAAGGAAGTGAATGTCCCTGAGCTTCGGGCAAAGCTAGAGAGGCAGAGGGAAGAGCTGAGGGAAAAGGAGAGGAGGATGAAGAAGATTGAGAGGGAGATGAATCTTAGGAGGGCAGAGATTGCGCGGAGAGAAAGAGAGAATGATAAGATTAGAAAGGATATAAAAATGAAGACCATTGAGCTTGGAGCCATGATTCAAAAGTCTGATACACCTACTTTTGAGGGACTAGGGATTTCAAGGTTCCATGGAGAAAGTAGGCATCGCGTGAAAGAGGCCAAGGAAATGGTGAAGGGCAACGGGGATTTCTTTACAGAGGATATTATGATGGTTGGTGTTGAAGTGCTAGACCCTGAAGGGCTCTACAACGGTAAAGAAGCCCAATTATTAAGCGGCGAGAACGAAGGCTTGTACAGGAAAAAGATATACAGAGAGATACTAGAGGAGGGGAGCAGATGCCATAGATGCCCTATATGTGATAGGTCTTTTTCTATTGAGGAAGAGGTTGGATTCAAGAGGAGGCTAGAGATGGAGATAGAGGAAGCTTTAGATGGGAAGGAGAATGGGTTTAGGAATTTAAAGGGAATGGACGATGTTTGTAAGGCGATTGAAGGCCTTAATGAAGGTATAATGAATAGAAACAGGCTAAGAGAAGAGATTATCGAGTTGATTCTGAGATATGAGCCTTTGGGGGATAGTGTTGACTCTGAGGTTTTGGAGGAGATGGAGTTGGATATTCTGGATGAGGCTGAAGGGATCAAGAAGACGGAGTATTACATTGGGTTAGTGTCTGAACTGTTTTTGATTGATGGAAAGCTGAAGGATGAGGAGGAGGGAGAGTCTGTTCAGGAGTTGAAGTCAATGATTGACGGAGTAAGGAAGATATATGAGGACAAGAAGAGGGAGATGAAGGAGAAGAGGGAAAGGATTGGATACCTGGAGCAGAAGCAGGGGAGGATCAGAGCCGAGGAGGATGTGCGGGGGAAGATAGGCCTCAGAAAGGAAGCAGAGAGGGCCATTGAACAGATTGAGAGAAGCGACTTGAAGGCAAGAATATCTGAAGTTTCTGAGGAGATATTGCGGAGGAAAGGAAAGGTGGACAAGGTTTTTGAGAAGTTCTCGAGAAAGAGAGTGGAGCTGGAAATGAATATGGAGGTATTCTATCAGAAAGAAAAGGAAGTAAGACATCTTGAGAAGGAGGTTGAAGAGCTGAATGGCAAGGTCAAGAAGCTTTTGCAAGCTGAATACGGTGAGGAGGTCAAGGACGAGACGAAGTTTGACTCAGTAAGGAACGATCTTCTTGAGAAGAAGAACGAGGTTTTGGAGGTGGGAAGGAAGATTCGTATGATGCATGAAGTACGAGGTCTAGCAGAGGAAAGCATAAGATACTACAACAGGCAGAAAAGAGTCGAGGAAATAGAAAGAGAGTTGTCTGAGACTGATTTTGAGTATCTGATAGCCCTCAAGGAAAAGAAGAAGCTTCTGGAAGAGAAGAAAATGAATCTTGTTTCCCAGCAGTCACTGTTACTGGGGGAGTGTAAGCAGATTGCCCTTGGAATAAAGTCTTGCAAGCAGGAACTTCTGAAGGACCACAGCAGAACGGTGGAGGACTACAACAAGTGTTTCATTGAGCTTAAAGCCCTGGAGCTGTCCTGTTTAGACCTTGACAAGTGCATTCAGGCGCTAGACAGGGCCATTATTGACTTCCATACCTCTAAGCTTGAGGAGGTAAATGCAACGCTCAAGGATTTATGGGAAAGCACTTACAAAGGAGACGATGTTGACTGGATAGAGATAAAGACAGAGAGCCTCGGGCAGAAGACCTATAACTACAAGGTTGTGTTTATTAAAGGAGGTGTGGAGCTTGACATGAGAGGGAGATCCAGCTCTGGCCAGAAGATGATAGCAAGCATCCTTATAAGGCTAGCACTTGCAAACTCCTTCGCCTCTAACTGCAACATATTGGCTCTCGACGAACCGACCACAAACCTTGATAGAGACAACATAGAAAGCCTTGCATTTACCCTTTCGAGAGTGATCTCAAGACATAAAGAGAACTCAGACTTCCAGTTGATTGTTATAACGCATGATGAGGACTTTGTTCAGCTGTTGAGCAGAGACGGCCCAGAGTACTTTTATAAGTTGAACAGAAATGAGAACGGGGATTCCGTGATTGTAAGGCACTCGGTGTATGGAATGCAGGAGTCTGGGATGGGTGCCAATAAAGCTTTCTGATGTCTGTAACCTTTCTGCTCAGTGGGGCTTTGGCTTGAATCCATCCACAGCCATGTTTTTCGTAGCTCTAGGAATCGTAAATATGGCTTTTTCGAAGCTCTTGTCTATCTTTAGTTGGCATCCTAGCCTTGATGTGCTTGTACCTCCAAAAGCTTGGTCCAGGAGATCATACTCTTTGTCAGAAGGTTCTCCGAGTCTTCTGTATAGAGGCTCCTCCAGAATCACATGGCATGTTGAGCACGCTAGGTTTCCTTCGCATGCGCCCTCAAGACTTATGCCATTCTTGTGTGCAGCCTCTAGCACAGTGTCTCCGCAAACAGTCTCAGCAGGAATCACTTGCCCCATTGCCTTGAAAAATACCTCGATCTTTCCAGGAGTTCTATCAGGAGCACCGGACATGCCCATGGGTGTAAACAAGAACAAAAATCACAGAACAAAACTTTAATAGCGAGAGGAGACTATACAATCCAATGCTTTGACCTGCTTCATGCATTCATCTGCAAAATCGTCGTCAGCCCTCTCCCCATGTAGAATTAAACACTCGTCTATGTGATCAAGAGTACCATTGACAACCCTATCCAGTATCATCTTTCTAAGCTTTCTCTCAATAACATCTGCTTCAAACCCTAATGCATTAGCTATGAAATTAATCCGAACAACGGAATAAGGCTCAATTATCTTGATGATGTTCCTATCAAGAAGTATATCATACAGATACTGCAGGTGACTCCAGATAAACGAATCGCAGTTCAACTGTTCAGAATACTGTTGCAGGACATCACTGTACGACTTTAGATCCCTATTTCCAAAACTCTCGCTGATGCTGAGCAAGACCTTGATGATCTCATCGTCTAGGTGCTTGAGAGTGTTTTTATTCCTCATCACAGTACTGATCTCCTCCCTCTTGCCAGCCATGATTTTCGACAGAATAAGATATCTCAGCGATATGCATGCCTCTGTCTCCATCTTCCCCAGTGTAAAGCCCTCGAGTGCTTCTATAAAGTAAGATGACGCCACCCCATAGTTTCTTTCATCGCATATGTAAATCCCACTCAGAAGGTCTATCTGTGCTTGAAGCTGTGGAGGACAGTATGCAGAAACTGCCAGCACCCTTGCTGATGTCAGAGATGACTTTGACTTCGAGATGTTCTTTATCTCGTAGAAGGCTTTGCTTTCATATACATATAAAGTTATCAGATTAATCTTATCATCATACTTCTTGAGCTCATGGGCAACAGGGCCTATCTGTGAAAGTGCTTCAGAATACTTTTCTGTCTTCAGTAGAGCATATATTCTCTTACACTCCAAATCGAGGCGGAGCATTTTCTTGTTTTCTTTATCTGCCCATTCTACAAGGGCAGTGAGGAGTTCCAGGACATGCCCGAAGTTCTCAGAGGAGTATGGAATCATCTCGAAAAGCCTTCTTATGATCTTGGTGATCCGGGGTGTCGTTATGTCTTCCCAGGTCCCTTTCAGTGATATGATGGTGCTTCCTATTTCATGGTAGTCTCCTTTTGAGATGAGAATCCTAAAGATCTCGAGAACAGCCTCTTCTTTCTCTTCGAGTGTTGCCTCTTTGCTTCTTGCTATGTTCTTCAGCTCGCCGATCATAAGGGAGCCTTTTTATTTGTTTTTATCGCTATCCTGCTCTGGGATGAGAGAAGATGCAGAATTCCTAAGAAATGACTCTCCAAGAAGAATATGCTCTTACACAAGGTCTCAGGCCATGGCATTGTACGAAGAGCATCGTAGGCACATTCTGAAGGAACTGGTGGCCAGAGAGGTCCAAAGAAGAGTAACAAATAAGATACTTGGAAAAAAGGAAGCTGGTGAAGACCTGCTATTCGCCAAGCACCGGTATGATACCTCAATGAAGGGAATCAGTGGGATGCTGACTGATGCCGAGTGCTCTGCTTCAGCAGATGAGGGAGAACCCACAGATACAGAGCAATGCCCCGAGACGTTGTCCCTTGCATCAAGCATGCCATATAAGCCCAGGCCAAATGCTAAACGGTATGAAAGGTTTGTGGATTTGGAGGCCTGCGTGTCTGGAGATGAAGAAAGCTCTCCTGATGCGGATGAAGAGGATTGTGATGATTTATCGCTTATTGCCTCTTCTGATGAAGACTATGAAGCACCTACAGAGAAGCATAACAAAGACATGCTGGAAATAAATAGGAACATACTGAGAAATCTCAAAAGGAAGTTTGTAAAAAAGGTCCAGCATAAAGCCTTCTTTGGACCTGAGGACTGCATGCCTGAGGATCATGCAAAAAAGGAATCTAATGATTATGAAATAATAGAAGAGGAAAATACTAGTGTTTCTGAGGATATGGGCGAAGATATCGTGGAGGGTTTTGTGTTTTCCAAGGAGGAGATGGTGTATCCGCATGAGGCAAAACCCATTTTCACTGGTCAAGACCAGGTTGAATTTACTGAGAATGTTAAGCTAGCAGAAAAGAGACTGGGAGAAGGAAAGATGGCATGGGATTTTGATGAAGACAAGTAAATATGTTATTTAATGAAGTTGCTTCTGTGAATGCATCTAATAGGTGAGTTCGAATGTCTCAAATATATTTTCACAAATCTCATGATGTAAGCATACTTTGGATACTTGGGGAAGGCGCGGCGAAACAATAACTTCGTATTCTTTCCTTTCTATGACTTCCGGGCCAAGCACACTGGATTCAAACCCTTTTAAATTAGACAGTGCAAGCAAAAAAGCAACTCTTCCTTCTTCATCATTGCGGACAACATCCTTGACATATACGGTGCTCTTTCTCCGAACCCAAGTGACCGTCAGGTCAACGGGCACAATAGTCTTCCCAGAGAATATCAGCTCCTCCAGCCTCACTTCAACTTCATCAGCTTCGTTTCCAGTCGATAGTTGGGAGAAATTGAAAAACACGTTGACAGTTGCCGAGGTTTCATGTAAGGCCTTATATATGGGTATGAATATCCTGGATGTGTTTACAGTACTCCCCAATATTCCGTGGAGATAGGCATGCGATATTCTAGAGAATGTGATCTTGATTCTAAAGCGATCTGTAAAATACACCTTTGCATTCTCTCGATTGAACAGTACAGTATCTCCGGAGCGCTTGGCAAGACTGGATTCGCCCAGCATTACAGACTCAACAGTAAACTCATCTTCGTCAGCATCATGCAATCTGTATGGATTTGCTCCATACTTGAGTGTGTCAGACATTTCTATTTTGTTCATCACGTCCCTGAGTACTATTCTCCAATTTCTTTCTTTTACACACCTGGATGCTTCTAGTTTTATTGTTTCCTCAAGTCCTATGTTTACTCCCTGCTTGAGAAGCCTTGCCGCACTTACAGCAAACAAAAATGCAGTTCTGTATTTTCTCTTCTCTAAGGACTTTAGATACACCCTATGGTACAGTAGTATGGCCTGATATCTCCTTGCTTTTGCAATGCTCTTGGCCATCCTCACGATAGTAAAAAATGGCAGCACATCCATTACTTCAAGGATAAACCTGATTCCTAGCTCTGGATTTCCTTTGTACGATAGAAGCACGTTGAATGCTTCACTGACAAGATAACATCCAGCTGCTTTCAATGTGGACATCTGCAATCCTTCTATCCTCCTCATGAGCTCGAACTCCTTGGAGAGCTTCTGTAGCTCTTTTCTACACTGCTTCAAGTCAATACGATTTAGAAGGTTGTACTTTGCATAGAATACGTAACGATCGTTCAATCCCTCTGTGTGCTCTATTGCATTGGAAAGCATCTTTGAAACATAGGCAACCAGCTTTCTCCTGTACTCCTTCCAGGATACCTGTGCGTCAGAGTCCCATGGAATCGGTTTCTGATTGAAGAACAATTCTCCGTCCTTGTACACAGAGTAGACATCAATCATGTTAAAAGAGTCGTTGATGAAGACGCTCTTAGGAGTGAGAAAAAACTCGACTCTTAGAGATGACTCTGGGAGTGACGAAGGCCCCAGTGTCGAGAGAACATTGCAATCCGATCTCAGTTCGTAATGGCGTATATCCTCTGCCAGTGGAAATCCATGCATTTTGGAATGACAGACCTTGATTGACCTCTTCATTCTAGGATAAACAAACCTTTGGATATTAAGACAAAGAATCAAATCTTTGTGGGATTGTGGTAGAGGTTCCTTCGAGCTCTGCACCAAGGAGTCCCTGTAGGAGGACTGTTGGCTTGCACGAAAGATCTGATTCTTATTAATTGGTGTAACTGTGCACCCATGGACCTGGAAGGCGTGAAGGTAGAAATTGTCTGGAGAAACATAACCGTGGAGCCAACGGAGCCTCTCAAGGAGGCACTGGTCAAAAGGGCGCAAGGAAAGATAGAGCCCTCTGAAATGACTGTGCTTGTAGGTGTAAGTGGGGCGGGGAAGACAACGATGCTGAATGCCATAGTAGGAAAGCCCATGGATGGACTAAAAGTGACGGGAGAAGTTCTTCTTAATGGCCATCCTGTTAATACGGATGTATGGGAGTGTGCTGTGGGGTTTGTGGGTGAGCGTCTCCACTCATACGAGACTCAGACGGTCGAAGAAACCTTGAAGTTTGCAGTGATGGTATCAAGAGGTCTAGGCCCGGGAACATCTGTGAGTGAAGAGGTGTCAAGCCTAATCCGAAGCCTAGGGCTGTCTAGAGTTGCACATACGCCCATCAACTCGGTATCAACTGGAGAGAGGGTGAGGCTTTCTCTAGGAATAACGCTTGCAAAGAGGCCTTCCATATTAATCATAGACGAAGTCACCAACGACCTCGATTCATTCAATATCATCCATATCCTAAAGATCCTTATGGATCTGAAGCACCGGGGAAAAGGGATTATCATCTCGTTTCAGAGGCTTCCTCGGGAGATACTCCCATTTTTTGATAAGATCATGGTGATATGCCAAGGAGAAATTGCATTCAGTGGAAGCCTCGAGCAGTGTACAAGTTTCTTTGAAAGATGTGGATGTAGCCTTGAAAAACAAGTGAACTCCCCGGACTTCTTCATGGAGGTCCTATCGATCGACACGACAACCCCCGAGTCTGAGAGAGAGTCACTTCGGAGAATAGAAAGATTAAAAATGTCCTGGAAAAGAATAGAGCCTTTGGTAGTATCATCGATAATAAGGAAGACAGAGTTTCCTGTTGTGGCTAGAAAGTCTATCCAGAACTTCATGCTGGTTTTCGAAAGAAACCTATCTGATTTTTCTAGAAGCCGTGGGCTTATGCATATCCTAAGCATCCAAAGATTCGTGACCCTACTATTTCTTGTCTCCATCTACTACAGGCTTGATTATACGCAAAAGGGCATCCAGGATAGGCTTGGGATCCTTTCGTTCATAATCATGGGATGTTTTGAAAAGGCGGCGTTTGTTTCAATAATATTTATTTCTTCGCACAAGAAGGCACTCAAAAGAGAGGTCTGTGCGGGAATGTATGGCGCAGTCACATCCTACTTCGCCAACATGGCATCCACCCTTTGTATGTCCGGTATTCCCAACATTTTTTACATTGCCGTGGTGTATTGGATTGTGGGCCTCAATCCAGACATCCTCAGATTTATATTCTTTGTGTTTGTCTTCACAGTGATTGTGCTTCTTTCCACATCGTTTGGAATTGTGGCCTCGCTCTACACCAAGACACTTATACATGCGCAAATACTTGCATCCACAGTAATCATGGTATTTACAATGCTTGGTGGATCATTTGTTAATCTAGGGTCAATCCCAAGGTTTATTAGATGGGCCACATGGATATCTCCTGTGTACTATGTTCTTGAAACTGTCTTACAAACACAGCTTGAGAACTTAACCTTCGAGTGTAAGGGTTCCGAAAGATGTATCTCTAGTGGAAAGGAGGCATTGAACATATATGGGTTCGGGAGGGTTAGGTACGCTGTGTCTATAGGGATACTCCTCTTCATTACTACTGTATTCATTGCCTTTGGTGCCATCTCAATGAACAGGATGATTAAACCGAAGAATACCACATAACCGAAAGCCTTCGAAGTGGCCAATTAAAGATAGTGGTTTAATGCCTGTTCTTTCACTTTTTACTCTTTAGCCTCAAAGACCTAACGCATATTCTCTTGGGCTCATTTCTTTTTTCCTCGGAAATATCTTCCCAATTGGGACACACCTCCTTTGTCTTCTTCTTTCTCTTGATTCTGTATCTCTTTAGATCCGAAGGAGTGAACCCGTAGTCGTATCTTCCTCCCTCAATGGAAAACTTCTGGTTTGTAATGACGGTGGACTCCGTGCGTCCTTTATTACCAACAATCTCAAACAACGAGAAAGGCAAGGGGCCCTTGGAAATATTATACTCTCCCTTTTCCTTCAGAACCTTCGCGCTAAAGTCTGTTGCAGAAAAGCCACTGGATCCCGATTCTCCTATGATCCTGTACTCTATCTCATCCGAGGATGCATGCGAGTCTTCTGAGGCCTCTTCCGACTCTTGATTCTCTTCGAAGGATTCGTTCTCTATTTGGAGGGAGAGTAGGAGCTCTTCGACATTCGGATCCGAGTGGACAACTTTATTAACTTTTCTCATGGAAGGTAAGGATGGGGTACGCTATTTTTGTCTTTGGCCCGGCTGGATCAGGAAAGTCGACTTTCTGTAGAAACATAAAGGAGCATGGAGAGAACATAGGGAGAAGCTACAGAGTGGTAAATCTCGACCCTGCACAGATCTCTAGTGACGACGACTATGTCTTAGACCTTAGGGACTTCATTACGGTCAACGATGTTATGGAGGAGTACGGCTATGGGCCGAATGGAGGGCTGATGGTTGCATTGGAAGAGCTTTATGAAAACATCAGTGAGTTAGATCTAGAAGACCTCGAGGGCTCTTTCCTTGTCTTTGATTGCCCTGGGCAGATAGAGCTATTCGTGCATTCTGATATAATGCCCAGGATCATTGATCATGTAGGTCGTTATTTCAAATGTGGAATTGTCTATGTGATGGAATCCCAGTACCTGGTCGATATCAACAAGTACATAAATGGATGCTTTTGTGCACTTATTTCAATGGCAAGGATGAATGTTCCCTGTATCAATGTGATTTCAAAAATGGACCTGATCAAGGACGAGGATCTGGATGTGTTCTATACGCCGAATGAGGATCTCTCGGCATTGGTTGGGACAGGAAAGTATTCAAAGATGTGCAAGAGGATGCTGAGCTTTGTCTCAGAAAACAACATGCTGAACTTCCACCCGCTGAACTGGAACAAAGAAGAGTCTGTTGAAGAGCTAATCTACTGCATAGACAATGCTGTGCAGTATTACGAAGATGCCGAGCCCAAAACAAAGGACTTCGACTAAAATAAAGGTATGAGTAGAAAAGTCCTTTTTATTATGACTATGCAGGAACCGTTGATGTGTTTGAGAAGCTCTTCTGGACAAGATCAAGGTCGGCCTCATCCACCTCCTTCTTCTCATCGACAACCATCTTTGGGCTGTAGTAGTTTCTTATCTTCTCAAGGGTCCCGATGCTGCTGACATCCTTTCTGTGCTGGTTGGGATATATGCTCGAGAATATCCTGGCAAACAGGTTGGCAACATAGTCCATTCGTGCCTCGCGGAACTCGTTGTCGTCTTCAGAAGACCCGCTCCTCATCTCTGCAAGGCTCGGGGACTTAAACTCAATTCCTGCAGTCAGGAAGTTGAACAGGTAGTATGCCCTTGAATAGGCAAATGTCTCGTGCGGTGTTGCAGACACCCTCCCGCTGTTGATGAAGAACTTGTTGATGTCAGAGTCAGATATACTCTCAGAGAGCAGGACCTCTCCCTCCTCAGTCCCCTCGTCAAGCGCCTCAAGAGCATCTCGGATGTTCTTCATCAGGTCGTCTCCAACCTTCTCTCCATTAAACAGGTATCCCTTTCTCTTCTCCTCGTCACTCGACATGATGCTCGAGATGGTCTTGATAAGTATGTTGCTTACACCGAACCAGGGGTTCTTCTCCTCATTGTTGTTTGGGAACAATATGTTCTGCATCTCCCTGACAGACTTTCCGCGGTAGTCTGCAAAGTACATTCCCCCTCCCTCCTTCTTCTTCTTCATCCTGTCCATAAGGTCAGAGTGGCTCAGATTCATGTCCTCTTGCAGCCCCTCAGTCTCAACAATAAACCTCTCCCGAATCTTCAAGAAGTCCTTGTATGCAGGGAAGTTCAGCGTGAACTGGTGCTCATGCCCGCGCGGGAAGTGCTCAGGCCTGTCAAATCGTATCAGATACGGCCCAGACTCGTCCTGCGAAATCCCATAGAACTTCTTCCTGTCCTCCGTGTCCGGATGCTCGTTCTTCTTGATCAGCTTGTATCTTCCGTGCGTCATCAGCTTGTCTGCAAAGTTCACTCTCCAAGCGTAGAAGTAGCTTCCGTAGTACTGAGGATCCAAGTACTTGATTCCAAAGATAAATAGAAGCACATAGTACACAATCACCATTCCAACCAGTCCCATGAATCCCAGCTTCATCGTCTTGAAGGTCTTCTTCGATCCACCGCCAGATTCTGCTCTCATCTTACCCCTCCCTCTGAAAGAATATATTTATAACAAAATTTTATTGGTTCTTTGCCATCCCGTAACAAATAACACTCCCTATCGGCCCATGGGATCCCCCAAAGGCTTATTGCCAAGAAATTAAGCACCCGGTGCGCCCCAAGCTCCTAGGTATCCTGATAATAAGGACATGAAAAGAATAAGTAGGTTTATATCAAATTTACAATCTTTTTGAAGTTTGATCTCTCTGAAAGTGCTTAATGTGCTTGTATGGCTTCATAACAACTGTTTCAATTTTGCTTATATCTTTAGCCTTGGTACTGCCGTCCAAGAAGCTCATAACGATGTTTGGACTTGGAACAAATGGAGGCGATATCCTCTTGCTCTCAATCTTACTCCAATCTATTTCTTTGAAAAAAGGATGCCCCATTATCTCGTATATTCCCTTGGCTCCCAGCCTAGTTGCCCTACTCTTGTCCAGCAGTCCTGATATCAAGCTCCTTGCCACAGGACTCACATAGGAAGGAAAGGTGATCTGGGACTCAAGTATCTTATGGTAGATAGTGTCGGCGCTTGCATCGTAAAACGGCGGGTCCCCACACAGCATCTCATAAATTATGATTCCAAGCCCCCAGTAGTCACTTGCACGCCCGTCATCCTCACTCCTCAGCTTTTCCGGAGACATGTATTCTGGTGTTCCTGAAATCATGTATATACTCTCATTTTCATAAACAGCAAATCCAAAATCAATCAACTTTATATGCCCAGAAGACGTAATCAATATATTCTCAGGCTTCAAGTCCCTATAAAGTATGCCTTTTCCGTGTATAAATCTTAGGGCGGAAATAATCTCTGCCGCATAAAACCGTGTCATGTTCTCGTCAAACCTCCCACACTTCTTGAGCCAGTAAAACAGCTCTCCTCCTCCAACATACTCCAAGATAAGTCCCACCTTCCCGCAATAGAAGTCAGTCGAGTATAGCTTCGCAACAAATGGACACCCGTAAAGCCTCTTCAGGATGGAGATCTCGTTTTCAAGTTGATCTGCCAGCCTTTGCTTGAGGATCTCGTCAAACTCAAGCATCTTTATTGCAAACACAGTGGACGGATTGCTCTTAAGCTTCACCAGATACACTTTCCCAAAGGCGCCCTCCCCCACGACTTTCGCAAACTCAAAGTCTCGGATCTTCAACATCCTGGGCTTTTTTATATGGAATAAAATCAATGGGAGGAGAAGCTCTATAGAAAGGCCAGTTCAATGCAGTGGCCACCCTTCATGTGCATCAAACCTCCTGGATACAAAGGAGAACACACAAACAGTCGAATCTCATTTGCTCACAACTCTAACTTCATCGGTAACGAATCTCTCCCTGAAGAAGCTATTGGTCCAGCACGAAGAATAAAGAATGTGGAACCGGGAGCAAGATCTGCATCGATGGGTGGCATTGGGGAAGGAACGGCTGGGGGACCACAAGATGGCACCGAAGAGGACATGGAGGATGTACTAGTAGCTCTTGGGCACTATGTTAGAAAAACAGAAGACGAAAGGGGAGACTCGAAAAAGATCTTCCCAGGAAACTCGTTGCAAATGGAGAAGGCACTTAAATACCTTACCGAAAAGCAATGCCTCTCTATAAGAGGGCTACTGAACAAGTGTACCTCTAGCCGCATGGCCCAAGCATTGAATCCTATGTCTGAGTCTGAGATGCACTATTACCTAGGCCTTTCATATGAAAAAGGCCTTTTTGGAATAAGGAGAGACTGCAGAAAGGCATTTAGGCATTATCTAATATCTGCGCAGCTTGGAAGCCCCACAGGAACCTTCAAGGTTGCGCAATGCTATGAGAAGGGGGTAGGAAAGAAAAGGAACACCAGAAATGCATTGCATTTTTATAGATGCGCAGCAAAGCTTGGGCTGGTGGATGCAATGCATACCTACGGAGTGATTATCCTGTTTGGAAACATAGAAAATGATAGTGATCTGGAGACAGGGTACTTCTACCTAAGGCTGGCAGCAAGAAAAGCAACGCATACCTATCCATATGCCCTTTATGATCTTGCAAGGTGCTATGAAAGAGGTAAAGGGCCAGATATCATATCTCCAGATGACTCCTATGCATTCAAACTCTACCTAAAGGGTGGGTCTTTAGACTGTCCCAACTGTCAATTTAGGGTTGGAAGATGCTTTGAGAACGGAGAGCTAGGGCAGGAAAAAGACGTTGTAAGGGCCTTAGAGTGGTATGCTAAGGCGGCAGACCTTGGGCAATCTGATGCACAGCTAAGACTCTCGGCCTTGTTTTTGAATGGCTTTGAAAGCATAGTTGAGAAGAATCATAGACTGGCATTTAAGTTTGGTCTCAGAGCAGCTATAGGGGAAAATGTTTCTGCTGCGTATCTGGTTTCTGATTTCTATAAGCAGGGAGTAGGAGTCAAGAGAAATGCTTTATTATCCCTCTGGTGGGGCAGAATAGCAGAGGAGCTTGGGATGGACCAAGGAAATCACCCAGTTGAAAGAATAAAGATAATAATCCCCGATGAGGATGCAGGTAGAGAACAGCTTGATTTTGAAGACGGGGTGGTGACTGGACTTATAAAGGCTCAATAGGTGCATCTTATATCTAGTGTATTAAATAAATATTTGTAAGAACCTGCGGTGTCTAGGGCCATGTAAATAGATGGCTTGACTTAAGGAGATGGCTTTACACATATCATAAAGGTTTTAATCATACTTTTTCTCCTTTCTCATCTTTTGTTCTAATCCTTTCTCCGTTGTTGTCATACTCGTCAGATTCGATTCTTCTCAAAAGTATTGCAAGATAGTACAAAAACAATGCATCAAACAGAGCTATCCTCAGAGAATAGAGCACAGCCAAAAACACCACGTATATGGAGCTTATGTTAGAAAACACTATAACAAGAAATGCCAATGCCGTTTTTACAAGAGTCACCGGAACCACAAATTTGTAAAAGTTGAACATCTTTCCATAGAAGGTGACAATGTCTAATGCCGCAGCCATAATTGCTATGATGAGAAAGATGAATCCAGTTCCTCTCGAGATCCAGTGCAAGAACTCATTCTTGTTCTCTTCACAAGAAATCAGGTATACGGGGATAGACTCAAATATGGTGAAAAGCATTAAGTACTTTGTCAGCTCGCGGAGAGGGAGACTTACCTCAAGCGGGATGGAGCTTCCGAGACTCGACTTCTCAACATTATCTATTGCACTCATTGCCTTTGCCTCCACGACATTTGCTGCATCGAGGACCTTCTCTTTTTTGTCTTCCATCATTCATTGTACTCTCTCTATTTTGTTTTATGTTTGAATTCATCAATCGGAGCCGACTCCTTTTCCCCTTTTTGCAGCCTTCTCCTTATTGCAAAATGATGTCTGGAACCTTTTTCAAAGAAGAGAAACCTCCTTCCGCTGAGACAGTGATGCCCACCTTCTCTGTTCGTAAAGATCTTAAAATTTTGCTACCTAGAGGCTTTCGGGGATATGATTCCAGAAGAAGAGGTGGACTTGATCGGCCTCTGTGAGAAGAACCCAGAATTGGCAAATAGCATAGTTCTGGGCGTTTCTAGTCATCCATATGTGTACAAGAAGGCCTTTAAGAAAATTCCGTATGCATTGTTCACAGATAAGGCATGCAACAGTAAAAACGTCAACAGGATCATTTCTGTAAGCGGAACGGTCATAAGAGCCTATGAGACCTTAATAAGAAATGTCACCAGCGAGCTGATATGCTTGAAGTGCAACGTCAAGGTGTATAGCTCTCCGGGAAAGAGAAGGAATAAGGTGCTGTGTGAATCCTGTGGCTCATCGCTTCTGAAAGATCGAAGATGCTTTGGGGAAGCAATACCAAGCCAGAAGATAAGAATACAAGATATAGGGAATCCTAGCTCGATGTCGGAAACATTGGAGGTGGTTCTTGAGGAGGATTTAGCAGGGAAATTCTTTCCAGGAGATAAGCTGTTGGTAACAGGAACTATCCTTGTAAGATGGAAGCCATTCAAAATAGGCGAGCAGATGGTTAGCTCTATATACATGCACGCACTTGCCGTGCACAAGCAGGATGAAGAGTCTATGAATGACTCGTTTGGGAGGGCATTCATGAACAAGCTAGACGAGCTCAGCTACTTCGAGAAAAGACTATTTCTCATCAATTCATTTGGCGAAGAAATACAAGGACTCGAGAATGTTAAGCTTGGGCTTCTATTGTCTCTGGTGAGCGGGGCCCATGCAGACCAAAAGAGTGGGGCAAGATCCAACTCCCATGTTCTCTTGGTCGGAGATTCCGGGACGGGGAAATCCCATCTTCTGAAGACGTGTGCAAGACTTTTATCTCCTTCCATCCTGACTAATGGAGTTGGGACCACACAAGCAGGGCTTACAACATGTGCAGTGAGGCAAGGAAAAGAATGGGTGCTGGAGGCTGGCGCTCTAGTACTTGCAGACATGGGGATTTGCTGTATTGACGAGTTCAACAAGCTCAAGATCAATGAAAAGAATGGACTGCTGGAGGCGATGGAACAACAAACGCTTAGCATAGCAAAAGCTGGAATCGTTTCCTCGTTGAATACCAGGTGCTCTGTCATTGCGGCAATGAATACAAGACACAAGTACAACCTCAGCAAAAGCATCTCGGAAAACATCATGATTGCAACCCCCTTGATTAGTAGGTTTGACCTTATATTTGGACTATTTGACAATAACAATAGCGAGAACGACCTGTTGATTGCCGACAAAATCCTTTCCAGAAGGCCTGAGGCCGATTCTGCAGAGAAGAAGCAAGATCCTATGCATTGGGACAGTGGTATCTTGAGAAACTATATAGGCATTGCAAGAAAAAGAGGCAGCACAATTCCTGATGAGCTGAACGGTATTCTGCTAAGCTACTACCACTATAGAAGAAAGCTTGAGGGAGCTAATGAACTCAATACAATAAGAATGCTAGAGAGTCTTGCAAGACTTGCAGAGGCGCACTCTAAGCTCCTGAACACCGGGAAAGTAACAGAAAACGATGTGTATGGTGCGATTCTACTGTTAGAAACAACATTGGGTACAAAGCCTCTTGTGGAGATCAGCCCGTCGAGAGTATTCGTTGACGAGGCCTATCATCGAGAAGTAATCTCAGAAATAAAGGCGAAAATCATGAATGATAAACATGAAGAATAATTTATAAAGCTTTAAAGTAGCAGAACATTCAAGTTTCTTCCGTGCTCCCGAGCCTTCTGGGCCAGTGCAGCTTTCTTATCAGGAAAAAATTCCAGGCATCTTTTCAGAACCTTTATTCCAAGTTCGCTTCCCACAACGTCCTTGATATTTGAAATAAAAAGCTCAAAGATAAGATTTGGGTCAAATCTGAGTATCTTCTGGATGGTGTAGTTTCCTATCTCATGGGTTATAAGGAATCCTCCAAACTTTCTGAAGTATTTTGATAGCAGATTCTGTGTTAGCGATGTCTTCGACACAGAGATGAGCATTTGGACAGTGTATGCACCATGCTTATTTGCTGCTATAGGCGCAATATCATATCCAAGATTCTGAATGATTCGTGCAATCCCAACATCTGGGAGTAACCCTATGGCTTCCTGCATTACCTTATTTGATTGGTTTCCAACGGCCAACTCCTTTGTGTTCTTAAATACAAAATCAATGTTCCCCACTTCCAAACTCTGCATCATGGCTTTTACCTCGCTCCTTGAAAAGAAGTTTCGGAGATGTGTGAAGTGCTCGATCTTCTTCTCAAAAAGAATTCTTTCAGAAAGCTCTCCATGCCACTCATTAGACTCAGTATCCGTACCATGAAAACACACAGCACTTTCGTCTTCCATATACTCACACGTCACATACTTCCTACTCTCCAAATGGCTGCCGTTTTCTAGCAGTCCACTCGAAGATTGGTCACAAGCATCATTGTCCTTCGAAGAGTTGTACATGCTTGACAGCGTGATACTGGCCCATTCGGAGGAAGAGAGCAATACAGCCTGCTCGAAATCATAGGCTTCAGAAAAGTGTATTTCAACGTAGGGCAGAAACTGCTTGTAGAACGAAATGGAGTCTTCAACTGTAAAAAAGTATATAAATATAAGGTCTCCTCCGTACTTTATGTCCTTAACTCTAATGTCATTTTCCAGCATTCCTTCGATGAAACTTCTTTCGAGCACTCCCTTGGAAATATCATGGCCATAAAGATGCAGCCCTTCCTTAGCCTCGTCATAATCATCCTTGAACTCCATCTGCTGCTTTCTTTCAGCTGAGTTTAAATCAAAAAAGTCTATAGAAACTTCTTTTGTGTTAAACATTGCACCGTCAGGACAGTTTTCGTCATCGCATGAATCAGATAGAGCTTTCTGCAGGCCCCCTTCAGGCAGCCTTTGCTCATATGAGGGGTAGTTTCTCCTCTCGCTACGGAGAGTCTTTTCACCATATCTTGCCTGTTTGTGGAGCCTGGCCCCACCCATTCTCATCTTTATCACCTTCGAAGGTTCCTCTATGGCCAAGTTCATATCGAATATCGCTAGCTCGGCTTTATATCTTTAGAAAGTTTCCTCATCACCAAGAATATTTGCTCAACCAAACAATCTAATCACAGGAACGAATAGAACAAAAATCCTCACCAATAAGTAGAAGATAGATATCTTTAAACCATCCAATAGCATTCAAGTATACATAAAATAGTCTATCTAGCACAGGCGCTGCAGTTAAGTCTGCCTGTATCTCTCAAATACAAGTCTGTTAAGAACGTCCTGGTCAATAGGGCACTTTCTCGTCATGATGCGGTGGGTGTTAATCGACAGATCTATTTCCTCGAGTGCTTCTATTGCCTCCTCAATGATATCATTCCAATCTTCACTACCCCTGACGGCGCCAGTAAGCTTCTGGTGCTCAGGATTCTGCCCAGTGCTTAGGAAAACATTAGGAAGCTGAAAATTGGCCTCCTTGGGGACAATGCAAACCTCCTCGTCATTTATGGCCTCGGTTTGAAAACTGTTCTCCAGAGGAGTTATCAGTCTTGGAACAAGCCACAAGTCGCCCTGGCGGATCGTCAAGGCTTTCATCACCTTGTTGTACTTGGACTTTATATTCATTCAAGGGCGTGTCTAAACCTCGAAAATTTTGCCCCCGCAATGACGGCAGCTCAGACATACTCTCCAGTCCCAGACGAGAAAGCGCAGAACATACTAAGGTTAGTCCAGAGTGCTACAAAGTCAAAGAACATCAGAAAAGGGATAAACGAGTCGACAAAGTGCCTCAACAAGGGAAGAGCTCTTCTGGTTGTCATAGCATGCGATGCAGAGCCCCAAGAGATAACGGCGTTCCTACCCGTCATATGTGAAGATAAAGGCGTCCCTTTCGTTCATGTTCCCTCCAAGAATGCCCTTGGCGTGGCATGCGGCATCCATAGGCCGATTGCCGCATGTACAATCTACCTACCAAAGGAGGCGGAGTCTCTACGCCTGGAAGAGAAGATCAGAGAAGCCTTGAGGTGAAGCATAGATGAAATATGTGTTTTCAGCACAGCCGCAATTAAAAGATCAAAGGTTCATTCTTTTACTTCCTTACTCATTATAAGGTCTGATAGGATTAGCTTCTGCTCGTCATCCAGATCAAGAGATACAAGCTTCTCCTCCAGCCTCTCCTTTCCTCCTAACAAAAATGCCTTCTTTGCATCGTAATATACATCGTTTTCAATATTCTGTTTGTTTAGGGCAATCTCCTCGTCTGCGGACAGGATCAGGACCTTCTCCTTTTCCTTTATGGTAACAATATTGGCCTGCTTTTCATCATCCACGTCGTAAAGACTTATTGACTTTTCCGCTGCAAATTTCATTCTCATTCTTTACCCCCAAGCCCTCTGAAAATTAAACTGATCGAGGCACCTTATTTCTTTATCCCTGCCAGCATGCATATCATCTAAGTGGTTGAGAATCCTCTCCTTAATAAAGCATCTTTCACTGGAGGCTGCATATACATGTGTTTTGGTTGGTGGTTACAAAGATAAAATTTTTAGTCCCCAACCGGGGATGGCTGACATAGACAAGGAAAACATAGGAACCAGGGTCGAAAAGCCTCCACTGAGGGGTGCAGACAATGCTGTGCTAACAAACATCGTGTCCCAAGGGCTCGTCACATTTTGCATCCTAATAGCGTATATTATTTTCAGAAAAAGAGCAGCATGGCTCTATTCGCCAAATGTCAAGGATAGGCCGTCACATCCCTGCTACAATTACGCAGGGTTTCTTAGTTGGATCATTCCGGTTGTGACTGTGAGCGACACGATCCTTCTGTCGATCATAGGCTTGGATGCATTCATGATGCTGCAGACACTGAAGATGCTTTACAGAATTCTCTTTATTCTGTCGTTCTTGGTCATTCCGTCGCTGGGATACTTATTTTGGACGAACCAGCGGGAAAATATAGAAAACTCGGATCAATGGCTTGTCAGGCTCTCGCTGGGAAGTCTGGACCCCGAGTCTAGGAGCTATGGGCTCATTATACCTGTCGTGTACCTTGTGTCTGCATTCATAATGTATTCCATTTTCATATACTACAAGAGGTACATTGTTCTTAGGCAAGCATATCTACGGAATCCAGCAATAATGACGTCAATAATAACCTTGAAGAAGTTGTCCAACAACCTCGGAAGTGCAGAGAAGTCTACGGAATATGTGAATCTCCCGAACAGAACACTGGTCCTCTCAAGGCTCCCAAGCTACGTGAACAACGATGTGGATCTTTTTGAGTTCATCAACTCCCTTGGTGTTGGAGAGATTGATGATTGTGTGCTTGTGTATGATACCAACACCTTGCAAAGCCTTTACAGTGAGAAGGACAGCTATATTTACCACATTGAGAAGGAAATTAACGAAAAGTTTGTAAGAATGAAGGAATGGTCTGAAAAGAATCAAGAGAAGTGCAAAAAAAGTATAAGCGGGTTCAGAGAAAATATCCTGAGGACGGTGGAGGAAGCAAAAATAGAGGGCGTCTTTGACAATACCCAAAAGAGACAGCTTATTGTCCTATTCCTTAATGGAGCCAACCAGTTTGAAAACAAGATTAAGGAGGATATCCCGAGGGTGAATTTCTATCTGGAAAAGCTAAACAATGTGAATAGAAGGATCAGCAAGGAAAAAGAGGTTATAAGGAACGAGGAGGCAAAGAACAAGGACATCAGGATCGTAGAGCTTGTCTCTCACAACAACACTCTCTTTCTGAGGGGAGACATATCGCAAGATGCTAGCTTCTTTTCATTTCACCATATACTCAACTACGGCAAGTACAAAATGTATTTTACTTTAGATCTTCCTTCGAAGACAAAAAGAGGGTTTGTCACGTTCAAAGACCAAAGAAGCGCAAACATAGTGAAGCAGTCGCAAATAGGGTCAAGGATATTTTCTGTAGCAACGGAGGATGCACCGGCACCGAACGATGTCATATGGGAAAACATAACAAACAGCGAGGTGGATAACTACATGTATAGCGTCTTTGGAACTGTGTTCTTCATACTCTTTATTGTACTGTTCTCATCCATAGTTGCCAATATTGTCACTTTACTACTGAGCTCGGAGATGTTTAAGGAGAACAGGCTGATATCCTCATTTTTAGATAGACATGAAACAATCAAAAGCTCTCTGCGGGGAATTCTGTTTCCACTTATATACAACTCCATGATGGTGTTCGTTCCAACAATCATAACTGCACTTGTTAATATGGAGGGCATCTACTCATACTCGACTTTCCAGCAGAAGCTGATGGACAAGCTTTCCAACTTCCTGTTCTTCAACGGTTTTGTATCTGTGTTCTTTGCATCGAGCTTCTACAGGCTTTTTGCGGATGTTTTGTTCAAGAACGAAAAGATATACAATGTCATTAGGGCATTCAGCAACGAGTCTCTGGAATCGTCCGTGTTCTTTGCGAACACGATCATCCAAAGAACCCTGGTGGGAACAGCACTAACGCTATTGAAGCCTGCGCCTCTGTTGATAAACTACATTATCTTTCCGTTTACAGGGAGAAAGACAAGAAGAGAGAGGCTCGATGCCGAGTTTTCTCCCCCGTTTGACTTCGGGACCATATTTCCATCCTGCCTGACAGTCTTCTCGATGTCCATAGTCTATACTGTCATCTGTCCCCCCATCCTCCTTCTTGGGGCATTCTTCTACTTCTGCAACTACCTAGCGTTCAAAACTGAGTTTCTGTATTCTTCCAGAAATGAGTATGAGTCTGGAGGCGGATATTGGGATTCTGCATGCCAGAACATAATGTTTTCACTCATATTTTTTCAAATTGCAACGTTTGCAAAAATGTCTTCGGACAAGAGGTTTTATCTGTCCATGCTGCTATTCCCGATTATCCTTATCACATTTATATTCCGCAGCAGCCTTAGGAAGATGTTCTACAAGTCCTGCCACTTTTATCCGCTCAACATCAAGGAGGAAGAGTATCTGGATGCATTTACAGAGAAAGCCCTTGTGGAGAGGGTTAGTCTTCTCGAGAGTTGGTCTGAAATGGGATCTGGGCCGGACATTGATGTCCTTCCACTGACTGAGCTTGGGATCAAGGATTCAAAGGAGATAGAGAAGGAGTCTTATTACAACGACCCGAACACAGCCAAGTCAAGCAAGTCTCTTATTCTCCCGGAAAACTTCTTTAAAACCATTTGGTTCCTGTTGAACAACGATAGAGACAATTTGTTTGGTCTGAGAACAGAATAAATTGTTATTTTGTATTTTATCTTGGCAAGATCCCTCCTGCATTCTGTTCATGGAAGGAGACTCTGAGTTTGAATTTGAGAGCTTCTTCCAAAGCAGCAGTGATAGCAAGGATGCCGAGGACTGCTCGAGCGGGTTTGACTCAATTCTGATGAGCTGCGACGAGGCTGCGTTTTTTAGCTCTGACAATGCTTGCCATAAGGATAATGGAATGGGAGAGGAGGACTCGTGTGGCTCCCTAGAGCAAGGAGATCAGATGTTCTATGACTTCAACTCTGACTCGTCGAGGATTAGAGAGAATCCCGAGGAGGAAGGATGTGAGGACGTGGGTATAGTCCAGGGATATGGCAGATTGAATGCCGACCAAAATCGACCGGAAAGCTCTCCTCGAAGATGCTTGCCTCTTGATTCGGACAAACTGCATGTAAGACATACAGACTTGGGAGATGAAGATCCGGACACAGTGTTTTCTGGGTTTACCACAGGATCTAGAAAGAAGATCCAGGTTAGAAAAGAAAGCATAGACACAGCATATAAGATGTTTGATGGTACGATGGAAAAAGTAGATGCCGATACACAAGAGACGCCAAGATCTTATAGTACTCCGGAAGAAAAAGAGTGCATAAGTCCTGAGAGTGTCTACAGAGAGATAGAAAGAAGGTTTACGAAAGAAGATTCAAACAGGGTCTTTGCCCAGTTCACATGGTCTTGGATTTACCTCCGCTTTGGAGGCAGACAATTAGAATTCAATGATTTTGTAGATAAAATAGAAGAGCAGGTCAAAATGAGGTTAGAGAACGAGTATTCCATACTCCGTAGGATTGTTGAGGGGGACGAGGTGTCGTGGAGATATATGATTCTTTTGGTGGTTGGCGTGGACAAGGAGAAGATTGAGGTATTTGATGGATATTATAGCCTTTATGCGTTATATGATGAGGTTCTCAGAAGAAAGATAGAAAAAAACGAAATACGTGTTGGTGCCAAGCTCAAGATCTTTGGTGCGGAGCTTGAAGGAAATGGTGCTGTTTCCATCTTTGACCTTGGAAGTGCCTTCTTGAGGCTTCACGGCAATGGGACCCAGGTTATCCATTGCAGACGGAGGCTTGGATACAGAAAGAGGGTGGGCTTTAGAATGAAGATATCTGATATTCACAGCAATGGGGGGCCGGTGAGCTGCATCGAAGGGATGATTTCCAAGATAATTGAGACAAAATATCTAGTAAAGGTAGAAAATTACAGTAGTACGACTGAGAATCTTGAGCCCGAGCTTGATAAGATAGAGGATCTTGCAAGAAAGGCCCAGAGGGTATTTTCGTCCCATGACATAAGAATTAGTATGTACACCAAGCTCCTTATCAAAGACAGCAGTGGAGAATGCACGGTGACATGGTGGAATCCCTCATCAGATGCCAAAGCAGGACAGGTGATAAGAATGGTTTATTTGAATCCAGCAAAGACCAAAGAGCTCCACCTCAACACCAGCAGAAGAGGATATGTTAAGCTTCTTGTATAAACGCCCTTCTTATCTTTAGAATAAATTGAGTTATTTTCAGGGCCTTTAATGAATAGCCATTATGCAAACTTTATGGAGAGCCTAGAAAGAAACAACGGGGGGAATGAGAATCCCAGTGGGAACATTCTTGATACCGACAGCTCCATTACAATTCTTGACATTCCATATTCTATATCCAACGGCACACAACCAAAAGCGACTTCAAAAGAGGTATGCTGGAGTTTGTTTCCGGAATGTATCGACCCTGTGTTTGCAGATCATTATTTTGTCTTTCCACAAGCACTAGAGGAGTTTGTGGGCAGAATAAAAGACAAGAGGTTTGTCTATAAGTTTTCTGAAGGCAAGGATTTAAAGGTAGTTAGATGCAAGGATCACGAAACAGTATATGCTCTGGATGTCCTTGACTTTGAAAAAGACGAGGCCGGGGCGTGCAACAATAATACTTCTCTTGTGGTGAACAGAAACAGATACCGAAGTGCGGTAAAGGCAAGGGAAGACAAGGAGTACAGAAAGGCGTTGGAGGAGGGAAAAAGATACGTCAGAGGGAAGAGCTCATATGAAATCAAGTCAGAAAAAATCTATCTTGAGCAAATTAAGAACGGCAGGAACTTTGTGTTTGTCGACGATCCTCAAGACCTGCCTGGAGAGCTGAAGGCTATCATAAAGCACCTCCATTCAAGGAGCATCCATGTTCCCAAGACGAAGACTTTTTCTGTGGAGCAGAAGACTGATCACCTTCAGAATGTCTTGCAGAACATCCCGGGAATAGGTAAGAATGCGGCACGAAGCTTATCTCTTCACTTCAAAAGCATCAGCCAGTTGCACTCGTTTCTTAAAGGAGAAAGTAGCGGATTGTTGAAGGAGCTCAGGGTCTGGGACATTGATGGAAAGCATTCTAGGCCTTTGGGAGAGAAGCAGAGTAATAGGATAAGAAATGCATTTATTGGGAGGAATGGAAACCTTTGATGCAACTCGGGTAAGCACATACAACTAAAAGATAGATTTCGGAACTAGTTTAATAGATATACAATTCTAGCTTTTCTTTCCCATTTGACTTAGGTATTCAAACATCTTTTCTCTCAAGCTGTTATTCAAGGACGACTTATCGTAAATATCCATTATGAAGGTGATTTCGCTTTCACTGTCATCGGGGTTATGGCTGGAATCCCTTTCAAATGCTCTAGAATCTCTATACCTATCAAGCCTCTGCCTGGAAGTACCTCTAGGGTTCTTCTCCTCCTCTCTGTAATCACTGGATTCCACTTCTGACTCCTTGGAAATGTCATCAGGACTATAGTGTCCTTTTTCTCCATTGTATATTCTACTCCTGTACTTTTCAAGTATCTCACTTTTCTTGGAAGCCATGTCCATTGACTTTGAAGATCTTCTACTACTTTTTACTTCCTCTGAAGGAACTCTCCTATTGCCCCTGGACTCTTTTTTGTCATGTCTCTCTCTGCTTTTCTTTTTTTCCTTGGAGCCGTTCCTAGACTCGACCTCTCCAGACATATCTTCATAGCTATCGCTCCAAAACCCATCATTACTTATTGCACTATTAGATCTTGGCCTTTGCTTCTTCCCTTCTCCAATGCTTACCTCGGAAGACACATTGGAAGCCCCTCTTCCGGCTTTCCTAGATATCTTTCTTTCGCTCCCTCTATCTCCTTCCCTCCAAGAACCATTTCTTGTAAGCACCTCCCCCATCTCATCATTATCTAGAAGAAAGTTGGAATCATCCTCACTTTGAAGAGTTTCATAGCTTTTCAGATATGTGCTTTTCATAACTTTCTGTGATGCCTTGCCTCTGCATGGAACTACATTCCAAAGGGTTCCTATACAAAAAACCATATCCTAACCTTTGCATATTAGAGTCGTTGCTTTTGTACCTACAGAGAACCAATAGATAAACAACCAACAGCAAATCACTCGCATATTTTGTAGACAGAAAAAGACAAATCAGATGATTTTTGTCTTCAACTGGGAAGGAACGCCAAGATATTTAATCCTACTACCAAAGAGTGTAGAAAGCCATGTAGGGATGTGATCCATTGTAGCCCTTGAAGCCTTTTGTCACTTGTTCATCGTTGTAGATCCTCCATGTACCTGACCTTTTGGCCTCTGCAAAGTAGTGTCCCCCACTCAGAGTTCCGGTGTGGCACACAACCCCGAAGAGGCTGTACTTTCTATTGTTAAAAGACAAAGTGGCGCTAATGTCGACACTTGCCGTGTCTTTTGATCCTCGTGGATGGAATCTTGATATATGCACTATCAGGACTTCTGGATGTATAAGGTTTTCCATCCTCTTTATAGTGCCCTTCTTCTTTCCACATTTATCGCATTTCCAGCTATCTTCTCCCTCAAGCATCACCTCTTCGTAATACCGATCTATTCCTTCCTGAACTGATGCATAGGGTTCAATAAGAATGGTACTATTCGTGACAATTGTTGTAGAAGAGTATTTACACATCTCGCATATTAGTATCTGTCTATCCATTGAAAGTAATGTTTTTGCAATCAGATTCTGCTTCCGGGCTTCCTCAAATTCATCTATTGTTGTAAACACATCTTTATTCCAATCAAACTCTGTATACAGCAAATCGATAAACTGAATAAGAAACTCGTGAGAGTCCTGCTGCATCCCATTGAACAGCTTCATCTTTGTGTTAAATACGCTGATGAGGTTTCTTGGGTCACAGGACTGTGCCGAATCTTCATACTCAAGTATAAATTGTTTGAATGCATTAGATATCTTCTTCTCCCTTGGAAAAAGGGTGTCCCGATAAAAGGCGTTAAGCTCGCTAATGGACAAAATACACTGCATTGCAGAATTGAAGAAACAAGTATTTCCCTTATTCTTTAATCCTTTTGGAGGGAGATTGGATTTTTTCTCCTGTACTACCATTTCAAGGGCCTTAATTTCCAAATATAAAATCCACAAGCCAGGCAATTTTATGAAATCTGATGATATAAGACGCCGGGTCGCATGGTTTACATCCTTCCTGGATCATCAAGCAATATACACCAAGAAGATGGATGGATGAATCTGAAGAATGTTTCAGGCACTGCGGAACGAATCATTGGTAGATCCAAAACATTGTAAGAGCAGAAAAAACTATTTAAGCTGCGATTTTCATGATCTCAAGACTATGAAGTTTAGCACACTTAAGCTGGCCACCTGTTACCTTTATAAGGTTGCCGTTGAGGCAAAGGCCTCTCCAAAAGAGGAATTTCCTGGGGATAGTGATAGCGGCTACAAGAATGAATATCTAGTTACCAGAACGACTGCCAAGGATACTTTTACTCCTGAGATGACTAGAAATATGATACTTGAGAACGGTCTGGCCATTGTACGTGAAACAACAACCTTTGTCAATCCTCACGAAGTTAAGTTTGTTCCGGGGTCTGTTCTTGAAAGTCTGGATAAGGTAGCATTTGCATCGGACAGATTTGGGACACCGAACAAATTCCTTACAAAGCCTGACTTCTCCTACATGGAGGGATACAATAAGATGTCAAAGCAGAAGAACGATGCCAAGGCAAATGAGCCCAGTAGTGCCAGTAGTGTCGATAACACCAAGAATGCTGGAAAGGGAGAAAAGACAACAACCACTTCTGATGATGAAAAGGCAGGTGCTGAGGGCAAGACAGAAGATGGTGTAGAGGGCCAAGAGCAGCCGCAAGATAATACGACTGAGGATGTAGGAGAGGCAAAGACAACCGATAAATCTGGGTTCTTTCCTAGTGGCTCCTTCGTAAGACCTTCTTCTGGAAAGTATTCATCCTTGGCTTAAACCATGATGCTATTAAATTTCTGTTTAATCATCAACATCACTCTAACGCCATATAACTAGCATTTTTGCTATCGAGCGCTGCACTGCAGTATTATTTATGCCTAAACAGCGATTTAGGTTGAAAAAGAAATGGGGTAGGAATGAGCTATGAAAAGTTTAAGAAGACGATAGTTTCGATAGAGCTCATAAAGTTCATGTGTCACAGCCACTTGCTTATCAGCTTGAGAAAACCTCTGACAATAGTGTCAGGATGCAACGGGTCTGGAAAGAGTGCGGTCATGGTGGGGATTGGATTGGTTCTTGGACAGCGAGCGCACAGCCTTGAGCGTGGAAGCAGCTTCAAGGATCTTATCAAAAGCGGGGAGTCGAATGCTATTGTAAGAGTTGTACTGGAAAACCATAAGGGGTTTAAGAGGGAGTTCTTCAAGGAAAAGATCATTGTTGAAAAGAGAATTGGAATGAGATCTGCAACTATCAGCATCATGAATGGAGAGAGGAGGGTTTGGTCTATGAGGAGAGAAGACCTGGAGCTTGTTCTGGAGTTCTTTTCGCTGAGGTTTGAGAATCCGTTGAACTTCCTTAGTCAGGAGCAGTCCAAGAGATTTCTAAGCACAATGAATCCTGAAATGCTTTATGAGCTATTTATGCAGGGGACAGAGATGGCTGAGGTATGCAAGTTGAATGACGAGTCTATGGGCAATGTGAAGACGATGAGAGAAAGGATAGGGCTGGTTGATGAGGAGCTAAGGGAGATTGAGAAGCAGATAAAGGACGAGGAAAGCAGGCTGGAGATTATAAAAAATGTCAAAACCATGGCGAGAACTATAGCTGAGCTGGAAGATGAGATGGCATGGGCCAAGGTGAACGAAAGAAGAATAGAAGTGGAGAGGTGTTTTAAGAAGTTCCAAGACAAGCAAGAGGAAATTGACAGGGAGAATGCAAAACTGGAAGAGCTGTCGCAGGCAATCAGAGATGGCCGGGAAAAGCTGACCATGGTCGAAAGCGAGGAGATGGAAAAGAAGAGAAGTAGAGACAAGAGGAAAGAAGAGATTGACAGTGCCATCGGTAAGCTGAGGATGAAGTATAGAGAAATAGAAAACGACTGCTTGGAGCTGAGGGAGACGAGGGATTTCAAGAGCAGGATTGCTATAGATTTTGAGAAGCAGGATGGAGTTGTGAAGGGACTGGTTCCTCAGCTTGAAGAGAGGTACAATAAGGTTTCTTCTGAAATAGAGTCTCTAAATGAGAGGATGGAAAAGCTTGCCGTGGAAGGTGAAGAGTGTAGAAAGAGGGCAAGGGAGGAGGAGGATGTGCTCTCTGAGCGGCAGAGTAATATTCTTCATCTCAGAAAACAGATTGAATTCTATTCCAAAAACGATCAGAACAGCTTTTTTGGACCGAACTTTGGCGGAGTCATTGACGAGATTTCGAAAACCAGGTTCAATGAGAAGGTTGTCGGACCTATTGGATTTGAGGTAAAGCTCAAAGATCCGAGATGGAGCAAGGCTGTTAGCATTGTACTGAACAGCACCTTGTCCACTTTTATTGTAATGAACAAGCTGGATAAGGACATCCTACTTAAGATCTTTAGGAAGCATAAAGTGGACTTTCCTATCTCCGCACTCTCAACCAGAGCTCCGGAGGTGATAAAGTACAAAAGAAATGAGAAGTATAAGACGGTGCTTGATGTTCTGGAAATTCGAAGTCCTTGTGTTGCAAACTATTTGATAATAACAGCATCTATTGAGCAGACGATTCTTGTGGAGGGTAGGAAAGAGGCTTACGAGATAATAAGGTCAAGGCCGGGGTTTGTAGAGTGTGCATACACGAAGAATGGGGACAAGATCCGGCTAGTTGGGGGAAGTATGTCTGACTTTGTTACTCGAGGCGTGGATAGATTCTACTTTGAGAACACTCGCGAAAAACTTGAACGGTGTAAGATGGAGATGAAGAGGCTGATGGAAGAGAAACCTGAAAAAAGCTGGGGAAAGAGGTCGGAGGAGATAAGAGATGAAATGGGCAAAGTGAATGAGGAGATAGAACACCGAAGAAGAGTGTGCAAGTCTCTAGAGGCAGAGATGGAGCAGGAAAAGCAAATCCATGATGCCCAGATGGAGATCATGCATAGTGATGAGATCTATGAAGAAATAAAGAGCCTTGAGCACCAAATATCATTGCTAGAGAAGAAGCAGGACGAGATCAACGAAGAGATTGGGGCTTTGGAGAGAGAACAGAGGGAAATCAAAGAGTACAAAATAGCAAGCACGGAAAATTTGAGGCAGGATATTTGCAGAAACAAGGCCGAGGCCTCCAAAATTGAAAGAAAGATAGATTTATGCCGACTGGACGCTCTTAGATTGAAGGAGGAACATCTGAAGGAGATGGAGGCCTACAGCTTAGAGAAGAGGAGGCTTGTGGAGAATGGAAAAAAAGAGATTGATTCAAGGCCTGAGGATGAAATTAGAAAGGAAATAATCCGCATAAAAGCACAGATTGATATGTGCAAGGAGGTTGAGGATGAAAAGAAGACCTTGGCTACAATGGAGCACCTAAGGAAAATGAAGAATGTGAAGAAAGGTCTTCTCGACGAATACAAAAAGAAGATAGAAAGCATTCTTTCGGATGTTGAGTCGAGGATAACTAAAAGAGATGCTATGAGGAACGAAATAGCTAGAAATGCGGCCTTAGAATTTTCCAGGCTGACTCGAATCAGAGGATATGAGGGAGTTTTAGAGTTTGACCATGAAAAGAAAAGGCTGGATGTCAAAATGAAAGTACATGGGCAATCCGAAGCAGGGTCTAGAAGTATGCTGTCTGGAGGAGAGAGATCCTTCGCAAGCGTCTCACTAATTTTGTCGTTATGGCCTTCACTTTCATGTCCCATCAAGGTACTTGACGAGTTTGATGTGTTTATGGACAACTTGAACAGGAAGCAAGCCATAAGAATGCTTCTAGACTTTTTTAAGGAAAGTGGGTTCCAGGGGATTCTGATAACCCCCTTGGGTGTAGAGGATCTTTTCGAGGACTTCTGTGATGTCATCGTCTTGGAAAAGCCTGACAAGAGCGAGTAGATAGAAAATGAAGTAACAGAATATATTAAAAGCTGAAGTAAATACTGCCGTCGATCCTGTAAATAAGTATCCAAAGGCATTCCTTGACTTTTTTGTAGGACCTGAGGCATTTTAGCAGGTCTTTATAGCTACAGGCTGCTATGTTGAGATGGCCCTTCTCATGTTTTAGAAGGTCAGAAATGCACTTCCTCTCTACTGTTGCTTGTATCTTCAATTCTGTGCCCTGGGGATCCATCATCCTAAGCATGTACTGTATTTTTACTGAAAGGAGCTCAAGGCAAGTTACTGCATCTATTCTTGAGTCATGTGTCTCCACATGAATGTCCTTGGAAAGATATGTTCTTGATAATTGTGCAAGGGATATTTTTCTCCCTAAAGGACTTAAGAACAAATGTGCAGTGTCTATAATCCTTTCATGGTACAGTTTCAACGAGTCTAGGTCGTTTTCGACGCCATGCCCCACAATCACAGTGTTGGTTCCAATAAAGTTGAAGATTTCATCCTTCACAAGCTCAATATCAACACCCTTGTCTACTACCTCCTTTATCAGTCCACTGTATTTGGTCAAATAATCTACCACAGGCTCTCTTGGCTTGATTATTTTGTCATAGATGGTTTTCCCATTGCAGTCAACCATCGTGATTCTCCCGGGCATCTTCCCTGTTTTTGTCCTGACCTTTTCTATGTCTAGGGCAATTATGTCATAGGATCTGGGGGCAAGGGCCCTTCTGTATTCGCTTATGTCAACCTTTGATAAGGACTTTTCGTCATCAACAAACACTCCTGAAGAGTGTATATCTTCGAACTCTACAAAAGGAATGAGATCTAAGTTTTCGGTCCTTACACAATCAAGAGATGGTGTGATGTCTTCATATCCCCCGTCTCTCAGAATACATTCTATGATGTCATCAAATGGCAGCTTCTCATTTATAAGTGGCTTGTGGTCTATCTTGAGCTTGGATAGGAGTTTTGAGATGTTTTCTGGCGTCTCCTCTAACTTGACAATGTTGATTGTGTCTGGACGATCGCTTGCTCTTAGAGGAAGGAAAGAAGGCCTTTTAGACATGTTGAATGCCCAGCATAAGATCCTCTGTATGTCATATACTGTTAGTCTCTTGAGCTCTCTGATCTTTGCCATTCTAAGGAGTATGCAAAGCAGACAGAATTTCAATCATGGAACCTGGTGCCCAATAGTGTTTAAAAATGCACAACTCGCCGCCTCAAAATCAACCAATCCACAACAATAATCACAGCCAATAAGGCCCTGGATGGAATCAATGTCAACACGTAAACGGGAGCATTCCAAGCATGCAGAGTCTAGTCTCAAGCTGTACGAGCAGCTTGTGGTTTTGTTGAGGACAAGGAGTGAGGTCCGGTTTTTATGCAATCGTGTCTCTTTGTCGCTAAGAGCATGCATAGTGGTTGAGCTTGCGCTCTGTGGAGCAATAGGGCTGAAGGAGGGAAGGGTTGTGGGAAAAGACAATGCTCTGGATAGCTCACTTTTACTGGAGGCAATGAACAAGATTTATCAAATCCAATTGCCACCCGACGAGCTTATGTATAGGCTTAACGGAGAGAAGAGAGGAGGAAGTATCTACATGAGGAATGTTAGGCTAAGAGTCTACAAAGGGTTGGAGGAGAAGAGGATATGCAAGGTTGAAAACAGTCGTCTAATATTCAACAAGATTACTATGAACAACTACAATGTAAGGATAGAGCTTATAAACTACATGAAGGAGTATTTGACCTCTAGCAAAGAAGTGGATTACAGAGCAGAGGCACTTGCCGTATGCTTGATATTTTGCTCGGCAATAGATAGCATACTTATCTGCATGACGGAGAAAGAGGCTGTGGCGTCCAATGCCCACATCAATCGGATCAAGGAGAAGTACATGAGCAGAAGTGCATGCGAGTCTGGGAAAGAGATGATCATACATTCTGTGCTTAAGGCTTTATTAAATTCCTAGAGCAGACGAGCTCTATAAATATTTCGATTGAGGGCCCTGTAATGGTGGAGTATTGGACTCTAGACAAGTTTGAAATAGGAAGGTTGCTGGGGCGAGGTAAGTTTGGGCAGGTGTGGCTTGCAAAGGAGAGGGAAAAGGGATTCATAGTTGCCCTGAAAATTATTCCAATCAAGGAGATCCAAACGGTTGAGACTGCGAGGCAGATCCGAAGAGAGATAGAAATACACACCAACTTGAAGCATCCCAACATTCTGAGAATGTATGGGCACTTCCACGACAAGGACAACATATACTTGATACTAGAGTACGCAGGAAAGGGTGAGTTCTTTAAGTTTCTCAGTGAAAAGGGAGGCAAGTTCAGTGAAAAAGAGGCCTCTCAGTACATAAGACAGGTGATACTTGCACTGATTTACATGAAGGAGTGTAATGTTATACACCGAGATATAAAACCAGAAAATCTACTGCTTGGGTCGGACAGCCAACTAAAGATAGCAGACTTCGGATGGGCTGTCTACAATGCAGACAAGAGGCGAATGACCTTTTGCGGCACGATGGAGTACCTTGCTCCAGAGATGGTCAATAACGACATACACGACTCTGGCATTGATCTGTGGTGCTTAGGGATCCTGACATATGAGTTCCTTATAGGAAAAACACCGTTTGAAAGTAAGAATAGGAACATGAGAGAAGCATATAAAAGAATCAATTCATTGAAGTATTCAATTCCAGAAACAATCAGCTCCAATGCTTCTGACTTTATTTCCAGGCTCCTTGTGCTGAATCCAAACGATAGGATGGAGCTTACAGAGGCCTTGAACCATCCATTCATTGTAAAACACCACGGAAGACCCAATAACTGAATCCATCTCAATAAAGTAAGTTTCTGGTTCGCTGCACTACTCCAGCATCTTCTTAACAGCTGCTTGCATGCTTTCCACGCTTCCTTCCCAAGCACTCACCTCAACTGTTTTGTGAGTACTTGTGGCTCCTGCCAGGATTTTAACAGACGACTTCGGAATCTTAAGCATTTTGCTAACAAATCCTGTCAACTCTTTGTTAGCTTTGTTGTCTGTTGGCGGTGCATTTATCTAAAATTAATTCAATCACCTTACATTTACAACTATTTCTGTGTCTGTTACTTCCCTTACTCCTGTGCTTCTTGCATTAGGCCGGGCCCAAACACTCAATCTAAGTTTCTTGTCTTGAATACAATACCAAGCCATCCCGGGATTCCCTTGGTGAAATTATAAGTTTTTCATTCTACTTACTCAGCAAACTCCATAGATGACGACTGAGGCCCCATTTAGATATCTCAGCCTAAACTCATTTCGAAACCTAGATACCAACTCCCCGAGACTACTACACCCACTCACTAGGCCTCCAATAACCTTAATGCTAAAGTTGTCGATGTCTTTGTCAGTGACCTCCCAAAGACATCCCATCACAGTGGAGTTCTTTCCAAGATGCTTTAGAATTGCTCCGTTTCTTCTATAGTTTTCTATACACAGAAGCTTGGCGCTATTGCATCCGAACAGAAGCATGACTTTTCCCTCTCCAGAAGTCTTCAGATATCTCAAGCCATTTCCGTGTCCAAAATATAGCAGCACATCATATCTATCGGCTTTCCTGCACTCTAAGTCCGATAGAGGCCTCCCAGTGACGCCGTTTGTTATCCCAGAGGACTTAAGAAACTCGCTCATTCTTTCCTGTGTCCTAGGAAGATTGTTTTCAGGATCAAGCAGATAGAAAAAAGACTTTTCAGAAGCACTGGGCCTCGGGGTCTCCTCAAGATACTCTAAAGAGGGCACTCTGTATACAGCGCTATCCCTAAAAATAGGCATCGACTCAAACGGAAAGTCCGTTGTTGTCTCGTCGAGAACTAGAACCACATCCTTGCGAGCCAAAAGCCCTGCAAACTTAGTGCTAGTTTCATGCAGTATTTCACCCAGCTCTGCATCAAGCTCCATCCTTTTCATCCACCACATAGCCTTATCCACGTTGTTGGAAACATTCTCCCTGAGAATACTCCTTGATTTGGCCAGTATTCTGTTTATCCGGGCCTTGGCATCTTTGAAGCCTCTGTCTATCTCAGAAAACCCTTGGAAGTCATTGATGAACAAGCATCCGTCTATGCAGTACAGAGATATGACCGTAAACTTCGCAAAACGCCTCAGTATCCTCTCTATATCTCTGCAGAGAGTAGAGGGCCTAAGCTGTACAAATCTTTCGAGAGTCCTTATTTCCCTGAGGTTGCTCATCTCACCCTTGAGTGCAATGCTTGTAAGAATTCTGTTACAAATAGCCTCCTGCTCATTCTCTACTATATACCGGGCATCAGCCATCTCACGCAACTCTAACCCAATGTTTGGGGAAGGCCCGGGGATATATCCTATCCTCTCTACCACCAGCTTACAGTTGAGAAAATGTTGAGTAACAAAACCTAATTGGTGCCTGTAGGAAAGATCAATTCCCTTGTTTAGATAAAAGATACATTCGAAATATTCACCGCAAAACATGTGGGACATAGAAAGAAGATCATAAATCCAAAGCAGAATCTCGGGAATGCTCCTTATTTCCATTTCTCTGATGATTTCCAAGGCAGTTCTAAGCCTTTGCTTACCCTCTTTGTATTCTTGGCATGCTACCATCACGTAGCCCTCCATAAATGCCCTTTCAAAGGACGTAGACCTCTTTATGAGTTCCTGCATCAGCTCTAAGTGATACTCCCTATTTTTACACATCTGAAAACACAGGCCTTTTAGAGAAGCAGTGTTTTCCAGGATACTCTCCTTGTGCATCTCACTGAGTACACAGGTGTTTTCAGCAAATCCGTTCCAATTGCAGACTCCCATAAAATATTCGGTGCTAAAGTTTCTTCTTAAATGGAAATAAGGCACACCGATGTCTTCGGAAACATCATAAAAACAAGATACTAAAGGATAGTTTTCTCTTATATATTCTATCTCATCTGTGGTGCCGTGGAAGAGCTTTTCTTTCTTCATGTTTGCCATCATCCCCTTTCTCTGTGCTAGAATCTCCCTGATCCTGGATTTTATCAAGCAAGCATCATCATCGTCCAGCAAAGACCCAAATATCTTCTCGGCCTTGGCTTTGAGACTAGGGCCCACTCTTCTCACGATGCCACGTATCTCCTCTCTGTATTCTCCATACACTTTATATCTTATTATAAGGTATCCGACAACTATCTCATCCAACAGAGAATCACTGTAACTCAGATGCCCCATGCATTCGTCAATCGAGTGCATCTCCCTGTTTAGTATTTTTTCCAGATGCAATTTGATTCTCCTCTCAATTTCATCATAAATCTCCTTCACAAATATCTTGCTGCACAAACTCACGAGAGCCTTATCCAATGAGTACTTTGGAATTCCAAGCATAGGCTCATATATGTATATGTGCTTGATTATCTCAAATCCAAAAAGGGCCGAGTCGTATGCAGGCTTTCTTAGTATTTCATTGATCGCTCTTATGGCCTCTGTTCCTCTTTTCACTGCTGTAGCTCTTCGAGGACTTCCTCGGCCTTTGAATCTGATTTTTTCAAGAAACTCCTGATGTCTCCTAAGCATTATGCTGAGGTATCGCATCCAGAATTTATTCGTTCCTATAGAAACATTCTAACCATCAAGCCCGGAATGATAATCGTGAATGATGAGGAGCTCCAGAGGACTATAGAGGAAACATCTTGCGCTAAAAAGAACGAGCTTAAAAACCTTGATGCAGCATATAAAAGTGTGATAAAATACAACAAGTGGGTCATTCCAAAGGAAGGAATTAAGGCCATCAAGTTTGACAGCACTCTGCTTAACAAGGTGTACATAGGTAACATTTCTGCGGCAAGAGATTCTATTCAAGGCCTTCTTTCTGTATTTGGACCAGTGTCCGTGACATGCATAAGTAGTAAGGATTGTGCATTTGCAGACTTTGACAATCCCCATGCAGCCTATCTGTGCATGGAGGAAGTCAATGGAATGGTTTTTAATGGAAAGACCTTGAAAGCAGGAAGAACATCCACATTTCCATCTGAAATCCCAAAGGACCTTGGGCCCCCCGATGAAACCATTGTTTATGTATCAAACATAGACTTGGATATCGAAGAAGAGCAGCTAAAGGACATTTTTGAGAAGATGGGAAGAATTAAGGATGTGGGGCTTGTTTACGGGTCATCCTTTGTGCACAAGGGATATGGATATGTACAGTTCTTGAGGCCTGTTGATGCAAGGAGAGCCCTAGGATACAGCAACAAGATCAGCCTCTATGGAAAGAAAATAAGGATAGGGCCTAGTGTCATTAAGATGGAGTTACCGAAAAGAAGCTATCCCGCTATTCCTGAGAAGGTATTCGAAATAAAGAAAAGGATTGAGAATGTTATCTTTGGCAGGGGAAGAATGGTTGTGCTGAGAAACTTGATAGACATAGACGATGCAGATGAAGATTTTGACCAGGAGATGGAGAGCGAGATGAGGAAGTATGGAAGTGTTGATAGATTTGGGATATGCAAGAAAGGAGAGGTGGCTGTATATTGCCTATACTCGACAGAAGACGAGGCTAGGCACTCGTTCAACATCCTCAATGGGCGGTTTTTTGGAGGAAGAAGAATTCGTGCAGAAATGTCATGTGGGGAGTTTCCTCTATGAGCGTCTGCGGATACCCTTCTTGCTGGTCTAAACATGGTCTGAGATTAAATTTATACGTACGGGTTTGTTTGTTGTGTCATTCTTTTTCTTCCCTTCCAGAAAATCTGTTGGTTTCTAGAGTTTTCGAGACAATCAAGAAAATAAATCGAGCCTTACAAGTCTTAGCCCTGCATGGCGAGAGGAAACGGGAATAATAACTTTTTGAACATCATGAGGTCTATGCTAAGTTTTTTGGATGCAAGGATAGAGTCATCTGATGCTGATGCGAGCAATACTCCTGGAGGAGTCTTTATGAGCAGACTAAGAAGTAGGCTAATCGACTTGATAAATGGTAGGATGGAAGCTAGAAGCAGCGAAAGGGATGAGGGGGCAGCTGCCCCTTCGGAGGGTTCAAGAGGTGCAGGAAGAAGAGGCCGCGGAAGGAAGAGCTCGAGTAGGCCTCAGAATGAGGTGCCCACTGTGGAGGAGCGGAATTTGGTCGACAGATGTAGTAGAATGATAGGCGAGGCCGAGGAGAGGCAAGCAAGGGGGAGGCGGCGAATCAGAGCGGCCTCTGTAAGTCGGAGTAGAAGGATTCAGGGGTCTGGAAGCGGGACGGCCATGGATCCTGTCACGCTAACTACATCCATTGTTGTTACAGGAAATGAAAGAGGATCTTCACAAATCCCTTTACAAAGTGAAGAGGGGCAGAATGAGACTAGATCTGAAGAGTCAAGAAGCCTGGGAAACAGGGGATTCAGGGTTGTTTTCCCACGAGTTCCCTCTCAGGAGCTCCGATTTCTGTTCCTTACGCCCCAGAGCGAGGGAGCAAGGGGAAATGTTATATATGAAATACAGATCAACTTTGATATATTTGATGCTTCAGCAGAGCCTCCTGTGACAGCCACCAAGGAATCATTGAATAAAACCGACGTTGTGAGTGCCGGAAAGGCTGATGAGGTATGTGAGTGCACTATATGCATGTCTAATTTTTCTATGAACCAGAAGATAAGAGTTCTGCCGTGTGACCACAGGTTCCATACTGGATGTGTTGACAAGTGGCTACTTGGGCATTCTAACAAATGCCCTGTCTGTAGAACGGTCATTTGAGATAGATAATCTAGATGTAGAGTAAAGTTAGTGCTTAGCATGAAAATAAATAATTTTTGGCAGCTTTTATTACTCTTTGGGGCTGTTGAAATGAAAAAGGAGAGTAGTAAGTCGAGATTTGATAGGAGATGTGTCGAGATGGTGAGGAACGTGCTTGAGGGAAGGTCCACCATCAAGGGGGAGGTCTACAAGACAAAGGATCCCAAAATGTATCATAGATTGATTCATACCGTTGTTGAAAATCATGAGTTGCTGCTTGATGTAATAAAAAAATGCAAGTATATGGAGGATGACCAGGAGCTAGGGATAGTGAAATGCTTTGAGATAATAGATAGAAGAATTAGAAACACACGAATGTACAAGAAGTTTATGAAGGCTCTTAACGGGAGAAAGCTAAGACTGACCAAGCCGTGTGTGTTTGTAAGGATCAATGCCTTGAAGAACGGGACGGAGGAGGATATAAGCACCCTAAGCTATGAAAAAACGTGTATTGAAGGAGTATACAAAGTACTCGACTCTAAGGACATGATTTCCTCTCCTGGATACAGGGACGGGAAGTTTATAATACAGAATATTTCGTCCTGTCTTCCTGCATACATACTGAACCCTAGGGAGGGATCTAGAGTTATAGATACATGCTCTGCGCCTGGAAACAAGACATCCCAGCTGTCAATGATTATGAAGAATACCGGAAAGATATATGCCTTTGAAAAAAGTGAAAGCAGGGCAAAAACACTTCAGCTCCAGCTTGAAAGACTAGGAGTTAGCAATACAGAGGTTATAGAAGGCGACTTTATGAAAGCAAGCCCAGACGACTTTAAAAGCATCGATTACATTTTGTGCGACCCGAGTTGTTCTGGCTCAGGAATGCATTTGGGATATAGGAAGGATGAAAAAAGGATAGAGAGTCTTAAACTGTTTCAGATAGCCATTGTTAAGCATGCCTTCAAGTTCGAGCCAGAGAAGCTAGTATATTCTGTATGCTCTGACCATAAAGAAGAAGGAGAAGAGGTGGTTGAGGAGGTGCTGAAGGACTCTGCGTATGAACTGGAGGACATAAGTAGGTTCTGGAGCGCCAGCTGTCCCTTCGAGTCTCCATTCAGCCAGGAGGTAATAAGATGCAAAAGAAACGATAAGGGGGCAACAGGGTTCTTTGTAGCCCTCTTTACAAAAAAGAAGCCTTGTCAAGTCTCCGGTGCTAGATAAAGCATGCTACTAACTACACCTTCTTTTAATTTTTGTGATCGCCAAGAACAGAAGGATGTCGCAGATATAATAAAGGTATTCAAAAAATGCTCGAATTCCAAGAAACTTGTAGAACGATAATGACTCACAGATTGCATACCCAGACCACATAACCACCAATAGGTTGAGGTTATGGAATGCAATTATATCCTTCATGAAGCTGGGCGCTTTCAAGTGTCTTTCCTTTTTGTTAACACTGGGCTGGCAGGACATGAATATCTGGACTGCCCTGATTCTTGGATAGATGAAATAGAAGAAAGATATTACCACAGCAGGTACTGTAAGCAAATTGTCTGAGAATGTAAAGAACACGCCGTAGTTGATTGACTGAAACAATTTTTGCAATCCGCAGGAGAAGAATGCTATGTTTGCCAACGAGAAATATGTGTAAATACTCTTTTTCACATCAAGACTTCTAATGATGTAAATAAGGTATATGGATTCCATTGGCCTGAATACCAAGGCTATTAAGGTATCAATACTAGGTGATGAAGCAAAGAGACCAAGCTTCCAAGACGCGCTATCTGTCTTGGCTCCAAGCATGTATCTGAAAAGAGAAATGAAGACATGTGGATGGTTGTTGAATATCCTAAGGACGCTATTCAAGAAAAACCAAAAAGTTCTTTCAAAGTGGGAGATGCTGTCAAGTATTCCGAATAAAAGCAGCTCAAGGACGAAAAGAAGGTTTCCATTGAACAGGGGAGGAAGCTTGATCCTTTCTATCACAAGGACATAGAAAAGATTTGTATCTGACGGAGGCCTTATCATCTGTAGAAGCATTATGGTGCCAAGCAGATTCTTGAGCGAGGGGTTGGAGATAAAGAAAAGAGCAGCCCAGAATAGATCCTCGTGCACTATCGACAGCACGGAATGCCCTGTCATTACAATCACAAAGGAAAGAGCAAGATCCTCGAACTTATAGAGCCTGGAGTCAAGGGCTCTAAATATTACAAATAATGCTATTATTGCCGAGAGTATACCCGAAACAACCAGCTTGAAATGATCTCTTCCTGCAAATCTACTTTCCATTTTCTCACTTAACTTATAATTCAATCTGACATATTCACTGAGTTCTTTTGGATCATCCTCGAATGTGACATTAAGTACGTCGCATTTTTGTTTATAATAGGTCTTGTATGCACCAATGTCGCGGACAAGCTCATGTATGAAGTTACCACTGGATACCTTTGGAATAGGTATTCCCATCAAATAACATAGTGTCGGAAGAATGTCATCTTGATGGATAGTTGGGTGCTGCTCCTTACTTTGTATCAGGAGAGGGTCCTCGTCGTATACTCTCGAGATATGCTTTTTCCTTAGGTCTTGCACCTCTCCTTCAACGGGAGGGATATCGATAAACCTTCCGTCCTTTGATATGAAAATCCCCACTGCAGACATTTCCAATGTAGAAACACCTCCATGAGCTCCATTATTGTCAACGCCATGGTCGCTGCATATTACAAATAATGTATCCTCCTCCATTTTCTTGTATATTTCGTTTATGAGATTGTCGTATATTATCAGTTGGCGTTCCATTTCTTCATGGTCTATGGTCTCGTAAATATGGCCGTAGGAGTCAAGGTTTATCAGGTGTCCAATGATAACATCGTAGTTGTTTACACTCTGCAACATCTTCTCTATGATCTCATCTTCCTGCTTCCTTATTTCATGCCTTCCATATGGATCCATTATGTAATGAGTCTTGTCCCTGAGTTCTGGGAAGTAGCTTATCCATTGGTGGTCTCCGAAGAATGCTGCAGACCGCCCATCCTTGAGAAGCTGTCTTACCATACTGTCCCAGTATATCGAGCATCCTTGGAGATTGGCCACACTTGTTAGGAAGTTGCTGGGCGTTCCTGTTGCCAATCCTATAACTCTAGACCCCGTTTCAGTTGGGATTCCACTGACACTTAAGGCATGAAATTTCGAACTAATCGATTGCAAATGCTTCATTTTGTTGAAAATGTGGCCTTCCTTCAATGTCTTAGTGGAAGAGTCGAATCGGAGCCCGTCGATCAGAAGATAGACAATCCTGTTATACTTCTTAGGTCCTGCAGGGTCTGTAGACGAATCTTTAGGGAGATCTACAACCTTGAACAATCCGGTAAGAAAGAAATATATGTTAAGTATTCCCAGCAAGCCCACAATCATCAAGGTGGGTGAAACATCATGTCTAATAATCAAAATTTACCCATCAAATTCTTTGTCAATGTTAATTTTGTAATTTGGTTATTCATACTATTTAATTAAGATAAAATATAAACAGAGGGCTATGTAAATCAATCGCAAGTCATCGAAAACAGATAAAGTTAAAGAAATCACAAATTAATGATTAGAAAATATATTAAACAAAAATTTTGAATAAGTATAAAAGGAAAGATCGCCAGTAATATAGTTTGGAGAATGAAGGAAAGAAGTTACCTATATTCGTTACCTAGAAAGAAATGCATTAAGGCAATGGATGGGAAGATACCAAAAATAGAAAGTTCATGGCTCTCTGAAGATAGACAGGAAGCCAGATTGCCTTTTGAAGAAAAAAGCTATAGTGTGGAAGAGGTTGCAGAAGAGAGGACAGTGGATTTCTGCAGTACATCTGCCATTGAAGAAAGAGCTTTGATGAAGCCATACGTAGGCTTTCCGATGGACGAGTTCCTCTCGTCTATCTCCGAAAGAGAAAGAAGATTGAGGTTCAACTTTAGTCTTATCAATTCCGTGATACTCCGGTTCCTAGATCACAGAAACATCAGATCCATCTTATCTATAGAGTCCATATTCAGAGCTGCTAGAGAATTGCCTCTTGTTCTTATTTCCGGATACATTTACCTTGAAAAATACGTGAAGAAAGTTGGGGCTGTGTTTGGCGACTGCAAGAAACTAATCAAGTTTTTCTTTGGGTGCTGTTTCATGGGATCGAAGTTCATTTATGACACCTGGCATCCTGACAGCCTGTTTATCAGAGGAATGAACTCTGCAGAAATTTCTCGTATAGAGGGACTGGTTCTATCTGCCATAGATTACGACCTTGAGATATCCAACAATGACATCAGAAGGGTTATTCTTCAAAACAAGGCCTCACTAAGCAACAAAGAACATCTCAATGCTCAGTTTAACAGGGCTATTAGAACTTATTAATTTAATAAAAGCCATTTCTTAATTGCTAATGACAGTACTTAAGAGCACGCAAAATCACGGCATAGGAAGAAAGGATGTGCTGGAGAACATTTAATTCTTTGGAGAGGATCCATTGTTTTCTTGGGCTTTCTTGTTTTTGTTTTCGTGGAGAATGTCCAAGGCCCTGTTTATATCGCCTCTAGCCTCCCTCAAAGCCCTTGCTGCATCCTCGTCTTCAAATCCCATAGCCTTAAGCTGTTCTAGATGCACAAGATATGCCTGCTCGTCGGCCTGGTGGTCCGGTCTCGGGCCTCCATATCCCGGTGGGGGATATCCATGCATCCATGGTGCACGTGGATCCCTCTGGTTGAATCCTCCCATTGCTGGAGGATATGATGGGAACATTCCGCCATGCCCTCCATTCATCGTGTTCAGTGCCCAGCTTAGTCTCTCCGGCGTGAGAGCTTGCTGAAATAGAGACGGATTTGCTTTCATCATGTTCAAAGCTTCCTTTAGCATCTTCTTTTGTTCTTCCTTCTGTTCCGGAGTCATGCTTGGATTCTGTATATTTAGTACCTGATCCAATAAGGTTGGGTTGTTGAGCATTTGCTCCATCTGCTGCATCATAGCATTTGAGAATGCCTCGTTGTATCCATCATTTTGTCCATGAGGCCCACTTCCCTGTGGGAATCCATATCCATATGGCATTTGTCCGTACATCTGCTGGGGAGACCCGTATCCATATGGCATTTGCCCGTACATCTGCTGGGGAGACCCGTATCCATATGGCATCTGCCCATACATCTGCTGGGGAGATCCGTATCCTCCATACGGTGGCACGAAGGCTGCGTAGGGGTTAGGCGTCGCTTGCCCACTGTAAGGATTTCCTCCTCCCTGTCCATGGGACTGAACATCAGATGCACTTGTATTTTGATAAATGTTACTTGGCTTTGATATAGGATTTGGATTCTTGTGCTGCTTGATAACAAATAGCTTTATCTCTTCAGTGGATCCCTTTACATAGTCCCCAAGCTTTTTACTGTCTTCAAGCTTTTCACGCTCAAAAATGAGCGTCTGCTCGCTTGCAGGAATCCTAACAGACTCGCCCATGGTTTCCTCAAGCTTCTTCTTCAGTTCTTCTATCGTAATATCCAAATTATCAACCTCAATAACAAACTTATTCTTTAGATGCTGAATGTTTATCTTCATGTTGAGGGTAAACAAAACAACTTTTTAAAACCTTAAACAACCTATCAGCCAAATTCCAGCCATCAAGTTCGCCTTAGGTCTTCTTCTCTTCATTTATCCATTTCCTAGCTATGGGCGTTCAAGCTTGTATATCTTCCTGTCATAAAACGATGTGAAGAAGACCTTGCTGTCTTTTACAGTTAGACCGTATGCAATCGAGTTCGTTGGAAGCCTTTCAACAACATTCAGCTCGTCATCACATATTTTTAACCCCTCGTACATACAGGACAGATAGAACGCCCCTCCTTCTCTACAAATCCTCCATACTCCTCCCCCAATCATTACCTTTCTTACAGCCTCATACTTTCTTTTATCAATAATCTCTATACATTCATCATATGATCCAACATACAAGTATTCCGGGCATTCATATATAGATGTAATTCCAGAGGCTCTCTTCATTCTGTGCCGCTCAGAAAATGTTCGGGTATCTATGAACCTTAACATTCCGTCTTCAGACCCACATATCAATTCTTTGCCGCTTGCCTTCAAGACCCAGATAGGCGCCTCGCTGACCTTAATGGCTTTTAAAAACCTCATTCCATTATCATACACACCAACACCTCCTTCGACATCAGAAACAAACACATTGCTGTCACAGATCTCCACATATGTATTGACATATGCGGTGTCCATCCTCACTGCACTTCCACTTGCAAGATGGACAGCAGAAACATCACTGGAGTTTGCTGAATACAAGGTTTGCTCATTTATCTTAATATCAAGAGTTCCAGATGTTGCAAGCTCACTCTCAATATTCATGCTTTCGAGACTGTAGAAGTATATCTTGCCACTTCTTACACCCTCATTAAACAGGTACCCTCCAGCAACAAGACTGGAGGACGTGCAGCATAGGCAGTCTATCGGGATGTCTGCTTCGAACTCCTCCATCAAAAGCCCCAGGAAAACCCTCAAACTTTTATACATTTCTGATGTTAGTGGCCCTCATATGAGTAGAAACTGCCCGTCATATCTTTTTGCATCAACTCTCCTACTAGAGGAAGAACCTCTTTGGAAATAATGCCAAAACTTGCTGAGCAAGAAATGCTCGTCAGTGTGGGATATGTCCAGGTCTAGAGCCTGATTCTGTAGCTTTATTAATATTTCCACTAGCCTACAGAACCTCATCGATGCCACCTCGTTGTTTCTGGTTCTATTAGATTCCTCCACATCTTTGATATATACATCCATAGGACATATAAGAAACGTATCGCTTGTCGTTAGGTCATCCAAAACCTGCCTCATGTCAAAATAGCTCGCACTTTTCTCCATGTGTCCAGATAGGGTGTTCAATCTCTTTAGGTCAAGCTTTTGCATCTGGAATGCCTTAACAACACAGTAGAATGAATTGTAGTTTCCTATTCTTTCCAAATGTTTAAGCAGCTTGAAAAAGTATCTGTAATTCTGCCCTCTTAACAGCTCATCGGAAACAAAGTTTGTAAGCCCTGAATTCTTGGACATCATATGCCTTATATTTCTGCATTCGGCGCTTCCCAACCCATCATAGTCAACTAGCTCGTTTGGAGTAATTCTCCGCAGTATTGCTAGGTCTATAAAGGTCAAAGCCTTGGAGAGCTTCTTAGGTGTCATGTGATATATATCCCTTGCTTCGGCCTTTCTGATTTTGCGTTCATATCTTTTCGCTTTTTTTCGGTCGAGCATCTGCTCTTGATACCAAGAATGAGGCAATATGTCCCTATTCCATACAACCCCTATATCTATCTCCTCGCCACCAGAATCGCCGAACTCCCTAACAACCAGTTTATCACTACAGGAGCTTTCAAGTACTCCACTCCCAGAGTATTCCTTGACCAATGTTGTTAATTCCTTTGAACTCATCATATTCACCTTTATTCCAGTATATATCCCAAAAGCCTTGTTAGGAAGTACTATCCACCTATTATCTAGTAACTGCTGAAACTGTGTTTTACATCATTTCCCAGCGAGCTTGTTGCTTAGCACCTTCCCATTTCTCCCTCGAAAGTCTCCAGAAATCGCATCCTCAATGAACCTGACAGCTTCCTTCAAACTATCTTCTTCATTAATAAATCCTAGAATTTCGTCCAGGAGCTTTACTTTTTCAAGAAAACACTTTAACTCCTCAGTAGACCTCACATTTAGCCTTGCTACATTGTTTTGTATGTAAAAGTTCAAACACTCAAACATAAACCCAAAGTATTCGCATTCAATACCTAAATAAGATGCTGAGCCATAAACATCTTCTACAACGCCTAGTATCTTATGCAAATAGTAATCGTTCTTGTTAGCATAGTTCCCCTCGCGATAAAACAAATCAAAAAAATACAGTATCTCTAGAACAACCTGAAACTTCGATCTTATCAACGCCGAGGAGTAGAGAGACTCTAATCTCTTGCCTCCAATGGGCTTGTTAATATCCCTGAGCGTCTCCAAAGAAAAAAACATGTTTTCATAGTACTGCTTCTGGAAAAACAGAGAGTTTCTATCCATATCCCTCACTAATAAAGAGTTTTTGAACGATGCAGCTGCCTCTTCGTCCGTGTGTCCGCTAGAAAGACAGTCCTTGATTATGTCCGACTTAAACATGCCTCTGAAATGCACATCAAACTTCTTTTCAAGGAAGTTGTCCAGGAACTCAGAGATTATAGAAATATTACAAAACTCCGGGTGGGAAGAAAAGTTCTCCACAAGATCGACGTATCTTGAATAGAAGGATAGCCTATAGCTCAAGTAATCATTTCTATGCCATTCTTCACCATTGAACAGGCAAATAATCTGCTTTTCAATCCTGCTTTCCTTTTCTTTCACATATCTTTCGTCCAGGATCTTCCTTAGATACTGCTTCATCTCGCTGTTAATGGCATACCTTTCCATGTAAATAACCAGGTCTATACCAGAGGAAAGAATTCTTGTGAAGCTTCCAGAGAATGAGGCTTGGAGTTGTGTCGGCCTGGTCATCTTTTCGTGAATGAGATACTTGCTTTCAAACACAGACCCATAATCAATATCGTCTACAAAGTTTTCAGCCCAGAACATCTCTTCATAGCACTGCTTTTCAGGATCCTCTATGTATTTCATAATGAACTTGCGAATGATTTTGTTTACTGCTGCCTCAACGGTTTCCTGGCATTTAGGGCTGTAGATCCTAAGCGGAAGCTCTTCTTCCTCAAAGAAATTTTTGGACTTCTTACAAAGGCCATCAAAAGAGGCATCAGCCATCTCAAACAACATCCTGAAGTTTCGAATAATCGTTTTAGTCCTTCCCATCACCATCTTTGCGAGCACCTCTGCTTGATTCTCCTCTTTGCTTTTTTCTACTTCTTCAATAGTGGATTCAACTACCTTAAAATACTCTTTTTCAAGACTATCAATCTGATACTTCTCAAGATTCTGTAATACATTCAAAACCACAACACATCTGAAGTCATCCTGGTACTCGCATTCATTGTAGAAAGCAAATCTGTTGATCCTTCTGAAAACCAGCCTCATGATATCTTCGGCCTCAGAGTCCACCTCACTTCTAAATCTTTTGATGCATTCCATTCCACCCAGGCCATTTTCATCTATCAAATCATATACAGCCCTGATCTTCTTCGATGCCTCAAGAAGCTTGGAACTCATCTGCCGGTCCTCTACACCTCTCTTCATGTCGTTTTCAATTCCATCTCTAATTTCACAGAACTCACTAAAGTTCTTTCTAACTTCGAGGAGTGCAAGGCAGATCTCTTCCTTTGCCTTGAAAACCCTTACATCGCTGTATTCCTTGACCATGTCCTTTACCTCTATCTTCATCTCAGAAAGCTCCTTCGTAGCTCGGAATATCTCCTGGATATTATCATGGCATTTCCTATTGAGATGATAGGACTCCATGTATGAAAGAACAGAGTCGCTGAAGCCTTTGTAATTCCTTTCTATGATTTCTTCCATCACCTTTTCTACCTTATGGAAAAGATTCCTGAAATTAGATGCCTCCACAGAACTATTTCTGTTCTTCAGTGCCTGCTTTAGAGGATTGAAGTCTTCTGTGATGAGTGTCTCCCAGTCTATCCTGATCTCCCTAAGCAATGCATCCGCCTCGTTCATGTGGGGATGCTGGGATTTCTTGTTTGAAAAGGCACAAACAAATCGAGCTATCATTTATTGCTGTTGTAAAAACAAATATATTTCTCCTCAGTACTGCTGCCCTTCATCTTCAGCCGCATCCATTCCGTGAGTACGCTGCTTGCTATTTCTTCCAATAAGTGCCTCTTGACTTCAGGAAATATCACCTTCTCTGAGGGCACTGGGAGGCTGAACTGCGAATGGAAGTCGCTCCTGCCAATCACTGTGGCGAGAAACTCGTCAGAAAGTAGCTGCGGATGTTTTTTTAGAGCAAGGTCCATTTGATTGAATAACGGGATTTTTATCAAAGATACTCTGAAGAACATTGGCCTGAAGTATGCTATCACATGGTAGGTTTTATTCTGCAAAAAAATCGAGATGGTCTTCTTATTGAGAGAAAGCTTGTCGTCCCAGTTTATTATCTTTTCTCTGGACCTGCTCCTTTTATTTGTTCCTAGAAGGGACTTCTGCCGGTTTCTTTTCCCGATTGCACTCTTGTTCATATGCCTCGGAACCTCCTGATACAGAAGAAACTGCCCGTGAATTTTCGATGGAGACCATGTCTTTCCATCAGTCCATCTCCTGATTCCGTTCGGCGATTCTATAAAACAAAATATGTCTCCAGATCTGATGCTTTCTCTCTCGTCTAACGTCAACCTTCCTTCTATTGCATTTAAATATCCCAGCCGAACAGCATGAACCACCAGGCAGGCCTCCTCATAAGTTTTTATATAACCAAAGAGCCTGTTCATTTGCAAGGGAATTTGTAATGTTTAACCATTTATAGTAATTCTTATCTATTAGATACATATATATTAATCAATTAGGCGTTTGATATCACTTTGTTTATCATGATTTCAAGATATCACTTTATTATTTGGACCGGACGGTAAAGAGCGTACGAATTAAATATGTAATTCTAAATTTGTTAAATAATTTAATACTTTAATTTGTATTCAGGTCTCCTCTCCTAACCTCAATAGCCATTCTTCGTTATTGCAACGAACAGCCATGCCCCAAGGGTCCCTTTAGAAGAAAAGCAATCTCCTTTTGCATGCATTCTTTCGATGTTTACCAGCCCGCCCTCTCTAAAATCTACAAGTCTTACCCTTGGTTTCTTTCTAGAATGTAAAGAAAGAGAGAGGCTGCTCTATTTCTGGATTTTGGTAGAAAAAGCACTTGACATTCCTGTATACAATCCAAATGACGCTGCACCAGCCAAGACAGTTCTCTTGGATCTGTCACTTACCCCAAGGCCTCCAGCAACAGCCCCACTAATAAAGCTGTTAAGTGGCGTATCTTTCAAGCCATAGATCTGGAGGCCTGATTCTGTCACAGAGTATATTGTACTAACCTTTGCAAAGGACTTCCCGGATTCATGAATATTCCTGAGGGTTGGCTTTCCGGATGACGAAAGTACACCCACCATGCACCCAAAGGCATATCCTTGGATTGCATCTGAGGCAACTTTCAAGAAGTGTGGCTTGACCTTTTCTATCTTCTCTCGAATGCATTTCATGTTCATATTGGGGACTTGATTCTTTTGAAAATTATCTGTAAGGACTTTTCACTATACCTAGTGAGCAGTGCACTGCCAGGAAGGACCCCCAAATGGAGGGAAGAGGTTCCATAGTGTAATGGTTAGCACCCTGGACTTTGAATCCAGTAATCTGAGTTCGAATCTCGGTGGAACCATTCTTTTCGTTCTATCTCTTAAAATCAATATGTTTTATTTAACCGTGCAAAGCCTCAGCATATCTATGTCACCAGGTCTCACATCCTCCTCAAAAAGAATATCTTCATTGGAGACTCTTATCTCCCTCCTTGTCCTGCTCAGAATGTGGATATCAGAAAACAGCTCATACAACTTGAAAAGAAGCCGATTTCTATCAAAGTCATAAGAGTGAGCCATGCTGTTAATCCCCTTTATGACTTTGGCAAAGTCCTTTTTCTCAAACTTTGTTACCTGAACCATAAGATAATAAGTCTTGATAGGGCATTCATCAAATATATCCAATAGCCTATCTACAACTCTGGACCTATGTCTGGAGTTATTGTAGATATCAGATACCATCCTGAACTCAGCAATCTTTCTCTTCTCTTTGAACATTCTTCTTTTATTCTCAATGGCCTCTTGCATAGTGCTCAGCGTTGTTTCAAAGTATGCAAAGACCATTTCCGGAGAAACAAGGTGACAGGAGAAGATCACCGGGATTGACACGTGTGGAAGAATGGCTCCGGCTTTCGTTGCCTTCTTCAGCAGAATACATGCTTCCTTGGAGACATTTGTGTGGCCTGACTTTGCCCCATGCACTATGAAGCTGCAATTCTTTGCTAAAGTCTCAAAGGCAAGAGCGTAGGCTCTAGTTGCAGCACTGAGCTCAATAGCTTCACTTAAAAATGAGAGAAACTCCGTGCAAACAGCCGCCTCCCTCTCCTCTAGCCCGCTTTCCATTCTGGACAGTATCTCTTCCAACTTCCACTTGTAAACTACTCCAAAGTCAGGATCAAACCGAAGATTATATACAAGTCCAAGCTCCTTATTCAGGGACCACGGATATTCGGAAAAGTAATCCCGCATCCACGGGCTCCCACAAGAACCAAGTATTGCAACAAAGTAGTCGGTCCTTCTAGGAAATCTCATTTCTGCATATCCTAGAATGTTGATAAGCATCCCAGCATTTCTTGTATATGGGCTATAAAACACAAGCTTTCGGAGAAACACTGCAAGCCTTTGCTTTAGCTCGGAAGAAAACCTTGGCTTTAAATTCATAAGCACCTTCAGAACATTGTTATAGAAAGGAACATTTTTGCTTTTGACTATTTCTTCCGCAGAGTTTAGCAGGACTGACGCAGCATATACCTCATCAACACTGTCCGGATAAAATTTAGAATACAAGGCTGCTAGCTCTGCAACAAATACGTCCTCTATAGAAGGTATGCTTATCTTCATGAACCTACAAATGTTTTTGTCCTCATAGGAATAGAACACTTTTGCAAGCAGTCTAATATCTTCAATCTTGTACTCAACATCCCTGGTATCCTTGTTGCCTAGCAAATCTATATACGCTCTGTAGCATGCCTCGGTCTGAAGGCTATCTTTGATCTTGTCAAATATTATCTTCTTTATTGAAGAAGACTGTAATCTCTGCATTCCACTCTCTAAAGCCTTTATGTTTATCTGGCCAATAATGTTTACCACGCCCCTCACAACAGTAATTCGTTTGTCTTCAACATGCTTCCTTGCTATCTTTAGAATCCTCCAGGCTATTTTCTTCCCTATCACCATTCCATCAAGTTGAATACTGCAAAGAACTTTGGCTGCTCTCATTCGAGACTCATGCTTCTTACTATCTAATATTCGTAACAGCAGAACTACGAAGGACCTGATGATCCTGCAAATGGTTGCAGAAGGCCTAAGGCTTCTAAAAACACATCTAAAACATGTAATTTCCTCTTCAGAATACTCATTCTTTCTTAGAATACCCACCATGTTTTCCAGAAAGAGACTTAAGAGCTTAGAGTCAAGATTTTGTCTATCTTCACCAAGCATCTTTAAATACCTAAATGCAAGCGACACACACAATATTCTAGAACAGGGCGTAGGGTGGCTGATTAAGGAAGTCTCACTGGGGTGATATGAAGAAAACTTCTCGGAGAGAATGTCAACGAAACTCTCATGCTTCTTTTCAATTACATATGGCCCCTGGAGTACCATACGCCTGTATATGCACAAAATAACATGGTCTCTGAAGTTCATTCCGCCCACATCAAATGTATCCAGAGAGTCCATTTCATGAACAATAGCCTCAAGATCTCTGTCCGGAAGGGCCAAATCAGTCTGGATGTACACTTCAAAGGCGAATATCTTCGTGGTGTCTATAGCTCTACTCTGCCTAAGAAAAATCCTAAACAGAAACATGCAAATCGATTCTCTGTTGCATCCCAGAATGTTTTCTTTCACAAACACACAGATTTCCTGGAGTATGCTAATAAGAACACCTTGCTCCCTTTTGTCCAGGTCATCTGTGATTCGCTCCGAGCCCAGTTTTAGAAATTCTTCCACAATCTCCACAGCAGACATGCTAAAATAATTCCTTCTTATTCTAAGCCAAACGAGGATGTTTCCCATTGCGTCTGATCCCTTTCTAGCCTCATCCTTTCCCCACTCTAAAAATCTATGGCGTAGAAAGGGGCACTCCATCACTTCAGAAACAGCCTTAGAAAGAACATCATCAGCAGCACTCTTCTTTGCCAGGTCAACGACGGCCACTATTTTGTCTTCCAAGGATTTGTCTTTCTCAACGGCTAGAGAGTTACTAGCCCAGGTCTCCTTCCTATCCACTCTAACCAAAGCTCTTACCTCAATCTCATGATTCTCATTCATAGAAAATCCCATCCTTCTCTCAAAATATTTCAAAAATTAAGATAAAGCTTACTTCACATTTATTGCCTGTACCCATGGTCCTAGTCCTCATGATATCTGGAATATATCTCATAATACTCCTCGTATTCAGTCTCATTCATCATTTCTTTGTCTTCCTCAGTAACATCAGAAAATAACTTCTTAACCCCATTCACAGTTACATATTCATCTATCTTTATATCCTTCTTGTGATCATTCCTAGTGTCGGCAGCATAGGTCTTTCCCACATCAAACTCTTGCACAGATGGAAAAGCCACCTGAGAAACCTCTTCTTCTTTCGGGGCTGGCGCTTGCTTATCCTCCTTTTCCTTTTTCATTTGGAGAACTTGGAAGTAGTCCATCGATGGAATGCTGAACTTATCTGTCTCCTTCAATAAAAGAACAATGTCATCCAGCTCAGACATCAAGTTCGAATACATCATACAATCGGCACTTCTGTCCTTCTTATTTTCCACAAGATCCCCCTTGCAGTCCTCACATTTGAATACGTAGTTTTCCATAAGACTCTGTGCATCTAAGGAACTATACTCCCTCCCACACTCCATGCACATATATCCTTCTGTTTGTGCCATCTTTATGCTGTTCTCCAGATTCTTTGTCATCTTGAATATCTTGTACTTTATAACATCCCGAACCTCAGCGTAGTTGATGTAGTACACAGTGCGCAAGATCTGTCCGTTGTCTTCTCTATTCTCCACCTTTGTTTCATACTTAATCATCTTGTCTTCCTTCAGCTTTATGACTAACCGATTGACCTCCTTCGAAAGCATCTTCATTCTTTCACAGAGCTCAGTATCGTAAAGAAGAGTCTTCTTAAGTAGAATGTCGGTTATGACAACATGATGCGGCTCGTAGAACTTCCTTACCACCTTCTTTATAAGTTTGTTCATCACAGGCTCATAATCCATTCCCCTGGGTGAAGATAAGGAAATTTTCAAATATCTTCGTCTGGTAATCAGAACATGTTATCGCCAAGGAAACTCCAAAAACAATTTAATCCCCAAACAAATACTCCATTATGGACGTAAAAATCCCTTTTTTCCTTACAAAAATATCGTGATCTTCAATGACTCCTCCACCCTGTCGAAAAGTCCCTATAATCTCATCTTCAACCATAGTTGTATTTAGCCTGAGGCATCTCTTTACACTGTCTTCGTTATCAAATAAAACATTTATCCAGTTCTTCCCATACTCCACCTCTAGGACATCCCCACAAGACTTAACTGCATCTATAACAGCATCGAGGTTTCCCGGCGTAAATCCGTATATCGTCACGTACTTTTTCTTTACTCGATGCTGTGAAACCAACGGCTCCTCATAAAGCGTGTTCTGAGGTATAGATGTGGATTTGGCCTCAGATGTAGCCTCTGGAATGTCTTCAGACTTATTCTTTCTCTTGAACAAGCTCGGGTGAAACTCAGTCATCAGCAGGGAGGGAAATCTTACGAAATTTCATAAGCTTAAAAACTCAAAAATCTCTTTCAACTCTATCTAAAAACCTTGGTCAAGTAGAACATTACTGTTTCCTCAGAAGCCCGGAAAGCATCAATCACAAACCGCATTCCCTTTCCTCTCATACTCCTAAACTCTTCAAGCGAAGAACATCCTCCTAGTTTGTACAAGGATTCTAAATCAAACTCATCCATCCAGAAGTTATTGAACAGGTAGACAACAACAGTCACCTCGTTGCATATACTTATGTATCCGGGAAGCTGCTGGGCTTGGACTCCATTGCTGAAGTAGGTAACAGAGGTGCCATCCATAAGTGTCGGAGACTCATCAAATATAAAGTTAGAAAAGTCAACGTCAACCAATATAGCATCAACCATGTACTTCTTAGACTCGTTCAATACCAACTTTTCCACCTCGTTGTAGATATCCCTCAGATTTATTTCTAAAGGTGCCATGAAAGGAATTATCTCGCACATCTCCCCAGATATCTTCTCTTTTCGGGACAAGTACATCTCTTCGATGCTCAAAAAGTCATCTGGAATATATCCCACAGCCCCGAATATAAGATTACACTTTGGCGGCTCTTCCTCTTTCTTCTCGAGAAAATCGTCTTCGTCTTCAGATTCTTCGAAATTGATTGCCATCCGGCTTCTCCTCTTGGCATCCGCTTCATCATCACTGAGCTTTCTTTTTGAAGGGTCCTCTGCCATGTCCTTAAGCTCTATTTGTGTGTAGATGGTAGAGACATAGAACTCCGACCTTCCTCGTCTTGAAACCCTTAGATTGGTGATTCTTACATATTTGCCAACCTCCATTTCGTAGAATTCTTTCGATGAGTTGTAGAATAGAAGAACCTTATATTTTCCCATTCGAACCAGATAATATTCTTCAAGATATCCTGCATTCCTTCTGTTCAGGACACTTAAATACTCGATTTTTCCAAGTGCTTCAGCAAATATAGATGCTGGCATCTCCTGACATCTATCCAGCTTGATCTTGAACATCTCCTTAGCACTAACTTCTTTGCAGCAAAAGTATCTTGCCTCAGTAAACCTGTTGTGCTCTACAACCAGAGGCCCCTCAATGATAGGCTTTTTTCTGCACTTAGTTAGGCAAATGTAATCTCCAATCTTCATGGAGGAATATGGAAGGTCTTCTCCCCAAACAAACACCTTGATAGAGTCTAGTGCAGAAGTCAGAAGAATGAAAAAATAATAAGGGTGCTTTCTTGCGTAGGTCACAGAGCTCATCCTTGTCTTGTATATAACACGCCCGCATATTGGAGACTTCTGCGTGCTTCTATTATACCACCCACTCTTGGAAGTCGCCCTGGGGGAATCGGCTGGAGAAAGCTCACCATGCTTATCCTTACTGCTAAGTATGTCATCGTCCTTTGCCATTGGAATTTCAAGAGGACTGTATGGGAGTGTGTCGTTCAAGAATGGAAGGAGAATTCTTTCTGAAAACTCTTTTGGGACTTCACAAGGATAACATTCACCTGGATTTGAATTAGGATCAGGTGTGGTTCCCTCACCGGCATCCAAGCAAGTTGTATCTGCATTGCCTCTCACAGTGAGGTAAACATTGGAATCGAACTCTCTCCCATAAATAGATAGATAAGAATACGTCTTTGGATCGGTAACTTCAAAAACTATTCCATCCTCCTCCTCCTGCACTCTGATCCAATCGTGCTTGTAGCACATCCCCTTCCTTACTCTAGCCCTCATTTTGCCAGAAACCTTCTTAACGCTAATCTTCTTTCCGTCAAATAAAAACATTTTGAAGTCGTAAATACCTTTCAATGATATTTCTCTGTATATCTCCAAAATTTCATATTCCTCCATGTGGGGTCAAGTAGATGTGTAAATCATGTTGAATGGAACCCTTTGATGTTTCAGGAGGAGAAAAACAAGCTTTACGAGGAATATGCACAAGCCTTACTCAACAATGAGAAGGCATACAAAGCGCTCAAGATGGAGCAAGAGGTGTATAAGCAGACCCATAAACACTACCTGAAAAGCGAAAACGATGTGAAGGCTTTGCAAACAGTGGGGCATATAATTGGTGAAGTCTTAGAAAAGCTGAGTGATGAGAAGTTCATAGTCAAGAGCAGCCAGGGCCCAAGGTATGTCGTAGGGTGTATGAAAGCGATAGACAGAAAAAAAATAACCACTGGGACAAGAGTTGCATTGGACATTACAACTCTGACTATCATGGTTGTACTTCCCAGAGAAGTGGATCCAATGATACACTCGATGGGTGAGGAAAGTCCTGGAGATGGTATTTCCTTTGAGTCTGTTGGAGGGCTTAAGGACCAGATCAGGGAACTAAGAGAGGTTATAGAGCTCCCGTTAAAAAACCCCGATATATTCAAGAGAATTGGGGTCCGTGCCCCAAAGGGGGTTCTTCTGTATGGGCCTCCTGGAACAGGCAAGACCTTATTAGCAAGGATAGTTGCTGCTACAATGGATGTGAATTTTCTGAAGGTAGTATCGTCTGCGCTAATTGAGAAATACATAGGAGAGTCGTCACGTATGATCAGAGAGATGTTTGCCTATGCAAGAAGAAAAGCGCCATGTATAATATTCATGGATGAGATTGATGCGATTGGGGGGAAGAGGTCTAGGGAGTCGAGCTCGTCTGATAGAGAGGTCCAGAGAACGTTAATGGAACTTCTCAATCAACTGGATGGATTCAACGAACTTGACAATGTAAAGGTTATCATGGCCACAAACAGACCAGACATCCTTGACCCTGCACTTCTGCGTCCAGGAAGATTGGATAGAAAGATAGAAATTCCTCTTCCCAATGAGCAAGGAAGGAAAGAAATCTTGAAGATTCATTCCAGGCCTATGAATGCTATTGAAGAAATTGATTATGACTCACTAGTGAAATTGACTGCTGGGTTTAATGGAGCAGATCTAAGAAATGTTTGTACAGAGGCTGGCATGATTGCTCTGAAGGACGAGAGAGATTATGTAAAACATGAAGACTTTGTCAAGTCTGCTAGGAAAATAGCAGATGCAAAGAAATTGGAAACTAGACTGGACTATAAGAGGAAGTAAATGGATTGCTTTATAGGCATATACTTTTATTTTACAAATTGGGCTAAGCAGGGTTGGTCTTCGCTGCACCCTCATTTTTCTCTATTTTCTCCTCTGTGTCTGTGTCATCCCTTGTGTCTTTGGAATCGGGCTTTTCTGGATTTTTATCTGGAGCGCTGGGAATAGTCTTCTTCAGAAACCCCATGAATTCTCTTATAGGAATGTAGTCACTTGGGAATGACTTTGGCCTAACCACTCTATCATTGAACACCATCCGGACATACTGCTTTCCCATATTACACCACACCTCGATAAATAGTGCCGATGCATACGAAGGCCATTCGGATATCCCTGTGTCAAGGCCCGTGAGTACTGCACTCATGGAGGAATCATGCGCGGAATAAAGAAAGATGTATTTTTCCTCTCCTATGTCAAGAAGCAAGTCCCTGGCAAACCTTCCAAATGTGGTCTTTCTTCTTTCATCGGTACTACCCCCGATATTTGCCAGATATTCCCAGGCATCATTTGCTGCTTTTATGTGTTCTTCCACGCTCTTTATATCACAATTCAGCTCCTTGCAGTCTACCTGAACTCTGCTACATAGGCTTGTATAGTAGTGATCCACTCTTTCTTGCGGCCTTGGATGGCGGTTGAACGCATGATTGTCTTGGATTATATTTGGTTTGTCGAAAAATGCCGTGACATCCTCCTTTTCTTTCTGGGATGTGCACCCCAAAGTGTTTAATAAGGTATCGTCACTCACGGGTATTTCTACATTCTGCAGCACAGTATCCCCAGTAAGGCCTCTTATAACCCCGGCAAGAGAAGAGTGCGTTCTGGGTACTTTTGTAGCCCTCATCTTTATGCTCCCCTGCTCTATTTTCTTATCAAAAAGAAGAGACTTATAATTATTCTTTATAAATTTCCCAAGGGTGTCCATTTGCTTGAATCCTCTATACGTTAGGTCTCCCTCGCTGCACTCCTTCCTCTTACAGTCTGATATCATGCTATTGTTGAGGTTGCATGACATGCATTCCTGGCCTTCCCATGCCCTTGTGAGATTTCTGGTGGGGGCCCGGGCACCGTGCCTGAATATTACAAATAGCTTTTCAAGATTATAGTTCTCTGCTTTTGGTATAAACTTATATCCCGACTGGCAGTATCTACGGAATTGCTCTAGATCCTTCTCAGTACTTATGTTTCTTGTATCCCGTCCTCCACCAAATAGAAGGCTCATCCCAAGAAGGGTTTTTATCATCCTTGTTCGGTTTTTTCATCTAATTTGAATTTCTCTGATGTTTTAAGTATGATAAACAAAACGCTCTGCCACCCAATCCAGTTTGAGGGATTTGCACACCTCTTATAATTGGTTTTCCAGGTTTGATCACAGCATATCTTGGAGAAAGATAGAACTAGAATGGATGTTTTCTCTTCAAACAGCAAGGGAAGTTTGACTGTTGGACAGGACAATCACAAAAAGCAGAATGCCCTTCAGAATGCAGTCACAGGCTCTATTTTCGGTGGAGACTTTGAAGGAAAAGAAAAGTGCATCGGCGAGGGTTCTATTTGTGTAGGAAGAGTCAGGCTTCTCAAGGACTTCTATGAAAAAGGTGTCTTCCTCACTAGGAACATAAAGGTGAGAAAGACTCTGTATGACTTGAATCCAAGTGTTAGAGAAAGAATAAGAATGCTTGAGAATATCATAGTTAAACAGGGGATTTAATGGGAAATAGAGGCAAGCTCACTACAATTGCATTCTCGATAGCTTTACCTTTTTCTCTCCAAATCCGGAGCTATCAAATATAAATGGGACTTCGACACCATATCTTTTAACGATGCTGAGTATGCCAGGGTCAATCGGTACGAATTCCTTGTCTTCTTCTCCAGAAAGAGCTGCCAAGGTTTTTAAGTAGTTTATCACTTGGTCTGGATAGTTCAGATAGTAGATTGAGTATCTGTCAGGATGCTTGCTCATAACCATCTCAATAAAACCTTTATCCTTGCAATTGATCAGTACACAGCTTTTTAGGTTACCAGAAAATTCTTTTTCGGAAATAATCTTGTGGTCTGGAAAATATTTTCTGGCAAAAAATCTTTTTCCACAGTGCTTTCTTCTTCCGAAAACAAACACTATTTCCTTCTGCCCGTCAGCTTCGAATTGCCCTCTTCTATATTTCTGAATGTCAAGGTAGTCGTGGAAGTATATTACTTGGGTACCTCTGAAAAACTCATCTGGATGCTTGAATTCCATTCCAGCATTATATGCAAACTTGCTATCACACGAATTCGTATGGCCAGGGCCGAGAGAACAATTTACGGCATCACCCACATAAATCTTTTTGGTTATTTTGGACTCGTCTATATATTCCTTGCATATATATTCATACATCCCTGTAGATGGCTTCCTATACTCATTCTTCTTCAAGGCTGCTAGGAAGATAATCGGAACACCCAGATCAGCAAGGATGCTACACACCTTCTTCACAAATGCTTCTAGAGCGTTAATCCGGATAAGTCGTGATTGGTTTGAGGCTATTCCGATGAAGTAGCCTTGATTGTTTAGTTCCTTTATTTTGATAGGCACCTCCCTAAATAGATATCTCCAATCTGTAGATGTTTCATCAGGGCTGTTACAGATCAATGTCAGGTCAAGATCAAACATGATCAGCTTGTTTAAGCTCCTGTTCACTTCACCATGCTCGATGACAAGAAGTCCATCCTCTATATGTGATATCTTCATCAGGGTGTTATGGGTATTAGTTAAAGCCTTGTTAATGGAATTTCAATCATCCCATCCTTAGAACAACAAGTTTATGCTCTCCATCCTTTTTTACTTTCCATCTTCCAAGCTTTGGCTCCTTTCCAACACCCATCACAATGTGGTTACCGTTAAGGCAGATTGCATTGACAAATCCATTGCATTTGTAACTATCTATGATATCAATACTGCTCTCTGTGACGGAGGACAAATATAATGAGTCCTCTCCTCCAATAAATAGAAATCCATCCTTCCAGACCAAAGTTGTAACCACTTGAGGCATTGTGGAGGAATGAATGATACTCATAGTTGTCATGTCAGCAAGATAAACCTCGCCCGCATCATTTCCAACCACGAAATGTGTATTATTGACAAATGCAACCGCCTGTGGAAAGCCACTAGGTATCTTCATGCTTTTAACTTCAGAATGCTTCAAATCAAATATCCTTACAGTTGGATCAATCTCATAGATGCAGGCCACTTTCCCCACATCAGATACAGAAAGATCTATCATTCCCGACGGCGTTTCGTAGAACGTCTTACATATTTCAAGATTTTGGGTAAATACCAAAGCCTTTCCTCTGCTTGTTCCAACGACAACGTTTCCGGAAGATTGATCGTAGAGCCCCGTGTTAACAATTTTTTTTCCAAGTGAAGAGCCATTTCTAATACTCCTGTCCTGCAAAAGAATATAAAGGCTTCCTTTGTCTGAAAAGAGGAAAATGCATTCTTCGCATCCGACTATAGTTCTGACATTTTCCTTCACAGGTACTCTTCTAAGTTTCAGTGCGTTGTATTCCGTTTCTATTATGTATCTCTTCTTGAGGCTCACGTATATTTTACTCTCAGTTAGATGCAGAGACGTAGGCGCCCCATTGAGCTTTCTCTCAACTACCTTTTTAAGAATCATTGCAATGGCTGGGATCATAAATTTTTATTTGTACGGCTGAAGAGTAGTGGCATAGGAAAAGTCCATGAAGTTGCTCAAACACGCCCAAGATCTCCAAGAAGGCGTTCAATAATTAGTCCAAAGGCCCCCAGTCTTCCCCGATATCTTTTATATATCAACTCGAGTGATGGAAGAACAGCTTCCCTTTTCTCATAAAAAAGATAATTTCGGAGAAGGTACCCGCTCAAAGTAAACAAAGAATCTCCAAGCTCCATACTCGAGACAATATCGTTCAGCCTTTCTAAGGTTCTTGAAGAACTGGAAGTACAAAGAACATTGACCAGGGCTTGAGGCTCCTTGATATTCTTGTATGAAACATCTAGAAGGAGGTTCAAATAATCGGGAATTATTAAAGGTTGCAATTCCGGATACTCTAGCATGTTGAATGCTCTGATAAACAATTCCTTTTGGTGGCCCTGATCCTCCATCTTTTCTCCAGAGCCATAAAAGACCGATGTGTAAACGGGATTGGATACTAAGAGATACTCCTCTAGCTTCTTGGACGGCCTCATCTGTCTCAAGAGTTCTTTGATGTGTGTGGGATCTGTCTTCTCTTCAGAAAGCATTGATTCAAGAAGACTGATTTTATCAGAGCCTTTCAAGAACTTGAACAGGAAAGTTTTCCCAGTCTTCTTGAACAAATCGATCCCTAGCTTGCTGTTGTCGGCAAATATCTCCGACACTGCTAGATCGTCAATTCTGTTTCCTATTGTCCCAATGATTTTTTCTCTATACAATGGGTTTTGCAGAAGCTGTCGAAAAAGATCAATTGAAGAATTCTTGATGCCGAATTCTAGTGCCATGTCCAAATGCTTACCGGACTTGGCACATTCTATTAGTATTACCTCAACTACCTCTTTCTCGGAGATTTTCTTTAGCTTCTCAGAATCTTCGTTCATGCCTAGCGGGCAGAACATGTCTTCACTGTTGTTTCCGGAATGCATCTTATTCATGACATCTTGCAGATATCTTTCAACATACTTATCGTACTTCATAATTAGGTCGTTCAAGGAGCTCATGATAGCGTCGTAAAAAGAGCTGCTGTTTTCTCTGTACCTTAAGAACCAAAGGATGGTTCTATAAATGTTCTTTAACGTTGAGTTAGTGTTCACGACATTAGATTTCCATATCTCTAGTGCCTTCTTCCGGAGTGCCGAATGTGTATCGTTTCTTAGGATAAACAGCATTGCCAGTGCTCTATCGTCCCCAAGGCCCTTTTTGCTAAATAGCTCGAGGCAGAGAAGCCTGGTTTTCCATTGTCCAATAATACAACAAAATACAAGAAATTCCATTACTTCCATAGATTCAAAAGCCTTGGAAGCTATCTCTTGCTTTGTCGGGTCTGAGCTGAGAAATAGCCTCTTGAGAAGTGGCTTAAACACTGGAATGTATTTCTTAAAAAGAGGTAGTTCTGGTGCGTACGCCAGGAAAAAGGGCTCTATGTAGAGAGGCTCCTCCTCAGACTTTTCCTTAGAGGTGTCTGTGCAGCAGGCTTCTTTTCCTATTATCTTGTTAATAACTTTATCGTTAACTTCGTCGTCACAGGATTTAAGGCATTCAACCAGAAACTTGTTGACTCGGAGGGAGCGCCCCATGTTGCCGAGTAACTTATCAAAGGAGATGTCCTCCCCAAACTTCATCATCGATGATGCAACTTTACAGCATTCGTCAAGATAAAATGCATTTTCAATGACAAATGAAGACAGATTTTCAAATATAACAGGAAACACCTGCTTCAGGTCCCTAGGGTGGGCGATAAACTGCAAACTGTTGATTATAGCGAAGGCATCCTCCTTGAGATCCTTCATATGCATGATAAGGCTCTGGACCAGCATATTCAACGCATTGAAGCAAAGGTAATGGTTAAACTGCTGCCTTCTGATCGCCTCAAAGAAGGATTTAGCATATATCTTATCCACTATTGACTGAACCATCTGAGACTTGAGACATGACAGCTCTGGGGTTATGATAGGTATTTCCATGAGCAGCCTTTTACTCTCGTTACAAATCTGAATGTTAGAATTATGAAGAAGAGGAGTAAGAACATCAATGAATCTGACTGTGTGGCTGGGCGTGACAGAGCAGGAGTCCATGTTTTTCAGTATAATAAGCCTGAGATTCTGGGTACTCTTGGCTATAACTTCAAGCAATGGACTCATAATAGTATAAACCAAGTATTTGTTTTTTAGATGAACTGAGAGTATTGTATCAATCATCTGGTGTAATGGAATCGAGCATATTAGACCTAGGTCATTGAGACCAAGGATTTCGGTATAGCCCATACTGGTGGAAACAGCCTCCTCATTCAGATCAGTACTACCTCTGCTGCATATTTCATCAAAATACTCGCATACATAGTACTTTGCATCTTCCGGACGTATCAGCGTAAGAAGGTAAACAAACTCAACAACACCTGCAACAGGTATAGGATCCACTGACACACTCATCTTGTACACTTCGTTTCCATCCTCATTACATCCATAAACCGCCTCTGCATATGAATCTCCTGCTTCCACAGTATTTTCAATTAGCTCGGATTCATACTTTAGGATCTTATGGATGCATATGGCCTCCTCAATTGTACAGTTTTTTTTATCTATCTTTTCAAAGTATTTTCTGCGAAGGTCTGCATGCCGAAAGCAATAGTCAAAAGCGAGTTCTGGCCTCTTCTCGAGTAATATATCATAAACATCAAAGCGTAGAGTCTTAAACATCTGATCATATGCCTTCTCTATCCACATGGAATCTCCAACCTCAAATACTCTAAAGTCAAATTCACCCACCAGAGCCTTTCTGTAAATGCACTCCGACAGAAATTCTCTCTCGTCACTGTCTTGATTGGCTAGTACATCCATTATCTCGTGCACAGAAAAGGAACCAGAAACATAATCCACTGCCTCTTTTTTATAGATACCGTCCTCATAGACCATTGCCTTGTAAATAGATGGCCTATTTTCCTTGTAAGCACCTTTTCCATAGAGAAGAATTCCTCCTAAGTCCTCATCCTCTAAAATTTTGAACCTATCGATACATTCTATAAATATGTTTCTGTCTTTGCTTAGAGTATTCCATAGGGTCTTGCTTACGTCTCTTGGAATGTTTAATTCTAGAGCCTCGTAGACAATGTCCTTACATTTTTGTGCGTGCCCAGCATGCATTGCCACATACTTTATAGTCTGGGCAAGAAACATTACACCTATGTCACTTTTAAGAAGTTTTTCCACGTCGTAACCGCCAAAAACCCTTTGAGCAGACTCATCGTCTTCAGATACTTCATGGTTGCTCTTCTTGATGAAATTGTACACATCCATAAACACCATATACTTTGTAGGTGCCTCCTCAACTACCCCATTGTTAAGATATTCTTGAAGATCATTCTTATATTTTACTGAATCTTGAGAGCTGTCAGCAAGTGCATTCAGATAGTATTCGAAATCTCCGCGCTTCAGATACTTTTTTATCAAAAATAATCGTTCTTCTTCGTGCATGCACATCAGGTTTCTAGTCAAATACACAACCACACCGGGATATCTCACCAGCTCCGCTATTTTGACCCTAGTCATATGCCTCAGAGTATCTGGGTCGTGCTTTTCCATGTACAGCCTGGATTCTGTGATCTTCGAGCTTTTGTAGAGTTTTGTGAGAACCCTTTTGTAGTACTTACAGACAGTGTCTTCTTCTTCAAAAAGTATCTCAACAAAGCTTATTGGGAAGAAATCTGTTATCCAGGCAAAAAAAGATGCCACATACTCATTCACCAGCTCATTGTTTTTCATAAACGTTCTGATAGTCTCCTTGTGGAAACGTCCAAGCTTGTGGGTCTTGCACAGTTTCAGGCAATAAACCAGTTGCTCCGCTGACTTGTTAAATGAGGTCTCCAAGGCCTTGAGAATGTTACCTTCGAAGGAAATTCTTTCACCTTCATTTGCCGAATTGAGGAGAGATAGTGCGTCCTCAAGACTTATGGTGCAGTTTGTATGAATCCTCTTGCCTGCCTTTGATGCCATGGTTAGCCCCATAACATCAAATTTTTTATCTTTGTCTTCGTACCACTTTTTAGCATTTTAACCTAAAAATTTGATCCTCCTTTCTAAAGGCAATGGGGTACTTGAAACTTAAGAGTGTCGAGGTAGACAGCACCACAAAAAAGCTGATGGATCCGCTCAAGTTCAGCTTTCGGTTTGCATGCTCCAATGAAATAAAGTCCGGTGTGGAGTTTGTTGTTTTGTACAACATGGACGTGCACTCGGATGAAAATGATCAGGTACTTGCGGAAGTTGAAATTGCACCCATTCCCAAAGGTAAGATCGAATTCAGCATTGATGCAGATGCGCCTGATGTAAACAAGATACCTTTGGACGACATGTTTGGACTAACATCAATCCTCATTATTGGAAAATATAAAGGCCAGCAATTTATTAGGATAGGCTATATTGTTGATGTAAGTTACCCGGGAATACCAAGCAGCAAACTGATAAAGAACGACATTGAGGAGCCATCTGAGGAGATTGAAGATAAGGAAGAAGACGAGGAAGATGGAGAAGAAAACTCGGGAAGTGCTGGAGGGTCTAATGAGTCAGATTACATAACAGAGGATGAGGATGAGAATGCTGAGTCTGGAGAGCCAAGAACGTTTATGGAAGCGGTTGAGGACGTGGCTAACGAGGGGAAGGAAAGGATATTTGAATCTGAAGGGAGAGAGGAGGAAGAAGATGAAAGGGTTGGATCTGACTCGTACTCGGAAATTAACAGGGAACTTAACAAAAGCGTTGGAGAGGAGGCTGAATTAGGTAACGAAGACAAAGACGTATTTGAGTATTGCGGATACAGGATTGATAAAAGACAAATTGAGATGAAGCTAATGAATCCGCCGGTAATCAACTTATTTGAGATAGAATGGTCAGAAGAAGCCCCAGATAGGGAGAAATCTGATGCTAGTGATGAAGCCCCTCTAAAAAAACAAAAGGTTCAAGAATCTTAATCTAGTCGTGTTTATCATTAAATGTTTCTATCTGAGTCTTGAAAATCATGTTTTCCGGCATTTCCTTTTTCCTATGTTGAGCTGCTCCAAGTACTCTAGAATGTTTTGAGGCGGACTGTCCAGGTTAACAGGAACTTTGTAATACCATCTTTTAGAATATATCATCGAAGCCAGACAATACATGTAGAACGGTATGCTACTCCAATTCCAAAGTCCGAGAACGGTGACAAGGATAGAGTCAAGCAGGCATCTGTAAAGTCTCAACCCTTTCTTTTTATAGGCAATTATGTTGACCATGGCAACTTTGTAGAGAATTGTATTTCCCATCAAGTAAAACCATGTGGTGTAGAGTATTATGGACAGCACTGAAAAGACTCTACCGTACATTTTGTAAAGTATGAAGTTCCGGAAGAAGGCGTTTTTTATGGATTTTTCATTACTTTTCTTGCATTTCTCACAGAGTGGAAGCCTTCTGAAGTACTCACGAAATGTTGTGCACGCTATGGTCTTCTTTTCAGAGTATTTCGACTTACATCTCCTGCAAAGATGGTCCCTAACACACATTTGGTTTACGTCTTCTATGGGAAGATTTGAATACTCTTGCTTTTTGTCTTTATATATGTAATATATTTCACACTCCTCACAATAGTATTTTCCGCTCAGAGGAAGCATGTTTCTAGACTTGCAGTATTCACACTCACTCATAGTGAAGGGATGAAGGCTGCATTTTTAACTTGTCTAAATTGAAAAAAGAAGATATAAGGGAGAATAAAAATAGAATCGAGAAGAACATTTTAATTAAAATGCAGCAAAGATATCGAAATCCTCCTCCTCTTCTTCTTTGTTTTCGGCAGCCTGCGACGGGGCTGGCGTGTCAGCAGCCTGTGCAGGTGCAGATTCCCGAGCCGATGAAATTGCAAGCGATGCCATGAGCTCTTTTCCCTTCGACATCACTTCTTCCATACTTTTATCGGAAACTTTTGACAGAAACAAGCGCATGGTTTCAGGCTCAATCTCTGCACCTATCGCATTGAACAGATCAGCCATAGACCCTTCGTTGATCTCCTTTCCTACCTTATTGAACATGACGTAGGCTGCAACATATTCCATCTTCGAGGGTAAAATTTTTTAGCAAATATGATCCAGCCTCCATTATTCCTAGGTTCATACTATAGTAACAGGATCTTTATCCTTGGCCGAAATAAATATTTCATAATCCGGAAGTTCTTCCTGCAACTTTTCGGAAATATATTTCAAGCATATCCTTTCGCTATTGCTATGCTCCATTAGAATAACCGTTGCATTGTTTGCTATGCACGATAGGAGATCATGGTGGTTCATTTCCCCAGTAACAACAATCGAGTTTTTGAGAGGTATGTTCCGAAATGTCGCTCCCACGCCTACATGCATATACTCGGGAATGCTTTCCATCGTGTGCCCCCTTGCCAGGCATATTCTGAAGTTCTCCATTCCACTTTTCTCTTTGAGAATGCTTATAGCGTTTCTTATAGTCGATGTGTTAGGCCCACAGTTCTTTTTGTACAGAAAGGCACCGTTGTTAATTAAATTGTATACATAGGTGTTCATCAGCGGGTCGAGGGCAGTGTGAGGAGTAAAGACGCTGATTCCATTCTTAATGCATTCAATAACAACAGATTCCTTAGAGCCAAGCTTTTTTATGGCTTTGAATATTATGGGATGGTATGCAACAATGTTCTTGGCCCCAAGCTCGATGCATTCCTCTAGCACAGGCTCTGTAAGATCTATTGTCAAGAGAATTTTATTGTTTTGTGACCCTGAATCCACTATTACTCCCACATTGTCCCAGTCCGTTTTGGCTCTTCTTAGAGAGGCAAATCTGCCAATGGCTTTGCCTACCTCTTGGATTGACATTTGATGGGATGAATTCAATGTGCATATAAAGCAAGGCCAATCCAGAATTTATTGGTATCCAAGACCTAGGCCTTGCTGTTCCAGTACAAATCCATAGATCCAGTTCCGATGCAAATAGGAATCCCAAGAATTATAGACTCACTGACTCCACATATCTCGTCAGATTTACTTTGGACAGCCGCTTCAAACAGATAGTCGCTTGTCTGCTCAAAGGATGCTAGCATAAGAGTAGATCTTGACATCTTTGAAATTCCGAATCTCGTTATTCCAAAAACCTCTCCCCGATATGTCATCGTATCTGCCAGAAGCATTATGTGCCTTGGATCTATCTTGATTCCATGGTTACTTATGGTATATTCAATCTCATGGATTATCTGAGCTCTTGCCGCTTCAATTCCTAATACTTCCTCTACTTCCGTTACGCTGTTGCTAGTCGTTGTGCTACTCTTTACTCCGTCTGTATTTATGACATTCAATAGCCCATGCCCCTCAATGACAAGACTATAGTGTCCTCTGTTGCTATTTATAATCACCCGACTAACCTGCGGTGCACCACATATTCTTGTGCCCAACAGCTTCTTCTTGACTTTTTGGAGATTAAAGTAGCTCTGATCGTCAATCTTCTTGACATACACCCTTATGGAATTCTCGCTAGTGACCTTTGTTTGGTCAGGAAGATTTAAAGATTTCTCAATTTTGTGTATATCTAGATTTAACTTCAGGCGGGAGAGCGTTTCTAGATCTATGGTTACATCCAGGAAGATCTCATCCTTTCCAATGACTTCCGTTATCAAGCAGCAAACGTCCTTCAGAGAGATCTTATCAATCCGACCCTTTATAACCTCCGCCCGAAACAAGTTATATGGATCGTCCAGTTCTGCATTTATAATAGGTGTGCTAATATTACAAACAGCATTGATTATCTCTTTCAATCGTGGGACTCCAAGAGTTATGTTCATGCTAGCAACCCCAGCAAAATGGAATGTCTTAAGTGTCATCTGAGTTCCTGGCTCTCCAATGCTCTGCCCAGCTATTGCTCCAACAGTTGTCCCAGGTTCAATTATTAAGTCCATCATCTTTTGAGATATCGTCGAGAAAAATATCTTTGCAAAACCGTCGCATGAAAAGTAGGAATAAAAAGTCCCATCAAGGAGGAATCTATCTTCACGCTTCGATTCAATAAATTCAAGGAGGCTTTGTATAAATCTTTTGTTAACTATACGCTTAACAGGATATCCCTTAGGTATCGACTTCCTGAGATTATCAACAACATCCTGTTCCTTTAGTTCGAAAGGATATGGGGTCTGGCTTAAATCGAGATTCCGCAGGAACTTAGACTTGGACTGCAGAAATACCCTTTCGAGGTTAAAAGGGTCATCCCCCTCAGACATCACAGGGTCTATTTGGTCTTCTCCATATGCGAACTGCACCACCTCCATATTCGAATTCCTAACACTACCATCATACTGAATGCTTAAATCTTCAAGTGCTTTCATTAGACGTCTTTGCATATATCCTGTTTCAGCCGTTTTGACAGCAGTATCGACAAGCCCCTCTCTTCCACTCACTGCGTGGAAAAAGAACTCGGGAGATGTCAATCCATCAAAGAAAGAATTCAGAACAAATCCCTTTGATTCCGGAGTCTTAGATCCCTTTCGGAAATGAGGAAGGCACCTGTCATCCATTCCGTTTGGAATCCTAGTTCCGCTTACAATCTGCTGTCCCACACAGGCAACCATCTGAGAAACATTAATCTTCGACCCTTTTGACCCGCATGCCTGCATAGTATTTGGAGAGTTCCTAATGCTTAATTCCTTTATGCATATAGATCCACACTCCTCCCTAATCCGATTCAAAATCGAGGATATCTCCATCTCTAGAACCTCTTCATTGGATTCTAATCTCTTCGAATGCTCCAAAATCTTGTTCTTGCATTCCGAGTACCCCTTATTAACAACCATCTCTTTTTTTTGCCTTAATATGGGTCCAGGTTGCACATCATCAAGTCCTATGCTAAATCCAACTTCCCCAAGATACCTTGAGCACAGCTTTGTTATACTATTCATAACCCTCACTGCAGCTTTATTGCTTACCTTCATTATTGCATAGATGAGGCTATCTTTCTTATTCTCCCCTCCTATTATTGACTTATCAAGACGTCCAAAATAGTATGCATTGTCTAGTATCACCACACTTCCATCGTTAGGATCACTAAATGACTTAAACGACCTATTCTTTCCTATAAGAGAAATGCTTTTGTCTTGAAGACTCATGGCTCCTTCACTGCTTCCATAGAACGAGTCCTTGATAAGCGCTTCCACCAGCTGTTTCCCAGTAAAAAGCTCCACAGGCTTCTTTATGGCTGGCTTTACATTAATCCTAGTTTCAGAAAAATAGCTCACAAGCTGGCCAAATCTCTCTCTGTCAAAAAAAGTATCCTTTCCAGTTATTAAGTATAGTCCAGTAATGAAGTCCTGCGTGGCTGCTATAATAGGCTCCCCATGTCTCGGAGTAACGATGTTATTAGAAACAGACATTAGAATGGATGCCTCGGCTCGTGCTTTCTCTGTCTGGGGAACGTGAACATTCATCTCATCCCCATCGAAATCTGCATTGTAAGGTGTGCAAACACACTCATTGAATCTAAGAGTCTTGCTATTATGTACCTTGACCTTGTGGGACATAATGCTCATCCGATGAAGAGAAGGCTGCCTATTAAATAAAACCATATCCCCGTCTAATAAGTGCCGTTCAACAATCTCGCCATGCTTAAGCTCAGTATCCCTCTTGCCATACATCAGAAACCTCTTGAATTTCTCTCCAACAACATAGTTAGCCCCTGGATACTTCTCAGGCCCATTCAGTACAAGAGATTGCAGCTTCTTCTTGTTGAAACTCGTGACCCTTTCGGAAATAGTTAGTATTTTCGCCATCCTCTCAGGTATCCCTACCTCCTCGATACTTAGGTTAGGATCGGGCGAAATAACAGTTCTTCCACTAAAGTCAACTCTTTTCCCACTTAAATTGCATCTAAACCTTCCGTTCTTGCCCTTGAGCCTCTGGACTATTCCCCTTACAGGCTGGCCAGGAATGCCAACTTGTGGAAGCTCAGAGTTGATGAGTAGTGCACATTGGAGCTGAAGGTGGTCCCAATCCTCATTGATAAGATTTAGCGGATTTCCCTTCTCTATCCCTTCCTTTAGTACCTTGTTTGTATGCACAATCTCACTGATCTTAATCGTTATGTCATCCTCATTTGTTCCCTCATCATCCATGGATACACTTGGACGAATGCAAGATGGAGGAACTATAACATTTTGTATTATAAGTCTTTCCGGCGACTCAGAAAACCCAAGTAACTCATAGTCATCCTCTTTCATCATCTTAAACACATTGAGAGCCGTCAGAGGATTTATGTCCTCGTAATGGGAAAAGTGCGTTCCACCCTTCGCACTCCTATCCTTCTTCCTCTTTTCCGGGTCTTCAATCTCATGTACTATCCTAAATCCAAACGTTTTCTTGACCTGTCCATTTCTAGAAGAACATACAAAACACATGTTCGCTTTCTTGCACTCAGCGATCACTTTCCTTAAAATCAATTTTGTATCGTTTCCTCCAGTACTTTCTCTCAGCTTCTTTTTGAAATATATCTTTTTTTTCTCGCTAAGGAGAATGCATCCACAGCTCTTGCAAAGGCAGTTCAACGTCGAAATAGTACTCTTAATCAGCCCTATATTGAAAACCGGAAGCACGAGCTTTACCTCCCCAAAATGCCCAATGCACGTTGCAAGCCCTTCTCCGCACGTTGCACACTTATCCTTCTTGTTTCCAACACCCAGCCTTAGATCTAAAGGCCCGTTTGATAGAGGCACCCTTGTACTTATGTCATATAAGTCCTTGCTTGAAATCTCATGTACAGACAGACTAGAAATATCTTGTGGAGATAACAACCCAAAGGATATTCTTCTGATTCTTATGTCCACCTCATCTTCCTCAACTCTCTTGAGCATGGGTTGGGCGGTCCAGCCATGAATTCTGAAAAATTTGGTTTGAAACAAAATAGGAAGAGAAGAAAGGCCCATGGTAGAAAATATACAACTAGGCATGGAGAGAATGATATCCGAGTTGGAGGACTACAAGAACAGAGGGATATTCTCCCCAGACGAACTAAGAAAGATAGTGGAAACCAGAAGGAAATATGAGCTCAGATTGCAAAGGCCGGAGAAAAAGCTTTTGGACTTCATACGGTACATAAAAAGTGAATGCATACTAGAAAAGATAAGAGATAAACGAGTGAGAGAAAAAAACGCCGGCACATCGCTCCATGACATGAAAATATCAAAAAAAATCGTAGAGCTGTACAGATCTGCTTTGTACAGATTTAACGATCCAAAAATAATCTCACAATTCACTGCATATGTCATTGAAAAAAAGATGTATGGAGAAATGAAAAACGTATTTGCAGAGTGCTGCACCAGAAACCCGCTCGATGTGGATCTTTGGATATACTGCGGGTTCAAGCTGTTTGAAGTGGGGGACATCGAAAGTTCTAGGGCCATGTTCCTCAAGGGAATTAGAATGAATAGCAAAAACACTAGGATAAGAATTGAATTCTTTAGAATGGAGGTTATGTACGTTGAAAAAATAGAAGCACTTAATAGGGAAATAGGTTTGGATTCTGATGATAAAGACGATCTGGAAAGGGGTGAGGTAGCATTTGCAATCTTTGCTGACTGCTTAAACGGTTTATCTTTTACTGAAAAAGAGATAGAAGAGATTCTAGAAATATCTAAAAGCATCAAGGAGCTTAGAGAGAGGATTGAAGAACACATTAAAGACAGAGACATATAAATTAAACAGCCAATGGTACACAATTCGCTGTTGTAAATATTTTTGAGTCGATTTAGCTATATACTTTGAAATTCATCAACAACATCTATAATTTGCATAAAAAAATACTGGATATCATCGGGACATGTAAAGAAGTGACTATATTTGTGTTTTAGGTTACTTTAACACATGATTATGCCAAAGGCGTAAAGCATTTATGGAAAGACAGAAACAGCTGCTGTAGCCCAGAATTGATTTATTCTGCATATAAAGGCCTGAAATATCCGAGGTATTCACAAAAGTGAACAAACATCCACATCCTACAAGCTTATACACATCTGTAATGACAGCTAATATGAAAATTAGTGTGATTACTCTCCACTTTGTGATTGGGCCCTTATGATTACGCTTTTCAAAAGGTGCATACTTCTCTCTGTATGATCTTACTAAAACAAGAATGGTGGAAACAGCAGCAAAAATGGGATAGGTGTGTGTGATGAGAGAAAGGAGGGGAGTCCTATGAGAGAGAAGGAGAGTTGATGATGAGGATGAATGATTTTTGATGTGTTGTGTTGTGACTGGTTAGTATTTGTGTGTGGTGTGTTGTGTTTGTGATGATGTGTGTGAGTTTTTAGCATCAGGTTGATTCTGCCTGACGTGGATGCTATTCTCTGGGGCTAAGCCATGCATGTTTATGAAGCCTTTATGGGGGATTGACGGACGGCTCAGTGATAGTACGATGATTTGATTGGGAGCCTGGATGTAACTGTGGGAAACTGCAGGTAAGTTCTGGGGGTGGTAGTTTGTAGCTACTGCGTACCGAGTAAGTTGTAGGCCTATCAGCTGGTAGTTAGGGTAATGGCCTAACTAGGCGGAGACGGGAGACGGGGGATCAGGGTTTGATTCCGGAGAGGGAGCCTGAGAGATGGCTACTACGTCCAAGGATGGCAGCAGGCGCGAAACTTGCCTAATCCTTATTGGGGAGGCGGTTATGAGAAGTAAGATGTTTAGCAAGTATAAATTTGTTGTGATTTACTGGAGGGCAAGTCGGGTGCCAGCAGCCGCGGTAATACCTGCTCCAGTAGTGTCTATGGTGAATGCTGCAGTTAAAATGTCCGTAGTTGTTTGTATGTCTTTTGAGTGATGTTTATGGTTTTTAGTGGATGTAGTTTTATTGTAGCAGAGGACGAGGGGCACTGGATAGTTGGGCGAGGGGTGAAATACGAAGACCCTGACTGGACGAAGAGAAGCGAAGGCTGTGTTCTTGGACTTTTGTGGTGATGAAGGACGAAGGCTAGAGGATCGAAATCGATTAGATACCGTTTTAGTTCTAGCAGTAAACGATGCCGACTGGACGGGACTGTTTTAGTGTTGTCCGAGAGAAATCTTAAGTATGTGGGTTCTGGGGATAGTATGCTCGCAAGAGTGAAACTTGAAGAGATTGACGGAAGGACACCACAAGGAGTGGAGTGTGCGGCTTAATTTGACTCAACGCGGGGCAACTTACCGGTTCTGAAGTGAGTGTGAGAGTGTTTTTACATGATGCTTACGGCGGTGGTGCATGGCCGTTTTAAATGGATGGCGTGAGCTTTGGATTAAGTTACGTAAGATGTGAGACCCTTTTTGACTGTGCTCTATGGGGCAAGGGAGGAATGGAACAGAACAGGTCCGTTATGCCCTGAGATGAAGCGGGCGGCACGCGCACTACGATAGATGCCTATGTGGGCTACTGTGAGGGATGAAGCTGTGTAATGGGCTTCTGAACGTGGAATTCCTAGTAAGAATGATTGAACAAGTTATTTTGAATGTGTCCCTGTCCTTTGTACACACCGCCCGTCGCTATCTAAGATGACGCAGTGGACGAAGATTGAGAGGTCTGAGTCTTTCGTGTTAGATAAGATATAAGTCGTAACATGGCTGCTGTTGGAGAACCAGCAGCAGGATCAGTATGTTGATTTGATTATTTTGTGGGGATTTTTAGTTTTTTAGTTTTTCTTTCTCTATCCATGGGATTGATTGGCATTATCTGCGATGAAGGACGTGCTGGAGGACGATATGCCGTTTTTTTTAGCGGATGTCTGAATTAGGTGTTTGTGCGCCTGTGGACCCCTTTGACTTAAGCATATTACTAAAGGGAGGAGAAGAAACTAAATAGGATTATCTGAGTAGCGGCGAGTGAAAGGATATGAGCCTGTGTGGTAATCACGTGTGTGAGTTGTGAATTAGGATGACGATGCTGAGGACGGATTGGAATCTGTTTTCTTAGGGGGTGATAGGCCTGTAAGTGTTGTCTTTTTTTGTGATGAGTAGGGTTGTTTGGTAGTGCAGCCTGAATGTGGGTGGTATGTGCATCCAAGGCTAAATATGTGATGATGACCGATAGCGAATAAGTAGAGTGATTGAAGTGTGAAAAGATTAATGATGAGAAATGAAAATGGATTGAGTGAATGGGGGTTTTTTTCCCACCCGTCTTGAAACACGGACCAAGGAGAGGATGATTACATTGTTGAGCGAGAGCGATTGGATGTGATGATCCGACCCGAAAGATGGTGAACTATGTTTGTATTGATTGAAGGGATGCGAAAGTGTTCTGGAGGATCTAAGCCATTCTGACGTGCAACTCGATGGCATGATATGGACATAGGGGCGAAAGACCAAACGAACCATCTGGTAGCTGGTTCCCTCTGAAATGTCTCTCAGGACGGCGGCGACTGATTATTTATGTAAGATGTTGTAAAGCACTAATGACTTTTGTCGTTAAACTTTGAAGATGTCTTTTAATGATGTTGCTAGTGGGCATATTGTGGTAAGCATGATGTGCGAGGAGGGATGAACCTTTTTTGCGGCTAAGGAGTCTTATGCAAGGGAAGTGAATCTGGCGGTTTGATTTTGACAGTTGGACGGTGGCCATGGAGGTTGGCATCCGCTAAGAAACGTGTTGCAACGTACCTACCGAATTGGGCGCTGGAGAAAATGGAAGGGATTGAATTGCTATCTGATGCCGCTGTGGTTTTGCTGAGTAAGAGGGCGATATTATTCTGATGAAGGTCCTCGCGTGAGCGGGGGTGGAGGGGTGATATGAGCAGATCTTGGTAGTAGTAACAAGAAAATGATTTAGGATGTGGACGAGGGTTCCCTATTTTTAGGGGTGAATCGACTGTTTATACGGAGACGCATTGACGATTGTGTGTATGTATGCTTTGAGGCGACTTGATGATGACGGATGGGGGTAACCTTTACTCTAGGATAGCAGAACTAGGGTGATTTTTGTTGTGGATTGTTAAGAGACGAAGCAACTGATGTGGGGAGTGCCTGTTCCGATGAAAAAGAAGTGTATGTGTCGTACCTATACCGCATCTGGTGTCCACTGTTTGCCACGGAAGCGTTTTATTTAAAGGTTGTAAGGGAAGTCGGCAAAATGGATGTGTAACTTTGGGAGAAGGATTGGCTCTAGCGTGCTAGAACTGTTTATTGTGGGGAATCTGACTGTTTACTAAAAACATAGCTTTGCGAAAGGACGCAAAGTGAATTCTGCCCAGTGCACTTTTAGTTATGACTTTTTAAGTTTAAGCGAGTGTAAACGGCGGGAGTAACTATGACTCTCTTAAGGTAGCCAAATGCCTCGTCATGTAATTAGTGACGCGCATGAATGGAGCAACGAGATTCCCACTGTCCCTACGACTTGTATTGTGAACCTACAGCCAAGGGAACGGGCTTGGGCTGATCAGCGGGGAAAGAAGACCCTGTTGAGCTTGACTCTAGCATGTGAGAAGTGCTGGGGGTGGTTATGAAGAGAGGTGGGGAGTTTGTGCGAGACCACTATGACTGCGCCTCAGCGGTTTATTTATGGATGTGGGGAGTTTGGCTGGGGCGGCACGACTGCTAAAGATTAACGCAGACGTCCTAAGGCGGGCTCAGCGGGGAAGGAAACCACGCGTGGAGCACAAGGGCATAAGCCTGCTTGAGACTATTCCTATTGCGGGATTGTTTTGGGGGAAACCCTGGCCTAGAGATCCCATGTCCTATTAGTGTTTGGGACATGGGTGACAGAAAAGTTACCACAGGGATAACTGGCTTGTAGCAGCCGAGCGATCATAGCGACGCTGCTTTTTGATTCTTCGATGTCGGCTCTTCCTATCATCGTGAAGCAGAAATTGCGAAGTGTTGGATTGTTCACCCACCAACAGGGAACGTGAGCTGGGTTTAGACCGTCGTGAGACAGGTTAGTTTTACCCTACTGTGATTGACTGTGCAGTAAATCTTGATAGTACGAGAAGGAACTCTTGATTGCGACCTCTGGTGGAGCGGCGTGCCTGCTGGCTGTTGCGGAGCTACGTCGGGAGTATAATGGCTGAAGGCCTCTAAGCCTGAAGACTGACTGCGCTGTATTATGATTAGCGGAAGACGACCGTTGTGGATGCAAGCTGTACGAATGGAGGAGTATTCCGACATTTTGAGGCTGTGCATTTTGTGTTTTTGTGTGTGAGAGGGTGTGTTGTGTGTGATGCGTGGTGCTGTGTGGTGTTTTTTTTGTTTTGTGTGTGTTTGTTGTGTGTTTAGGTTATGGGTGAGTGATGATGTGTGTTGTGTGAGATAGTTGTTTGTGTTTATGCTGTTGTGTTTGTGTGTGATGATGTGCGTGATGTTAGTTTTAGTTTTTTTGTTGTGTGATTCTGGCTTTTTTTTTTATTTTGTGAATTGTGTATGTTGATGATTTTGATTATTGTTTGTGTTTGTGAGAGGGGTTTATGGAGTAGTTTTGTTGTGTG